CACACTGCATGATCACCATGTCCAACATGTGCCAGTACGTCTGCTGCTCTTTGCCTTGGAGGAGGACGTAGAAAATCGGGAGGTACAAGTCGAACGCCGGATCGAATCCCATTATTATTGCAACTTGGGAAAAGGGCTTGGGGCACGCCTTGAAGGTGCAGTCGACAAAAAGTGGGTTCTTCGGGTACTTGAGCAGCCGTAGGAGGTCGGGATGGGCGAACCCCACCATGCGCTTGTGCTTCCCCGCTTGGGCGTAGAGATAGCTGAATTGCAGGAAGGGGCGGGCGTCATCAGCGCTGACGAGTGACGTGGGTTCCAATTCGATTGCACGGAACACGTCACCGCCTGTTAACTCCCGTCTAACGTTCTTGACAAACGAAACGGCTGACGGTTTCACCATCACACGAAGGGACGCCGACTTGCCGTACTTCCGGTGAAGAGTCGCCATCGCGGTGGACCAAACGCGCGTCGGAGCCATAGCCATGTCGCTTGCGGTCAGTGTCTCGATGATCTCCTTCATCTCGGCCGAAGCGTCGATAACGGTTTCACGTGGGGGGTGCTGTTAACCTCCAGGACAACACCGGTTGACTTGGAAGCTGATAATGCATCCCGAAAGTGCACCCAAACCGCCCCAAACATCCCGAAAAATGAACTTTTTTGGTGGATTTGGGCACATATTTCGGGCGGAATACACGGTGTTTGGGCAAAGCCCGAGATATTTTTGCCCAAAACATGCAACATACCAGCAACGTAAGTGCAACATTAAGGCAACATAAAAATATGTACTATCCAACTTAAACTTGTGCTGCTCTCCAACCATTTAGGATGCTGTTCGTTTAACCAGTCATTGCGAGCACGAGTTCCGTGCGACTCAGCGCAGTCTTGCGCTCAGTTGGGAAATTTCTGGATGGAACACAAGAACCACACCTACAGTATCAAGAGCGGCTACAACGGCACGGTCTACTACATCTGTAGCCGTGTCCGCTCGACCGGCTGTCCGGCTCGTCTGACTGTCAAGTCAACGGTATTGGATAATGCACCCCAAATATGTGCCCAAACTCAAAAAAAATCCCGAAGGGATGTAAGTTTTAGGCACAGATTACGGACACATTAACCGACGTTTTAGGTGTATATTCGGGACAGGTTGTATTTCGGTACATAGTTAGGATAACTATAATTTAGGTACACATTTGGGATTCGTCCTATCAACCCGGCGAATTTTTAGGACACTTTGAGGACGGATAAAATTTAGGTACACATTTGGGATATCATGGTGCGACCCGGTGTATATGTTGGGATGGATGGTGTTGTATTGAACTTAGCCTACGAGCTAGATCTGTTCGTGTCGCTACTCCTGCGTGGGTTCCGGTTCGAAGCGCAAGTAGTCGTCAGGCACTTCGACGCGTGCCAAGTTGGCATGGTCAGGTGGCTGCTGGCGCTGATGGCGAATGTCTTCGATGAGGTCGACATAGTTTTGAGACTTGGTCTTGATCACGTCAACAAATGTCAACAAGCGTGGGTAAGAAGTCGTAAACGACTCGTTCAACGTCCGGTTGAAACGCTCCAGAGCGTTATTGGTGCGGTTGACAATGTCCACTGCCTCAGCAATAGTATTGACGTTCCACGTTGAAGGACCATACGTCCGCATCCAGGTCTTGGCAAAGTAGCGCCAAAAGGTGGACCACTTGACTCGATGGCCAGACTCATCGATGCGACTGCGAACGTACGGGATGCCCTTCGAAATAATTTCGTCCACTGTGATGACGGTTAACACGTCGATCACGCCACTTGACATGACGTTAGCAACCGTGTCAACCGGGATGCGCAAGTCAAGCATCTTGCGACGCAAGGCTTGCTTCCAGTGGAATAGGCATCCCACAAGAGGCACCCCGGGGAACTGCTCACGCTCAGCGTTGATCAAGCCCAGTTCAAAGTCACAGGTGACGGTCCGAGGGTCCACTTGCATGTCACACTGCATGATCACCATGTCCAACATGTGCCAGTACGTCTGCTGCTCTTTGCCTTGGAGGAGGACGTAGAAAATCGGGAGGTACAAGTCGAACGCCGGATCGAATCCCATTATTATTGCAACTTGGGAAAAGGGCTTGGGGCACGCCTTGAAGGTGCAGTCGACAAAAAGTGGGTTCTTCGGGTACTTGAGCAGCCGTAGGAGGTCGGGATGGGCGAACCCCACCATGCGCTTGTGCTTCCCCGCTTGGGCGTAGAGATAGCTGAATTGCAGGAAGGGGCGGGCGTCATCAGCGCTGACGAGTGACGTGGGTTCCAATTCGATTGCACGGAACACGTCACCGCCTGTTAACTCCCGTCTAACGTTCTTGACAAACGAAACGGCTGACGGTTTCGCCATCACACGAAGGGACGCCGACTTGCCGTACTTCCGGTGAAGAGTCGCCATCGCGGTGGACCAAACGCGCGTCGGAGCCATAGCCATGTCGCTTGCGGTCAGTGTCTCGATGATCTCCTTCATCTCGGCCGAAGCGTCGATAACGGTTTCACGTGGGGGGTCACAGGTGTGGCTGTTAACCTCCAGGACAACACCGGTTGACTTGGAAGCTGATAATGCATCCCGAAAGTGCACCCAAACCGCCCCAAACATCCCGAAAAATGAACTTTTTTGGTGGATTTGGGCACATATTTCGGGCGGAATACACGGTGTTTGGGCAGAGCCCGAGATATTTTTGCCCAAAACATGCAACATACCAGCAACGTAAGTGCAACATTAAGGCAACATAAAAATATGTACTATCCAACTTAAACTTGTGCTGCTCTCCAACCATTTAGGATGCTGTTCGTTTAACCAGTCATTGCGAGCACGAGTTCCGTGCGACTCAGCGCAGTCTTGCGCTCAGTTGGGAAATTTCTGGATGGAACACAAGAACCACACCTACAGTATCAAGAGCGGCTACAACGGCACGGTCTACTACATCTGTAGCCGTGTCCGCTCGACCGGCTGTCCGGCTCGTCTGACTGTCAAGTCAACGGTATTGGATAATGCACCCCAAATATGTGCCCAAACCCAAAAAAAATCCCGAAGGGATGTAAGTTTTAGGCACAGATTACGGACACATTAACCGACGTTTTAGGTGTATATTCGGGACAGGTTGTATTTCGGTACATAGTTAGGATAACTATAATTTAGGTACACATTTGGGATTCGTCCTATCAACCCGGCGAATTTTTAGGACACTTTGAGGACGGATAAAATTTAGGTACACATTTGGGATATCATGGTGCGACCCGGTGTATATGTTGGGATGGATGGTGTTGTATTGAACTTAGCCTACGAGCTAGATCTGTTCGTGTCGCTACTCCTGCGTGGGTTCCGGTTCGAAGCGCAAGTAGTCGTCAGGCACTTCGACGCGTGCCAAGTTGGCATGGTCAGGTGGCTGCTGGCGCTGATGGCGAATGTCTTCGATGAGGTCGACATAGTTTTGAGACTTGGTCTTGATCACGTCAACAAATGTCAACAAGCTTGGGTAAGAAGTCGTAAACGACTCGTTCAACGTCCGGTTGAAACGCTCCAGAGCGTTATTGGTGCGGTTGACAATGTCCACTGCCTCAGCAATAGTATTGACGTTCCACGTTGAAGGACCATACGTCCGCATCCAGGTCTTGGCAAAGTAGCGCCAAAAGGTGGACCACTTGACTCGATGGCCAGACTCATCGATGCGACTGCGAACGTACGGGATGCCCTTCGAAATAATTTCGTCCACTGTGATGACGGTTAACACGTCGATCACGCCACTTGACATGACGTTAGCAACCGTGTCAACCGGGATGCGCAAGTCAAGCATCTTGCTGCTTTCGACACGCCCGACGAGAGCACCACATTGCCGCTAGCATGAGTCGCACCCGAGGCAGCGCTAGAGATGCTTACATCGCCGCTTGAAGCGTCGGTGCCGCTGCCACTAGCAATAAGCACGCTTCCGCCGATACTAGTCGATCCGGACCCGCCATTCAGCGCCACATTGCCTCCCCTTGTAGTACCCGTTCCGCCTGTCAAACTGACCAGGCCTCCCGCGCCGGCACTGCTATCTCCGCCGCGCACACCGACCGACCCACTATCAATGGCATCGCCACTGCCAACGGACACGAGGATCGAGCCGCCCTTACCGCTCCTAGCACCCGAAGTCAAGATGGAGATTCCGCCCGATGAACCGCTCTTCGAAATGCCACTTGACATCGTCACGCTGCCGCTCGTCTGAGCAGAGCCCGAACCCGCCGTGGACACCACCACATCGCCGCTCGTCGCCGTGGTCCCATTGCCGCTGGTAATGCGCACGCTGCCACCAAGTGACGAATCGCCCACACCGCCTGTCAACGTCAAGTCGCCACCTGTCGCGGTACCAGCTCCGCCGCGAACTGCCACCACGCCTCCCTTGCCGCTCACAGCCCTGCTTTGACCGCCGTCCACGCTCACGGAGCCTCCTGTAGCCGCGTCGCCCGAGCCCACGCTCAGAGAGATCGACCCGCTTGCGCCGCCCGTCGAAGCACCCGTCGAGACCGACACCGATCCGGAGCTACCACCGCTCGACGCGCCCGACGACAGCCGCACCGCACCGCTCGTGCTCGTCAGCGCCGTTCCCGATGCCGCGCTCGACACGGCCACATCACCGCTCGTCGCACTGTCCCCGCTGCCGCTAGAGATCAGGACGCTGCCGCCAAGGACCGACGTACCAGATCCCGCGGACAGCTGCACGTTGCCGCCCGTAGCGGTGCCGTTGCCACCCTGCACCGACACTCGCCCGCCGACGCCCTGCTGGTTCACGCTCGTGCCGCCACCGATCTGCACGTCGCCTCCGACGGCAGCGTCTCCCGAGCCCACACGCACGATGATCGACCCGCTGGCACCGCCGTTCGTGCCGCCACTCGCCTTCGACGTCAAAAGCGACACGCTGCCGGAGTTACCGCCCAGCGACTCGCCGCTCGAGACCGTCACGGACCCGCTCACCTTGCCCGTGCCGGACTTGGCGCTAGCCATGGACACAGACCCACTGTTCGCACTCGCTCCGGAACCGCTCGAGATCACCACGCTGCCGCCCACGTCCGCTGAACCGACACCGCCGTTGATGTCCACCTCGCCGCCGGTCTTCACACCCGTTCCACCTAGCAGCACCACACGTCCGCCAGCGCTCACGCCGTTGCTGTCCGCCACGTTGCTGTCGCCGCTGCGCACAAGCACGTTGCCGCCCGCGTTTGAGTCGCCCGACCCCACCAGCAAGTCGATGTCCCCGGACGCACCCTTCGTCGCGCCCGACGTCACGATGTTGACCGCCCCGGAGTTGCCGCCCAGAGACACACCGGTCGACAACGAGATGGACCCACTGGCCTGGGCGCCGCCCGTAGACAACGAAATCCGGCCGCTCGTCAGAGCCGTGCCGGACTCCAAGCTCGAGATCAGCACGTCTCCGCTCGCCACGTTCGTGCCGCCGCCACTTTGAACCGCTACATCACCACCTGCAGTCGAGGTTCCTGCGCCTCCGCTTACTTTGACAACGCCGCCCGTTTGGCCCTTTCCGCCGGAGACCTCCACCTTTCCGCCCACACCCGACGACGTGCTTGACGACGTGCCAGCAGACAGCGTGATCGCGCCGCTGGCTGCCTTGCCTCCGGCTCCCACGCGCATCGTGATATCACCGCCCTTGCCACTCGCAGAGCCATCCGACGTCGCCACCAACACAGAGCCAGAGTCTCCACTGCTTGCGATGCCGCTCGAGACCGTCACGCTGCCGCTCGTCTGAGCAGAGCCCGAACCCGCCGTGGACACCACCACATCGCCACTCGTCGCCGTGGTCCCATTGCCGCTGGTAATGCGCACGCTGCCACCAAGTGACGAATCGCCCACACCGCCTGTCAACGTCAAGTCGCCACCTGTCGCGGTACCAGCTCCGCCGCGAACTGCCACCACGCCTCCCTTGCCGCTCACAGCCCTGCTTTGACCGCCGTCCACGCTCACGGAGCCTCCTGTAGCCGCGTCGCCCGAGCCCACGCTCAGAGAGATCGACCCGCTTGCGCCGCCCGTCGAAGCACCCGTCGAGACCGACACCGATCCGGAGCTACCACCGCTCGACGCGCCCGACGACAGCCGCACCGACCCGCTCGTGCTCGTCAGCGCCGTTCCCGATGCCGCGCTCGACACGGCCACATCACCGCTCGTCGCACTGTCCCCGCTGCCGCTAGAGATCAGGACGCTGCCGCCAAGGACCGACGTACCAGATCCCGCGGACAGCTGCACGTTGCCGCCCGTAGCGGTGCCGTTGCCACCCTGCACCGACACTCGCCCACCAACACCCTGCTGGTTCACGCTCGTGCCGCCACCGATCTGCACGTCGCCTCCGACGGCAGCGTCTCCCGAGCCCACACGCACGATGATCGACCCGCTGGCACCGCCGTTCGTGCCGCCACTCGCCTTCGACGTCAAAAGCGACACGCTGCCGGAGTTACCGCCCAGCGACTCGCCGCTCGAGACCGTCACGGACCCGCTCACTTTGCCCGTGCCGGACTTGGCGCTAGCCATGGACACAGACCCACTGTTCGCACTCGCTCCGGAACCGCTCGAGATCACCACGCTGCCGCCCACGTCCGCTGAACCGACACCGCCGTTGATGTCCACCTCGCCGCCGGTCTTCACACCCGTTCCACCTAGCAGCACCACACGTCCGCCAGCGCTCACGCCGTTGCTGTCCGCCACGTTGCTGTCGCCGCTGCGCACAAGCACGTTGCCGCCCGCGTTTGAGTCGCCCGACCCCACCAGCAAGTCGATGTCCCCGGACGCACCCTTCGTCGCGCCCGACGTCACGATGTTGACCGCCCCGGAGTTGCCGCCCAGAGACACACCGGTCGACAACGAGATGGACCCACTGGCCTGGGCGCCGCCCGTAGACAACGAAATCCGGCCGCTCGTCAGAGCCGTGCCGGACTCCAAGCTCGAGATCAGCACGTCTCCGCTCGCCACGTTCGTGCCGCCGCCACTTTGAACCGCTACATCACCACCTGCAGTCGAGGTTCCTGCGCCTCCGCTTACTTTGACAACGCCGCCCGTTTGACCCTTTCCGCCGGAGACCTCCACCTTTCCGCCCACACCCGACGACGTGCTTGACGACGTGCCAGCAGACAGCGTGATCGCGCCGCTGGCTGCCTTGCCTCCGGCTCCCACGCGCATCGTGATATCACCGCCCTTGCCACTCGCAGAGCCATCCGACGTCGCCACCAACACAGAGCCAGAGTCTCCACCGCTTGCGATGCCGCTCGAGACCGTCACGCTGCCGCTCGTCTGAGCAGAGCCCGAACCCGCCGTGGACACCACCACATCGCCGCTCGTCGCCGTGGTCCCATTGCCGCTGGTAATGCGCACGCTGCCACCAAGTGACGAATCGCCCACACCGCCTGTCAACGTCAAGTCGCCACCTGTCGCGGTACCAGCTCCGCCGCGAACTGCCACCACGCCTCCCTTGCCGCTCACAGCCCTGCTTTGACCGCCGTCCACGCTCACGGAGCCTCCTGTAGCCGCGTCGCCCGAGCCCACGCTCAGAGAGATCGACCCGCTTGCGCCGCCCGTCGAAGCACCCGTCGAGACCGACACCGATCCGGAGCTACCACCGCTCGACGCGCCCGACGACAGCCGCACCGCACCGCTCGTGCTCGTCAGCGCCGTTCCCGATGCCGCGCTCGACACGGCCACATCACCGCTCGTCGCACTGTCCCCGCTGCCGCTAGAGATCAGGACGCTGCCGCCAAGGACCGACGTACCAGATCCCGCGGACAGCTGCACGTTGCCGCCCGTAGCGGTGCCGTTGCCACCCTGCACCGACACTCGCCCGCCGACGCCCTGCTGGTTCACGCTCGTGCCGCCACCGATCTGCACGTCGCCTCCGACGGCAGCGTCTCCCGAGCCCACACGCACGATGATCGACCCGCTGGCACCGCCGTTCGTGCCGCCACTCGCCTTCGACGTCAAAAGCGACACGCTGCCGGAGTTACCGCCCAGCGACTCGCCGCTCGAGACCGTCACGGACCCGCTCACTTTGCCCGTGCCGGACTTGGCGCTAGCCATGGACACAGACCCACTGTTCGCACTCGCTCCGGAACCGCTCGAGATCACCACGCTGCCGCCCACGTCCGCTGAACCGACACCGCCGTTGATGTCCACCTCGCCGCCGGTCTTCACACCCGTTCCACCTAGCAGCACCACACGTCCGCCAGCGCTCACGCCGTTGCTGTCCGCCACGTTGCTGTCGCCGCTGCGCACAAGCACGTTGCCGCCCGCGTTCGAGTCGCCCGACCCCACCAGCAAGTCGATGTCGCCCGCTGCGCCCTTCGTCGCGCCCGACGTCACGATGTTGACCGCCCCGGAGTTGCCGCCCAGAGACACACCGGTCGACAACGAGATGGACCCACTGGCCTGGGCGCCGCCCGTAGACAGCGAAATCCGGCCGCTCGTCAGAGCCGTGCCGGACTCCAAGCTCGAGATCAGCACGTCTCCGCTCGCCACGTTCGTGCCGCCGCCACTTTGAACCGCTACGTCACCACCTGCAGTCGAGGTTCCTGCGCCTCCGCTTACTTTGACAACGCCGCCCGTTTGGCCCTTTCCGCCGGAGACCTCCACCTTTCCGCCCACACCCGACGACGTGCTTGACGACGTGCCAGCAGACAGCGTGATCGCGCCGCTGGCTGCCTTGCCTCCGGCTCCCACGCGCATCGTGATATCACCGCCCTTGCCACTCGCAGAGCCATCCGACGTCGCCACCAACACAGAGCCAGAGTCTCCACCGCTTGCGATGCCGCTCGAGACCGTCACGCTGCCGCTCGTCTGAGCAGAGCCCGAACCCGCCGTGGACACCACCACATCGCCGCTCGTCGCCGTGGTCCCATTGCCGCTGGTAATGCGCACGCTGCCACCAAGTGACGAATCGCCCACACCGCCTGTCAACGTCAAGTCGCCACCTGTCGCGGTACCAGCTCCGCCGCGAACTGCCACCACGCCTCCCTTGCCGCTCACAGCCCTGCTTTGACCGCCGTCCACGCTCACGGAGCCTCCTGTAGCCGCGTCGCCCGAGCCCACGCTCAGAGAGATCGACCCGCTTGCGCCGCCCGTCGAAGCACCCGTCGAGACCGACACCGATCCGGAGCTACCACCGCTCGACGCGCCCGACGACAGCCGCACCGCACCGCTCGTGCTCGTCAGCGCCGTTCCCGATGCCGCGCTCGACACGGCCACATCACCGCTCGTCGCACTGTCCCCGCTGCCGCTAGAGATCAGGACGCTGCCGCCAAGGACCGACGTACCAGATCCCGCGGACAGCTGCACGTTGCCGCCCGTAGCGGTGCCGTTGCCACCCTGCACCGACACTGCCGGTCTTCACACCCGTTCCACCTAGCAGCACCACACGTCCGCCAGCGCTCACGCCGTTGCTGTCCGCCACGTTGCTGTCGCCGCTGCGCACAAGCACGTTGCCGCCCGCGTTTGAGTCGCCCGACCCCACCAGCAAGTCGATGTCGCCCGCTGCGCCCTTCGTCGCGCCCGACGTCACGATGTTGACCGCCCCGGAGTTGCCGCCCAGAGACACACCGGTCGACAACGAGATGGACCCACTGGCCTGGGCGCCGCCCGTAGACAGCGAAATCCGGCCGCTCGTCAGAGCCGTGCCGGACTCCAAGCTCGAGATCAGCACGTCTCCGCTCGCCACGTTCGTGCCGCCGCCACTTTGAACGGCCACACCACCGCCAATTGTAGAGCTGCCACTACCGCCTGCAACCGAAATGGCCCCGCCTTGTTTGCTTGACCCAGCTTTCAGACTAATGGCTCCTCCTGTCCCGGTAGTATTGGTAGAAGTACCTGCCACAACGTTGATACCTCCGCCCGTTTCAGCGTCGCCACTCCCAATGCGGATCTCGACGGAGCCGCCTTTTCCGCCCGTTGCATCCGATGTCGAAATCGATACCGCTCCCGAGTTACCTGCTTTCGACACGCCCGACGAGAGCACCACATTGCCGCTAGCATGAGTCGCACCCGAGGCAGCGCTAGAGATGCTTACATCGCCGCTTGAAGCGTCGGTGCCGCTGCCACTAGCGATAAGCACGCTTCCGCCGATACTGGTCGATCCGGACCCGCCATTCAGCGCCACATTGCCTCCCCTTGTAGTACCCGTTCCGCCTGCCAAACTGACCAGGCCTCCCGCGCCGGCACTGCTATCTCCGCCGCGCACACCGACCGACCCACTATCAATGGCATCGCCACTGCCAACGGACACGAGGATCGAGCCGCCCTTACCGCTCCTAGCACCCGAAGTCAAGATGGAGATTCCGCCCGATGAACCGCTCTTCGAAATGCCACTTGACATCGTCACGCTGCCGCTCGTCTGAGCAGAGCCCGAACCCGCCGTGGACACCACCACATCGCCGCTCGTCGCCGTGGTCCCATTGCCGCTGGTAATGCGCACGCTGCCACCAAGTGACGAATCGCCCACACCGCCTGTCAACGTCAAGTCGCCACCTGTCGCGGTACCAGCTCCGCCGCGAACTGCCACCACGCCTCCCTTGCCGCTCACAGCCCTGCTTTGACCGCCGTCCACGCTCACGGAGCCTCCTGTAGCCGCGTCGCCCGAGCCCACGCTCAGAGAGATCGACCCGCTTGCGCCGCCCGTCGAAGCACCCGTCGAGACCGACACCGATCCGGAGCTACCACCGCTCGACGCGCCCGACGACAGCCGCACCGCACCGCTCGTGCTCGTCAGCGCCGTTCCCGATGCCGCGCTCGACACGGCCACATCACCGCTCGTCGCACTGTCCCCGCTGCCGCTAGAGATCAGGACGCTGCCGCCAAGGGCCGACGTACCAGATCCCGCGGACAGCTGCACGTTGCCGCCCGTAGCGGTGCCGTTGCCACCCTGCACCGACACTCGCCCGCCGACGCCCTGCTGGTTCACGCTCGTGCCGCCACCGATCTGCACGTCGCCTCCGACGGCAGCGTCTCCCGAGCCCACACGCACGATGATCGACCCGCTGGCACCGCCGTTCGTGCCGCCACTCGCCTTCGACGTCAAAAGCGACACGCTGCCGGAGTTACCGCCCAGCGACTCGCCGCTCGAGACCGTCACGGACCCGCTCACCTTGCCCGTGCCGGACTTGGCGCTAGCCATGGACACAGACCCACTGTTCGCACTCGCTCCGGAACCGCTCGAGATCACCACGCTGCCGCCCACGTCCGCTGAACCGACACCGCCGTTGATGTCCACCTCGCCGCCGGTCTTCACACCCGTTCCACCTAGCAGCACCACACGTCCGCCAGCGCTCACGCCGTTGCTGTCCGCCACGTTGCTGTCGCCGCTGCGCACAAGCACGTTGCCGCCCGCGTTAGAGTCGCCCGACCCCACCAGCAAGTCGATGTCCCCGGACGCACCCTTCGTCGCGCCCGACGTCACGATGTTGACCGCCCCGGAGTTGCCGCCCAGAGACACACCGGTCGACAACGAGATGGACCCACTGGCCTGGGCACCGCCCGTAGACAGCGAAATCCGGCCGCTCGTCAGAGCCGTGCCGGACTCCAAGCTCGAGATCAGCACGTCTCCGCTCGCCACATTCGTGCCGCCGCCACTTTGAACCGCTACATCACCACCTGCAGTCGAGGTTCCTGCGCCTCCGCTTACTTTGACAACGCCGCCCGTTTGGCCCTTTCCGCCGGAGACCTCCACCTTTCCGCCCACACCCGACGACGTGCTTGACGACGTGCCAGCAGACAGCGTGATCGCGCCGCTGGCTGCCTTGCCTCCGGCTCCCACGCGCATCGTGATATCACCGCCCTTGCCACTCGCGGAGCCATCCGACGTCGCCACCAACACAGAGCCAGAGTCTCCACTGCTTGCGATGCCGCTCGAGACCGTCACGCTGCCGCTCGTCTGAGCAGAGCCCGAACCCGCCGTGGACACCACCACATCGCCGCTCGTCGCCGTGGTCCCATTGCCGCTGGTAATGCGCACGCTGCCACCAAGTGACGAATCGCCCACACCGCCTGTCAACGTCAAGTCGCCACCTGTCGCGGTACCAGCTCCGCCGCGAACTGCCACCACGCCTCCCTTGCCGCTCACAGCCCTGCTTTGACCGCCGTCCACGCTCACGGAGCCTCCTGTAGCCGCGTCGCCCGAGCCCACGCTCAGAGAGATCGACCCGCTTGCGCCGCCCGTCGAAGCACCCGTCGAGACCGACACCGATCCGGAGCTACCACCGCTCGACGCGCCCGACGACAGCCGCACCGCACCGCTCGTGCTCGTCAGCGCCGTTCCCGATGCCGCGCTCGACACGGCCACATCACCGCTCGTCGCACTGTCCCCGCTGCCGCTAGAGATCAGGACGCTGCCGCCAAGGACCGACGTACCAGATCCCGCGGACAGCTGCACGTTGCCGCCCGTAGCGGTGCCGTTGCCACCCTGCACCGACACTCGCCCGCCGACGCCCTGCTGGTTCACGCTCGTGCCGCCACCGATCTGCACGTCGCCTCCGACGGCAGCGTCTCCCGAGCCCACACGCACGATGATCGACCCGCTGGCACCGCCGTTCGTGCCGCCACTCGCCTTCGACGTCAAAAGCGACACGCTGCCGGAGTTACCGCCCAGCGACTCGCCGCTCGAGACCGTCACGGACCCGCTCACCTTGCCCGTGCCGGACTTGGCGCTAGCCATGGACACAGACCCACTGTTCGCACTCGCTCCGGAACCGCTCGAGATCACCACGCTGCCGCCCACGTCCGCTGAACCGACACCGCCGTTGATGTCCACCTCGCCGCCGGTCTTCACACCCGTTCCACCTAGCAGCACCACACGTCCGCCAGCGCTCACGCCGTTGCTGTCCGCCACGTTGCTGTCGCCGCTGCGCACAAGCACGTTGCCGCCCGCGTTTGAGTCGCCCGACCCCACCAGCAAGTCGATGTCGCCCGCTGCGCCCTTCGTCGCGCCCGACGTCACGATGTTGACCGCCCCGGAGTTGCCGCCCAGAGACACACCGGTCGACAACGAGATGGACCCACTGGCCTGGGCGCCGCCCGTAGACAGCGAAATCCGGCCGCTCGTCAGAGCCGTGCCGGACTCCAAGCTCGAGATCAGCACGTCTCCGCTCGCCACGTTCGTGCCGCCGCCACTTTGAACGGCCACACCACCGCCAATTGTAGAGCTGCCACTACCGCCTGCAACCGAAATGGCCCCGCCTTGTTTGCTTGACCCAGCTTTCAGACTAATGGCTCCTCCTGTCCCGGTAGTATTGGTAGAAGTACCTGCCACAACGTTGATACCTCCGCCCGTATCAGCGTCGCCACTCCCAATGCGGATCTCGACGGAGCCGCCTTTTCCGCCCGTTGCATCCGATGTCGAAATCAATACCGCTCCCGAGTTACCTGCTTTCGACACGCCCGACGAGAGCACCACATTGCCGCTAGCATGAGTCGCACCCGAGGCAGCGCTAGAGATGCTTACATCGCCGCTTGAAGCGTCGGTGCCGCTGCCACTAGCAATAAGCACGCTTCCGCCGATACTAGTCGATCCGGACCCGCCATTCAGCGCCACATTGCCTCCCCTTGTAGTACCCGTTCCGCCTGTCAAACTGACCAGGCCTCCCGCGCCGGCACTGCTATCTCCGCCGCGCACACCGACCGACCCACTATCAATGGCATCGCCACTGCCAACGGACACGAGGATCGAGCCGCCCTTACCGCTCCTAGCACCCGAAGTCAAGATGGAGATTCCGCCCGATGAACCGCTCTTCGAAATGCCACTTGACATCGTCACGCTGCCGCTCGTCTGAGCAGAGCCCGAACCCGCCGTGGACACCACCACATCGCCGCTCGTCGCCGTGGTCCCATTGCCGCTGGTAATGCGCACGCTGCCACCAAGTGACGAATCGCCCACACCGCCTGTCAACGTCAAGTCGCCACCTGTCGCGGTACCAGCTCCGCCGCGAACTGCCACCACGCCTCCCTTGCCGTTCACAGCCCTGCTTTGACCGCCGTCCACGCTCACGGAGCCTCCTGTAGCCGCGTCGCCCGAGCCCACGCTCAGAGAGATCGACCCGCTTGCGCCGCCCGTCGAAGCACCCGTCGAGACCGACACCGATCCGGAGCTACCACCGCTCGACGCGCCCGACGACAGCCGCACCGCACCGCTCGTGCTCGTCAGCGCCGTTCCCGATGCCGCGCTCGACACGGCCACATCACCGCTCGTCGCACTGTCCCCGCTGCCGCTAGAGATCAGGACGCTGCCGCCAAGGACCGACGTACCAGATCCCGCGGACAGCTGCACGTTGCCGCCCGTAGCGGTGCCGTTGCCACCCTGCACCGACACTCGCCCGCCGACGCCCTGCTGGTTCACGCTCGTGCCGCCACCGATCTGCACGTCGCCTCCGACGGCAGCGTCTCCCGAGCCCACACGCACGATGATCGACCCGCTGGCACCGCCGTTCGTGCCGCCACTCGCCTTCGACGTCAAAAGCGACACGCTGCCGGAGTTACCGCCCAGCGACTCGCCGCTCGAGACCGTCACGGACCCGCTCACCTTGCCCGTGCCGGACTTGGCGCTAGCCATGGACACAGACCCACTGTTCGCACTCGCTCCGGAACCGCTCGAGATCACCACGCTGCCGCCCACGTCCGCTGAACCGACACCGCCGTTGATGTCCACCTCGCCGCCGGTCTTCACACCCGTTCCACCTAGCAGCACCACACGTCCGCCAGCGCTCACGCCGTTGCTGTCCGCCACGTTGCTGTCGCCGCTGCGCACAAGCACGTTGCCGCCCGCGTTTGAGTCGCCCGACCCCACCAGCAAGTCGATGTCGCCCGCTGCGCCCTTCGTCGCGCCCGACGTCACGATGTTGACCGCCCCGGAGTTGCCGCCCAGAGACACACCGGTCGACAACGAGATGGACCCACTGGCCTGGGCGCCGCCCGTAGACAACGAAATCCGGCCGCTCGTCAGAGCCGTGCCGGACTCCAAGCTCGAGATCAGCACGTCTCCGCTCGCCACGTTCGTGCCGCCGCCACTTTGAACGGCCACACCACCGCCAATTGTAGAGCTGCCACTACCGCCTGCAACCGAAATGGCCCCGCCTTGTTTGCTTGACCCAGCTTTCAGACTAATGGCTCCTCCTGTCCCGGTAGTATTGGTAGAAGTACCTGCCACAACGTTGATACCTCCGCCCGTATCAGCGTCGCCACTCCCAATGCGGATCTCGACGGAGCCGCCTTTTCCGCCCGTTGCATCCGATGTCGAAATCAATACCGCTCCCGAGTTACCTGCTTTCGACACGCCCGACGAGAGCACCACATTGCCGCTAGCATGAGTCGCACCCGAGGCAGCGCTAGAGATGCTTACATCGCCGCTTGAAGCGTCGGTGCCGCTGCCACTAGCAATAAGCACGCTTCCGCCGATACTAGTCGATCCGGACCCGCCATTCAGCGCCACATTGCCTCCCCTTGTAGTACCCGTTCCGCCTGTCAAACTGACCAGGCCTCCCGCGCCGGCACTGCTATCTCCGCCGCGCACACCGACCGACCCACTATCAATGGCATCGCCACTGCCAACGGACACGAGGATCGAGCGTGGTGGCAGTTCGCGGCGGAGCTGGTACCGCGACAGGTGGCGACTTGACGTTGACAGGCGGTGTGGGCGATTCGTCACTTGGTGGCAGCGTGCGTATTACCAGCGGCAATGGGACCACGGCGACGAGCGGCGATGTGGTGGTGTCCACGGCGGGTTCGGGCTCTGCTCAGACGAGCGGCAGCGTGACGGTCTCGAGCGGCATCGCAAGCAGTGGAGACTCTGGCTCTGTGTTGGTAGCGACGTCGGATGGCTCTGCGAGTGGCAAGGGCGGTGATATCACGATGCGCGTGGGAGCCGGAGGCAAGGCAGCCAGCGGCGCGATCACGCTGTCTGCTGGCACGTCGTCAAGCACGTCGTCGGGTGTGGGCGGAAAGGTGGAGGTCTCCGGCGGAAAGGGCCAAACGGGCGGCGTTGTCAAAGTAAGCGGAGGCGCAGGAACCTCGACTGCAGGTGGTGATGTAGCGGTTCAAAGTGGCGGCGGCACGAATGTGGCGAGCGGAGACGTGCTGATCTCGAGCTTGGAGTCCGGCACGGCTCTGACGAGCGGCCGGATTTCGTTGTCTACGGGCGGCGCCCAGGCCAGTGGGTCCATCTCGTTGTCGACCGGTGTGTCTCTGGGCGGCAACTCCGGGGCGGTCAACATCGTGACGTCGGGCGCGACGAAGGGCGCAGCGGGCGACATCGACTTGCTGGTGGGGTCGGGCGACTCGAACGCGGGCGGCAACGTGCTTGTGCGCAGCGGCGACAGCAACGTGGCGGACAGCAACGGCGTGAGCGCTGGCGGACGTGTGGTGCTGCTAGGTGGAACGGGTGTGAAGACCGGCGGCGAGGTGGACATCAACGGCGGTGTCGGTTCAGCGGACGTGGGCGGCAGCGTGGTGATCTCGAGCGGTTCCGGAGCGAGTGCGAACAGTGGGTCTGTGTCCATGGCTAGCGCCAAGTCCGGCACGGGCAAAGTGAGCGGGTCCGTGACGGTCTCGAGCGGCGAGTCGCTGGGCGGTAACTCCGGCAGCGTGTCGCTTTTGACGTCGAAGGCGAGTGGCGGCACGAACGGCGGTGCCAGCGGGTCGATCATCGTGCGTGTGGGCTCGGGAGACGCTGCCGTCGGAGGCGACGTGCAGATCGGTGGCGGCACGAGCGTGAACCAGCAGGGCGTCGGCGGGCGAGTGTCGGTGCAGGGTGGCAACGGCACCGCTACGGGCGGCAACGTGCAGCTGTCCGCGGGATCTGGTACGTCGGCCCTTGGCGGCAGCGTCCTGATCTCTAGCGGCAGCGGGGACAGTGCGACGAGCGGTGATGTGGCCGTGTCGAGCGCGGTATCGGGAACGGCGCTGACGAGCACGAGCGGGTCGGTGCGGCTGTCGTCGGGCGCGTCGAGCGGTGGTAGCTCCGGATCGGTGTCGGTCTCGACGGGTGCTTCGACGGGCGGCGCAAGCGGGTCGATCTCTCTGAGCGTGGGCTCGGGCGACGCGGCTACAGGAGGCTCCGTGAGCGTGGACGGCGGTCAAAGCAGGGCTGTGAGCGGCAAGGGAGGCGTGGTGGCAGTTCGCGGCGGAGCTGGTACCGCGACAGGTGGCGACTTGACGTTGACAGGTGGTGTTGGCGATTCGTCACTTGGTGGCAGCGTGCGCATTACCAGTGGCAATGGGACCACGGCGACGAGCGGCGATGTGGTGGTGTCCACGGCGGGTTCGGGCCCTGCTCAGACGAGCGGCAGCGTGACGATGTCAAGTGGCATTTCGAAGAGCGGTCCATCGGGCGGAGTCTCCATCTTGACTTCGGGTGCTACGAGCGGTAAGGGCGGCTCGATCCTCGTGTCCGTTGGCAGTGGCGATGCCATTGATAGTGGGTCGGTCAGTGTGCGCGGCGGAGATAGCAGTGCCGGCGCGGGAGGCCTGGTCAGTTTGACAGGCGGAACGGGTATTACAAGGGGAGGCAATTTGGCGCTGAATGGCGGGTCCGGATCGACTAGTATCGGCGGAAGCGTGCTTATTGCTAGTGGCAGCGGCACCGACGCTTCAAGCGGCGATGTAAGCATCTCTAGCGCTGCCTCGGGTGCGACTCATGCTAGCGGCAATGTGGTGCTCTCGTCGGGCGTGTCGAAAGCAGGTAACTCGGGAGCGGTATCGATTTCGACATCGGATGCAACGGGCGGAAAAGGCGGCTCCGTCGAGATCCGCATTGGGAGTGGCGACGCTGATACGGGCGGAGGTATCAACGTTGTGGCAGGTACTTCTACCAATACTACCGGGACAGGAGGAGCCATTAGTCTGAAAGCTGGGTCAAGCAAACAAGGCGGGGCCATTTCGGTTGCAGGCGGTAGTGGCAGCTCTACAATTGGCGGTGGTGTGGCCGTTCAAAGTGGCGGCGGCACGAACGTGGCGAGCGGAGACGTGCTGATCTCGAGCTTGGAGTCCGGCACGGCTCTGACGAGCGGCCGGATTTCGTTGTCTACGGGCGGTGCCCAGGCCAGTGGGTCCATCTCGTTGTCGACCGGTGTGTCTCTGGGCGGCAACTCCGGGGCGGTCAACATCGTGACGTCGGGCGCGACGAAGGGTGCGTCCGGGGACATCGACTTGCTGGTGGGGTCGGGCGACTCAAACGCGGGCGGCAACGTGCTTGTGCGCAGCGGCGACAGCAACGTGGCGGACAGCAACGGCGTGAGCGCTGGCGGACGTGTGGTGCTGCTAGGTGGAACGGGTGTGAAGACCGGCGGCGAGGTGGACATCAACGGCGGTGTCGGTTCAGCGGACGTGGGCGGCAGCGTGGTGATCTCGAGCGGTTCCGGAGCGAGTGCGAACAGTGGGTCTGTGTCCATGGCTAGCGCCAAGTCCGGCACGGGCAAAGTGAGCGGGTCCGTGACGGTCTCGAGCGGCGAGTCGCTGGGCGGTAACTCCGGCAGCGTGTCGCTTTTGACGTCGAAGGCGAGTGGCGGCACGAACGGCGGTGCCAGCGGGTCGATCATCGTGCGTGTGGGCTCGGGAGACGCTGCCGTCGGAGGCGACGTGCAGATCGGTGGCGGCACGAGCGTGAACCAGCAGGGCGTCGGCGGGCGAGTGTCGGTGCAGGGTGGCAACGGCACCGCTACGGGCGGCAACGTGCAGCTGTCCGCGGGATCTGGTACGTCGGTCCTTGGCGGCAGCGTCCTGATCTCTAGCGGCAGCGGGGGCAGTGCGACGAGCGGTGATGTGGCCGTGTCGAGCGCGGCATCGGGAACGGCGCTGACGAGCACGAGCGGGTCGGTGCGGCTGTCGTCGGGCGCGTCGAGCGGTGGTAGCTCCGGATCGGTGTCGGTCTCGACGGGTGCTTCGACGGGCGGCGCAAGCGGGTCGATCTCTCTGAGCGTGGGCTCGGGCGACGCGGCTACAGGAGGCTCCGTGAGCGTGGACGGCGGTCAAAGCAGGGCTGTGAGCGGCAAGGGAGGCGTGGTGGCAGTTCGCGGCGGAGCTGGTACCGCGACAGGTGGCGACTTGACGTTGACAGGCGGTGTGGGCGATTCGTCACTTGGTGGCAGCGTGCGTATTACCAGCGGCAATGGGACCACGGCGACGAGCGGCGATGTGGTGGTGTCCACGGCGGGTTCGGGCTCTGCTCAGACGAGCGGCAGCGTGACGGTCTCGAGCGGCATCGCAAGCAGTGGAGACTCTGGCTCTGTGTTGGTAGCGACGTCGGATGGCTCTGCGAGTGGCAAGGGCGGTGATATCACGATGCGCGTGGGAGCCGGAGGCAAGGCAGCCAGCGGCGCGATCACGCTGTCTGCTGGCACGTCGTCAAGCACGTCGTCGGGTGTGGGCGGAAAGGTGGAGGTCTCCGGCGGAAAGGGCCAAACGGGCGGCGTTGTCAAAGTAAGCGGAGGCGCAGGAACCTCGACTGCAGGTGGTGATGTAGCGGTTCAAAGTGGCGGCGGCACGAACGTGGCGAGCGGAGACGTGCTGATCTCGAGCTTGGAGTCCGGCACGGCTCTGACGAGCGGCCGGATTTCGTTGTCTACGGGCGGCGCCCAGGCCAGTGGGTCCATCTCGTTGTCGACCGGTGTGTCTCTGGGCGGCAACTCCGGGGCGGTCAACATCGTGACGTCGGGCGCGACGAAGGGTGCGTCCGGGGACATCGACTTGCTGGTGGGGTCGGGCGACTCAAACGCGGGCGGCAACGTGCTTGTGCGCAGCGGCGACAGCAACGTGGCGGACAGCAACGGCGTGAGCGCTGGCGGACGTGTGGTGCTGCTAGGTGGAACGGGTGTGAAGACCGGCGGCGAGGTGGACATCAACGGCGGTGTCGGTTCAGCGGACGTGGGCGGCAGCGTGGTGATCTCGAGCGGTTCCGGAGCGAGTGCGAACAGTGGGTCTGTGTCCATGGCTAGCGCCAAGTCCGGCACGGGCAAAGTGAGCGGGTCCGTGACGGTCTCGAGCGGCGAGTCGCTGGGCGGTAACTCCGGCAGCGTGTCGCTTTTGACGTCGAAGGCGAGTGGCGGCACGAACGGCGGTGCCAGCGGGTCGATCATCGTGCGTGTGGGCTCGGGAGACGCTGCCGTCGGAGGCGACGTGCAGATCGGTGGCGGCACGAGCGTGAACCAGCAGGGCGTCGGTGGGCGAGTGTCGGTGCAGGGTGGCAACGGCACCGCTACGGGCGGCAACGTGCAGCTGTCCGCGGGATCTGGTACGTCGGTCCTTGGCGGCAGCGTCCTGATCTCTAGCGGCAGCGGGGACAGTGCGACGAGCGGTGATGTGGCCGTGTCGAGCGCGGCATCGGGAACGGCGCTGACGAGCACGAGCGGTGCGGTGCGGCTGTCGTCGGGCGCGTCGAGCGGTGGTAGCTCCGGATCGGTGTCGGTCTCGACGGGTGCTTCGACGGGCGGCGCAAGCGGGTCGATCTCTCTGAGCGTGGGCTCGGGCGACGCGGCTACAGGAGGCTCCGTGAGCGTGGACGGCGGTCAAAGCAGGGCTGTGAGCGGCAAGGGAGGCGTGGTGGCAGTTCGCGGCGGAGCTGGTACCGCGACAGGTGGCGACTTGACGTTGACAGGCGGTGTGGGCGATTCGTCACTTGGTGGCAGCGTGCGCATTACCAGCGGCAATGGGACCACGGCGACGAGCGGCGATGTGGTGGTGTCCACGGCGGGTTCGGGCTCTGCTCAGACGAGCGGCAGCGTGACGGTCTCGAGCGGCATCGCAAGCGGTGGAGACTCTGGCTCTGTGTTGGTGGCGACGTCGGATGGCTCCGCGAGTGGCAAGGGCGGTGATATCACGATGCGCGTGGGAGCCGGAGGCAAGGCAGCCAGCGGCGCGATCACGCTGTCTGCTGGCACGTCGTCAAGCACGTCGTCGGGTGTGGGCGGAAAGGTGGAGGTCTCCGGCGGAAAGGGCCAAACGGGCGGCGTTGTCAAAGTAAGCGGAGGCGCAGGAACCTCGACTGCAGGTGGTGATGTAGCGGTTCAAAGTGGCGGCGGCACGAACGTGGCGAGCGGAGACGTGCTGATCTCGAGCTTGGAGTCCGGCACGGCTCTGACGAGCGGCCGGATTTCGTTGTCTACGGGCGGCGCCCAGGCCAGTGGGTCCATCTCGTTGTCGACCGGTGTGTCTCTGGGCGGCAACTCCGGGGCGGTCAACATCGTGACGTCGGGCGCGACGAAGGGTGCGTCCGGGGACATCGACTTGCTGGTGGGGTCGGGCGACTCAAACGCGGGCGGCAACGTGCTTGTGCGCAGCGGCGACAGCAACGTGGCGGACAGCAACGGCGTGAGCGCTGGCGGACGTGTGGTGCTGCTAGGTGGAACGGGTGTGAAGACCGGCGGCGAGGTGGACATCAACGGCGGTGTCGGTTCAGCGGACGTGGGCGGCAGCGTGGTGATCTCGAGCGGTTCCGGAGCGAGTGCGAACAGTGGGTCTGTGTCCATGGCTAGCGCCAAGTCCGGCACGGGCAAAGTGAGCGGGTCCGTGACGGTCTCGAGCGGCGAGTCGCTGGGCGGTAACTCCGGCAGCGTGTCGCTTTTGACGTCGAAGGCGAGTGGCGGCACGAACGGCGGTGCCAGCGGGTCGATCATCGTGCGTGTGGGCTCGGGAGACGCTGCCGTCGGAGGCGACGTGCAGATCGGTGGCGGCACGAGCGTGAACCAGCAGGGCGTCGGCGGGCGAGTGTCGGTGCAGGGTGGCAACGGCACCGCTACGGGCGGCAACGTGCAGCTGTCCGCGGGATCTGGTACGTCGGTCCTTGGCGGCAGCGTCCTGATCTCTAGCGGCAGCGGGGACAGTGCGACGAGCGGTGATGTGGCCGTGTCGAGCGCGGCATCGGGAACGGCGCTGACGAGCACGAGCGGTGCGGTGCGGCTGTCGTCGGGCGCGTCGAGCGGTGGTAGCTCCGGATCGGTGTCGGTCTCGACGGGTGCTTCGACGGGCGGCGCAAGCGGGTCGATCTCTCTGAGCGTGGGCTCGGGCGACGCGGCTACAGGAGGCTCCGTGAGCGTGGACGGCGGTCAAAGCAGGGCTGTGAGCGGCAAGGGAGGCGTGGTGGCAGTTCGCGGCGGAGCTGGTACCGCGACAGGTGGCGACTTGACGTTGACAGGCGGTGTGGGCGATTCGTCACTTGGTGGCAGCGTGCGCATTACCAGCGGCAATGGGACCACGGCGACGAGCGGCGATGTGGTGGTGTCCACGGCGGGTTCGGGCTCTGCTCAGACGAGCGGCAGCGTGACGATGTCAAGCGGCATCGCAAGCAGTGGAGACTCTGGCTCTGTGTTGGTGGCGACGTCGGATGGCTCTGCGAGTGGCAAGGGCGGTGATATCACGATGCGCGTGGGAGCCGGAGGCAAGGCAGCCAGCGGCGCGATCACGCTGTCTGCTGGCACGTCGTCAAGCACGTCGTCGGGTGTGGGCGGAAAGGTGGAGGTCTCCGGCGGAAAGGGCCAAACGGGCGGCGTTGTCAAAGTAAGCGGAGGCGCAGGAACCTCGACTGCAGGTGGTGATGTAGCGGTTCAAAGTGGCGGCGGCACGAATGTGGCGAGCGGAGACGTGCTGATCTCGAGCTTGGAGTCCGGCACGGCTCTGACGAGCGGCCGGATTTCGTTGTCTACGGGCGGCGCCCAGGCCAGTGGGTCCATCTCGTTGTCGACCGGTGTGTCTCTGGGCGGCAACTCCGGGGCGGTCAACATCGTGACGTCGGGCGCGACGAAGGGTGCGTCCGGGGACATCGACTTGCTGGTGGGGTCGGGCGACTCAAACGCGGGCGGCAACGTGCTTGTGCGCAGCGGCGACAGCAACGTGGCGGACAGCAACGGCGTGAGCGCTGGCGGACGTGTGGTGCTGCTAGGTGGAACGGGTGTGAAGACCGGCGGCGAGGTGGACATCAACGGCGGTGTCGGTTCAGCGGACGTGGGCGGCAGCGTGGTGATCTCGAGCGGTTCCGGAGCGAGTGCGAACAGTGGGTCTGTGTCCATGGCTAGCGCCAAGTCCGGCACGGGCAAAGTGAGCGGGTCCGTGACGGTCTCGAGCGGCGAGTCGCTGGGCGGTAACTCCGGCAGCGTGTCGCTTTTGACGTCGAAGGCGAGTGGCGGCACGAACGGCGGTGCCAGCGGGTCGATCATCGTGCGTGTGGGCTCGGGAGACGCTGCCGTCGGAGGCGACGTGCAGATCGGTGGCGGCACGAGCGTGAACCAGCAGGGCGTCGGCGGGCGAGTGTCGGTGCAGGGTGGCAACGGCACCGCTACGGGCGGCAACGTGCAGCTGTCCGCGGGATCTGGTACGTCGGTCCTTGGCGGCAGCGTCCTGATCTCTAGCGGCAGCGGGGACAGTGCGACGAGCGGTGATGTGGCCGTGTCGAGCGCGGCATCGGGAACGGCGCTGACGAGCACGAGCGGTGCGGTGCGGCTGTCGTCGGGCGCGTCGAGCGGTGGTAGCTCCGGATCGGTGTCGGTCTCGACGGGTGCTTCGACGGGCGGCGCAAGCGGGTCGATCTCTCTGAGCGTGGGCTCGGGCGACGCGGCTACAGGAGGCTCCGTGAGCGTGGACGGCGGTCAAAGCAGGGCTGTGAGCGGCAAGGGAGGCGTGGTGGCAGTTCGCGGCGGAGCTGGTACCGCGACAGGTGGCGACTTGACGTTGACAGGCGGTGTGGGCGATTCGTCACTTGGTGGCAGCGTGCGCATTACCAGTGGCAATGGGACCACGGCGACGAGCGGCGATGTGGTGGTGTCCACGGCGGGTTCGGGCCCTGCTCAGACGAGCGGCAGCGTGACGATGTCAAGTGGCATTTCGAAGAGCGGTCCATCGGGCGGAGTCTCCATCTTGACTTCGGGTGCTACGAGCGGTAAGGGCGGCTCGATCCTCGTGTCCGTTGGCAGTGGCGATGCCATTGATAGTGGGTCGGTCAGTGTGCGCGGCGGAGATAGCAGTGCCGGCGCGGGAGGCCTGGTCAGTTTGACAGGCGGAACGGGTATTACAAGGGGAGGCAATTTGGCGCTGAATGGCGGGTCCGGATCGACTAGTATCGGCGGAAGCGTGCTTATTGCTAGTGGCAGCGGCACCGACGCTTCAAGCGGCGATGTAAGCATCTCTAGCGCTGCCTCGGGTGCGACTCATGCTAGCGGCAATGTGGTGCTCTCGTCGGGCGTGTCGAAAGCAGGTAACTCGGGAGCGGTATCGATTTCGACATCGGATGCAACGGGCGGAAAAGGCGGCTCCGTCGAGATCCGCATTGGGAGTGGCGACGCTGATACGGGCGGAGGTATCAACGTTGTGGCAGGTACTTCTACCAATACTACCGGGACAGGAGGAGCCATTAGTCTGAAAGCTGGGTCAAGCAAACAAGGCGGGGCCATTTCGGTTGCAGGCGGTAGTGGCAGCTCTACAATTGGCGGTGGTGTGGCCGTTCAAAGTGGCGGCGGCACGAACGTGGCGAGCGGAGACGTGCTGATCTCGAGCTTGGAGTCCGGCACGGCTCTGACGAGCGGCCGGATTTCGTTGTCTACGGGCGGTGCCCAGGCCAGTGGGTCCATCTCGTTGTCGACCGGTGTGTCTCTGGGCGGCAACTCCGGGGCGGTCAACATCGTGACGTCGGGCGCGACGAAGGGTGCGTCCGGGGACATCGACTTGCTGGTGGGGTCGGGCGACTCAAACGCGGGCGGCAACGTGCTTGTGCGCAGCGGCGACAGCAACGTGGCGGACAGCAACGGCGTGAGCGCTGGCGGACGTGTGGTGCTGCTAGGTGGAACGGGTGTGAAGACCGGCGGCGAGGTGGACATCAACGGCGGTGTCGGTTCAGCAGACGTGGGCGGCAGCGTGGTGATCTCGAGCGGTTCCGGAGCGAGTGCGAACAGTGGGTCTGTGTCCATGGCTAGCGCCAAGTCCGGCACGGGCAAGGTGAGCGGGTCCGTGACGGTCTCGAGCGGCGAGTCGCTGGGCGGTAACTCCGGCAGCGTGTCGCTTTTGACGTCGAAGGCGAGTGGCGGCACGAACGGCGGTGCCAGCGGGTCGATCATCGTGCGTGTGGGCTCGGGAGACGCTGCCGTCGGAGGCGACGTGCAGATCGGTGGCGGCACGAGCGTGAACCAGCAGGGCGTCGGTGGGCGAGTGTCGGTGCAGGGTGGCAACGGCACCGCTACGGGCGGCAACGTGCAGCTGTCCGCGGGATCTGGTACGTCGGTCCTTGGCGGCAGCGTCCTGATCTCTAGCGGCAGCGGGGACAGTGCGACGAGCGGTGATGTGGCCGTGTCGAGCGCGGCATCGGGAACGGCGCTGACGAGCACGAGCGGTGCGGTGCGGCTGTCGTCGGGCGCGTCGAGCGGTGGTAGCTCCGGATCGGTGTCGGTCTCGACGGGTGCTTCGACGGGCGGCGCAAGCGGGTCGATCTCTCTGAGCGTGGGCTCGGGCGACGCGGCTACAGGAGGCTCCGTGAGCGTGGACGGCGGTCAAAGCAGGGCTGTGAGCGGCAAGGGAGGCGTGGTGGCAGTTCGCGGCGGAGCTGGTACCGCGACAGGTGGCGACTTGACGTTGACAGGCGGTGTGGGCGATTCGTCACTTGGTGGCAGCGTGCGCATTACCAGCGGCAATGGGACCACGGCGACGAGCGGCGATGTGGTGGTGTCCACGGCGGGTTCGGGCTCTGCTCAGACGAGCGGCAGCGTGACGGTCTCGAGCGGCATCGCAAGCGGTGGAGACTCTGGCTCTGTGTTGGTGGCGACGTCGGATGGCTCCGCGAGTGGCAAGGGCGGTGATATCACGATGCGCGTGGGAGCCGGAGGCAAGGCAGCCAGCGGCGCGATCACGCTGTCTGCTGGCACGTCGTCAAGCACGTCGTCGGGTGTGGGCGGAAAGGTGGAGGTCTCCGGCGGAAAGGGCCAAACGGGCGGCGTTGTCAAAGTAAGCGGAGGCGCAGGAACCTCGACTGCAGGTGGTGATGTAGCGGTTCAAAGTGGCGGCGGCACGAATGTGGCGAGCGGAGACGTGCTGATCTCGAGCTTGGAGTCCGGCACGGCTCTGACGAGCGGCCGGATTTCGTTGTCTACGGGCGGCGCCCAGGCCAGTGGGTCCATCTCGTTGTCGACCGGTGTGTCTCTGGGCGGCAACTCCGGGGCGGTCAACATCGTGACGTCGGGCGCGACGAAGGGTGCGTCCGGGGACATCGACTTGCTGGTGGGGTCGGGCGACTCAAACGCGGGCGGCAACGTGCTTGTGCGCAGCGGCGACAGCAACGTGGCGGACAGCAACGGCGTGAGCGCTGGCGGACGTGTGGTGCTGCTAGGTGGAACGGGTGTGAAGACCGGCGGCGAGGTGGACATCAACGGCGGTGTCGGTTCAGCGGACGTGGGCGGCAGCGTGGTGATTTCGAGCGGTTCCGGAGCGAGTGCGAACAGTGGGTCTGTGTCCATGGCTAGCGCCAAGTCCGGCACGGGCAAGGTGAGCGGGTCCGTGACGGTCTCGAGCGGCGAGTCGCTGGGCGGTAACTCCGGCAGCGTGTCGCTTTTGACGTCGAAGGCGAGTGGCGGCACGAACGGCGGTGCCAGCGGGTCGATCATCGTGCGTGTGGGCTCGGGAGACGCTGCCGTCGGAGGCGACGTGCAGATCGGTGGCGGCACGAGCGTGAACCAGCAGGGCGTCGGTGGGCGAGTGTCGGTGCAGGGTGGCAACGGCACCGCTACGGGCGGCAACGTGCAGCTGTCCGCGGGATCTGGTACGTCGGTCCTTGGCGGCAGCGTCCTGATCTCTAGCGGCAGCGGGGACAGTGCGACGAGCGGTGATGTGGCCGTGTCGAGCGCGGCATCGGGAACGGCGCTGACGAGCACGAGCGGTGCGGTGCGGCTGTCGTCGGGCGCGTCGAGCGGTGGTAGCTCCGGATCGGTGTCGGTCTCGACGGGTGCTTCGACGGGCGGCGCAAGCGGGTCGATCTCTCTGAGCGTGGGCTCGGGCGACGCGGCTACAGGAGGCTCCGTGAGCGTGGACGGCGGTCAAAGCAGGGCTGTGAGCGGCAAGGGAGGCGTGGTGGCAGTTCGCGGCGGAGCTGGTACCGCGACAGGTGGCGACTTGACGTTGACAGGCGGTGTGGGCGATTCGTCACTTGGTGGCAGCGTGCGCATTACCAGCGGCAATGGGACCACGGCGACGAGTGGCGATGTGGTGGTGTCCACGGCGGGTTCGGGCCCTGCTCAGACGAGCGGCAGCGTGACGATGTCAAGTGGCATTTCGAAGAGCGGTCCATCGGGCGGAGTCTCCATCTTGACTTCGGGTGCTACGAGCGGTAAGGGCGGCTCGATCCTCGTGTCCGTTGGCAGTGGCGATGCCATTGATAGTGGGTCGGTCAGTGTGCGCGGCGGAGATAGCAGTGCCGGCGCGGGAGGCCTGGTCAGTTTGACAGGCGGAACGGGTATTACAAGGGGAGGCAATTTGGCGCTGAATGGCGGGTCCGGATCGGCCAGTATCGGCGGAAGCGTGCTTATTGCTAGTGGCAGCGGCACCGACGCTTCAAGCGGCGATGTAAGCATCTCTAGCGCTGCCTCGGGTGCGACTCATGCTAGCGGCAATGTGGTGCTCTCGTCGGGCGTGTCGAAAGCAGGTAACTCGGGAGCGGTATCGATTTCGACATCGGATGCAACGGGCGGAAAAGGCGGCTCCGTCGAGATCCGCATTGGGAGTGGCGACGCTGATACGGGCGGAGGTATCAACGTTGTGGCAGGTACTTCTACCAATACTACCGGGACAGGAGGAGCCATTAGTCTGAAAGCTGGGTCAAGCAAACAAGGCGGGGCCATTTCGGTTGCAGGCGGTAGTGGCAGCTCTACAATTGGCGGTGGTGTGGCCGTTCAAAGTGGCGGCGGCACGAACGTGGCGAGCGGAGACGTGCTGATCTCGAGCTTGGAGTCCGGCACAGCTCCGACGAGCGGCCGGATTTCGTTGTCTACGGGCGGCGCCCAGGCCAGTGGGTCCATCTCGTTGTCGACCGGTGTGTCTCTGGGCGGCAACTCCGGGGCGGTCAACATCGTGACGTCGGGCGCGACGAAGGGTGCGTCCGGGGACATCGACTTGCTGGTGGGGTCGGGCGACTCAAACGCGGGCGGCAACGTGCTTGTGCGCAGCGGCGACAGCAACGTGGCGGACAGCAACGGCGTGAGCGCTGGCGGACGTGTGGTGCTGCTAGGTGGAACGGGTGTGAAGACCGGCGGCGAGGTGGACATCAACGGCGGTGTCGGTTCAGCGGACGTGGGCGGCAGCGTGGTGATCTCGAGCGGTTCCGGAGCGAGTGCGAACAGTGGGTCTGTGTCCATGGCTAGCGCCAAGTCCGGCACGGGCAAAGTGAGCGGGTCCGTGACGGTCTCGAGCGGCGAGTCGCTGGGCGGTAACTCCGGCAGCGTGTCGCTTTTGACGTCGAAGGCGAGTGGCGGCACGAACGGCGGTGCCAGCGGGTCGATCATCGTGCGTGTGGGCTCGGGAGACGCTGCCGTCGGAGGCGACGTGCAGATCGGTGGCGGCACGAGCGTGAACCAGCAGGGCGTCGGTGGGCGAGTGTCGGTGCAGGGTGGCAACGGCACCGCTACGGGCGGCAACGTGCAGCTGTCCGCGGGATCTGGTACGTCGGTCCTTGGCGGCAGCGTCCTGATCTCTAGCGGCAGCGGGGACAGTGCGACGAGCGGTGATGTGGCCGTGTCGAGCGCGGCATCGGGAACGGCGCTGACGAGCACGAGCGGGTCGGTGCGGCTGTCGTCGGGCGCGTCGAGCGGTGGTAGCTCCGGATCGGTGTCGGTCTCGACGGGTGCTTCGACGGGCGGCGCAAGCGGGTCGATCTCTCTGAGCGTGGGCTCGGGCGACGCGGCTACAGGAGGCTCCGTGAGCGTGGACGGCGGTCAAAGCAGGGCTGTGAGCGGCAAGGGAGGCGTGGTGGCAGTTCGCGGCGGAGCTGGTACCGCGACAGGTGGCGACTTGACGTTGACAGGCGGTGTGGGCGATTCGTCACTTGGTGGCAGCGTGCGCATTACCAGTGGCAATGGGACCACGGCGACGAGCGGCGATGTGGTGGTGTCCACGGCGGGTTCGGGCTCTGCTCAGACGAGCGGCAGCGTGACGGTCTCGAGCGGCATCGCAAGCAGTGGAGACTCTGGCTCTGTGTTGGTGGCGACGTCGGATGGCTCCGCGAGTGGCAAGGGCGGTGATATCACGATGCGCGTGGGAGCCGGAGGCAAGGCAGCCAGCGGCGCGATCACGCTGTCTGCTGGCACGTCGTCAAGCACGTCGTCGGGTGTGGGCGGAAAGGTGGAGGTCTCCGGCGGAAAGGGCCAAACGGGCGGCGTTGTCAAAGTAAGCGGAGGCGCAGGAACCTCGACTGCAGGTGGTGATGTAGCGGTTCAAAGTGGCGGCGGCACGAATGTGGCGAGCGGAGACGTGCTGATCTCGAGCTTGGAGTCCGGCACGGCTCTGACGAGCGGCCGGATTTCGTTGTCTACGGGCGGCGCCCAGGCCAGTGGGTCCATCTCGTTGTCGACCGGTGTGTCTCTGGGCGGCAACTCCGGGGCGGTCAACATCGTGACGTCGGGCGCGACGAAGGGCGCAGCGGGCGACATCGACTTGCTGGTGGGGTCGGGCGACTCGAACGCGGGCGGCAACGTGCTTGTGCGCAGCGGCGACAGCAACGTGGCGGACAGCAACGGCGTGAGCGCTGGCGGACGTGTGGTGCTGCTAGGTGGAACGGGTGTGAAGACCGGCGGCGAGGTGGACATCAACGGCGGTGTCGGTTCAGCAGACGTGGGCGGCAGCGTGGTGATCTCGAGCGGTTCCGGAGCGAGTGCGAACAGTGGGTCTGTGTCCATGGCTAGCGCCAAGTCCGGCACGGGCAAAGTGAGCGGGTCCGTGACGGTCTCGAGCGGCGAGTCGCTGGGCGGTAACTCCGGCAGCGTGTCGCTTTTGACGTCGAAGGCGAGTGGCGGCACGAACGGCGGTGCCAGCGGGTCGATCATCGTGCGTGTGGGCTCGGGAGACGCTGCCGTCGGAGGCGACGTGCAGATCGGTGGCGGCACGAGCGTGAACCAGCAGGGCGTCGGCGGGCGAGTGTCGGTGCAGGGTGGCAACGGCACCGCTACGGGCGGCAACGTGCAGCTGTCCGCGGGATCTGGTACGTCGGTCCTTGGCGGCAGCGTCCTGATCTCTAGCGGCAGCGGGGGCAGTGCGACGAGCGGTGATGTGGCCGTGTCGAGCGCGGCATCGGGAACGGCGCTGACGAGCACGAGCGGGTCGGTGCGGCTGTCGTCGGGCGCGTCGAGCGGTGGTAGCTCCGGATCGGTGTCGGTCTCGACGGGTGCTTCGACGGGCGGCGCAAGCGGGTCGATCTCTCTGAGCGTGGGCTCGGGCGACGCGGCTACAGGAGGCTCCGTGAGCGTGGACGGCGGTCAAAGCAGGGCTGTGAGCGGCAAGGGAGGCGTGGTGGCAGTTCGCGGCGGAGCTGGTACCGCGACAGGTGGCGACTTGACGTTGACAGGCGGTGTGGGCGATTCGTCACTTGGTGGCAGCGTGCGCATTACCAGTGGCAATGGGACCACGGCGACGAGCGGCGATGTGGTGGTGTCCACGGCGGGTTCGGGCTCTGCTCAGACGAGCGGCAGCGTGATGATGTCAAGTGGCATTTCGAAGAGCGGTTCATCGGGCGGAATCTCCATCTTGACTTCGGGTGCTAGGAGCGGTAAGGGCGGCTCGATCCTCGTGTCCGTTGGCAGTGGCGATGCCATTGATAGTGGGTCGGTCGGTGTGCGCGGCGGAGATAGCAGTGCCGGCGCGGGAGGCCTGGTCAGTTTGACAGGCGGAACGGGTACTACAAGGGGAGGCAATGTGGCGCTGAATGGCGGGTCCGGATCGACTAGTATCGGCGGAAGCGTGCTTATTGCTAGTGGCAGCGGCACCGACGCTTCAAGCGGCGATGTAAGCATCTCTAGCGCTGCCTCGGGTGCGACTCATGCTAGCGGCAATGTGGTGCTCTCGTCGGGCGTGTCGAAAGCAGGTAACTCGGGAGCGGTATCGATTTCGACATCGGATGCAACGGGCGGAAAAGGCGGCTCCGTCGAGATCCGCATTGGGAGTGGCGACGCTGATACGGGCGGAGGTATCAACGTTGTGGCAGGTACTTCTACCAATACTACCGGGACAGGAGGAGCCATTAGTCTGAAAGCTGGGTCAAGCAAACAAGGCGGGGCCATTTCGGTTGCAGGCGGTAGTGGCAGCTCTACAATTGGCGGTGGTGTGGCCGTTCAAAGTGGCGGCGGCACGAACGTGGCGAGCGGAGACGTGCTGATCTCGAGCTTGGAGTCCGGCACGGCTCTGACGAGCGGCCGGATTTCGTTGTCTACGGGCGGCGCCCAGGCCAGTGGGTCCATCTCGTTGTCGACCGGTGTGTCTCTGGGCGGCAACTCCGGGGCGGTCAACATCGTGACGTCGGGCGCGACGAAGGGTGCGTCCGGGGACATCGACTTGCTGGTGGGGTCGGGCGACTCAAACGCGGGCGGCAACGTGCTTGTGCGCAGCGGCGACAGCAACGTGGCGGACAGCAACGGCGTGAGCGCTGGCGGACGTGTGGTGCTGCTAGGTGGAACGGGTGTGAAGACCGGCGGCGAGGTGGACATCAACGGCGGTGTCGGTTCAGCGGACGTGGGCGGCAGCGTGGTGATCTCGAGCGGTTCCGGAGCGAGTGCGAACAGTGGGTCTGTGTCCATGGCTAGCGCCAAGTCCGGCACGGGCAAAGTGAGCGGGTCCGTGACGGTCTCGAGCGGCGAGTCGCTGGGCGGTAACTCCGGCAGCGTGTCGCTTTTGACGTCGAAGGCGAGTGGCGGCACGAACGGCGGTGCCAGCGGGTCGATCATCGTGCGTGTGGGCTCGGGAGACGCTGCCGTCGGAGGCGACGTGCAGATCGGTGGCGGCACGAGCGTGAACCAGCAGGGTGTTGGTGGGCGAGTGTCGGTGCAGGGTGGCAACGGCACCGCTACGGGCGGCAACGTGCAGCTGTCCGCGGGATCTGGTACGTCGGTCCTTGGCGGCAGCGTCCTGATCTCTAGCGGCAGCGGGGACAGTGCGACGAGCGGTGATGTGGCCGTGTCGAGCGCGGCATCGGGAACGGCGCTGACGAGCACGAGCGGGTCGGTGCGGCTGTCGTCGGGCGCGTCGAGCGGTGGTAGCTCCGGATCGGTGTCGGTCTCGACGGGTGCTTCGACGGGCGGCGCAAGCGGGTCGATCTCTCTGAGCGTGGGCTCGGGCGACGCGGCTACAGGAGGCTCCGTGAGCGTGGACGGCGGTCAAAGCAGGGCTGTGAGCGGCAAGGGAGGCGTGGTGGCAGTTCGCGGCGGAGCTGGTACCGCGACAGGTGGCGACTTGACGTTGACAGGCGGTGTGGGCGATTCGTCACTTGGTGGCAGCGTGCGCATTACCAGCGGCAATGGGACCACGGCGACGAGTGGCGATGTGGTGGTGTCCACGGCGGGTTCGGGCTCTGCTCAGACGAGCGGCAGCGTGACGGTCTCGAGCGGCATCGCAAGCAGTGGAGACTCTGGCTCTGTGTTGGTGGCGACGTCGGATGGCTCTGCGAGTGGCAAGGGCGGTGATATCACGATGCGCGTGGGAGCCGGAGGCAAGGCAGCCAGCGGCGCGATCACGCTGTCTGCTGGCACGTCGTCAAGCACGTCGTCGGGTGTGGGCGGAAAGGTGGAGGTCTCCGGCGGAAAGGGCCAAACGGGCGGCGTTGTCAAAGTAAGCGGAGGCGCAGGAACCTCGACTGCAGGTGGTGATGTAGCGGTTCAAAGTGGCGGCGGCACGAACGTGGCGAGCGGAGACGTGCTGATCTCGAGCTTGGAGTCCGGCACGGCTCTGACGAGCGGCCGGATTTCGTTGTCTACGGGCGGCGCCCAGGCCAGTGGGTCCATCTCGTTGTCGACCGGTGTGTCTCTGGGCGGCAACTCCGGGGCGGTCAACATCGTGACGTCGGGCGCGACGAAGGGTGCGTCCGGGGACATCGACTTGCTGGTGGGGTCGGGCGACTCAAACGCGGGCGGCAACGTGCTTGTGCGCAGCGGCGACAGCAACGTGGCGGACAGCAACGGCGTGAGCGCTGGCGGACGTGTGGTGCTGCTAGGTGGAACGGGTGTGAAGACCGGCGGCGAGGTGGACATCAACGGCGGTGTCGGTTCAGCGGACGTGGGCGGCAGCGTGGTGATCTCGAGCGGTTCCGGAGCGAGTGCGAACAGTGGGTCTGTGTCCATGGCTAGCGCCAAGTCCGGCACGGGCAAAGTGAGCGGGTCCGTGACGGTCTCGAGCGGCGAGTCGCTGGGCGGTAACTCCGGCAGCGTGTCGCTTTTGACGTCGAAGGCGAGTGGCGGCACGAACGGCGGTGCCAGCGGGTCGATCATCGTGCGTGTGGGCTCGGGAGACGCTGCCGTCGGAGGCGACGTGCAGATCGGTGGCGGCACGAGCGTGAACCAGCAGGGCGTCGGCGGGCGAGTGTCGGTGCAGGGTGGCAACGGCACCGCTACGGGCGGCAACGTGCAGCTGTCCGCGGGATCTGGTACGTCGGTCCTTGGCGGCAGCGTCCTGATCTCTAGCGGCAGCGGGGGCAGTGCGACGAGCGGTGATGTGGCCGTGTCGAGCGCGGCATCGGGAACGGCGCTGACGAGCACGAGCGGGTCGGTGCGGCTGTCGTCGGGCGCGTCGAGCGGTGGTAGCTCCGGATCGGTGTCGGTCTCGACGGGTGCTTCGACGGGCGGCGCAAGCGGGTCGATCTCTCTGAGCGTGGGCTCGGGCGACGCGGCTACAGGAGGCTCCGTGAGCGTGGACGGCGGTCAAAGCAGGGCTGTGAGCGGCAAGGGAGGCGTGGTGGCAGTTCGCGGCGGAGCTGGTACCGCGACAGGTGGCGACTTGACGTTGACAGGCGGTGTGGGCGATTCGTCACTTGGTGGCAGCGTGCGCATTACCAGCGGCAATGGGACCACGGCGACGAGCGGCGATGTGGTGGTGTCCACGGCGGGTTCGGGCTCTGCTCAGACGAGCGGCAGCGTGACGGTCTCGAGCGGCATCGCAAGCAGTGGAGACTCTGGCTCTGTGTTGGTGGCGACGTCGGATGGCTCCGCGAGTGGCAAGGGCGGTGATATCACGATGCGCGTGGGAGCCGGAGGCAAGGCAGCCAGCGGCGCGATCACGCTGTCTGCTGGCACGTCGTCAAGCACGTCGTCGGGTGTGGGCGGAAAGGTGGAGGTCTCCGGCGGAAAGGGCCAAACGGGCGGCGTTGTCAAAGTAAGCGGAGGCGCAGGAACCTCGACTGCAGGTGGTGATGTAGCGGTTCAAAGTGGCGGCGGCACGAATGTGGCGAGCGGAGACGTGCTGATCTCGAGCTTGGAGTCCGGCACAGCTCTGACGAGCGGCCGGATTTCGTTGTCTACGGGCGGTGCCCAGGCCAGTGGGTCCATCTCGTTGTCGACCGGTGTGTCTCTGGGCGGCAACTCCGGGGCGGTCAACATCGTGACGTCGGGCGCGACGAAGGGTGCGTCCGGGGACATCGACTTGCTGGTGGGGTCGGGCGACTCAAACGCGGGCGGCAACGTGCTTGTGCGCAGCGGCGACAGCAACGTGGCGGACAGCAACGGCGTGAGCGCTGGCGGACGTGTGGTGCTGCTAGGTGGAACGGGTGTGAAGACCGGCGGCGAGGTGGACATCAACGGCGGTGTCGGTTCAGCGGACGTGGGCGGCAGCGTGGTGATCTCGAGCGGTTCCGGAGCGAGTGCGAACAGTGGGTCTGTGTCCATGGCTAGCGCCAAGTCCGGCACGGGCAAGGTGAGCGGGTCCGTGACGGTCTCGAGCGGCGAGTCGCTGGGCGGTAACTCCGGCAGCGTGTCGCTTTTGACGTCGAAGGCGAGTAGCGGCACGAACGGCGGTGCCAGCGGGTCGATCATCGTGCGTGTGGGCTCGGGAGACGCTGCCGTCGGAGGCGACGTGCAGATCGGTGGCGGCACGAGCGTGAACCAGCAGGGCGTCGGCGGGCGAGTGTCGGTGCAGGGTGGCAACGGCACCGCTACGGGCGGCAACGTGCAGCTGTCCGCGGGATCTGGTACGTCGGTCCTTGGCGGCAGCGTCCTGATCTCTAGCGGCAGCGGGGACAGTGCGACGAGCGGTGATGTGGCCGTGTCGAGCGCGGCATCGGGAACGGCGCTGACGAGCACGAGCGGTGCGGTGCGGCTGTCGTCGGGCGCGTCGAGCGGTGGTAGCTCCGGATCGGTGTCGGTCTCGACGGGTGCTTCGACGGGCGGCGCAAGCGGGTCGATCTCTCTGAGCGTGGGCTCGGGCGACGCGGCTACAGGAGGCTCCGTGAGCGTGGACGGCGGTCAAAGCAGGGCTGTGAGCGGCAAGGGAGGCGTGGTGGCAGTTCGCGGCGGAGCTGGTACCGCGACAGGTGGCGACTTGACGTTGACAGGCGGTGTGGGCGATTCGTCACTTGGTGGCAGCGTGCGCATTACCAGCGGCAATGGGACCACGGCGACGAGCGGCGATGTGGTGGTGTCCACGGCGGGTTCGGGCTCTGCTCAGACGAGCGGCAGCGTGACGGTCTCGAGCGGCATCGCAAGCAGTGGAGACTCTGGCTCTGTGTTGGTGGCGACGTCGGATGGCTCCGCGAGTGGCAAGGGCGGTGATATCACGATGCGCGTGGGAGCCGGAGGCAAGGCAGCCAGCGGCGCGATCACGCTGTCTGCTGGCACGTCGTCAAGCACGTCGTCGGGTGTGGGCGGAAAGGTGGAGGTCTCCGGCGGAAAGGGCCAAACGGGCGGCGTTGTCAAAGTAAGCGGAGGCGCAGGAACCTCGACTGCAGGTGGTGATGTAGCGGTTCAAAGTGGCGGCGGCACGAACGTGGCGAGCGGAGACGTGCTGATCTCGAGCTTGGAGTCCGGCACAGCTCTGACGAGCGGCCGGATTTCGTTGTCTACGGGCGGCGCCCAGGCCAGTGGGTCCATCTCGTTGTCGACCGGTGTGTCTCTGGGCGGCAACTCCGGGGCGGTCAACATCGTGACGTCGGGCGCGACGAAGGGCGCAGCGGGCGACATCAAATTGTTGGTGGGGTCGGGCAATTCGATTGCCGGTGGCCATGTGCTCTTGCGAAGTGGAGATAGCAACGCTCTTGATAGCAATTCTGTTGGGATAGGTGTTGGTGGGCGAGTTTCTGTTGCTGGAGGTGATGGATCTGCAAGTGGAGGTGATGCTACCATATCTGGAGGGTCTGGTAGCGCTGGTTCAGGGGGCAAGCTGCTGCTGTCAAGTGGAAGTAGCAGTGCTGGCATGAGTGGGTCGGTTGCGCTTACGGCTGCTGATGCATTGGATAACTTCGCTAGTGGCTCGGTAACAGTGGCGAGTGGTGCATCAAAAAATGTCCAAAGTGGGGACACTAGCATCATTTCTGGCGCATCCCTGAATGGGAAAAGCGGCTCAATCAACCTGACAGTTGGCACTAGCGGAACGGACAAAACGAGCGGGTCAGTACTGGTGACAGCAGGGGCCAATCAACTGACAGGCCCTGGTGGCGATATTATCATGAAAGGCGGTGGCGCTAATCAGGCGGGTGGAAACGTCAAGATCAACGGCGGGGATTCAGTTCAAACTACCGGTGGTTCCATCAGCATTATCAGCGGCGGGACCGTGGCTAAAATGAGCGGAAATATTGGAGTATCTACTTCAGCTTCCGGGCTTGCAGATAGTGGATCTCTAACTATCTCCACTGGTATTGCAAACAAGGGGAGTTCGGGGGCTATCACGCTAACAACGGCTGGTGCGACGGGAGGAAATGGAGGCCAGATTAGTCTAAGTTCTGGGTCCGGTGATGGAATAGACGGAGGTGACATCAAGCTTCGAGCTGGAGATTCAACGCCAGACAATGGAGTAGGGGGAGTTCTCGACTTCCAAGCAGGATACGGCAAGAAGTCTGGCGGTAACGTTTCCATCAGTGGTGGTTCAGCGGATGATACTACTGGAGGCAAGGTTCAAATTACAAGTGGGAGTGGCACCTCGGTCAGTAGTGGCAACATCATCTTGGCAACAGGAGCGTCAGGTCAGAGCAAAAGAAGTGGCTCCTTGACGTTGTCATCTGGTATTTCAAGTGGAGACTATTCCGGCGGGGTATACATTTCCACAGCTGATGCTACAAATGGGGTCAGCGGTAGCGTTGTTATCTCCGCTGGCACCGCTAGCGACTCGGAGAGTGGAGAGGTTCAGCTTATCGGAGGAAAAAGTACAAATGATGGAGGTATGGGAGGTCGTGTTCTTGTACAAGGTGGATCAGGAACAAGCCAAGGAGGCCACGTTGAGTTGACTGCTGGAACCGGGAAATCGGATATTGGAGGAAATGTCCGACTTCAAAGTGGATCTGGAAGTGGAGCGAGCAGTGGCTACGCACTTGTGTCAACGGGTGACGCTGGTATTAACCACGACAGTGGCCCTTTAGGATTCGTGACTGGTGCTACCAACGGTGGCAATTCTGGAGACATATCATTTGAAACTGGAGATGCTCTAGATGGCAACGCAGGATCGATCTTGTTCAAGGTAGGCAAGACGGAAGACACGGATGCCGGCGATGTTACCATTGCTGCTGGTGAAAACGGAGCCATTAGTGGCACGGGCGGCGAACTACTCTTAAGTGGCGGCTTGGGTGATGGTGCAGGAGGTGGATTGACACTAACAGCAGGAAAAGGTGGCTCTAAAGCTGGTGGAAACGTTGATATCTCCAGCGGTGCTAGTGATAGTGGGGCAACTGGCTCCGTTTCCATCACTAGTGCATCTACGAATTCTGCGAAGGCAAGCGGTTCAATCACACTGTCTACTGGTAGTTCGGTAGGAGGGGATACAGGAAGTATCTCCATTCTTACCTCAAACACCAAAGGCGGGATTTCTGGAGCAGTGACTGTGAGTTTAGGCGCTGCAGAAACTTCTACCGGTGGAACGCTAACGCTGAATGCTGGACCAAGTACTAATGCTGGTGGTACTGGTGGAAGTGTCGTTGTGAAGGGAGGGTCAGGTCCGTTGTTTGGTGGTGAGATATCTATTACCGGTGGAACCACACCAGGTGTGGCTACTGCCACTGATACCCCAGTTGGCGGTACTGTTCGCGTTGCTAGTGGCACGGGCGATGATGCCGCCAGCGGCAACGTGTTGGTTTCAACAGGTGACGCTGGGGCCAATCACGACAGCGGGGACATTGCCCTGTACACTGGAGCTACCAGCGGTGGTAATAGTGGTGCTGTTTGGCTGGAGACTACAGACGCTGTCAAAGGCAAAGCAGGGTCCATTTTCCTAAGTGTCGGAGAAGGCGACGTCGCTGATGCTGGTTCGATTAAACTAACCAGCGGCAGTTCCACTAATGCTGCTGGTATAGGCGGAGCAATCTCGGTGACTGGAGGGCACGGGAAACTATTAGGAGGAGATGTAAACATTACAGGAGGCGTTGGTGACGGTACAGTCGGTGGGAGTGTGAGCTTGACGAGCGGGTCGTCAAAAGCTAGCGGCTCGCTCTCGCTTTCCTCTGGAAAATCAACTGCTGGCAAGTCGGGCGACTTGACGCTTTCGACGTCAGATGCCGTCGGTGGAAGTGGAGGATCAATCTCCGTCACAGTAGGCTCCACCGACACTGGAATCGCAGGGGCTTTAAGCTTACAAGGTGGTACTAACACAGCTACAGCAAGTACAGGTGGGGCTGTTACGATCACAGGAGGAACTGGGAAGGCCACCGGTGGCAACGTCGCTATTGTCGCCGGTTCGGGGGCTTCCACTAAAGGAGGAAACTTGATACTGACGAGTGGGTCCGGTACCGGGGCCTTAAGCGGGGATGTTACAATTGCGAGTGGCAATGCTGGCACGGCAAAAGGAAGCGGCTCGGTGACGCTGTCTTCTGGAACCTCGCAAGGCGGACCCACTGGCAGCGTGAAGCTTGCTACATCCACTGCTGTTGGTGGATCTGGCGGTTCAATTACTTTGTCCGTGGGATCAGGTGACGCAAATACTGGTGGCAATGTCGAGGTTAGCGCTGGTGGTGCGACCGGCAACACAAGCATTGGCGGTAAAGTCACGCTTACTGGTGGCCTTGGGAAGACTGGTGGTGATGTTTTGATCAGCGGTGGAGATGGAACTGCGACTGCCGGTGGTCGAGTTGAGCTTGTCAGCGGGACCGGAACCGCTCTTCCGAGTGGAGACGTGTTGATTAGAAGCGCAGACCCCACTACAACTTCGAAGAGCGGGTCGATAGAGCTTCGTACGGGCACGACAACCTCCGGCGCTTCTGGTTCTGTTCTCGTTAAGACAAGTACTGCTGTCGGCGGTGCAGCAGGCTCCGTCACACTATCAGTGGGATCTGGAGACGCAGCTACGGCGGGGAACCTCGAGCTCTACGCTGGAAGCAGTACGCACGCGGCAGGCGTTGGCGGCCGCACACTACTCACAGGAGGCACCGGGACAACCGTCGGTGGAAAGGTTCAGCTTGTCGGAGGAGTGGGAACCAAAACAAAAGGTGGAGATGTTGTGGTCACAAGCGGCGGGAGCGACTCGGGCAGCTCGAGTGGCGACGTTGCCATCAGTAGCGGGATCGTGGCAGCTTCGGGACAAGTGAGTGGGTCGGTGTCGTTACTGTCAGGTAAATCATCCCATGGTAGCTCTGGGGGTCTTACTGTGGGTACAGCCGCCGCTACGGGCGGTAGCGGGGGCGCGGTGACTTTGAGCGTTGGTGCTGGTGACACATCGGATGGTGGTGCAATGAACATTGCTGGAGGAGACACTACAGATGGCGTAGGAGGCTTGATGGCTATTGTCGCAGGCAAAGGTGGCACCGCTGGAGGCGATGCCAAGCTGACTGGTGGTGCTGGTGGCTCCGACGTCGGTGGCAAAGTTCGGATCTCGAGTGGTGGGAGTACTTCCGCTATCACAGGGAGCGTGGAAGTACTGTCGTCTAGCTCAACGGCAGCTGGCACGGGTGGAGTTACATTGTCGTCTGGAGCGACTACAGGCAGCACTAACACAGGGTCGTCAGGGACTGTGAGCGTGCTGTCTGGAAACTCGGTTGGTGGTACCGGAGGAAATATCCTGGTGCAAGTCGGCAGTGGAAAAGCTGCAACTGGTGGCGAATTGAAGCTTATCAGCGGAGAGAGTACAAACGACAACGGCGTTGGTGGGAAACTCAGCGTTATTGGTGGTGTAGGCACCAAGACAGGGGGTGCTGTCGACATTCGAGGTGGAGTAGGCACTGGGGCAGTTGGCGGCCGGATCCAAATTGTAAGCGGAGGCAGCACGAGTGGTGGTAGTGGCGATGTGATAGTGTCCAGCGAAGTGTCGACGACAACCGCCGCAAGTGGAGCTGTCACGATTTCGTCGGGTGCCTCGACTGGTGGGGGCGACTCCGGTGCAGTAAATATCAAAACTGCCACTGCTTCAACTGGAACATCCGGCAAGATTACTATCGCTTCCGGCTCCAGCGGTGTAGCTGAGGTTGGTGCTGGGGTCTCCATAAGTTCTGGAACCAACACTGTTGGAGCAGGAGGCTTATTACAGCTCATTGGTGGGCTTGGAAAGACCACTGGGGGTAGCGTGGCAATTACCGCTGGAGCTGCGTCGGCGACTGGAACGCGTGGAGGAGATGTGAACATTCTCAGCGGTACTGGGGAAGTTGCCACGAGTGGCAATGTTGTGATTGCAACAGCAGACTCTGGTACCGGTAAAGTCAGTGGGGGTCTCACCTTATCTACAGGTGCCTCATCTGGTGGAAATTCTGGCGCCATTTCTCTCTCAACTTCCACGGCTACTGGTGGCCACGGTGGTAGCATTGGTCTCTCTGTCGGAAGTGGAAACGCGGACGTAGGAGGTGGCGTCACTTTAGTCGCAGGCGCAAGCTCTCACGCGACAGGGACTGGTGGTGCTGTATCCGTGACTGGAGGTGGCGGGTATGCAGGAGGAGATGTTACCATCAGCGGTGGTGCTGGCAGTGACGCCTCCGCTGCAGGCGGTGCTGTTCGGATCACAAGTGGAACCAACTCGGCTGGTAGCAGTGCAGCGGTCGTGGTAAAATCGGCTGCTGCAAAGGTCAACTTCAACACTGGCAACCTTCAATTTGGAAGTGGTGACAGTACTGGGACAGGAAACAGCGGTAGTGTGACGCTCTCTACGGGATCTGCAACTGGTGGAACTTCGGGCGACTTCGAAGTCGCAATTGGAGATTCTGGAGTGGCTGGGGGCACCGGCGGGTCAATTAAGTTGAGCGCTGGCGCAAACTCTGCTAGTACCGGAGGCTCTGTCACGGTGATGCCTGGGGCAGGGTCAAGCGATACCACACACGGAGAATTCCGCGTTGAGTATCCGAGTGGCACAGCGCTCCTCTCTGTAGCGAAGAAATCGTTTACAGTGGATAATGTCCAGTACGTGAGTCTCAAGTCGAAAACGAATGTGGATATTGGAGCTACTGGGACGGTGACGTTAACTAGCGATGGAGTGAATGTGGCTGGCGGGCCGCTTACCGTTCAACTTAACGACTTCTCGGTCACAAATGGCGCTGGGGCCGTGCTGTCGGTCTCATCTACTAGTGGTGATGTCAGTTTCAAAGGAAAGCTCACGCTTGGAAAGGACCAAGCATCAATTGAACACACTGGCACATCACTGACTGTATCGACACCAAAGCTGCTTGTTCCTGCTGCTATAGTGACCTTTTCCGGCGCGCAGGCGACTTTTTCAGGCTCCAATGTCGATTTTTCAGGAGATCACTTGAACTTCAAGGGCACGGATGTGGGGTTCTCGGCAACAACTGCAGTCAGTTTCTCCGGATCAACGGACTTCACTGGAAATGCGAAGTTTGAGGGAACAAAGGTAGACTTCTCATCGACTACCGCGGTTGGCATAGCAGGATCCACCGGCTTCACTGGAACTGCCGTCGATTTCTCGGCAACAACTTTGGTTGATTTCTTGGGAAAAGCAAAGTTTGAGGGGAGTACAGTCGACTTTTCGTCATCAACTGCAGTTGGCTTCGCAGGGGCGGCAGACTTCACAGGCACTTCGGTGGGTTTCTCTTCATCTACTGCAGTTGGCTTCTCGGGATCAGCAGGTTTCACGGGGAGTGGCGTAGACTTCTCATCATCTACTCCGGTGGATTTCAAGGGAAAAGCGAAATTTGACGGGAGTACAGTCGATTTCTCTTCATCAACTGCAGTTAGTTTCGCAGGAGCGACCGACTTCACCGGGGCTGCAAACTTTGAGGGAGCCGTTGGTATCTCGGGAACGACCGACTTCACGGGGAGTGCACATTTCAAGGGAGCTGCGGTCGACTTTTCAGCGACAACCCCCGTGGAATTCTTAGGATCGACTGTGGACTTTGCTCAGGCAGCCACAGTCACCTTCTCATCGGACAAAGTGGACTTCGAAGGGGCTGCAGTGAATTTCAAAGGAGCTGCGGTCAACTTCTCCGGTACCAAAGTCTCGATGTCGACAGCCAAGCTTAATGTCGCTGGCAGCGGTACTGCGCCGACGGCAGCGGAGGGCACATGCACGGTGGGCGACCTGCGCTTTGACAAGACTCAACTCTACATTTGCGTTCAGGACAACGATGGTCCGAATTGGTACTCGATTACCCTCGGCTCCAAGTTCACTCCGTCCTGAAGATAAATGGAGTCTTGCGCAGACGCTCAAAATTAGGAAGTTTAGTTGTAACTATTGATTGCATGTTAATTGCGTATCAAAATACAATTTCTGTATAAACTTGATTCTCGTAGTTACTTGAAGTATGCGAGTTCTCAGGAATTCACAAGTATATCATTAAAAAGAACTATAACACAATGGCGCCCAAGAGGAAGACGCTCAAGCGCGCGGCGGCTGACGATGAGCCCGCGCCCGCACGCAGCGCCGTACTAAGCGAGGGCGACTGGCTAGGTTCGTAGTCTATCTCACAATGTTCTCCTTGCTTCTCCACTCCCCAAACCGACACCAATAACAACATAACATGCAGACGTCATGGACCTCGACGGAGTGTGGAGCGTCGCCCGTGTCCTGAGCGTCCCGTCGGCGGGCGAGGTACTGAGCCCAGTATTCTTTATTATTATTCGCTATTATTTATTAACGCTGGGCTCTTTCATTCCCGGGCAGGTGGCAATCACTTACGACGGTTGGCCCAGCGACTACAACGAAGTTGTTCGCGTCGACAGCGACCGCGTCGCGCCCTACCACACGTACACGTGGGCGGTCAAGTGCTGGGTCAAGTACCTGAACTGGCCGATATGGCCATCCGTGGTTCGTCGACTTTTTTTTAATTTATGTTATTATATTTTTCTTGTGCTCATTGTTGGGTGTTGATGTACTGCAGGTCACCATTCGGTCGCCTGGGACGGAAGCTGGCATCAAGAACTTGTCGAGGGAGAACCGGCTGGACGTGGACTTCGTTGACGACGCCAACTTTGCCAAGCGAGGCCGCGTGTGGCAGACCAAGGGCCAAGTCAAGCCCTTCGCCGACAAGTACGACGAGAACCGCACCGGATCCAACGGCAACCAGTTCGAGCGAGCGCTGGAGTTCGTACTGCAGTCAAGTGCATCGGACGAGATGCCCAAGTTCGTCGGCAGGGGCACGCTGCCGCTCCAGTACAAGAAAACAATAGCGGATCCTGTCGCTAAACTGCGGAAGTCCATGGGCGACGACGCCTGGTTCGGGAAATTTGCCGACAGCAAGGCGCGCCACTGGGAGACACACATGTACGACGTCGTCGGGATTGAGGAGGCAGAAGAAGGACTAGCAAAGCAGGAAAGCGCAGAAGAAAGCTCAGCCAGCGATGAGCCCGTCAAAGAAGTGAAGCCAAAGCCGAAACGGACGAAGCAGTCGGCGTTGCCCAAGAAGAAGAGGACGAAGGTCTCGACAGCAAAGAGACAGATGAAAGCGCCATTCATGGGGGAGAGGCGACTGCTATACGTTAAGAAGTAGTTGATGACTTCGAACAGACTCCAAGCCACGTCATTCGTGGAGGTCGTGATAGTGAAGCGAACCATCTCACTGGCGTCGCGATGGGTGCCGTAGTGCTGCATGTCGAGAAATAATGGAGGGAGGCAACCTGCAACGTCGTCATTGACGACTCGTCAAGCTCTTCATTGGGTTCAGCCGCATACCTAGTAAGTGCACCCGATTTCCATCTTTTGATAGCTACACCTTGATAGGTACGTCAGCAAAGTGTGTATCCTTCGAGACTTCTCACTTCAAAATCTTCGCAAGCGAGAAGAGGACCCACAGTCAAAGACTCTTACTGTTCGTAAAAATGGAGCCGCTGGAGTCGAGCTATCACCAGCTTCACGTGGCTGGTGCTGGTCTACACGAGAAGCTCGGGCTAACGTTCCCAAGTGAAAGTCGCGGAGGATGTTGCAAGTTCAGCGCTAGGTGCTGCGACGTGAAGACTCTCGTTAAACGAGCTAGCGTTCTGCTCGTTTCCCACCTGTTGAACATTCTGGTGGCCATTGGGGGTCTTGTCGGAGTGAGCCTCTTGCTGGCCGGCTTGTTGCTGAATCTGCTGTGGGCCGTGGGGATTCTGGTGGTGGCGATCCTGGCAATTCCGTGCGTGCTGCTGGAGCAGCTTCCTGACCGTCTATCGTGTCTAAAGGGCTTGGGATACGCGGTGGTGGTTGTGTTCTACCTGGCGCTGTACGTGGCGTCTTGGTTCACGATCTACACGGCCGTTGGACCGTATGTGCTTGTCTTCGGCGGTGCGGTTGGGCTGGCGCTCTTCTATCTCGTGCTGTGGATCATTCAAACTATGATGAAGGCAGACGCTCGCCTCGCTAATTTTGCATCCTTCGCAATCCCGTCAAGTTTGCTGCGTGCGGAAGAGCCTCTGCAGTCGAAAGAATGCGCCGAGAAGTTCAGGATCAAGCTCACGGGTGGCATTAGCGCGTATTTGCCGGTGTTTGAGATGACATCCCGCATGTGGGTAATTGTCCTGTACTTCACTGTACTGAAGCCCGTTATTGGTGGTCTGAGCGCTGCCGCCATCTTCCTCGCTGTGGTCCAGCCTGCGATCGCGCTGTTCGGTGGTGGTGATGCGCCATTCTTCACCGAGTGGATGACGTTCCACGACAACCCCGTCGTGTACTTCGGCGTCATCTTGCTGATCTGGATTGTTGGTGCGGTCGGCCTCGTAATGGTTGCAGCTGTGTCGGCGCAGGTAACTTCTCGTGCTTTCGGCGAGTGGAAGCCCAAGCAGAGCCAAAGTGAGAATGGAGTTGAAGCCACGGCTGCATAGGCAACGTTGACAGTCGGCTTTTCGTGTTACTCAAGGATCACCCAGCGCCATGAAGTACTTCGTGCCCTGCATTCATTAGTGTTTTTGGATTTATGAAATCGATCTTTTACCAGCTAGTCGTTGGACTAGCTGGTGGTATCAGGCAGCGGAAAGAAAAACAAATGACACGGTCTTCTTTAATGAAACCACCAGAGCCTATGTATTCCTTTACTTTTCCGTCACAGCACTTAGAAATCGTCTGCACCGAGGATCGCGTCCATCAAGTTTTCTTCCTCGTTGCTCAACATCGAAGCGCGACTTGGAGCACTCGGACCTGCAGAAACTTCCTCATACAACGGCGCGCACTGCAACCGGCCGTTGCCCACAGGCGCGCTGCTAAGTAATCGTCGGGATGAAAACTCTCCCAATCCGCCGAAAGTCACGGGCGGTAGATCCGACCCACCAATAGCTGCAGGCGCGGAGGCTTCGGCCGCTGTTGCATGCACAGTCTGTGGTCGTTCACCGCCACCGGATCCCCCAATTCCATCCACGAAGCTCTTTTCGAGCTCCTTGAGAGTCACGGGCTTGACCCCTTGCAGTCTTGCGAGCACAAAGTCTCGACCCAGAAGCCGTTGTGCACTTAAAGCCACATCCGCAGCGGAGCGACGAACGCGAGCACTGCTGTGGGTCAAGCCCTTACTGACAGCTTCCAGCACACGGGAGGCGCCCAGTCCGTCGGCTTGGAATCCGAACTCCGGTACCAGGAGACGGAGTAGATGCATCTGCACTTGAGGATCACAGGCACTGCTGCCCTCGCCACCGAATATACACGAGAGCACGTATCGAAGCGGATGACGAGCATTGGGTAGCCGCGCCAACTTGAGGACTCCACGGCACGCAGCGCGAGTCGTGCGTGTGTTGGGCTTCTGCATCGCTGCGAGCAACCGAAGCAGCGTCAGCAGCGTAATGTCACGTACATCCGCCTCACGCCATTCGACTCGAGGCCCATAAATCTTCACCAATGTGGCGAAAGCGTCCAATGCAGTGTTCACCACTGGAGCGATGCTGTCACCAAGCGCTCGGTGCAACAAGGCGCTGTAAGCCACAAATGTGCTCTGAGCATCACTGCCAAATGCCGGTCGAGTGTCGCGCAGATCGGACTTGGCCTCTGTCATGGCCTTCTCGGCATCGAGGAGAGCCTCCTTTCTGTCGCTCCATGTCTTGCTCGAAAGCTTTCGCCAGCAGACCGGCCCAACCACGTTCTGGGCGTTGAGCAACGAGGCCTCAAGCAGCGTAATGCTCGACTGGGCGTCTTCTTGGGGGACGTCGACGAGTTCTGCCGGAGGGAAGGCGGCTTCATCGTCGGCTTGCTCTTCCGTCTGGTTGGTGGCAGTGGTGCCCATTCCTGGAGCTACTGGCGAGTTGGCTGCCTGCTGCGCTTCACGCTTTGCTAGCAGTTCTTCAACTCGGCGCGTGATCACGCGGAGCATTTCCGGCTTAACTGCCCCCGCTCGTGCTAGCTGCGCGTGCCAGGCAGTCGAGTTTCCCGTTCGAGTCTGGAGGTCAGCGAGAATCTCCACGGCAGCCTTCCGAGTTTTCTCCTCGGCGATCTTGAGGCTTGGGGCGACAAACTCGAGCACGGTCTCCGCTGTCAGCTGTTGCTGGTGGGGTGAAGCCTCAGTGGAGTTGGAAAGACCGAGCTCCTGCATCAACCGGCGTAACGTCTCGAGCTGTCGTCGAGGTGGGACCTCGCGTCCACTCAAGTGCAGCAGCAAGTGAGGAAGAGCTCGCAGTGATCGCACACGGGCAACTCGGATTAAAGCTTGTGTGGATTCACGCTGCGTCCGCTTGTTGGAGTCGCCAAGCTTCCGCACCAGAGCACCGACAAGAGATGACAATTGGTTGTTGAGAACTGCCGCACTTTTCAGCTCAACACTGCGTTCGTCGGGTAGCACACGCGCGAATTCCTTGAGAACTGCGCGTAAGCACTCGAGTGCACAGAACATAACGGGAGCAACTCGATCCTCCACTCCGCATTGCACTGCTGCCAGCGATGCACAAAGCAGTCGCTGCCGAGTTACGGGCTCAATCGTCGACACATCTGCCTTCTTGACTGCGAGTTTGATGGCATCAAAGCCATCCTGCCGGTCCCCCCAGGGATCGGCCGCTAACAAAGTCACAATCCGTTCACCAAACGCACGAGTGATCAGAGCACCTGTGTCTAATGCCTCGGGGTCTCCTTCTTCGCCTTCATTACCCTGTCGGGACTCGTCATACTTCTCTTCAATGTCGTTATCATCGGGTGAGGGCGTCTCCTGCTCGTCGTCTTGAGGACAAACCTGCGCTGCGGCTGAAGACAGAATGGGTGCTTCTGAGGCCACGAGGGCGTGCTGTCGACCGCCAAACCTCCGTGACATCGGGGTAGATTGCTGGACTACACCCGAGGAGTTTCCATCGTCTTCTTCGCGAATATCCTGGAGCGGGGGATGAGGCAGGTTGTTGCCTCCGGGAGACATTGAAGGCATCATTTCAACACCAGGACCAGGGCGAACGCGCTTTAACGGGGACGAAAGAGGTTCCGACACTCGAGGCGTTGCCACGACATCGGGCTCCGTTTCAAGAGGTTCCTCTTCTTCTTGAAACTCACCTCGCTCGAAGGGTGCAGACGCTCTTAGCGACATCGGAGTGACTCCGATAATTACCAACTCGACAGGCGGTGAGGACTCGGAAGGCGAACCTGCGTCAGCCTCATCGCTGTGGAATTCTTCTTCGTCGCCCTCTTCATCGTCATCCTCGGGCTGGCGAGGAGATGAATGCAGGGACTGGTTCCCTTCTCCGTTCGCGAAAACTTCCAACGTGTCGTCGTCGTCGTCTTCCTCGCTGGGACTTTGCTGACTGGCGTTGCCACCTTCAGGTTCAACATCGTTCTCCATGCGAGGTGTTTCCTCCTCCTCGTTATGAGACGCGATGATCTCGTCCTCCTCCGGTCCATCTTGTGTAATAACACCTTCGTCGACATCGTTGTCGTCGTCAAACCGCTCTGGCTTGGGGGAACTTTTCTGCTTGGACTCTTGTTTCACGTCGTTGCTGTACTCGTCGTCGCTTTCATTGGCGACGCTCTCGATCGTTGGCAGTGACGCGTTGAATGCCAACACCGAGTCCATTTGATCCCTATCTGGAGAAGCTTCACCGCTCAACTGCTCCGGATTAAGGTCCTCCTTGTCAACCACTTCAGCGTTGTTCTCGTCCTCCCCGTTTTGCTGCTGACTGCCATCAACGTCCGCCACTCCAGGCTCCGCTTTGGCTAAATCCTGCGGCATTGGCGACGCCACTGTCATGGATTTCCCGCGCCCCAGCTTCTTGGACAACTTCTTTTTGATCCGGCCGAGCATGCTCTTCTTCGGCTTCTGAACAACGGAAGTACCTTCAATCGTTGACTTGAGCGCGTCGTGGTCCAAGCTGCTCGGGCTCATCATCATCGGTCCAGGCATCGTGTCCACCGCCACCTTGCTAGCTTTGGCTTGGTGTCTAGAACGGTACCTTTGTCTTTGCGCTGGGGGTCGGTCGCGAGAAATGAGAACGAGAGCCGGTGACTACCAGCGCTCAAGACGTGTGTGTTGTTGCAGTTGGCTGATTCAGCGCCTACACCGTCCAAAATAGGCAGCTACAGCGCCCTGAAACGAACCATGCCACTCACTTCACGCATCAAGCAAAGATGGACTTGGCTGCTTCACTATCTTTGGTCGCAGAATGAGTGCCATGTTCCCCCGCTGCGTCGCATTCGACACCAACTCGATCCATTTATAAGGACACGGCGTCGACCGAGTGGAATATGGTCGGCCGAAGTTCTTGGCTAAAGACAGCTTCAACGCCACGAGTGGGGCTTGGATAAGAGCTCTCGACATCCTTGAAATACTTTGGCGTGCCATCAACCTACAGCGGGAAGGAACAACACAATCTCGGCGAATATTAACGAGGTCTACGCCCTCTCGGCTCCACCTTCGCAGCGTTAGCCCAGCGCCATGTCGGCCGACGCGGTGCCAGTCATCTCGACGCTCGAAGAAGCCAGCAGCTTGCTCGAGCGACTGCGCGCACTCGCCTCCAGTATCAGCGAGGCCGCGTCCAGCCCGACGCTCAAGACCGAGCAAGACTACATCTCCGGCGTCGTGCCGCAGCTCGATGAGGCCACTACGACGTACCAGGCGCTGGCCACGTTCCTGCGCGAGCACAAGCGCGGCAAGGCCGAGAGCGGCGGCTTCCGCGATGTGCAGCGCTCCTTTGTGCGCGTGATGCAGGAGCTGCAGACGGCTCAGCGCCAGGCGGCGGCGCGGCGCGAGGCGCTGTGCGACGCCGACTTCATGGCCGGCAACGGGTCTGTAGCCATCTCGGCCCAGGAGATCCAGACGGCCAAGGAGGAGGTGCTGGAGGCTGGCGAGATCGCGCAGGAGGCCGCGGCCGTCAACGCGTTGTTCAGGCAGGTGGGGACGCTGGTCAGCGAGCAGGGGCAGGGGGTGGACCAGATCGCCACCAAGGTGGAGGCCGTGCGCGTGGAGATCGGCAAGGGTGTGGACGAGCTGCAGCATGCGCGTCAGTTGCAACGTGAGGCGCGGCAGAAGTACCTCTGGTATCTCTGCCTGCTCTCGCTGGTACTCGCCGCCATTATCATCCCGCTCGTCTTCGCGCTCAAGTAGGCAAGTAGGCAAGTTGAAGTGAGTCAGAACGGACCAGCACCTGAAAACCTTCGATTCCAATAGACCATACTATAGGGTTATACAGTGCTGTACCCGATTTTCGGTACACTGCGCGGCTCGATCGACCGTTAGATTTGGATCCAATCCGAAATCTCCCGTCGAGCGGCAAAGCCCAGCTCCCCAAGCCAAGAGACGATGCCCGAGACCTCCGCCCCCAGCAGCAGCGTCCACGAGGACGAGGTGACGCCGTCGCCCAGCACCGTGGGCAACACGTTCATGCGCCAGTACTACCACTTCCTGGCCAAGGAGCCGCAGAGCCTGCACCGCTTCTACAAGGCCGAGAGCCGCTGGTGCCACGGCCTGGGCTCGCACATGGAGGAGCCCATCGCCGGCCAGCGCGCCATCAACGACCAGATCCTCAAGCGCGGCTACGCGGGCGCGCGCGTGGACCTGGACGCAGGCTCCATCGACTGCCAGAACTCGCTGGGCGGCGGCGTGTTCGTGCTCGTCACGGGCGTCATGACGCTGCGCAGCAGCCCCGTGCCCAAGCCCTTCGTGCAGACCTTCTTCTTGGCCGTGCAGCCCAAGGGCTACTTCGTGCTCAACGACTGCCTGCGCTTCCTGGAGCTTCCCGGTGCGTCGCCCGTCGAGGTGGCGCCCGAGACGGCCGTGGTGAAGGACAAGAAGACGGCGGCGGACAAGAAGACGGAGACGCCGGCGTCCCCCGCCAAGAACGGCAAGAAGACGGAGACGCAGGCGCCCACGTCCCCCGCCAAGAAGGTCGTGGAGAAGAAGACCAAGGAGGACCAGAAGAAGCAGCAGCAGCAGCAGAAGGACGAGCTCGTCTCGTCCTCGCCCGTGCCCGCCTCCCCCAAGAAGGCGGCGGCGTCTTCCCCCGTCAAGGCTGCGGCCACCAAGACAACGACCACAACAACGACCAAGAAGGTGGTGAAGGAGGCGGCCGCGCCCACGTCGCCCGTCAAGGCCACAGCCACCGTCGCCTCGTCTCCTGTCAAGAAGACGACCACGACGACCACCACCACGACCACCAAGCCCAAGGAGGAGGACGCCAAGGTCAAGACGCCGTCGCCCGTCAAGTCCCCGGCCAAGTCGCCCGTTAAGTCGCCCAAGAAGCAGGAGAAGGCTCCGGCCGCCGCTGCGTCGCCTGCCCCTGCTGCTGCCCCCACGGCGGCTCCGGCCGACCCGGTGATCCCGGCCCCTGCTGAGCCCGAGAAGCCCAAGACGTGGGCCGCGTTGTTCTCGGCCTCGAAGGCTGTGGCGACCATCACGCCCCCTGCTGCTGCCGCTCCTGCGGCGCCTGTGAAGCCGGCCACCCCCAAGCCCGCTGCTGCCCCCGCGGCGGCTCCTGCTCCTGCTGCGATCGCTCCTGCTACTGGCGCCCCGGCCCCTGAGAAGTCGCCCAAGAGCAAGGCGGGCAACGGCAAGGAGAAGGAGCACAAGCGCCTGTACAGCCTCTTCATCCGCGACGTGCCGACGCAGGCGCGTGAGAACGACCTGCGCGAGCTGTTCAAGGGCTACGGCTCGATCGCTGGCGTGAGCATCCCCGGACAGCGTGGTTTCGGCTTCGTGGACTTTCACGAGCAGGAGAGTATGCGTGCCGCGCTGGCTGAGACCAAGGAGTTCAAGCTGTTCGAGAAGGTGCTGCAGGTGGGCGAGCGCGCCGAGCGCAAGGAGGGACAGCGCGGCGGTTTCCGCGGCAATGACTCTCGTGGCCGTGGCCGTGGTCACGGCCCCAAGGGTGGTCGCGGCGAGCGCAAGGAGCGCAACGGTGACGAGGCCCCCAAGAGCGACCGTCGCGAGGGTGCCCGTCGCGAGAAGACCGGCAGCCGCCGCGGTGGCAAGGTGGACGGCGCGTCGGACAACCGAGCGGAGTAAGCGGTATATTATGTGCGCAATCGTTGGGGTTTTCGACATGCAGAGCACGAAACACTACGGCGAGGAAGAGCACGAGAGGCGAAGAGCTGCCAGCTTTCAGATCATGAGCAGGTGGCGAGAGGAGAGGAGAGAAGGATACACAGAGGGAGAGCTCGCTACCTCGGTCGTCTGCAGCGATGGTCGAGTGCTCTCTCCTTGCCGTGCCTCGCAGGCAACGCACTAGGTAGGAAGACAAACAAACACAGAGAGCCGAGAGAGAAAGGTTGCGAGAAGGTGGACACAGTTGAGATGGAGAAAGCAGCAAAGTTCTCGGCTCGTTAGGGTAGAGCAGCAAGCGGAGGGGCTTGGCAAACTGGAATGATACAAAAGACCAAAGTCCGCTGTGGAACTGCAGTATCTTGGCACCGGAACGTATCTTCGTCTTGAACTGCCACGTGGCACTTGCTGAAGTTGAAGTGGTCTATGCAAGCGATATCTCTGTGGATGCACGTGGACTTCAGACTTTGAACAAGCAAGCCCTTTGCAGTAGGAATCTATCCGATCCTTTTTTGTTTTGTTTTAGATCCGACATGCCCTCTTTGTGCAGATCGCCAAGGTTCACCCGTGTACATCCTTACTATGCCTGTCAAACACCACCCCTGGAGGCCAGGGGCAGGGCAGCTTACTGCACCACTTGTGCTTCTTTCAGAACGCGAAGCGCCTTCTTCGTGTCGCCCTTCTTGAGCAACACGTAGACTAACAGCTCCAGCGACTCGCGGCAGTTCGGGTTTTCCCTCACAGCACGCGTCACGCTTTCCTCCGCTTCCGAGTTGCGTCCCTGCAGCAGAAGTGTCGTCGCGTTGTTCACGTGGACACCGGCGCGAGCTCGTGACAACTGCAGCATTAATAGGCACAATAAAACCGTTAGAATTCATTCATACGACGATATCACCACGTAGTTCTCTGGTCTTACCTGGATGTTGGCTTCCCGTGCGTATTCCTCGGCCATAGCGATCAAGTCTCGCTCAGATTGCAGTGCCTCCGTCGCCTCTGGTGCCCGAGACAGCATGCAGAGAGCCTCCGCAGTGTATGATCGGGCCAAAAAGCTGTTTGCCTTGGAGCACGTCGGAAGTGCCAACAGCTCCTTCGCAGTTGTGATCGCAAGCTGGGGCTCGTACATCGACAAGTAGACATACGACAGGTTCACCAGCGCCTTTTGCCGCAGCACGTTGAGAGCTTGCGCATCCTGAACTTCGCTATCTGCTGCCTCGCCGGCGGCGTTGGTGTCAGCATTTCCGTTCACGTTTCCAGAGTCCAAGAGCTGGTTGCAGAGCAAGACCGCGTTCTTGAAGCACTTTGCGCCGAATGGAAGGCTCATCGTCGGCGAACCGTCCGAGTCATTGGCATCGGCAGACGTTGCACGAGAACCGTTGCCGTTCTTCTCGGGCAGCTTGATATCCTGCGAGGCTGCAGATGGCAAGCTGGTCGGAAGCAACACTCGACGGTGCGAACCAGAACCTACAATTCCCTGGATCAGCCCGCTTTTGTTTCCAGCCACCACCGCCAATTTCTGCTCCTTCGCGAAAGCTGCAGTACAGCACTCGCCGAGGCGCAGCCACAGCTTGGGTCGGTTGAAAAACAGCCTCGACGACTCATGGAAGCACCGGAAGGCCAGCGCGTACTCGCCCTGAAGCAGCAGGTGCAGACCGTTATTGTACATGATTTCATGGCGGGCGGAGCTCGCAATGACGACCGCATCCATCTTCGTCGCCTTGGTAGTAGCTTGAAGTGCTCTGGCAAAGTATGACTGTGCCGCCTTTCGCTGCCCCATCTGGTAGTGGATGCAGCCCATATTATTCAACAAAACACTCTGCATGTACACAACACGCAACACGTTTTAGTCATCCCGCTGCCCCTCTGCAGCATGCCACGTCCACTCTTACCTCGCTCACGGCTTCCTGTGTACACGATGCCAGAAGCTTGATACATTTCTTGTAGTTCTTCTTTAAATATTCCAGGTTGGCCTTCAAAAACAGCGCTGTCGAGTTCTGCACCACCAGGCACGGGTGTCCGATCGCCGTGCTCGTCTTCTCCGACTCCATCGCCAACGAAGACGATGACGCGGCAGCCGCATCTCCCCGGTCGTACGTCTTGATCTCCTTCTGGAAGATCTCCAGTGCGGACTTGACCTCCTTCTTCGCGGTCTTCAAGTTGCTCTGCAGCAGCATGAACTTGGCGCGGTACAGGTGCAGCCTGAAGCGGAACTCCGTGACATCCCACCGGTTCTTCTTCTGCGCCTCCGTCTCCACGGCGTTGCCATTGGCGTCCCGCTGCACCAGGTGGTCGGGCAGCTCCTGCACCGTGTTGAACCGATGGGGCTTCTCCAGGAACGCCAAGATGCCCTGCGCCTTCTTGATCGTCGTGGCGCGCTCGCGCTCCGTGCTCACACAGCCCCTGCTGCTGTGCAGGATCACGTCCAGGTACAGGAAGCTGGCGTGCATGGCCACGTTCTCGTCGATGGGGTCCACGTTGCGCATCACCTGCTCCAGCACCGAGCTGGCCTGCGCGTACTGCTTGGACAGGAACAGCGCCGCCGCGTAGTTGTAGCGGAGGTAGGCCATCTCCCTCTCAATGGAGAACGAGCCGCTGTCGTCCGCAGCCGCCGCGTCGTCCGCTCCTCCAGCGTCTCCCGCAGACGCAGCAGCAGCCGCGGGCTTGCTGTTCTTGTCGTGCTCCTGCAGCTGCGCGCGCAGGTTCTGCCTCAGCGCGGCCTGCAGCTTGTCGGGCGAGTCCAGTCCGGCCGCGAACCTGGCCAGCGCCACATTGTGGCGCACCTTGAAGTCCTGGCGGGGGTCGATCTCCTCCACGAGCTTCTCCAGGGCGTCCACGGCCTCCTCGTACTTGCCGGCGCTGTCAAAAACACGTGGAAATAGTGTCAACAACGTCAAAAACTCTGTCAAAATCCACAGCACTATCAATAATAATCCACGCACTTGAACTTCTGCTGGGCGCGATGGCTCAGCGAGGACTTGTTGTCCTTGGCGCGCGCGTCTCCCGACATGGGCGCGCGGGTGTTGCAATCAATTGGAGACGCTTGTCTTGGCGGTTGTATGCCTCCAAACGCTCGGTTCCTGCAAGGATTTGGCGGACACAAGGTGATGCCAACGCTTAGCACTAAATTGCGGCGGCTACAGAGCGCGCTGGAGCGGGGCGAAGGCGGCGTTGGGCAGAGCAGACGCACCTCTTGTCGCTGCTGATGCGCGCGGGCGGTGGGCGCGAGCGCGGCGGCGAAGGGGGCAAGGGGGCGGCGCAGCTCGAGGCTCGAGCTCTTCTTGTTTCCTTGGCGGAAATCCGAGTGTTTGTGGGGGCTGAGGGGGGAGAACGAATTAGCGCTAATTCGCTACAAATTAGCGGGCACACCACTACGAATTAAATCGACGTAAAAGGCAACGACATGTATTAATACATGTACTTGACCACGTTGACGTTGCCTATTGCACTATGATAGCTGCGTGCGCGTGCTATTTGATGACAAAGACGATTGCATTATTACTGATGAATGTGGTGGAGATTTTTTACGGAGGGGGGATCTGATGGAGCCATTGGCCGCAAGCTTGGCGATCTGTTGGCTCATGCGAAGACGTTCTGCTGCTCCTCGTCCACGGTGGTCACGTCCTCGTCCGTGGCCTCGAGCGCGCTGAAGTTCATGAAGTGCGTCTTGCGGTGGATCTCGTGGTAGAACTCCTTGGGGTTGCCCAGCTTGAGGTCGTACTTCATGCCCGTGTTGTGCTTGACGCCCATGAAGTTGTAGTTCCACACGTCTTCGTCCGGCACCATGTAGAAGCCCATGAAGCGGTCCGACAGCAGCATCTGCACCTTCTCGTAGTGGGTCGGCGCGAAGCCCGCAGGGTTCGCGCCGCTGTCCTTGTTCTGCCGACCCCACTCGTAGCCGCCAGGCGTCAGCTTGTACGCCGTCAGCGAGCACGAACCTGGGGTGAAGCTGCACGTGATGATGATGCTCTTCTCGCCGTCCCACGAGGTGTTCTCGGACATGATCTTCGAGTGGAACGTCACGTCCTGCGGCGGCAAGCTCGGCAGCTCGTTCGGCTGCGTGTGGATCCAGCCCAGCGCCTCCATGCCCTCCAGGTACTCGTGGTCTGGCAGGTGGAGCGGGATCGTCACGCTCTGGTGCGTGCCGAGTTGCGGCGGCATCACGATGCAGCGGATCTCCTTCACCTGCGGGTTGTCAGGCGGACTGACACCGTACATGAGCCCGCAGATCTGCGTGCGCAGGTCTGACACGGTGATGAACTTGTTCAGCACGTTCTTCGGCAGCACGTATGTGAAACCGGTCTCCTTGATGTCGTCTGACGACACGTAGATGTGGTTCGTACGCAGGTGCAGGTTGGTCGCCGAGATGGCACGCACGCGCCAGTCGGTCTTAGACGCGAACGAGTGCTGCTCGTACTGGCTGGTCGTGGTGACCACCATCTCATCACCGTGCTTGTTCACCGTCTTCGTCGTCACGGACGTAAGCTGGCTCTGCTCACGCGCCTGCTGCTCGATCTCCGCGACCTGCTGCCGCTGGAGCGACGGCGCCGAGATCTCCATACCCAAAATGATATCACGGATCTCCGATTGGGTCAGCGAGGCAACATTCACGTTGTTCTTCTTGCCGTAGTCGCCCAAGATCAGGTCCTTCAACTGCACTTCCACCTTCAGCCACTGCTCATCAGTCAGTGACGGCCAAATGTGGTGTGGCTGTGTAGTCGTCTCTCCATCAGGCCGCAGAATGATCTTGGTACGGTCGTTGCTTACGTGCAGCGCGCGCAGAATCAAGATCAAACGGGAGAATGCAGTGTACGACGTGATAGTGTTCAGCCAGTCGTCGTAGATGTTGAACAGAACCATCTGAGGCTCCGTCGCCTTCAGGATCAAGTCGCCGAACTTCTCAACCTTCAAGCACGCCTGGAACGGCAGCTGGAGCTCACTGCCCTTGATGACAATGTTCGGGAAGTCCAACAAGTGCACTTCCAGCGGATCAAGCATACCATTGCGCGTCACAATGATCTGTTTCGGCTGCTCTTCAACGGGCAGCGATCGAATAAGGGCTGCTACTTCTTCGGCGGTCTTCCACTTCGCCAGTTGACCCAGTCGTTTCTGGCCTGCCCACACTGACGTGTGAATGATCTTCAGGAACAACTGACCAGTGCGCGGGTTGAAGATGAAAATGGCACCGTTGATGGGCTTCGTCGTCAGGTTACCCTCGAACGTCTTGTGGATCGTCACTCGGTACACGTTCGTGTCGTCAACGAACCAAATGATCTGGTTGGAGAACAGTTCACCGTAGTTCTGGCTCGATAGATACGGCTCCGTCGGCTCAGAAGAGTATAGCTGCAAACCCTTGCGAATACGTTCACGCAGGACATACATGGCGGGGTTTGCCTTCATAATCTTCGCCATTGCCTGCTGCATGAGTGGCTTGCAGCCAGGGAACCAGTTGCCATAACCACTGTACAGGTTGTACGCAAGGTCCACCGCAAGCAGCACACCCGTCGGAGAGGGATAGATCGTCATGTTGTCCGTCGTGTAGTCCAGGAACTTGGCACGCGCGTAACGCTCAATATCGTGGGAGTCAAAGTCACCCCAACGAAGCTGCACATCAATCCAGTACTTCGTGCTAGTCGATCCATCGTAGCTGTCCTTCGTGTCGTGCAACAGCGTTGGCCGTCCCATTTGCCACTTGTATGCAGCAAAGAGGAGAACATCAGCACACGACGAGTTCATCTTGTACGACTTCCGCGGGTGGATTGTCTCCTTCTGAACATTCTCAATCTCCAAGGCATCCAGCTCCTGGTCAAACACTGTACAACAGATACCACGGGAAAAAATATCAGCAATTCTGAACCGCACAACTCCATACACCAGGGCGGAATGACTTACCTTGAACAAGGTCCATGACCAATGATTCGTGGATCTTTTGCCACAAGTGAGCTCGGAAGATCTGGATCAAGGAGATCTTGAGCGTCGGGATTTTGCCGTGCATGAAGATACCGGTCAAATCCAGTTGCACCTGGAAGCCGACATATACGTTTGCGCGGTTGATCGTCGGCGACCACCACAACGTGAAGCGACGGTTGGGAATCTGGTTCAGACCCGACCGCTGCGCATTCGTCAGCTTCTTGTACTTCATACTCTCTTCAAAACCGGAAGCCTTCTCCCAGAACAAGCCTTCCCACGTGGGAAAGTACGTGCCTTTGAACAGCGTATGCTCGAGAATACCCTCAACACCACCCAGCGCCTGAATCATATCCGTTCGGTAGTTGTTCAGGTTCCACAGCTTACCATCGTGCCGTTGGTGGGTCCACCAGAAAGGGTTCTGGCGCATCACCTGGTAACACTTGAAGCCTGTCCGTACACGCCAACCCTTGTCGTATGCGAGTGTGTGACGGTCCTTTTGGAACAACGTATTAATACGCGGGATACCGCGATCCCACGAGTCTTCCAGATCCTCCAGCGTCAAGCGACGGTTCTGAGCATTAGCTTCCTGTCGCTTCAAAGCGTACTCAGCCCACACACGCTGCGAGTCAATGAACTCTGACTCCCAAGGCTGCAAGTAGCGGAACAAGTTGGGGATCAGCTGGTCCTCTTCGTGAGACATACCCGAACGGAAATGCGTCACACCACCACCATCAGTCTGCTTCGAGTAGCGAAGGTCAGATTGGGGGATCAGAACGTGGCCCATCGACAGCATACCGAGACCACCCAGTTCCTTCGGCGTGTAAAACACGACGGGTGGGAATCGGGACGGCATCTTCGAGTTCAATCCAATCTTGATACGAGTCTGAATCTTGTTCTCGCACTTCACAAGGAGGTCTAGCAGCTCCTGAGTCTGGACAACAGACTCACGGTAGTATGTCATGAGTCCGATCAGTGCCGAGTTCCACTTGTTCGCAACCTTCGTGAAGGTCGTACTACCAGAAGACATCAAAATCTGGCGAATCCGGTTCTCGAACGAGTGCAATGACTCATCATCCACTCGGAGGTACGCCTGCGCTGTGCGCTCCTTGGTAGTCTCGTTTTGCAGGATCCACACACCATCTTTGTGCGTGAATTCGGCATCAACAGCACGCATCTTGGGTAGAATCCGCACTTCGAATCCGCACATGTTGAACAGCAAGTTCGGGTTATCCTTCGAATACACCGATACAAAACTGTTGTCCCACTCGAACGTAGTCATCGATCGCGGCAAGCGGTTCTTCATATCCCAGAACGTTGCCCTTCCGAGGTTCACATCGTGCTTCATCAGTCTCATACGTGCATCGCGAGGCCAGCACTTCTTGTTGTTGTAGCCAACAACATTCTCGTTGTTCGGATCCGGGTGCTCTGTCAAGTACCGCTGAATCAGGTCACGAGAATCGTCCGCGTCGAATCGGAACAACACGTAGATCTTGTCGATGTAGCGCGTGTACAAGCGAATCGGGTGCCGTGTCTCCGTTGCAGTATCCTTGAACGACAGGTACTCATTCGGGAGCTCGGGTGGACCAGCGATTTCAGTAGCACGGGTCAGACCCAGCAGCAGCAGATCCAAAATCAAACCATAGTACTGGAAGATGAAGGAGCCAAACTGCAGTCCACGGATGAGACCGTATGAGTTCGTGTGCATCATGTCCTTGTACGCGATGACAATGTTGTTCTTCGCAGTCATGTAGTCGGCGATATTGTGGTCCAGAATCAATCTCAGCAGCCTGTTCAACAGCGTCAAGTCGATCTTCTCGTAAACCTTTTCGAGCTTGGACGCAAGCATCACCACGCACTCCTCCTCAGATGTGTCCCAAACCTTGTGCAAATTGTTGACTCCTTGGCACCACTTGTAAACAAGCAGCGGGGGTGGTTCAGAGTCGCTGGGCTTAATCCAGCACGGGAAGAGGTGGCGCTTATCAGCTTCATACCACAAGTACTGGTCAAGGTACGCATCTGTGATCTTCTCCAGCGGTTCAATGTCGTACACCGGGATCAAGTGACTGTACAGATCCATGAACTCAATGTGCACTTCCTTGAAAGCTCGCTGGGTAAGCAAGTGTCGCTTGATACGGGACAGCGCTTCATGAGGATTGTCGTATGCCTGCTCAATCAGTCCGAGCTCTTCACGTTGGGTCTGGTTCAACCTATTGTTCACGGAGTAGTTCTCCTTCAGCCGCTCCAACGCAAGAATGAGAAGCTTGGTGTCGTGCTTGTACGAAAGTGGCGGGAACGGAATAGGCGCGAACTTGCGGCTTTCCAGCCAGTGCACGGTCGTCGTGTACACCGCTACGGCCTCCTCAGCCGATACATAGGGACCATCCTTGAGGTAGTTGTGCTGACGCTCTTGCTCCGCCTTCAGCCACAGTCGGGTCAGTCGGCCCAAATTTTTCTTACAAACGGTCTTGTCAACAGTAGCACCGCGCTTGATACGCTCACGGTTGTAGTGCGCCACATTGGTCCACCAGTCTGCCTTGGACTTCACATAGCGAAGAATCATGTTCTCAATAGGAGCAGGCAGGCCCGGCACCTTCCAGGGGATGTTCGCCTTCCAACTGCACACACACAACCGCAATAGCAAAATATTAGAAACAAAAACCGCAGCTCAAAGCAGTTTAATCTGGCAATACGTACCAGCGCCATGCTTCACTGAGATGTGCCATGATCGTACGCGACTTGTTCACCTTCACGCCTTCCGGCATCATGTCAAGAATGTCGTGCATCACTGCGGCACGAAGTTCCAGGTCAAAGTGGCTTTCCACACGCTGCTTGGTGACAGTCTTTGCAATACCCTTCGAGTGGCGACCCTCAAACTGCCGCGCCAGCAAGTTTCCAAGCCACCGCTCAAGCAGCGGCACAATACCTCGCAGGAAGAACAGCCACACACGCCAGCCAGGAGCCCAGAAACCACATCCAGGTCCCTTGCCCACCGGTCCAGTGTTGAACCGGTAGTAGATCAAGTGCTTCAAGTCCTTGCACATGCGGACCTGGCGCATCAAACGGTACTTGTATCTGTACATGCCTGTCAGCTGACCAACGTGGGCAAAAATGTACTGGAGTCCATCAGCAAGCTGGAACGCGTCAACGTTGCCCAATCGGTACTGGACGTGAGCATCCACAATCAACTTCGTCAGACGCAGAATCTCTCGCGTCAAGTGGAAGGCGTTACCGAAACGCGACTTTTTGCGCTCTTTCGTGGTAAGAGTCTTGATGGGCTTCAGGTTGAAATTGTAGTCCAAGTGAAGGTAGTTCAGGTTCTTGCGGTGAATCAGCAGGTTCAGCATGTTGTATCCCTGGCGACAGACCTGCAGACCAGCTTCGACCCAATCCAGTTCCGTGCTCTGGAAGAACTTGGTCGACTTGAGCGACTTGAACAAGTAGCGCTTGTTCAGAGCCTTCGGAGGGCGGTGGTGCAGCGCGTTCAACACCCAGCACTTGAGCAGTTTCTGGTAGCTGACACGAACCTTCACCGGCTGACCCTGGGGGCAGTGCTCCTGGAACCACTTGTTCACAAGCGGCACGTCAATGGCACGGCGCGTACGACCTGTACGCAAGTTAAACGGGCGCGGCGCCCAGTACAGAGCGATACCGTTGGCCGTCTCCGGGGTGTACAGCGGCTCGTCCGTGAGAAGAGGGTCGAACCCCATGGGCAGCTGGAACTCGTCGTCGTCGTCATCATCCTCTTCCTCCTCTTCCTTGGCACCATTTTCCTTCTTCCCAGAGCGATTCACGCGGAAGTGTGAGATCGGGTTCACAATCGGGTCGAAATAGAACGCCGGCAGGTCCGGGTCCTCCGCCTTGATGTAGCACAGCACGGGCGTGTGGTACGGCTGGATGTGCACCGAGCGCGGTCGACTGTTGTACAGGAAGGGGAAGGCCACCTTGTACTCGGTGCGGATCTGGTGGCGGATGATGATCTTGTTGATGTCGTTGAACTCGTTCCAGTCCTCGTCGTCCTCGTCCAGGTCGCGGTACAGCGGCTCGAACTTGGGGCCGCCGGGGATGGCTACATTCAGCGCCTTGGCCGTGAAGAACGACTTCTTGTCGAACAGGTACTCGTAGTTGGGGTCGATCAGGTCGCTCATGAGCTGGCCAGCGAGGCGGTGCAGGTTGGCCATGATCGGCACGGGCAGGCGCCACTTGCGGTAGCTCGGGCCGTTGACGAACTTGGAGTCCACGAGCGGCTTGGAGTCGTAGAGCCACTCGATCACGGCCTCGTCGTCCTCCTCGTCCAGCTCCATGGTGATGCTCTCCGAGGGCTCGATGTCCAGGATGTTGTCGCCGTAGTCGAGCGGCGGCTCCTCGTCGTCGAAGGGCGGGAAGCGCATGCGCTTGAAGTGGCGGCGGTCGCGCTTCTCGCGCCGCATCATGATCCACATGGTGCCCCACTGGGCGATGTACACGGGCTCGATGACCCACGGGATCTCGTTCACGAAGGTGATGGCGCCCGTGATGTGGTACAGCACCTTGACGTCCTTGACCTGCTCCCAGGGCATGGGCATGTTCTCCAGCAGCTTGAAGATGGCGTGCGGCACGTACTTGAGCGCGCCCAGGTACACGCGCTTGTCGTGGCGGAACTTCTTGCTGCTCATGTCGCCGTGGTCCTTGATGATCTTGCGCACGTGCTCGGGGGGCATGTCGTCCTTGACGGACTCGACGAAGCCGAACTTGCGCTTCTCGCCGTAGCGCTTGGCGTTCATCTTGGCCCAGCGGCGGCTGCGCTCCTCCAGCATCTTCTGCTTCTCCTCGGGGCTCAGGAACGCCACGTTGCCATTGCCGTTGGCGTTGGCGGCGGGCGCCATGTCCACGTCGGCTGCTCCCGGGGGCGAGTTTACTGCCTTTTGTATGGGTGGCACAGCGGCGGGGGCGCTAAGACGTTGCGACCTACGCAATAGGCTAAGTTGGATCTGTATGCTTTACGGTGGGATAGCGGATGTACCGGAATAGTGGTACACCGACGATTGTATGCTGGTGTAATTGAAGATGGCGAGTCCCATGGCGACGGCGGCGACACCGGCGGGTCGGACGCCGCAGCCGTCCGAGGAGGAGGCGAAGGCGGTGGAGAGGGAGATCCCGATCCGATTGACGCTGGGCGCTGCGACGCTGTCGCTCGGCGCCGCGGGGCAGTGGGAGCTCGGTACGAAGCTGGCTGCAGCTGGTAAGCGCGAGATCATCAAGAGACTGATGGACTGCTGTTGTTGCCAGATCATACGGCGCTGCAGCAGACGCAGGAGCGCGCGCGGATGCTGGAGGAACGCAATGCAGCGCTGGAGGCCGAGAACGCCCATCTGAGGGACAAGTGCGCGCGCATGACGGAGGAGTCCAACATGGAGAAGTTCAAGTGCCAGCTACTGGTCGAAATGGTGCGTCGCTGGTAGGTTATTGTCGTGCAGGCAGGCAGCAGAAACTCACCTTTTGCAACGTTGTATCTGCTGTTATCGCTGGTAGCTGGCGGTGTCGAGTCTGGACGAAGAGCGCACTCGGCTGCAGGCGGAGCAGGAGAAGGCCCGAGCCGCCAGCATCAAGACGGACGTGGTCGCGCTGCTGGAGGCGGCTCGCGCCCAAGGTCTAGACGTTCGTAAGCTCGGCCAAGCGCTGGCGGCCGGACCCCTCGCGCCGTAGCAGATACCATAGTAACCCTAGTGATATGTACACACAGGCATCTGCATGCCCGCGTGACGGAGTTGATTCAATTTCGGATTTTGTGGACTGTAGCCATTGTCGTCTGTCGAGATCGCGCGCAGTTGGTGTGAGCCTACACCAACTGGACCTTTTTCCACCAGAGTTCAGAAGAGCCCACAACGGGCGGAGGCATACGATTCCCATTTCCCAAGTCGAGCGCTGTCCCGCCCGCCCTCCTCATAGCCTACTGACTAACCATGGGCGGGTGCTCGTCCAAGGATCCGAAGGACTACGTCGCGCACGAAAACCAGCGCGGGCCCGTGCCCAGCGGGGCAGCCGACGGCTCGCGCCACCGCCAGGACAACCAGCACGAAGGCGGCGGGTCGAGGCGCGGCCGCCCCGCGGTGGACGCGCCCGAGCGCGCGGACCGGTCCAACCGGCGGCCCAACAACAACACGGTGGACTTCCAGGAGTTCAAGGACAAGGAGAAGAACGTGGTGGAGACGATGCTCGAGAGCAACAAGGGCCTGCGCATGGCCGAGATCAATTTCAACGACCTCAAGCTGCAGAAGATCATCGGCGCCGGCGCCTTCGGGGAGGTCATCAAGGGCACGTACTGCGGCACGCCCGTCGTGGTCAAGCGCATGCTGCGAAACAAGATCACGGAGGACAACCTGCGCATGTTCGGCGACGAGATCCAGCTCATGATGAACCTGCGCCACCCCAACATTGTGCAGTTCATCGGTGCCAGTTGGAACTCGTACTCCAACATGTACGTGCAAGCCGAGGGATGGAAGGAGGATGGTGTGGAGGTGGTGATGGTGGCGTCGCGAACTGACTTGCTGTGTGTGTGATGCATCCGTCTCTCTTTCTCGTTGTGCCCCTGTGCAGCTGCTTTGTGACCGAGTTCCTCGAGCGCGGCGACCTATTCGCGGTGCTGCGGAACCCGGAGAACAAGATGACCTGGGCCAAGCCCATTCTGCGCATGACCATCGACACCTCGCGCGGCATGGCCTACCTGCACAGTATGAAGCCCCCCATTATTCATCGCGACCTCAAGAGCATGAACATCCTCGTTAGGTAATGTTTGACAGAGTTGCGCTCGTCGAGCGGCAGATGGAAAGAGTGTGACCCTCTGACTCGCTATGATATGCCTGTTTGATTGACGACGCGCAGCTCGACGTGGGGCGCCAAGGTAAGCGACTTCGGCTTGAGTCGGGAAAAGTCCGTGGATGAGACTATGAGCGTGACCGGCACGCCCCTGTGGCTGCCGCCCGAGATGATCCGCGGAGAGCGCTACACAGAGAAGGCCGACGTGTACAGCTTCGGCATTGGTACGCCATCATACCACCTTTGGATTGCAAGATTTGAAGCGGTAGTTTTGACTGACGGGTTGGTTCCCTGTTGTTTCGTTGTGAGCAGTGCTGGCGGAGCTAGACACGCGCAAGATTCCGTACCACGACATCAAGGCCAAGGGCGCGCGCAACAAGAAGGTGTCGGGCAGCACGCTGATGCACATGGTGGCCTACGAGAATCTGCGCCCGTCGCTGAGCAAGAACTGCATGGACAGCGTGCGCGACCTGTACAAGCGCTGCACGTCCGACGACCAGTCGGTGCGCCCCACCTTCGAGGAGATCGTGCAGTTCCTGGAGAACGACGTGCGCAAGGAGACGCTCGTACGCGCGGTAGGTGCTCTTTGCTGCCTGGGTTGTCGATTTCTGATTCAATGTTCTCGCACCCTGGATACTGATCACCTTTGCATGCCCACAGAACGAGGAGATGAACGTAATCGAGGAAGACCAGAACGGCTCGGACGTATCTCCCGAGGAACTCGGCGTCCACCATGCCACACGCTACGTCGATTAAAAATTTATAACCAGCTTTTTGTCGTTTGTTATCTTCTATTTTTCCTTCTTCTCGTTTCAGTGCTGTGCTTCTCATCCGTCGTGATGACCACGATGTAGCCATGCCCACTACTGTATGCCGTATGCCGTTGGCGAGGTTTTCTGCCGCCACGTGTCGTCCGGTGCCTCCGCATACTGAAACCAAGTTTAACGGTTTAAAACACATCTTCAATCTGGTCCGCGATCCACCACGTACCCACTCAGTCATTCGCACTTTGGACGAGTAGGTAGGAAGGCAGCAAAGGGCAAGAATGGGTGTGTGGAAGTTCGCAGTTTCGCTGGCGGCGGTGGCGCTGGCCGTGGTCAAGGCCGGCGACGTGACGGTGCTGACGCCCGACAACTTCGACGACGTGGTGGACGGCTCCAAGCACGTGCTGGTCAAGTTCTACGCGCCGTGGTGCGGCCACTGCAAGAACCTGGCGCCGGCCTACGAGACGGTGGCCACGGCCTTCAAGAAGACGGACAGCGTCGTGGTGGCCGAGGTGGACGCCGACGAGCACAAGGACCTGGGCTCCAAGTTCGGCGTCACGGGCTTCCCCACGCTCAAGTACTTCCCCGTGGGCTCCACGGAGCCCGAGGACTACAAGGGCGGCCGCAGCGAGGACGACTTCGTCTCGTTCCTGAACGGCAAGGCCGGCACCAACGTGCGCGTGGCCAAGGCCCCGAGCCACGTGGCCGCGCTGACCGAGAGCGACTTCGACGCTGAGGTCATCCACTCGAAGAAGCACGCCATCGTCGAGTTCTACGCGCCGTGGTGCGGCCACTGCAAGAAGCTCGCCCCGACCTACGAGGAGGTGGGCGCCATCTACGAGGGCGAGGACAACGTGCTCATTGCCAAGGTGGACGCCACGGAGAACGCCGAGTTGGCCAAGCGCTACAACGTCAAGGGCTACCCCACGCTCTTCTACTTCCCCCCTGGCGCGGACGAGCCCGAGGACTACTCGAACGGCCGCGACAAGGCCTCGTTCGTCGAGTTCATCAACGAGCACGCCGGCACGTACCGCACTGTGGACGGCGGCCTCACGGCTGAGGCCGGCCGCGTCGAGGAGCTGGACCTGATCATCTCGGAGAGCGGCGACATCACCGCTGCCGTGCTGGAGAAGGCGCAGACGGCTGTGGACGGCCTGGAGGGCAACGACGCCAAGTACGGCGCGCTCTACGTCAAGGCCATCAAGAAGATCGTGGCCAAGGGCCCCTCGTACGTGGACACGGAGATCAAGCGTCTCGAGGACCTGCTCGACAACGACAACGTGTCGCCCCAGAAGAAGACGCTCTTCGCGCTCCGCAAGAACATCCTCGAGTTTTTCCAGGAGAAGCAGAACGAGAAGACGGAGCTGTAAGCTGGAGTCTGTCGAGACTCGCTGGTTGGCAGTCACACGGAGTAGTAGCTAGCATCGATGCTATCGCTAGAATGTCAACGCAGTTCTTTGTATTCTGCTGTCCATTTTTTTGATAGTATGTTTTTGAGCTGTGCGATGCCGCGTTCCTCGTCACCGTTTTATTATATTGCTCAGATCTATTCCGTCGCGAGACTGCGGTGGAGCTGCTCCCGCAACGGTATTTCTCGTTTGTTTTTTCCACGCCAGCTTCTTGTTGTGCCGCATGTCCTAGTGCCTATCATCCATTTCACCGGCCAGACTTGATTGACTGTCGGCCCCTCCGCATCTTTCCTCTTCGACTCATCCTTTGGGTTCACATCTGGAGAGTAGCTACGCTATGTAAGCGCGCGCTGCAATTTCTCACAAAGACTACTCGCCTCGGTGTGCGCCTAGGCCGACGCCATCTCCGACAGGGTGCTGCGTAACTTGTCAGCAAAATTCTGGCAGTCCATGACAATACCTTTCTCAGACGGGCAGCTAGGTACACGCACACCTCCTGACGAGGTCTGCATCTTCACCGAATGATTCTGAATGACAACAACAAAACCCAATAAAGTTAGCGATCTGACTGCGTTGGGGCAGGGCCATTTGGCTTGATGGACAGCGGAACGTACCTCCAGAAAATAAATATCTACGGCGCACCGGTCGCCGTAAGACAAGCGAACCTGCGTCTGCGACCGTGGGATCATCACCAGCTCGGCAGGAACGAAGGACTTGTCATCACCACCGTAAGATTTTTCAGCGTAGTAGCCCTTCTCCTCTCCTGGAAGCTTAAACTTGTAGCCCAGCTTCATTCCCTTTCCACCCATCTTGCCTCGACCAAACGCCTTGGGGCCGCCGTTTGCTGCGCCATCCTTTGTGTTTGGCGGTGGGTCTTGGCGGTAGTATTTGGCGCAAAGTAGCTGAGACTCGACGACGCTGGCCAAGATGCCCATCGGGATGCACGTGCGCTCTAAGGCCTCAACAAATTGTGCCGGGTCACTGTGTCCATTCAGCGCCGATTGGATGAAGTGCATCAATGGATGTTCGGCCTTGTGGCTGTAGTTCACCACAAAGCCCATTTTCTGCTTGAACTGCACGGTCACGCGGTACGTCGTCATGCCATCCGGTGATGATCCAGCAGCAATGCAATGTCTCGGGTTGGGCGCTCGGCAAGCCAACACAATCGCGAACGGATCGGCGCTTTCAACGTAAAAATGTCCGTCGCTCTTGATGTCATTGGTGTAGCGGCCAACGGGGGTAAGCATCTTCTCCAGCTTTACAGCGAGCTCACACAGCGGTCTTACGACGCAAATCAACTCGACCATGAACATCTCCAGCGGATTTTCACTGAAAAGTTCACTCGTGACCAACGTTGTCGGGTACTTGAAGATCAATTGACCTCGGGGGTTGACGTAGTGCGAACGCTCCGATAGCAAGTGCTCTTTCGGTTCCTTCGGGAGAATGAACTTAAACGGTGGTGAAGCAAGCTGAAGGCACAGCTCGAAACCCCCGCCATGCTTCAGGTGACCTTGGATCGCAATGATCTTCAATGGATCCGTGTTGACTTTCTCCGGGAAAGACAGCGTTACCACTTGGCCACCCGTGCCATTTCCGTTCGATGTGCCAGCTTCGCCTGAATAACGAATCCTCGACTTGCGCCGTCTGGCAAAGTTCACGAAGTGCTGCAATTGAATCCTCTCGCTGCACATGTTGATCGCGTGCAGTAGCACCGATGCGATGTGCGGAACAAAATTGCGAGAGACCGCTTGCTGCTCGGCATCATCCAGCCAATACCCGGTAATTTCTTGTACTCGGCCGCCGTCAAGCATCGCCTTTTTCGTTGATCGTACGCTGTTCCCAACCAAAGCATTGCCACTGGAGCCGTAAGGGCGCTTTCGGCTGCCACCACGAAGACCGTTCACGATAATCTCATTGTGACGAGTGACAGAAGGATGCAAATCTTCCTTTTTAAATGCTCCAAATCGCTGGATAAATTGCACGCCTGATGGCTGCCCTGGCATCCCTGCACTCGTCTGCAGTAACGAAAAGCACGGCAATCGCACGTATTCCTCAATTTCTGCTGCTTCATGGACATTTCCATTCATGCCGTCCACTTCACCATACTTATTGATCTCGATAACCAGATAGCACGTAGATTCCTTGGACGATGTCAGCTGGAAATAAAGTGCCGTTTCCGAAATCGTCAAATCCTCAGTCTGGCCGCCGTGCTGTTGTCGGAATGCGAGATATCGCTCCCAGTTCAAGTTAACACTGCGCAGTACTTCAATGCCCTTAAAGGAGGACCCAATTTGGGCAACTTCGTCAGCCACGATCTCGCACAGCACCTTTCGAACACTAGCGTGAATGAGTTCATTGGACTTGTCACCCTTTCCGTCACCAGAGACAAGCGCAAAATCATTCGGGAACGACTTGTCAACAGTGCCTCCCAGCTCGATCTTGCACTGCGTGTTCAGTATCCGTTCCAGTTGCTTTACCGTGACATAAAGCGCAGAATGTTTCGCCGCAGCGACCGAGCTCACAATAAACCGACCCTCGCGAATGTCAAACGTCACTTCCAAAAACTGCTGCAGTCCGCCAATATCTGCCCGTGCAATCCGCAGACTTGTATCCGAGCAGACCATGGACACATCTTCTCCCGAAACCAGCTGCGTAGAAGCCTTGTCATCCGGGGAATCGACAACAAGTTGCCTGCCAATCGAGAAAAGAGCTGCCGAAACGTGAGCGCGCATTGCCGCGATCAGCAAGTTTTCGGCACTCAGCAAGAACATGTTGGACGGCACCTCCAAAGCGCTCAGTAGTGCCGCATATCCCGGGAGGTTCGGCGGAAGCGAAGGACTCAGAGTAACGGACAGAAGCTTCTTCTTGTTCGGATCAAAACCCAGGCGTACACACAAGCTCGACTCGGGAAACGGCAGCGCGGAGCCCCTTCGAGCGTTTGCAACCGGATCGCTCAATTGTTGGAGAAGCCGCTGCTGTTCCGTCAGCGCCTGCGCCTCCTTCCACGTGCAAGCCTTGGGCCAGTAGCAAATATCCAACACATTCTGGTCGCGATGGTGCTTGATCATGATACGATTCTTCCAGCGACCATCCATGAGTAGTTTTCCCTGCGAAGCCAGAATCTGCAGCGCCAGCGACGAGCAGAACTCGCGCATCACCTGAAACGCGTCTACAAATGGCTTCTCCGACTTGTTCATGGCGCGCTGCACGAGGTTCTTCAAGTGGTTATAGTGCGCCGCGTTGGGCGCATTTGTCCGAATGATGCGCAAGGCACTCGTCGACGCCGCCTGCGAGTGGTCTTCAAAGGCCTGCGAGTCCGTGAGCGCCGTGTTCACGCTGATAACCCTCCACTTGGCGTCCTTCTCCTTGCCCTGAATTGTCAGCACGATCTCGAACTCGCCTTCCGCTTGACACGTGACGAAGCCCCCCTCCAGCTTAATGTTGGAGAACTGCTCTGGGATCTCTGCCTCAATTAATCGGAAGCGGATGATATCCGCCACCTCCGTCGCTGCCTGTTCCGTATCCACCTCGGGCAGCTCGCGCGGGAACATGGCGTTCTTGATGATGGTCGGCAGCCGCAGGTAGCTGCCTCCATACAGCACGTCCACGGCCGTGCTCAGGTCGTACCGCCGCTCCTTGGCGCGGTTGAGATCCGCGTGCATGAAGAACAGTCGGTCGTTGGTCTCGTTCACGTTGTTGCGGTAGCTCTCCGTCTGCTGCAGCAACGTGTCGCACTGCTGCAGCAGCGGCGACTGCACCGACCACTTGAGCACCGCCAGGATCTGTGCAAAGCGCTTGCGGGAGCTCTGCAGATGCGCCAGCAGCGGCTCGCGGCGCTCCTCCTCGCGCATCGTGGGCAGCTGGTGCATGAGAGTGCGGAAGTCCTCATAGCTCTTGTCCACGGCGCGATGCACGAGCTCGGAGGCCTTGACGCTCGTGCGCTCGGGCGGCGGGAAGTCGCCCATGTCGTTCTACGCTCCGCTGTCGTCTCCTGTTGCTATTTTGCCCCGGATCCAGCCACCCCCAGCGCGGAAATAGCTTCGATCGGACGACTTTGGCGCGCGTTTCAGGCGCGGCGCGGCGCGGCGCAGTTAAGTCCGTCGCGCGGGCCTGTAAGTGGAGCGGTGCGCTGCTCCGTGTCTTGGGTGCGGCGGCGCGGGGTTCCCTCGCCTCTGCGCGGCGCAATGGGGTACGTAAGGCGGCGGCCGACACACGCTTCTCTCTCCTCCCTCTGAGGGCTGGGAAGCAACTTCACAAGTGAGCCGCGGAAACCGCGCCGAGGCCGCGCCGCGCAATTGGTCAAAATGTATCTATCGTGTGTACCACACCAAGTCAAGAAAAACCTCCGAGGTTTTTTGCAAGTTTGCATCGCCAGAAGGTGCCAGTCGCCAATTTACCAGCACCGAGACTGTAGTAAAGGCAGGCGGCAAGAGGCATCCCCCTAGTGATGTCTCTGCGTACACGAACAATTGCTATCGAACAGACAACACGGTTATAGGTTCTCTAATTTCTTCCATTTCCAAGTTTAACGAACGACAAACTCCGGCGACGCAGAAAGTCTGCGGCCCGAGTAGTTGACGACGAGCTCAGACACTTGACGCAGCTTACTTGAACACCTTCGAGTCGGCGATGGGCTTGCCCTCCAGCTCGTCTTCGTTGCACCAGTAGGCGGCAATGCGAGCCTTCGTCTCGTCGTTCAGCTCCGCCTTCGTCCACGTGTAGTACTCGGCGTCCGGGTTGGCCTCGACCATGTGCTTCTCCGAGTCGCCACGGAACAGCCAGCAGCCCGTGATGATGATCTCCGAGCCCTCGGCGCCGCACACGTCCATCACACCGAACGCGTACTTGCGCATGGCCTCCGAGCGCTGCAGGAAGCCGCCCACGGCGTTGCACGTCATGAACATCTTGGTGTTCTCCTTGTTGTAGTTGTAGTCGCAGAACCACAGCGAGTAGCCCTCCGTGTCCAGGTGCTCCCAGAACCACTTCATGGCGTCCGCCAGGTCCTTGGTGTTCGAGTACTGCACCTTCCACGCGTCCAGGTTCATCGACGACGGCTTCTCGCGGTTCAGCACGGCCAGCGGGTGCTCCACCTTCTTGGGCTTGGGGGCCTCCTCCTTCGGGGCGGCCTTCTCCTTCTTCGGGGCGTCCTTCTTGGCCTTCTTGCCAGAGTTGTCGCCCTCGGCGGTCAGAGCCACGTCAATGAGAGGCACGTCGCCCACCACGGCCTGGAACTCGGGCTGGTTCACCAGCGTCGCGAACCAGCGGTTCACGGCCGAGTACGGCTTGCGGAACTCCTTGTCCAGCACGAACTTGAACGGGTACACAAGGGCCGTGGCTATGAAGATGTCAGCCAGGGTGATCTGCTCGCCCACGAGGTAGGTGCGCAGGTGCAGGTGGTTCTCGAGGGTCTGCAGAGCCTTCTTGACGTCAGCCTTGGCCTTAGTGAGGGCCTCGGCGTTGTACTTAGCCCAGCCCAGGATGGGGTACAGCCAGGCCTGGAGGGGGATCTCCAGCTCGTAGGCGGAGAAGTCGATCCAGGAGTCCACCTGGCCCGACTCGAAGAAGGTCTTGCCGTACAGGCCGGTGTCGTTGCGGAGGCGAGCCACGTACTTGGCGATAGCGCCGCTCTCGAAGATCGTGCCCTCCTCGGTCTCGAGGATCGGCACCTTGCCCACGGGGGTCTTGGACTGGAACTCCTCGGACTTGAGGTCCGTGGCCATGTCGAACTCCGGCAGCTCGATGTCGACGCCGTTGTACTCGGCGGCGATGAGCACCTTGAAGACGCGGTAGTTGGCGGGGTACGTGTAGAGCTTCTGCTCGGCGGTAAACGGGCAGGCAACGCATACGGTGAGTTAAGAGGAGTCCTACATACGAACGCTTCCCGACAACAGGCAAACGTACGAAAACCATCTTGCCGATCTTGGGGAAGAAAGAGAATGGGAGGCCAAGCCCCCCCGCTGGCCCTGCAATCGGTTGGCTTTCGACACGCGCCTAAATAGTCAGACCAAACTTTATTTGTGTCGAGTCAAATGTCAAAATGTTTTTGTTGTGGTTAGGGCCTACGAAATTTTGTGTTACTCAAATTACAGTTGAGCAGCAATTGCACAGACGGTAAAAAAGAGTGGCAGGTTTTAGCATCTTGTGCAGCAGCGGTGGCCAGCGGCAACTGGCAATAACTCGCACTTCACTTTTTGTTAAAGTGTAAGCAAAAATTTCAAGCAGCTTCATGCAGCAAAGTTCGACGCCTAGTACTGCCATGAGTTTACAAACCAAGAATACATTTTACAGTGTACCTAACAAAACATGAAATCTATTACAGAGAGACCTTGTTGGCATATTAGACAACCGAGATAGCCCATTGTGGTAATTATGCAGCCACTGTTTTGATGAGGCCTAAGTTACAAAACGTTTACTTCAAGTAATCTAGAAGTGAGTGCATTGTAGACTACAACCTGCAAGGTGATTGCGTTGTCAATCCATCCCGAAGGGATCAAGCCAATTGCTCACGTGATTCACACGAGCTTGTGCATTTGCTACAACGTATCCAAGCTACATCCGCTTACCTTGTTTTGTCAAGCAGTGTTTCTTGTTAAAGGTAAAGGCGCTTTTGTTTGTAAGAAAGTTACGATGCTGGCTTAGCTTCCACCATGGATTCTGTCGAGGCCGATTTGGGCTACCCGGAAGAGCACTTTGGCAGGCAAATTCCCCGATTGGATACGCAAATTGTGAAATCGATTCTGTTGTACTTGCGTAAAGACGATTATCATGGGAGAAATTTGAGGGTTCGCATACATATCTAGTAGTAACGTCGATTGAAGTGCTTGTTGAAGCTATCCACCTGGGTTAATAGGCTGATCATATTGCTGTCAATGTAGCTGTTGTGGGTATTGGATAATGCACCCCAAATATGTGCCCAAACCCAAAAAAAATCCCGAAGGGATGTAAGTTTTAGGCACAGATTACGGACACATTAACCGACGTTTTAGGTGTATATTCGGGACAGGTTGTATTTCGGTACATAGTTAGGATAACTATAATTTAGGTACACATTTGGGATTCGTCCTATCAACCCGGCGAATTTTTAGGACACTTTGAGGACGGATAAAATTTAGGTACACATTTGGGATATCATGGTGCGACCCGGTGTATATGTTGGGATGGATGGTGTTGTATTGAACTTAGCCTACGAGCTAGATCTGTTCGTGTCGCTACTCCTGCGTGGGTTCCGGTTCGAAGCGCAGGTAGTCGTCAGGCACTTCGACGCGTGCCAAGTTGGCATGGTCAGGTGGCTGCTGGCGCTGATGGCGAATGTCTTCGATGAGGTCGACATAGTTTTGAGACTTGGTCTTGATCACGTCAACAAATGTCAACAAGCTTGGGTAAGAAGTCGTAAACGACTCGTTCAACGTCCGGTTGAAACGCTCCAGAGCGTTATTGGTGCGGTTGACAATGTCCACTGCCTCAGCAATAGTATTGACGTTCCACGTTGAAGGACCATACGTCCGCATCCAGGTCTTGGCAAAGTAGCGCCAAAAGGTGGACCACTTGACTCGATGGCCAGACTCATCGATGCGACTGCGAACGTACGGGATGCCCTTCGAAATAATTTCGTCCACTGTGATGACGGGTTAACACGTCGATCACGCCACTTGACATGACGTTAGCAACCGTGTCAACCGGGATGCGCAAGTCAAGCATCTTGCGACGCAAGGCTTGCTTCCAGTGGAATAGGCATCCCACAAGAGGCACCCCGGGGAACTGCTCACGCTCAGCGTTGATCAAGCCCAGTTCAAAGTCACAGGTGACGGTCCGAGGGTCCACTTGCATGTCACACTGCATGATCACCATGTCCAACATGTGCCAGTACGTCTGCTGCTCTTTGCCTTGGAGGAGGACGTAGAAAATCGGGAGGTACAAGTCGAACGCCGGATCGAATCCCATTATTATTGCAACTTGGGAAAAGGGCTTGGGGCACGCCTTGAAGGTGCAGTCGACAAAAAGTGGGTTCTTCGGGTACTTGAGCAGCCGTAGGAGGTCGGGATGGGCGAACCCCACCATGCGCTTGTGTTTCCCCGCTTGGGCGTAGAGATAGCTGAATTGCAGGAAGGGGCGGGCGTCATCAGCGCTGACGAGTGACGTGGGTTCCAATTCGATTGCACGGAACACGTCACCGCCTGTTAACTCCCGTCTAACGTTCTTGACAAACGAAACGGCTGACGGTTTCGCCATCACACGAAGGGACGCCGACTTGCCGTACTTCCGGTGAAGAGTCGCCATCGCGGTGGACCAAACGCGCGTCGGAGCCATAGCCATGTCGCTTGCGGTCAGTGTCTCGATGATCTCCTTCATCTCGGCCGAAGCGTCGATAACGGTTTCACGTGGGGGGTCACAGGTGTGGCTGTTAACCTCCAGGACAACACCGGTTGACTTGGAAGCTGATAATGCATCCCGAAAGTGCACCCAAACCGCCCCAAACATCCCGAAAATGAACTTTTTTGGTGGATTTGGGCACATATTTCGGGCGGAATACACGGTGTTTGGGCAAAGCCCGAGATATTTTTGCCCAAAACATGCAACATACCAGCAACGTAAGTGCAACATTAAGGCAACATAAAAATATGTACTATCCAACTTAAACTTGTGCTGCTCTCCAACCATTTAGGATGCTGTTCGTTTAACCAGTCATTGCGAGCACGAGTTCCGTGCGACTCAGCGCAGTCTTGCGCTCAGTTGGGAAATTTCTGGATGGAACACAAGAACCACACCTACAGTATCAAGAGCGGCTACAACGGCACGGTCTACTACATCTGTAGCCGTGTCCGCTCGACCGGCTGTCCGGCTCGTCTGACTGTCAAGTCAACGGTATTGGATAATGCACCCCAAATATGTGCCCAAACCCAAAAAAAATCCCGAAGGGATGTAAGTTTTAGGCACAGATTACGGACACATTAACCGACGTTTTAGGTGTATATTCGGGACAGGTTGTATTTCGGTACATAGTTAGGATAACTATAATTTAGGTACACATTTGGGATTCGTCCTATCAACCCGGCGAATTTTTAGGACACTTTGAGGACGGATAAAATTTAGGTACACATTTGGGATATCATGGTGCGACCCGGTGTATATGTTGGGATGGATGGTGTTGTATTGAACTTAGCCTACGAGCTAGATCTGTTCGTGTCGCTACTCCTGCGTGGGTTCCGGTTCGAAGCGCAAGTAGTCGTCAGGCACTTCGACGCGTGCCAAGTTGGCATGGTCAGGTGGCTGCTGGCGCTGATGGCGAATGTCTTCGATGAGGTCGACATAGTTTTGAGACTTGGTCTTGATCACGTCAACAAATGTCAACAAGCTTGGGTAAGAAGTCGTAAACGACTCGTTCAACGTCCGGTTGAAACGCTCCAGAGCGTTATTGGTGCGGTTGACAATGTCCACTGGTATTGACGTTCCACGTTGAAGGACCATACGTCCGCATCCAGGTCTTGGCAAAGTAGCGCCAAAAGGTGGACCACTTGACTCGATGGCCAGACTCATCGATGCGACTGCGAACGTACGGGATGCCCTTCGAAATAATTTCGTCCACTGTGATGACGGTTAACACGTCGATCACGCCACTTGACATGACGTTAGCAACCGTGTCAACCGGGATGCGCAAGTCAAGCATCTTGCGACGCAAGGCTTGCTTCCAGTGGAATAGGCATCCCACAAGAGGCACCCCGGGGAACTGCTCACGCTCAGCGTTGATCAAGCCCAGTTCAAAGTCACAGGTGACGGTCCGAGGGTCCACTTGCATGTCACACTGCATGATCACCATGTCCAACATGTGCCAGTACGTCTGCTGCTCTTTGCCTTGGAGGAGGACGTAGAAAATCGGGAGGTACAAGTCGAACGCCGGATCGAATCCCATTATTATTGCAACTTGGGAAAAGGGCTTGGGGCACGCCTTGAAGGTGCAGTCGACAAAAAGTGGGTTCTTCGGGTACTTGAGCAGCCGTAGGAGGTCGGGATGGGCGAACCCCACCATGCGCTTGTGCTTCCCCGCTTGGGCGTAGAGATAGCTGAATTGCAGGAAGGGGCGGGCGTCATCAGCGCTGACGAGTGACGTGGGTTCCAATTCGATTGCACGGAACACGTCACCGCCTGTTAACTCCCGTCTAACGTTCTTGACAAACGAAACGGCTGACGGTTTCGCCATCACACGAAGGGACGCCGACTTGCCGTACTTCCGGTGAAGAGTCGCCATCGCGGTGGACCAAACGCGCGTCGGAGCCATAGCCATGTCGCTTGCGGTCAGTGTCTCGATGATCTCCTTCATCTCGGCCGAAGCGTCGATAACGGTTTCACGTGGGGGGTGCTGTTAACCTCCAGGACAACACCGGTTGACTTGGAAGCTGATAATGCATCCCGAAAGTGCACCCAAACCGCCCCAAACATCCCGAAAAATGAACTTTTTTGGTGGATTTGGGCACATATTTCGGGCGGAATACACGGTGTTTGGGCAAAGCCCGAGATATTTTTGCCCAAAACATGCAACATACCAGCAACGTAAGTGCAACATTAAGGCAACATAAAAATATGTACTATCCAACTTAAACTTGTGCTGCTCTCCAACCATTTAGGATGCTGTTCGTTTAACCAGTCATTGCGAGCACGAGTTCCGTGCGACTCAGCGCAGTCTTGCGCTCAGTTGGGAAATTTCTGGATGGAACACAAGAACCACACCTACAGTATCAAGAGCGGCTACAACGGCACGGTCTACTACATCTGTAGCCGTGTCCGCTCGACCGGCTGTCCGGCTCGTCTGACTGTCAAGTCAACGGTATTGGATAATGCACCCCAAATATGTGCCCAAACCCAAAAAAAATCCCGAAGGGATGTAAGTTTTAGGCACAGATTACGGACACATTAACCGACGTTTTAGGTGTATATTCGGGACAGGTTGTATTTCGGTACATAGTTAGGATAACTATAATTTAGGTACACATTTGGGATTCGTCCTATCAACCCGGCGAATTTTTAGGACACTATGAGGACGGATAAAATTTAGGTACACATTTGGGATATCATGGTGCGACCCGGTGTATATGTTGGGATGGATGGTGTTGTATTGAACTTAGCCTACGAGCTAGATCTGTTCGTGTCGCTACTCCTGCGTGGGTTCCGGTTCGAAGCGCAGGTAGTCGTCAGGCACTTCGACGCGTGCCAAGTTGGCATGGTCAGGTGGCTGCTGGCGCTGATGGCGAATGTCTTCGATGAGGTCGACATAGTTTTGAGACTTGGTCTTGATCACGTCAACAAATGTCAACAAGCTTGGGTGAGAAGTCGTAAACGACTCGTTCAACGTCCGGTTGAAACGCTCCAGAGCGTTATTGGTGCGGTTGACAATGTCCACTGCCTCAGCAATAGTATTGACGTTCCACGTTGAAGGACCATACGTCCGCATCCAGGTCTTGGCAAAGTAGCGCCAAAAGGTGGACCACTTGACTCGATGGCCAGACTCATCGATGCGACTGCGAACGTACGGGATGCCCTTCGAAATAATTTCGTCCACTGTGATGACGGTTAACACGTCGATCACGCCACTTGACATGACGTTAGCAACCGTGTCAACCGGGATGCGCAAGTCAAGCATCTTGCGACGCAAGGCTTGCTTCCAGTGGAATAGGCATCCCACAAGAGGCACCCCGGGGAACTGCTCACGCTCAGCGTTGATCAAGCCCAGTTCAAAGTCACAGGTGACGGTCCGAGGGTCCACTTGCATGTCACACTGCATGATCACCATGTCCAACATGTGCCAGTACGTCTGCTGCTCTTTGCCTTGGAGGAGGACGTAGAAAATCGGGAGGTACAAGTCGAACGCCGGATCGAATCCCATTATTATTGCAACTTGGGAAAAGGGCTTGGGGCACGCCTTGAAGGTGCAGTCGACAAAAAGTGGGTTCTTCGGGTACTTGAGCAGCCGTAGGAGATCGGGATGGGCGAACCCCACCATGCGCTTGTGCTTCCCCGCTTGGGCGTAGAGATAGCTGAATTGCAGGAAGGGGCGGGCGTCATCAGCGCTGACGAGTGACGTGGGTTCCAATTCGATTGCACGGAACACGTCACCGCCTGTTAACTCCCGTCTAACGTTCTTGACAAACGAAACGGCTGACGGTTTCGCCATCACACGAAGGGACGCCGACTTGCCGTACTTCCGGTGAAGAGTCGCCATCGCGGTGGACCAAACGCGCGTCGGAGCCATAGCCATGTCGCTTGCGGTCAGTGTCTCGATGATCTCCTTCATCTCGGCCGAAGCGTCGATAACGGTTTCACGTGGGGGGTCACAGGTGTGGCTGTTAACCTCCAGGACAACACCGGTTGACTTGACAGTCAGACGAGCCGGACAGCCGGTCGAGCGGACACGGCTACAGATGTAGTAGACCGTGCCGTTGTAGCCGCTCTTGATACTGTAGGTGTGGTTCTTGTGTTCCATCCAGAAATTTCCCAACTGAGCGCAAGACTGCGCTGAGTCGCACGGAACTCGTGCTCGCAATGACTGGTTAAACGGACAGCATCCTAAATGGTTGGAGAGCAGCACAAGTTTAAGTTGGATAGTACATATTTTTATGTTGCCTTAATGTTGCACTTACGTTGCTGGTATGTTGCACGTTTTGGGCAAAAATATCTCGGGCTTTGCCCAAACACTGTGTATTCCGCCCGAAATATGTGCCCAAATCCACCAAAAAAAGTTCATTTTTCGGGATGTTTGGGGCGGTTTGGGTGCACTTTCGGGATGCATTATCAGCTTCCGCTGTTGTGTACTGGAACTAGTTGTTTTTGTAGCAAGTTGTGTCAGTTCCTTGCATCGATTTTCTCTTATTGACGTACTATAGTTAGTAACATGAATTGTTACTGCGTATCTGCAACTTGCAGACTGCAAGCAATCCACTCAACGCAGTATTCACTATTTTGTCTACGACGGCAATGAAGAGTCCACAAGCGAACACATTTTCGATGAAAGCAACTTGTGTTTTGCATACACAGGAGCAGAGGGTCCGTAAAAAATGCTAGAATGCAATCTAAAGGTCTGCTCTTCTCCACTGCATGAGACAGCTATTTGTTATTTTTGCGGCTCTCTCTCGCTTGCTTGGATAACACAAGTCGACCGCACCACCAGCTAATGCTGAATATATCAAAGACATGTAAACTTGTCAGCACTTTCTAGCGGGAATCTCTCACTTCTCTGAGATGAGTTTATTAGTTTCCGCACACCACGATCCTGTCAGTTCAGCGACAAACCAAAATTAAGTTTGTTTAACGTGAAAAACAACGATGTATCACGAAAAAAATTGACACAAATGTCAATTACCTGTGTAACATAGCAAGCTGATCCCTATCGCCAGCCTCCGTCATTGCCACGCCAGTCCCCAAGAGTTATACAACTCAAGCACTGCACTACAGAGCCTTCGTGAAGCTTCAACAGTGTTGCTTTCATTAGCGATGCCCTCCGGGTAACCACAGTTCTCGCAATTTTGACTAATACTGCATTATTGTTGGGTCGGATTTCTCACAATGCGGTATCAGGCATAGCTTCGAAACGTGAGCGAATGCTTCGTAAACCCATTTGGCGGTTGACTATTCGATTTATATGGCGTGCAGTAGCTACATGACTTCTCTTTTAGCTGCGTATACTCCAAGCAATAGCTTATTAAGAGAAAATTCCATATTTCCCATATTTTGCTATTCAAAAAATGTCATATTTTCTGAAAAAGTGGGAAAATTGGCCTTTCCCGTATTTGTAGAGGTCTGGTTATTAGTAGTTGCAAAAATATAAAAACAGCGAACGTGCTCACATGAAATTTATGCACTCGAAAGTCTGAGCACATGATTGAAGTACGGAAGTCGGCGAGATGTAGTCGAAGCTACGGGCGATCCGGGTTGGGAGATTCAGCGTTAAATTACCGCCTCAAGTTGTTCTCATCCACCGTGCATGTTAATTCTTTGCTGTCTGGAAACCTGAATCATGCCATAGCGCTTGCTTGAGTGAACATGCAGTGGTTGAGCCACATACGATTTTTTCTTTTCGAGAACGCTCAGTTATCTTGCGCCGTCCGTACATAATTTATTTTTATCGGGAACAAAACGAATATTCTAGGTTCATAGATTTCTCTATGAACCTAGTTTCAAGATGATTGTATATTTATAAATGCAATCCTTTTTAAACCTGGCAAAAGGCTGCCTTGGACATCGCCAGTAACAATGCCAAGATTCGTTTGTTGATCTCTTTATTGAACCACTGGTGAGTACCGAAGTACAGCAAGCGTTCTTCACCAGATGAAACAATTGGCGGGAACCCGGGTACCCATCGGGACCCCGGTTCCCCCAAAACTACCGGTACCCATATATGATCGAATGTATTGAAGAGTTGGTCTACGACCTGCGTTGAACGTAGCTTAAGCTCGGAAGAGAAACGGAAGGTGAATTCGTCTCCGCTCTCGTCCTGTGTCTCTCCATGAAAATCCAAACGCTTGCCTGGTACGGCGGTAGAGTGCTTTCCGGTCATATGGCTAACCTCCTGCTCATGTAAGGTGGACTTGGGCATGGTAAGGTACGTTATTCGGGCCTATTCAGTACTGGTGACAGATTTGCGGGTAGTTTTTCGTCGACAGCACCTGGGTTGATGGTTTGACTTGCCCCAACGCTACCAATATGGGGGCCAAAACTTAAATAAATAATTCGCGATTTGGTCGGTATCATTTGCGGGAACCCGGGTTCCCGCCAATTGTTTCAGATGAACAGCTACCGACTGAACGTCATATCAGCTAATCTATATATATATTAATACCTATACTTAGTACCTACTTAGAGAAGTATATTCTAATATGTAAAAAAATTACCTTATCTCAGTCGGAGACGCAGTCGCGTAGTCGAAGTTTTACCAGTACTTAGTACTGAGTACGAGCCATAGTGGGAATCATTTGTTGCAAAAGCACTCATTTAACTAAATGAGCGATTTCGGGTCAAGACGGAAAATACGGGGGAAAAATCGGAAATTCACGTACTGGTAGGGGTCTGGTAATAACTACACCTTTGCCAATCCAAGTTGGCAGCAGTGTCGTTGTTACAATAGCATCCACGACTGTGAACAACCCGCAACAAACACTTTGGGCAAATTTTCTTTTTTTTTCTTTGTTAAATGATGCTTCCTATTAGTTAGTATGCTCACAACCGCACATATAATATATTACTTCGAAGTACGTCGATAACGGTTTCTCCGGCAGGTCGATCCGTATTGTGCTCTCCACCTGTTTCGTCCGGCTGGCGATGTCGAACTCGCCAACTTTCCTTAAAACCTTAAAACCTTTGGGCAATTACTCAGAAGTGATTAAATTGTGCTAATAAGTATTTAATACTTGGCACTAAGTAGCACCCTTCCAATCTGGGGTCCTGAAACAAACTACCTCAAGTATCACGTGTGTTGTACGCGTACATGCACAGCTTATCTAATTTGCGTGGCAGCAAACACAACCACATCATTCTTTTTCCAAAACACATCGGAGCTGCACTGTACTTGATCAGCATCAGATAAACTTCCAGGCTATGGAGTGCAGCACGTTGTGGTTATGGTACTTGGGACGCCCAAACTACACTGCCTGCAACAACACTTTGCCCGATAGCTAGCACTTTCAGCAAGACAAGAAAATATTCCGACAGCAAATGCTGTTAATAATTATCTTTAACGCTAACCTCTTGGTCGATCCTTTCTTCCCAAGCAAGCACAGCAGCCACAGTAGCCAACTTACTACGGGGCTTATGAGGACGGGTTAAGACAAAGCGACTTACTTGAACACCTTCGAGTCGGCGATGGGCTTGCCCTCCAGCTCGTCCTCGTTGCACCAGTAGGCGGCAATGCGAGCCTTCGTCTCGTCGTTCAGCTCCGCCTTCGTCCACGTGTAGTACTCGGCGTCCGGGTTGGCCTCGACCATGTGCTTCTCCGAGTCGCCACGGAACAGCCAGCAGCCCGTGATGATGATCTCCGAGCCCTCGGCGCCGCACACGTCCATCACACCGAACGCGTACTTGCGCATGGCCTCCGAGCGCTGCAGGAAGCCGCCCACGGCGTTGCACGTCATGAACATCTTGGTGTTCTCCTTGTTGTAGTTGTAGTCGCAGAACCACAGCGAGTAGCCCTCCGTGTCCAGGTGCTCCCAGAACCACTTCATGGCGTCCGCCAGGTCCTTGGTGTTCGAGTACTGCACCTTCCACGCGTCCAGGTTCATCGACGACGGCTTCTCGCGGTTCAGCACGGCCAGCGGGTGCTCCACCTTCTTGGGCTTGGGGGCCTCCTCCTTCGGGGCGGCCTTCTCCTTCTTCGGGGCGTCCTTCTTGGCCTTCTTGCCAGAGTTGTCGCCCTCGGCGGTCAGAGCCACGTCAATGAGAGGCACGTCGCCCACCACGGCCTGGAACTCGGGCTGGTTCACCAGCGTCGCGAACCAACGGTTCACAGCCGTGTACGGCTTGCGGAACTCCTTGTCCAGCACGAACTTGAATGGGTACACGAGAGCGGAGGCAACGACAATGTCAGCAAGAGTGATCTGCTCGCCCACGAGGTAGGTGCGCAGGTGCAGGTGGTTCTCGAGGGTCTGCAGAGCCTTCTTGACGTCGGCCTTGGCCTTAGTGAGGGCGGCTGCGTTGAACTTGCCGACACCGAGGATCGGGTGCACCCACACCTCAAGGGGAACCTCGAGCTCGTAGGCGGAGAAGTCGATCCAGGAGTCCACCTGGCCCGACTCGAAGAAGGTCTTGCCGTAGAGACCCGTGTCCGGGCGCAGACGAGCGATGTAGCGGGCGATGGCGCCGCTTTCAAAGATCGTGCCCTCCTTCGTCTCGAGGACCGGGACCTTGCCCACGGGGGTCTTGGCCTTGAACGACTTGGTCTTGAGGTCCTTGGCCATGTCGAACTTGGGCAGCTCGATGTGGATGCCGTTGTACTCGGCGGCGATGAGCACCTTGAAGACACGGTAGTTTCCGGGATACGTGTAGAGCTTCTGCTCAGCGGCATCAACACATATGCTTGTCAATAACTACACAGGGAAGGCGGGGGGGGGGGGCAGCTCAACAGCAGCAGAAGCAGCAGCGTACCATCTTGGCTTGGGAACGAAGAAACGAGAAGTGGATCCAAAACGCGATCCTTTCCAACGACTGGATGCCGCAGTACATACCGGTTCTGAAAACATCACTATGCAGAATACATATCCCACTAAGCCTACCATAGTGCATTATTCATTTCGTACCTGTACATACCGGTATCCTCCCTAAAACTGAACCCACGATAGAGAGTGGGACCTCTACGGTATGCAGCGCGGCGGTTGCACGGGGCTCGCTTGCTGGTGTCTACTACAGTAGTGTACTCGATGCGCGCCGCCAAGTCCGCAACGAGGTGTTGCTGCAGCCCAGTCGTAGCGAATTCACGACGACCAGCGACGACGCCAGCGAAAATCGCTCTCTGCCGGTGCTGTCGCCCACTGGTGTCGCAGCGTTTATGGCGCTGTACGGAGCCCAAATCCCCGGTACAGGGTACCATAATGGCACCATGTACCAGTACCAACCGTAACGGCGCTGGCTTTTTGGCCCGTGCGGCAAGCTGGGCGTACACTTGACGAAAGAGACGAGCGGCAGCAGGAAGGAAGCCACGCCGCACGCAGCGCAGCGCCGAGGGTCGAGGCGAGTCTAGTCGACGACGGGAAAGGCCCAGAGGGACGCCAGCGACGCACACGCTACACACGCCGCGTTAGGCCCCAGCGAGGCCTACACACACGCAGTCAGGCGCCCGACCGACAAGGCCCCAGTCAGTCTTTGGCGGCAGTAGCGCATGGCCAGCAGAGACAACCGAGACAGCGGCGGCCTCTACGTGTCCGAGCGGCAGCCCATGCACAACGGGCCCTCGAGCTCCGCGCCCTCCGGCCGCAAGGGGAAAAGGTCACAGCGTCCGCACGCGCCGCCCCCGCCCCCGCCGCAGCAGCCCCGCAAGCAGCCGCACTACGACCCGAACGAGATGGACTACGGCATATCCGAGTCCGAGCGTCAGATGCCCGGCGGCGACGTGCCCTACTACGCCCGTACAGACAGCGCGCCGAACGCCGCGGGCTTCCCGAACGGAATGCTCGAAGCAGGGTAAGTCACTGGGAAACAGGAGAGGGAGATGCTGTTTGCTACGTGGTGGTAACGCTCGTGTCTGCTTCTGTGTGTGTATGTGTACTTGTTGTCAGTAATGGCTACTCGTCCATGCGAACTCCGATTGAGCTGAAGAAGGACCCACCCAGCTCTAAACAAATGCGTTCTGTAGATGAGAGCTCCGAGGACAGCTTCGACAACGGCAGCTACATCACGGACAAGATCCAGGGCGGCCCCAATGAAGGCATCGGCTGGTTCCATGCCAAGATCAAGGTCGAGAACTCCATCCACTGGGCCAACAACTACAAGATCCAAGCCTGCATGTTCTTCATCTTCATCTGCGGCGCCGCGCTGACGATCGCCTTCGCCGACAACAACGCCGACGTCTCGGTGGGACTCGTGGCGGGAAGCCTCATCACGCTTTTCTGTTGCTGCGCTGTGGTGTACACGTTCCTGACCCGCCCAACGTGGAGGAAGCACCCGAACCCGATTATCTTCTTCCGCAGTATCTGCGACATTTGTCTGGTGGCGGTGCTGCTCATCACGGAGCTGTACAAGTGCGGCAACGGAGATTGCTCTAAGACGCTGACGGGGGCTTCATGCACAGCCACAGCCGCGCTCACGCAGTTCTTCCTTTGGACTTCGGAGAGTTGGTTCTTCGTCATGGCCATCGACATGCTGTCGTCATTGCAGAGTCCGTTCACGGACTACAAGAGCAACGTTCGCCGCTATCACGGGTTCGTGTGGGCCACAGGTATGCTTATAACTTGGTGCAAACGCGCAGCGGGAGGAGTGTGATCTAACAGTGGGTGTTTTGACAGGTCTCATTACGTGCATCATCCTGGTATCCATCCCAGACTTTGCCGGCGAATCCGAATTCGGATACTGTTGGACAGCAAGCAAGAGCAAGTTGCGACATGATGATGATAATGACGGTTCCGGTTCGAGCGAGACGGGCAATCTCTGGAACCTCAACTTTCAGTACGTTCATCGTTGACATGAGTAGCTGGAACTAGGTAGTAATTTGGTGGGATGGTTGTTGTGTTTGTCTACCATCAGGTCGTGGCTGCTCTTCTACATCTGGCTCATTTTGTACTGGGTTTACGCCATCACGTACGTTTCCTCCGCTACATCTTTTAGAGGCAGCCTTCAATTAACAGCATTTTAACTTTTTTGCTCGTGTACAGAGTCATCTACTGGGCGTACAGGCGTCTCAACTCCGGCCTTTCGGAGACACTCCGCATGCGTCTTCGTGTGCTACACTCGGTCACGATGTAAGATCTCTCGTATTTACTTGGCGATTTGTATAGTGGTGCTGACATTACGTGGCTTTTGCTGTCTTTGACCCTTAGCTATGTGATCGCCATTATCATTTACTGGGGTCTGTCTTTTTGCATTTACGTGCCATTTTTGGTCCAAGGAGAAGAACGATCCAGTTGGGTGGAGCAGATGATGAACTTCATGATTACATGCAAGGGATACTTCGACTTTGTTGTGTGGTTTCAGATGAACGACTTTCACGACGCCTTGAAGAAGGGAAAAGGAAAGAAGGCGGACGTCGATGTCGATGTGGATCTTAGTCCTCAAGTGAACCTTGCTCTGCGTTGCGAGGTGCTGTACTATACCACGACTGGTATCATTCAGGCTGTGCGTGACACGCAGCACTTGCCTCCTGGAGCCAATCAGCAGGAATTGTTCCTGCAGCCTCAGGGCACGGAGGACAACCGTGGATCGTTGGGCGTGGACGAGTACATGATTCGCAATCGCCCTAAAGCTGAACTTGGGAAGGGCACGTTATTTATTGATTACTGTCCCCACACTTTCCAGACCATCCGAGAACACTTTGGCATCGATACTAACCAGTATATCGAGAGTCTGAGTCGTACGACGAAGGAGCGTTTGAGTGAAGGTGCAAGTGGTGCTTTCATGTTCTTCTCACATGATCAACAGTTGATTGTGAAGAGCATGAGCGACGAAGAATCGGTTTTCCTGCGTTCGGTGGCAGCAGAATATGCGTCGTTCCTGCTGACAAACCCGGACAGTTTGCTGACGCGGTTCTACGGTTGTCACGCTATTCGGCTGTATGGCAACACGTTCAACTTCGTCGTCATGGCCAACCTGTTCAGCACCGAAAAGGTTATCCACCGTCGGTACGATATCAAGGGTTCGTGGGTGAACCGTAGTGCCAAGCACCCGTCCAAGGGCAAGCGTGTAACGTGTCGTCACTGTAACGCCAAATATGTCTTCGGCTCGACGGATGCAGAGAACTGTCGCGCACGGGTTGGGCGTCATGAGCCCAATGTGATTTTGAAGGACAATGATTTGACGGCGAAGGTTCGCCTCGATCCTAAGGTGGCCGAGGAGCTGTACGATCAGCTGGTGAAGGACGCGAACTTCCTGTCCCGTCTAGGAATCATGGACTACTCGCTGTTGCTGGGTATCCACAACGTGGAGTACATGGTGAACCCGGATCTGGAGGAAGAGCCTGTTGTTCCGCCCAAGGATGCGGTGGGACCGAGACGTCGGACCACCAACAACTCGACCATGATGAGCCGGGGAGGCCGGGAGGGGTCCAATGCTCCCCCAATCAGGGAATCAAAGCCTCGGACTGGTCTCCCGCGCGTTGCAACGGGTACGCGCCGAGCGAACACCGTCGTGGGTCCATCCATCTACTACTTCGGTCTCATCGACATTCTTCAGACATGGAACATGGACAAGAAGTTGGAGCGCTTCGCCAAGACCAAGTTGCTCGCGAAGGACCCCGACGGTCTGTCGGCCATTCCGCCTGCGGCGTACTGCGAGCGGTTCAAGCGCAAGATGGGCGAGATCCTGTCCGTCACGACCCGCGACGAGTACGCCGAGTGCTTCGTGGGCGAGCGGAGAGGGAGCAACAGCTGCAACGGCAATGCGGACGCTGAGCCCAACCACCGTTTTTTTTAAACCGTGAGGCCTTGGTGGGACACGAAGGCAATGGTGACGCCCCCCACCGAGGGCCCGCCCTCACGATGGATAAAAGAAAGCTCCACCCCCTCTTGCCCGGGTTTTTATGTTGACGAGGTGCTGCTGCGGGTCAGCGGGTGTACTTTAGATGAACAACACAAGCAGCAAGCACAAGTGACTTCCAGCTAATCAACCGATACCGATAATGAATCGAGCCGTTCAGATTTGATATTAACCGTCGACTGCACTCCACACTGACAGACAACAGGCAAGCGTTGAAACACCTTCATGGCCAGCTCAGCTCGACAATAGCATCGGTTTTGGCGCCAAGCGGTCGAGTATCTTGATTTCACTATAGTCGGAAAGTTGAAACCAACCATCAAAACCGTCGAATCCAAGCGAGCGAGCGATGACAGCGCGCCATGACTATCGCAGGGAGCGCAACCGCCCAGTGCGCAACGCGCTGCTCAAGTGGCAACTGCAGCAGGACCAGCGGCGGCTAGCGGAGGTGCAGCAGCGTCTCATGCGCATGGCGGCGCCCTCTCTATCGTCGTCTCTAGGCCTAGGACTGGACAGCAGCGACAGGCCGAGGCCAACGCTTCGCAGGACACGGCCGCTGCAGCACCACGACCCGGAGGAGGACGCTCTCATGCACCTCATCATGGAGCGGGAGCAGCGAGAAGCCGCCAAGCAACAGTGCAACCAGCTCAACGACCGGCCGCCTATTGGCCTCAAGCCGTCCAGAATCCCGTATCCGTCCGTGTTGCCGCCTTTACGCCGTCCGGAGGAGCACCCAAAGCCACCGAACAATTCTTCAGTCAAGCACGTCACTTTACGACCGACAGGTCAGAAGCTCAATGCTGCAGGAGACTTCTACTCGCCTGTGAGACCTCGAGAGTCATCCTTGAGCTCGTCCACGTCGGAATTTCGACAGAATTTGGCCTTCTCGAGGATCAAAGCTCCGACGCCGAAGCGGTTGGTGGGGGCAACGGCAGCTCCGTCACCGAGGAATCCGCTGAGATATGATCAGATGAAGACCCCGGACAGGTGGCGCACGACTGCGATGCACTCGAATCAAGAGGAGTTTAATGAGTCGGCGTTGAGGAGGTGGGAGGAGGAGGACGCAATGCAAGCGGACCGATTGCTGGAAAAGGCGGCCAGGGACGGAGACAGCGAAGCGCTGTGGAACGATTTATTTTACGGGACGAAAGCGGCACGAGCCAAGACGAACCAGCAGCCGGAGCAACCCGTCGTGTACTCGACTAGCAACTTTCCCGAAGTGTTCTCGCGTTCTAGGTCGAACTCGCACGACAGCTCGTGCTATGAGACTAGAGATGACTTCCCCAAGTCACCTCACAAGGCTGACTTTTGCGATGACGGCATGCTGCCAAGCGAGTTATCGACGCTGACCATGAGTGAACAGACCAAACCGTCTACTTGTGCTACACAACACAGTGACCTTGGATCGCGTGTTGTTGACTCGGACGCAGCTTCACCACCGACTTCAACTCAAACTATAGCCGAGATGATGGCATCAATGGACAAGGTGTTTGAATCTGAAGTACAAAAAGCTGGAGATCTCGTTGCTGGAGATGATCACAACAATTACGGTGGTTCAAGCGGAGGGGGCGACAAAGAACAGCTCTCGAAAGCGGAGGTGCCCACTGGTGAATTATCAGCGATAAGTAATGTGTTGGCGAGTGCAGGTATTCCAAGTTGGAGCTTTGTGGTGGTGGCGAGCTGTCTGTTGGTTGGGACGTGTGGATTTCTCGTGGAAGAGCTCATGGGTCTGCTTGGACTGTTCTCGAAGAGCTCGCCTCTTACCTTATCGCGAGCTGAACAAGATCGTATGCGTGACCGAGTCACTGCACTCCAACAAGAGCTTCAAGGCTTTCAGCTCTCGACCTCGGAGATTGAGGTGAAGTCTCAGACCGTTTTGACGGAGTTGCAGCGCCACATGGACAGGATGCGGCTCGATCGTGAGCAACATCAAAATATGCTCACGGGCGAAATGCAGGAGCTCCGTCGCCATATTTTAGGTGTCACGCACGAGCTGGTTGAGAAAGAGCGTCAGTCGATTCAAGCTCAACTCAAAGAAATCGTGGAGATCCAGGTCATAAACGAACTGGAGGCGAACGAGCGTAAAGCGATCGCTGGTAGTGAAGTTAACAGCAAGGAGGAGGCTGTAGTCGAAGCGCCTGCTGCAATTGAAGTGGATACTACAGAGAACGAGTCTGCACCAGTGTCAACATCATATACCTCCACCAACACTGAGCCTCTCCATGACGGCAATGACGCTCAAGACGGCAAGAATCTGCCTAGTGTGTGGCACGAGGAAATGATCGTGTCATCAGCCCAACCGGCAGTCGAAGAACGCCGACCAGCTGTGGAGGCCTCTGGAGAACTTGATGATGCCCAAGTCGATGATACACGAAATGATGCTTTATTGGATCAAGAGCAGGTTGCAACACCACCGCTACCGATCGTGGAAGTGCTGGAGTCTAATCGGATCGAGCCTGAATCCGTGCTTGAAGTCTTCGCTGAGCAGGCCAAGATCGAGAGTGGGCAAGAAGTTGCTGCAACTCCTCTCCAGACTCTCGAGCAAACTGGGGCCCATAACGACGTTGTCGTCGAGCCAAGCCCGAAGGCGACTGTCATTGTAAAGTCGCCCCGGAGCCCGTCTGGAATGTCGTTGGAAGGGATCCTTCTGCTCATCGGGATCATGTTCCTTGCTGCTTGTGTGGTGCTTCGCGTGTACAACATCAATCGTCGCAAGAGGTGGTTCGAAGAGCGTCGCAAGCGGAGGAACCAGCGGGCGTTGCTGTTGGCTCAGCAGCGAGCACGGGCGATGGCCGAGAACCAGTATGACAGCGACGAATGGGACGAGGAAGACACCGATGGTGGCGTCGAGGAGGTCTCGCTCATGACTCCGGTCCGAGACAGCGACGACGACGAGGCAAAGTCGGAGGCTCTGCATCAGCCACCCGATATCGACACGGACTTCGAAGACGACAACCAGAGTGAGGAGGCATCACACTCCCCGCCTGAAGCGTATCAAGCTGCAACATTCGAGGTGAGGCCCTAATGTACCCATTGAAAACCACAAACCATTCGGTAGGCTTGTACTTACTATCGCTGTGTTCTGTTATCTGTAGCAGCGAGCAACCACTACACGCAGTAGGAGAAGCTATAGTCGAGGTTCTCCAGCATCGCTCCGTCAGCGCAGCTCACAACCTTCTAACTAGAAACCACTCAATAGGATAGGCGACATCTAAAATGATATCACCTCTAAACTACCGGGAGGAAAGACCCAACTCTACGCTACCATCATTCCGGCGCATATCATTTGTCAATCGCCTCCCATTCCGACGATGCTCGGGCGCGTAGCACGTCGCGTGCAGCGCGCAACACCGCGCCGCGCCTTCGCCTCCGCCGCAGGAAGCGACGCCCCCCCAGAACGCACCAAGTCGCTCTACTTCACCACGCGTATGACGTCCTGCACAGAGAGAAATGCACTTCCATATAATCCTCTAAAGTAGAATAATTATCATCATCCTTAGGCGACCACATCAAGGGCCGAGAAGTGCTCGAGGAGTTCGGCATGGTGTCGGCCGTGGCGGTTCGCTCCAAGTCCGTCATTAGTGACATGTATGTGGCTTTGGCGGGGCTGGTCGGAGGTTCGACGACATGAGATGGCAACACTTTGATACATTTTTGAGCATTGGTCTGATGTTTTTACTGTTGCTGCCGCAGGCGAGGCGGCGTCGTACACGTCGCTCATGAACGAGACGATGGCGGAGGCGGTGCACCGAGTGCAGTACGCGGCCAGAGCTCAAGGTGCCACGGCGGTGATCAACGTGCGGTTCGACTCGAACACGACCATGAACCGCCTGGTGTTCGGCATGCACTGCTCCGTGATCTGCTACGGCACGGCGGTGAGGTGCCGTCCCATGAAAGCAGCGGTCCCGGTGTCGTCGCCATTCGTGCCGACGGAGAGCAAGCCGTGAGAGAGATGACACGAGTAAATAGAGGGCGGGAAGTGGTTCGTACAGGAGCTTTATTCTTTGCCGGATTGAAGTTTGTGGTTTCTAGGGCGGTGTTGACCCGCGCTCGCTTTTCGACGGCGCAGTGCTGGCGGGTTGGCTTCAGCCAACGGAAGAACTGAGGCCGATTGAGTACCAAGGACGGTCTCGAGCCCGTTGCCGGGGTCATCGCTAACCGGCCTTGACTTTGATTTCTTCCTGTACTTGTCCTTCGTCTTTTTGGCGATATACCCTCCTCCGAAGAACAGCCCGTTGGCTGCACTACCGGCAAATTCCTCGCGTTGGCGATCATCTAATCGCTTTCGAATCTGCTCGAACTCGTCACCTCCGTCCGCACTGGCCAGTGTATCCTCGTCATTGTTACCCGAGGGATGTTGAGAAGTTGTATCAATTGCCTCCGACGATGGCGAAGAAGGTATAACCAGCGGATCCAGAGTCAAAGTAGCCATAGTTGGTCGTCCAAGGTGTTCCTGCTCCTCTAGCCATTGCTGGTCGTAGTAGGAGTCATGCGCGTGTAGCGGAGCGATAGTGCGGATAGCTCTTCTTGCATCACCTTCGTTCTTTTCGATGCTGTCCAACTGGAGCACGCTAGTTGCCATCACGCGCGGATTCTTATGCTGTAAAAGTGCTTTCGACAGTTGCTGGTGCTTGTGAAGTGCGGTACGTGTGTGCGCTTGCTGCTCCTGCAAAAGTCGGATCATCTCATGCGTTCTTTTGTCCTCCGATTTCTTTTTCGCTTTGACCACGCTGAGCTTAAGATCTCGAAGTTGGCGCGTCGTCGTGTGGGGAATGCGTGCTGCTGCCCCAGTGACATCCAGGAAGGGTGCACCGCCTTCTTCATACCCATGAAAACTAGCATCTCGCTGCTGTTGGCGCCTTAAATCATCGTCACGCAGTTGCTGTAGGCTTTTTATCCGAGTAGAGCTTCGCTGATAGCCCTCAAAACCTAAGTGGAAGCTGTCGGGGTCGAAAATGTCCTCTCTGTCGCTAAATGGTGTTGATGCTGCTGCTTCGAGAGCTTTTAACACGTCTGACTTGTCCGACTTGAGTTGTGGGATCGCCGATTCGGATGGCCCATCAGCTTCCTGCGAGTCTTCTTCATCTAACACTTGCCGCAACAGTTCTCGAGCTCGCTCCTCTCTTTTGCGTGGGTGAATCGATGATGCAAAGATCCGCTTTGCCTACAGAACAGAGCACGGTTAGTTCGTTCTCCATTCGTTGCACATAGTTAGTTATCAACGTACTCTGGTGGTGCGCCCTTGGTGTTTGGCGATCGATGGTTCCGGGTAGTAGTATTTCACGCGAGCACCGAGTAAAAACTCGAGCGGCACATGATCGTTCGCATCCGTCTCTGGTGACATTGACTTTGCCCTCAAACAGCTCCGATCTCCATATCAAAGTTAGCGAGGTAGTCAGCCAAAGCAGCTATTTCGACACGGGAGTTTCCCCGATACGAGACACATCTCAACGGCCCAGACCGACAATAAAATCATCTTCACTAGGTCTAATGCCAGATTCGAAAGAGGCCTGGTTGAAGTGGTTGGAGGACCTCGCTGGGTGTCGACATGGTTGGATGTTGCTCAAGCCCCGAGGCAATCTCTGAAAAAGAAGGGGCCGCAGGCCCGAGGTCTGGTCTAGCTCCACAAAGCGCTCGAAGGTTAGTTGATGATTTTCATTGTAAGAACGTTGGAGTACCAGTACCAATGCTAATTGTCACGACCATCTCGTGCTTTTAGATGTCGCGATACGTTCTGTTGCCTCTTGTTTGTAGTCTACTGGATTGGCATGGTACGTGAGACGCCGACGAGGAGATTTCACGATCACCTACAACTTCCTAACGATCAATTGTTATCATTTGGCTCACATCCTAGATCGTGGTTGCTATCGTTGCCTTGCAAACCGGGCAACCGCTCAGGTAAAAAGACAAATTGCGTACTCTCATAACAGCCAGTGCATGTGGTGGCCTCATCAGCGTCCTTTTGAATCAAACAGCTTGATCTACGGCAAAGACTACAACGGAAACGTTTGTGGTGAAGGGGATTATGGCAACGCGCGGTTCACGACATACCCTCGACTGAACGAAGATCTTTTAGTTGCAGCAGCAAACGGGGTGTCACCAGCAAATGCAAAGTTCTTCGGCGTCTGCGTGGAAAGCTGCCCAATGGCTGGCTCGAAAACTTGTACCTATGGCAATGAAACGTGCTGGACTGTTGCTCAAGACACTGAAGCTGCCTTCTTCCGCTGCTTACCTGTAGCATCGACCAACGAAACGATACTGGAAGAGGTTTGTATTGACCCCGAAGGTGCCGACCCAGCTTGCACCGTGGACTTGTTTGAGGCTGGCAAATGCGCTACAGTCTGCAATACCAAACGAGCTCACAAGGAAGTGTGGGAAGTCGAGGCTACGGGTGGAACAAGCCCCTTATTGAGTCAACTGCAAGGCAACTTGCAGGTGCTGGGGCGATTCTTGAACGACATGTACGCTGCACGTTCGGTAGTTCTACTGGTCGGTGGGCTTGGGGCCTTGATCCTAGGAATCCTCTGGTTGATCGTGCTTCAATTCTTCGCCGGCTGTGTGGTATGGCTGACCTGCTCGTTGGTACTTATTGGTTTGGTGCTATTGAGCCTCTTTTGCTCCGTGCGCTCGGATCTGATCTCTTCTGAACAACTTGGTGGCTTATCTTTCATGAATGCAACCACAATCGACACAACAGCATTGGCGGTGACCAGCGACGAAAACACCAAGCTGCAGTTTAAGGCGGCTGCGTACGTGTCTTGGGTGGTCACTGGAGTTGTCTTCCTACTGCTCGTTGCGATGCGTAAACGCTTGAAAATCGCCATCGCGATCATTCGGGAGAGCTCCAAAGCAATTCAGAAGCTGCCGATGCTTTTGATCTGGCCAATCGTTCCCACGGCGTTTTTCGTGGGGCTCGTGATCTACTGCGTGGCGGTGGCTGCTTATCTCTTAAGCTCGGACGATCTGACTTCGGCAGTGAAGGAATCCGCTGCAACGTTCAATGTCACGACGGAACTGAGCGCTGCGGAAGAGATTCCTGCCAAGAAGCTGCAGCAGGTGTTGCTAGCGTTCCACGTCTTCGGTTTCCTGTGGACGAACCAGCTTCTGCAAGCAATCTCAATCTGCGTCATCGCTGGCAGTGTCGCGCAGTTCTACTGGACCCCTCCTTCAGACAACGGGAAGCGAACACTCGAGACACGATTTCCAATCGCTCGAGCGCTAGGATACACGCTACGCTTCAGTCTCGGATCGCTCTGCTTCGGGTCTTTCATCATCGCGTTTGTTCAATTCTTGCGGATCATGCTCGAGTATCTCGATCGAAAGTAAGTCAAAGCTTTCGTGTAAACTTTAGGATGACAATGACTGAATCTTTATCCTTTGATTGAATTCGCGCAGCACCAAGCAGATCCAGCAGACTAATCGAGTTGTTCGTGTGGCGCTTTTATCAGTTAAGTGCTGTTTGTGGTGCTTCGAGAAGTGCATCAAGTTTTTATCGAAGAACGCCTACATTCTGATCGCGATGAAAGGAAGTTCCTTCTGTGCGGCGTCCGCGCGCTCGTTCAAGCTCATTTTCAAGAACATGGCGCGTGTAGCGGTGGTCAACTCCATCAGCTTCTTCCTGCTGTTCCTCATCAAACTGACCGTGACACTTGCCGTCGGACTCGCGGTGTTCCCGTTGCTGTCCAAATCGTCGTCACTGTCACTGTCGGCGGAGCAGCTTTCGCTGTTGAGTGGTGAGACTGTGACGTCGCCACTTGCTCCTGTGGTGGTGGCCTGTGTGCTTGCTTGGCTTGTGGCCTCAGCGTTCGTGAATGTGTACGACGCCGCTATCGACACCATTCTGCTTTGCTTCTGCGAGGACACCGAGCTGCACGGTGACACTGCCAGCGAGTTCATGAGCAAGGAGTTGCAGCGCATCATGGGCGGAGACGCACCACATCGCGAGGGTAAGGAGGGGAAGCCCCAACTCATCCACGTTTCGCCTCGGAGCGAAGGGAAGAACGCAAGTCCGCCGAGTAGCCCAGCTCGCCGCGCGCCACATGAAAAGACCCCAGTCGAGAGACTGGAAGAGACTGACATTTAGCTAGGACAATAAGGTTACGATGATCCATTAACGCGACGATAATGCATATTCCTGCAACCGATATATAGCTTGATATCACTTAGTTATCGACTAAAGTTGAGTAGGCGCAAACTGCAAGATTTTTTCGCCAGGTGAACTTGTGCTTCTCGCGTTGCTGCTGCTCGAGCCGATCGAGCTCCTCACGACGCTGAGCTCGTCTGATCCGATCTTCCAGAAGAACTCGCGCTAACCAGGCATTGTAGGCCTGCTGTCTTTCAGCTTCGGAATGACTGTGGTGCATATTTGAATTCTGCTCTGGTTTGCGCGTCTTGCTCTTCGTCTTTGGATTTACATGCAGTGAAGGAGGTTTGCGCGACGGCTTCGGCTGGTCAACAATGGGAGATGTTAGTTCGCGGCAAGTTTATTGCACATGCAGCGTATAGCACACCTGCTCATTGTTGTTTGCAACAATCTTCTTCTTTCTGCTTGTCTTCCTCTTGCGTTGGAGCCAATCCTGAAAGGCGGCATCGATCTCCGCCTGCTTATCCTCGTTGCCATCCTCGTTGCGATCTGATTCAAATACGTTCGTGTCCTCCCTGCTCGATCGACTCTTCTTCTTGAGCCAGTGGTCATACGCTATCGACCTGCGGACCTGCAGGACACCGAGGACTGTCAGAATCTGCGACGTGTGAGCAGCTTCAACGCCCGCAGCCAATGGCGACGCGGTTGCGCTCACGTTGAGTATCTGGCGGCGTGCCGCGCCCTCCACGTCCACAGGCTCAAAGCGCTCCTGCCAGTGCCAAGTCCCTGTGTTCGCTGTCGCCACCATGCTGTCAAAGTCGGACCGCTGCAATAGCTAAATGCAGCAGAGAGGGAGCATGAAGGGGCATGCCCGTCAAACCCATGCCATGTCCTAAAATATAGCCGGTTTGACTGCTCATCCCCGCATACTGAGGGCAAGTGCAAATTCAAACGCTTTCCCGCCAAACTCGCGGTATCATCACCTTAGACAGGGACCTACTCTCTTCCACGAAGTCAAAAATGTGGCTACCCAAGCCCCAGGAGTGACTACCATTCTGCCATTCTTCGACCAACCACCGCCGCGAAAAAGGTAATGCATGCCCAATGAGAGCGAAGCGCCCTTTTCCGCCTATAGTCGCCGCTCACTGACGCCGCATGCGCACGTGTGTGCCTTCCCTTCCCTTGCGTCGCTAATGTAGCCGCCCAGCCCAGCCCCTCCCAGCCATGTCGAGCGACGGAGACGCCAACGCCAACAACGCCAACCTGCAGATGCAGCTGCAGCTGCAGAACCAGCGCGCGCAGATGCAGCAGCAGCAGCTCGCGCTGCACGCGTTCTGGCAGCACCAGATCCAGGACATCTCGCAGATCGACCCCAACGCCTTCGACTTCAAGACGCACCAGCTGCCGCTCGCGCGCATCAAGAAGATCATGAAGACGGACGAGGACGTGCGCATGATCAGCGCCGAGGCGCCCGTGCTCTTCGCCAAGGCCTGCGAGATGTTCATCCTCGAGCTGAGTCTGCGCGCCTGGATCCACACGGAGGAGAACAAGCGCCGCACGCTGCAGCGCAACGACATCGCCATGGCCATCACCAAGACCGACGTCTTCGACTTCCTCATCGACATCGTCCCGCGCGACGACATCAAGCCCGCCAAGAAGGTGCGGCCCTCAGTCTCTACTATCATTGTATCTAGCTTGCTTGTGCTGACGTCGTCATTGTTGCTGCTCCGCTGTTGTTTTAGGGCCCTACGGACCCGCAGGCTGTGTACCAGCAGCAGCTTCAGCAGCAGCAAGCGGCGATGCTCCAGCAGCTCCTCCAGACCCAGAACGGCGCCGCCGCCACGGGCGTGCAATGGCCCAACCCGCAGTTGCAGCAGCAGATGCTGCAGCAGTACCAGCGCATGCAGAGCATGCAGCAGAACGCGGCGGCTGCCGGTGGCGCCACGACGCCGTCGAACGGCGCGCTGCCGAACCTGTCGCCCTCGGGCAGCGACGCTGCCGGCCAAACTTCGGCTAATACGACTCCAGGAGGCACCAACGCTTCGGCGTCCGACCAGCTCTCACTGAACCAGCGCAGTGTTGACGTATAACTGCTTTGGCCGCGGTACAGTACCAAGAAGCTGGCAAACCTTGACGTGTTTTTAATTGAATGATGAGCAAGTTACATTTTCGATAAACATTGTTACCGTCGCACCGGACGCTGTAGGTAGCTGATACCACAGGCGTCTCTGGTACTTGTGGCAGCACCTACCTTCACATAACGAAAACTCCTGCGCATGTACTTCTACAAGACTACACGAAAGCTCGGCGAATTCGTAGTGTACACGGTGAGTTTGTTATCTTTCACGTTCATTTGTTTCTGAACTTTTATCTTCAGCTGCAACTGTACGCTGGCATCGTCCGCCAGCGTCGTTTATTTATTTGCTCACGCCCTTGACTTCCACTGCTTCTTTCTTCATGAACTGTAATCTATATCGTCTTCTCGTACTATATGAAAAGCAACGAAGCGCAATGGCGCGGCTTACTCGGACGTTTTCACCGTTAGCGGCAACGGCAGCATTTTTGACTGCTTCTCCGAGATCTTGACTAGCTGATAGGCAGCAACTCCTCCAATCTGTAGCAACAAGGTCACCAAGAAAAACCATCAGCGCAAGATCTTATGCAAATGCATCTCGCGAGGCGAAAGTTACGTACCGCAAGTGCCATGCCGATAACCGACTGGACAGTGACGGGGTTGCCAAAGTACAACACGGCGCTGAGGATGACGACCACACGCTTCATCGTGCTCATGATGGAGAACGTAAGCTCCGACACTTCACCCAGCACCCACGACGAGCAGAAGCTGCCGATGAAGTGCATCATGCTGCACATGAGCACCTTGCCAAACGGGAAACTCGCCACAAAGTTGTCCTGGTGCGCACGCGCGCTCATCAGCACGAACGGCGCGTTGATGGCGAAAGACACAAACGCGCTGTAGAAGTGGAGCTGTCATAAGAGAAAAAAAGGTGAGCAACGACAATAAAGATAATAAACTCCCAGCGAACATCTTCACTCACGTTGACCGTGTCAACCACGATACGGCGGCGCAGCAGGAACTTGGCGTACATGCTCTGCATGACACCGAGCAGCGCTGACGTAACGGCGAACACCACTCCTGAGAAGGCCAGGTCCTGCACCACCAGAACGCAATCCACACCAAACATCCCTGTCAGCTCGCGTACCCATTTTGTATCTCCAAACAAACAAAGGGTCTTGCACTTACGTTCATGCCCATTTCAGATACCGAGGCCATGACAACGCCAAAGACGATCGGCACGAGACTCGAGTACGTGGCGAAGGAGAACCGCGAGCGGTAGACCGCGAAGGCCAGCACCACGTTGAAGAGGGGCTGCGACGCCTTGCAGGTCTGCGTGATGGACACCGGCACGGCATTGTAGCTCCAGTACGTGAGCATCTTGGCGAACACGGAGAAGAGGCTCAGCGGCACGATCCACATGATGCTGCGCATGCGCACGCGCTGCATGCGCCAAGCCCCCGTGCTGCTCGGCGAGCTGGGGAACGTCAGCACCACAACTACAGAGCAGCACAACAACAGGTCACACGAGTCAGTAAATAGCCCTCTAAACCCACCACTGCAACAATCGCTCGTACAGTCGAGGATGATGCTGATGAAGAGGTGGCACATGGTGAGCATCTCGGCCGACACGTGGTGCTCCTTGATCAGCACCTTGTTGGTGAAGGTGGCGCTGGCGGAGAAGAGGTACCACACGCCCAAGCAGCAGCCGATCTGTCCCCGCAACGACAGCCATACAAGGAGAAAGAGAGCGTCAGAGTCCGAATGAAGGAAGCGCAGCCTTGTAGCAATACTCGCAGCTGCTCGTCAACGCACCCGCAGCGCCTTGTTGTCCCGCAGGCGCCTGATGGCGCGGCCCTTGGGGGCCTTGTACTCCTTGGCGGGCGCGCCCATGCCGCCCTCCAGGTCGTACATGGGGTACGGCGCCGTCATTCGCGCGAGCATCATCGCCTTGAGCTGCCGCCTGGTTTTCCACAAGTGGGCGAGCGAGCAATTTTTAACCGACCGATTGCTTCAGAGGATTCGGTTTGGACTGGCTCTGGCTGCTGCTTGGGGGCCCAAGAGTGTGTGCGCCACACAACGCAACGTTGAACGCAAGCAGACGCGCAAGGGATCACGACGGCAGGCTGCGGTCTGCTTCACGACGCAGAGGAACTGCGCGTCTGCAGGATTCACTCGGCAACGCCGCTTCATAATACCTTACTAGGTATAATGCAAGTTAAATGCATTTATTATTATGGCAGAGCAGCACTGCACCCGCCTAGACCATCACTAGGGGGCTCATGTTGAAGTGATGCGAGTCGTTGCATATCGACGTTCGGAGCGCTTACGATCGTAGAAGTCGCGGGGTGTGAAAGGCTCACGCGTCAGCTCTACGAAGAGGTATTTCGATTGTCGCAGTTGCTGTCTGGGGCTGTCCTAGGCTATTATTGTCGCCTTGAAAGAGGAAGGAAGCGCAATAATGGAGAACGATGCATCCGGCGACGAGTACGAAGACGACTTGGAGGCGGAGGAGGAAGCGGGGGAAGTCGAGGTACATACGAATCGTGAGGTCGGTGATGGTCGGGCTCGCGTGTTGAGTTGTTGTGCGTTATTTGTAGGGAAACGTGCGCCCTGGTGCGTCAGAAGTAGTTTGTGACCCGACGACGGAAGCTGTAGAAGACGCTGAGCACGATCTCGACGCCGTCGTTGCGGAGGACGGGGGCATAATAGCAGAAGAAAACAACAGCCAAGGAGGAAATGATGCTGTTGCAGAGGAAGAGCTAGTAGAGGAACTTGATGCCGAAGCAAATGGACTGGTAGGCGGTGGAGCTGTATCTCCAGATCAACCAACTGAAGCAGAACCAGATCTGCTGATACCGCACCATGAAGAACACCAGACACCGCGGCGTAGCCCTAAAGCGCGCCCGAGTGCAGCAGAAGCGAAGGACTTGCAGATCGCTCTGCTGACGAAAAAGCTAAACCAGGCCAAGAAGCTCAACACAGAACTTTACAGCCAGCTTCAGCGGTTCTCTACAGGTGAAATTGTCCTCCAGGTGAGCGCTTTAGGGGATTTAACCGTTCTGTTTGCAGTAGCTAACCGTGCTGCCGTTGCAGCTAGAGAACCGCGTGAAGGAAAAACAGAAGCGAATCGAGGAATTGATACGTGAAAACCGCACGCTGAAAAACTCGGAACGTCTGCTAGCAAAAGAGCTCGAAGACCTGCAGAACTCGAAGGTGAGTCAATGCAAGTTCTCATCACTTTCAACTGAGGCCTGACAGTCTGTGCATTATGCAATTACCTTTTAGGATAGTTTTCCAAGCAAAAGACGAGCGCTACAAGAGGAGTTGCGTGTTTGCAAGGAACGAATCCGACAGCTCAAGGAGCAATACCGCGCTGCGGATGAAAAGGGTTTCAAGCTGCATCAGCAAACCTTCGACCTGGCGGTCAAAAACAAGGGACTGAGTGACAAGGTTCGGCTTCTTGAGGGGGCAACTGCATCGTCGAGCATTCTTTCGCCTGCGCCATCTACTGCCCGCATTGGAGGTGCACCGCCAATTGAGGGAACGTCCCCCGAGGAGGTCCAGACAATCATTGCAAGCCAGGAAAAAGAGGTTACCCGACTACATCAGCGCGTGGCTCTGATGAAGAAGACTCACAAGGCTGACCAAGCCAAGTACGAGCGGTTGCTGAAGGCTGGTCAAGACGAAGTCGACCAAACACGCGCTGAGATGGAGGAATTCTACCAGCAACTGTTCGCCAAGGAGCGTGCGGCAAGAAACCAATTCCTGCACATGAAGAAGCTCAAGCGCGCACTTCACGAGCTTGCAAACACCCAGCAGACCAACCAGCGCTTCCAGCCGTTCCTGGCGAACCGGGAAATGCGACTCACAAACCGAAGCAGTGGTTCTCGTCCCAACCAAGCAGGCCAACAGCACTCGCCACAGAAAGGTCCGGCATCAAACCCCGGGCGGTGGATTCACGAAGCACTGCACCATCTTGGCTTTGTGATGCCTCCATCTTCGGAGCTGGATGGATCTAATCGGTCTGTAACTGGTGAAGCGCCAGAAGACCAAGTCGACATTCCGGAGAACTGCATCCAGGGCAAACTGGTGCCGTTTCCGCCACCAACCACTGTCGACAGAGGGTTTACAACTATCAGTACTCGCGCAAAATTCCACAACAACTTCGGCCCAAGGCGTGGAAACAGACCAAGAAATAACGCCAATCTGACTGACGTAAGCGAGCAAGCCACTGCAGAATACACCGACGAAGAGGAACTGGACACGGCAGAACCACACGAAAGCGTGCCGCACACGCCAGAAAATCCCGACATTGCTCTGTATTGGGAGGATAGCCAGGAGACTTAGTAACATGTACGATGCCTGCAATATGCTGATGATATCCTGATACGTTAAGAAATCATAGCCTGCTCCTTTTAACTACTTGGACCCAGCTACAGCTTTCAACGCCAGTGTGGCACGAATGAAACTGCATGGCGTCTCCTCCCCGAATTTTGCAACGTGCGACAGCGTGGTGCCAACATTCCTTGGGCGTCGGTTTTAACTTCCTGCGGCTCGAAACTCGGGCGTGCGCTTTGAGTGGCTAGCAAGCACTGCCAAGGCTTCTCGGGAAACGCCTTGCCTGGGAAAGCGCAGTTATGTCGCTTCTCGAACGCGGCTGGTGGGGGTTCTCTTGGACTGGAGCGCTCGCTGTCTTGAGCGTGCTTTGCAATCGTCATGGGAAACAAGATGTGTAACGTAACGTAGGGCGGCCCTACCAAGCAAAGCAAAACTGCTCAAAGACTACGGGCGCCGGTCCTCCTGTCCTAGCATCAAGCGCATTTCCGATTTAGCTTCGGCAGTCCCACTCTCCTCCTCAGCGACTCAAGCTCCAAGCAGGATACCCATGACCCTGAGCCACCACGTCGAGGTTGACGCCGCCCGCTTCCGCAAGGAGCTGCTGTTCGTCTGCTGCAAAAGCGACGACCCAACCACTGACCGCGTGCGGCAACTGCACGAGTACGTCGAGTCTTCTCTTTTGTGCCAACGTTGCAATCGAGCTGAGCCTCTAACCTCTTTGCCTCTTGCTTGAACAGTATCCTGCCCAGCCCCACGGACAAGATGCTGTCTCCAGTGAGCCGAGCAATTCGATCACGGTCGTTCACGGGCTTGCCCAATCGAATGTCCACGGCGTGAGCAGGCTACTTCCTGTCGACTCGTCCCTCACCAACCTGATGGCATCGATTTCTCCCGAGCGCAGCAGTCCACAGACCAAGCGAGAAGACGATGTCACTGCACGGCCCACCCCAGAGCGCGCACAAGTAGCCGCAGCCTCGACCTCGGCTTCAATTTTGCTCACAGCTGAGACCGGCAACATAGAACTCGATCGAACTCAACCGTCCGTGACTCGATAACAATATCAACCTGCACATTAGATCCCCTCTTTCCTCCATTGCCACTAAGCATGCCGCCAACTTCAACTTTCAAGTCATAACCTCCTCTCATTGGTCAAAACTCCGAAAATAGTTATTTTCCCTTCAAAGAGCGGATCCATTTGAAAGTGAAAGAGAAAGCCATGAGCTCGACGCTCGACGTGAAGCTCAACCGCATCGACCGCATCTTCCACCCCCATGTAAGTGAAAACCCGCGTACCCCCTCCCCTCTTTTAACACTATCATAACCTTAACTTAACCACTACAAACTATCGACTATTCCTTCGTAGGAGATCGTCCAGGGCCAGGTGATCATCTCGTCGCCCAAGGGCTTCTCCCACCAGGGGCTGGCCATGAAGGTGGAGGGCAGCGCGCGTCTGCAGCTGTCCACCAAGAGCGCCGGCCTCTTCGACTCCTTCTACAACAACGTGGCGCCGCTGGAGCTCGTCTACTTCCACCTGCCAGTGGCCCCAGCAGGCAAAGTTCCTCCCGGAATCTCCAAGTTCCCCTTCGAGTTCGAGTTGCAGGGCAACGACGGCCAGGAGCTGCTGGAGACGTACCATGGAGTGTACGTGTCTGTGAAGTACGAGATCGTGTGTGACTGCATTCGCGGCATCATGAAGAACAAGCTGCACAAAACGTTAGAGTTTGTGGTGGAAGTGCCGGTGAGTAGCTGGAGGAAATTCTTGTTACGGTGCTATTTTATTGATACTTTCTTGTTTTGTTTTGTTTTGTTTTTTAGCTTCGGGAACCATTGCCGGACTCACCGGAGGAATTCCACATTACCCCGGAGTCTTTGGAGAACGTTCGTCCGGTGAGGATGGATGGAAGTGATGCTTTTGTTAGCGTTTGTTGCTGTTGCTGATGTTTGTCTTTTATGTTGACCGAGCACAGCAAAGTCTGTCGGCGATGCCGTATTTTCACATTACCGGCAAGGTTCACCGCACGAATTGCCCTGTAAACTTGCCTTTTACAGGAGAAGTAAGAACTTTGAATACTTGGTGAGTGGATTGTTTTCGGGGCGCTTACTATCGTATTTCATCACCCAGATCATTACCGAGGAAGCGAAAAGCCCGATTAAATCGGTGGAGCTGCAACTGATTCGGGTTGAGAGCGTGGCGCATGCTGGTGGAGTTGCGCGAGATGGTAACACAGAAGTAAATGGCGCAACATGGTCTACGGAACCCACTAACTCAAATTGTACGGAACAGCGACTGAAATTCAAAATGTCCAGATTGGATGGGGTGATGTTTGCCGTCAAATGGCGATCCCCATTTACATGATCTTCCCGCGCCTGTTCACTTGCCCTACGATGCTTACTCCAGGTGCGTTAGAATATTGCTGTCATGCAGGGATGGCTGTGGAAGTGCTTACTCGTTTAGCAATGCATGTGCCGTGTTAGCTTTCAAGGTCGAGTTCGAAACCAACGTTGTAGTGCTGTTCGAGAACGGGAACATGATTACAGAAAACTTTCCGATCACGTTGTATCGGTAGGCAATTTCGGCCCAAGCAGTGCGAAGGCCGCCCACCCTCTCAACCAGTTGAAGTTAGATTTTGTTGCACTTTTGCGAGTGTGCTATCCCTTGAATGAATGATACCGTAGCAGTCAGCTCCTCAATTCGCAAATGGGGATAAAGAGTTGCATTTCAAAGTTGCATTTATTGCTCTCACGTATTTTTTGTTTGAGTAGCACAGGTTATCAAGCTACAGCACCTACACTTCGTAGGCTGGCGCTTACTTGTTGCGCTTGAAGATCTTGCTAACCAGCAGCGTGAACACCTCCGACGGCATCATCGTCACCTGCGCGATCTCCTCGGACAGCGTCTTGTACGTCTCATCCTCGTAACGGTGGTAAACCGCGGCGAGATCCAGCTCATTGTATAGCTTCTTGACGGCCGCGATGGCGTCAGAGTCGTTGCGACCGTAGTTCGTCTTGAGCGTCTCCCTCTGCTCAGGGGTGGCGCGGTCGAGCGCCTGAACAACCAGCCAGCTGCACTTGTTGTCCTGGATATCGGTGCCAACCTTGCCAATTACATTCTCGTCGCCATAGCAGTCGAGGAAATCATCCTGGATCTGGAAGTACTCGCCGATCTGCACGCAGATCTTCTTGGCCAGGTTGTGCGAAGGCTCATCGACAACCCCGTTCAGGAACATGGCACACGCAGCCGACAGGTAAAACGTGTAGTAGGCCGTCTTGTTGATCACAATCTGACGGTAGCTGCGCATCCACACGCGCGTGGGAGTTAGATATTTACCAGTATTGAAGTTGCGGTAGCATTGTAAGACGTACCGCTCAACAGTGAAGCGGTCGAGGTCCACATCGCCATCCAGAGGCTGCGACGTCAGATCCAGCAGCTGGCCAATCTCCGTGTGGAAGACAACCTGGAGACATAAGCATCGTGAGTTAGACTTTCATCTTCGACCACGCACGGGAGCAGCGCGACGTACATCGTGGAAAGTGTCAACCAGATCCAGGTAGTACGGCTCCGAGCGGAAGTGCTTCTTGAGGATCTGGAAGACGAACGCCTCGAGCAAGAAGGCGTCGTTGATGGCGATCATCTTGACGTTGGGCTTGCGGTACCAGCACGGCTGGCCACGGCGAGTGATCGACTCGTCCATGATGTCGTCGGCCACGAGGAAGAACGCTTGGAGCTGTAACACCGTATCGCCCGTTAACAACCACTACAACACAAACATTGACACGCCAACATCGCTGCCACTCACCCACTCAATGCACCATCCCAGAACGCTGGCCTTCTCTTTCATCTCCGAAGTGAGGACCTTGCCGGGGGCCATGGCCTGCGTGCTACAGCGAGCCAGCAAACGCAACACGTCAGCAAAATGATACACTCCCGGTACAAGAAATCCAAGCCAATGCGTTGCAACTCACCAGTGCACGACGCTGATGCCGCGGTTGAGCTTGCCGCCGATGCAGTTGTACTCCACCACTTCGTCCACCCAGTCCAGAGCCTCCTGGGGCAGCTGGTGCTTGGTGCGCAGCAGCTCCAGCACCTCCAGCTTGAGCTTGCCGCACACAGCAACGAATTCTGCCAATGCAACAATGTGGACACAACCGTAAGCGCGTTATTGCAATCGACACTCAGCGTCATGGCATACAGCAAGGGGCAAGTGATACCTTCGCGTTCCTGGGCCATTGTTCGTGTGGCGATGACGATCGACAAGTGTCCGCCACCTCACGTTTTGGACCTGCTCGATGCAACAACACAATGGGTCGTACTTAAATGAACCGTACCACGAAGCGACGCGAAAGACGTAGCCATGTTGGTCACTGCACGATGGCGAGCAAGAAGCGTCTGGGAGACTCCGGGAGCCGGCCGAAGCTTGATAATGGCGCATCTAGTCGCGTACCAGCGCCCAGCGAAAAGCGGGTGGTGCATGAGGCTCACCAACGGCCTGTGAGGGCGCAACCCATGCGAGGACCCAGCTCCGCGATCCCTGGCACTGCAAATGGCGCAGGTCAGGTCAGCTGGAAGGACACGGCGTTGGCTGGAGGTGGCATCATCTCGCAAGCCGAGCTGCAGGCGAAGATGAAGGAGGATATCTGCACCCAGCTGCTCATTGATGGATACGTGCAGTCGTTCGTGGACCTCTTCTATCTAACACACCGGAACGATCCAGCGTCCCAGCACAGAGCGAACGGGAGCGCTCCAGAGCCTCAGAACCCGAATTCCAATGGGGCTTCCGACGGTGCTGCACCAAGATCCAGTGATTTCACAATGCTGGAGCTGCCGGAGATGGAGTTCTTACGAGATCAGCTAGTAGCTGCCGAGCACTGCAAGCGACGCGGTGAGATTCCGGACGTGATGGCGGCTTACGACAGCCTCGCCACGTATTGTTCCGAGAAGCAGGACACCAAGACCATGATCTTCTTCTACGAGAAGTGTTTGGAGATTGCAAGGCTGGTGAAGGATCAGATCAGCGAGATGCGCGTGCTGAGCCAGATCGGCGGTGGGTATCATTCCGCTGGTGATCTGGAGCAGGCGCGTCAATATCTGGAGCTCTACGTCGCTATCGCGAAGGTTGTGTACGAGCACGAAGATGACGAAGAGCTACGTGGAGAGGCTTACTCACAGCTAGGCAAAGTGTACGTGGACCTTGCGTTGCGTCATGAACAAGCCAAGCACTTCCTCGAAGCCATCGAGCTGTACAAACTTCATCTGAACTGCGCGGTCAAGTCGCACAACTCCGAAGCGGAAGCCCACGCGCAGTTCAAGATCGGCACCTGCTACAACGCTCTCAACGAGCCCGCCAACGCGCTTCTCTTCCTGGAGACCAATGTACGTTTTCTCATTGAAATCCCCATAGCTTCAGCTTCTCACCAAGTCGACGTGTTTGTGTGTTTTGTGTCCGCGTTGCAGCTTGCGGCAGCGAGACAAAGTGGCGACGCGGAGGGGGAGGGCAATGCCTGTGCAGCATTGGCGACAGCTCACGAGAAGCTGGGAAACCAGCAGCTATCGATCGAGTTCCTCAACCACTACGTGACCATAGCAACCCGCGCGGAAAACGTCGTCAACCAAGCAGACGCGTGTGCACGCCTCGGTCAGATCTACACAGCGTCCCAGAACTTCCACCGCGCCCGCGAGATGCACGAGAAGAACTACGAGCTCGTCCAAGCTGTAGCAGCCCGAACTGGCGACCGCTTGGCGCAAAACATCTCCCGCGTGAGTGTAGGAGCTGCCCGAGCGAACGACAAACTTGGGACACTACTCAATCTTGTCAAGGAAGACTTCCACGGTCTGCTTGCGTGGAAGAACACGCGGGCAGTGCCCACAGCCGAGTAAGCGCGACCCAACACTCCCTGTAGCCCACAACCTTGTAATATCAAATTCTACTCCGTTTATTCCCCGTCCGTAGCTTTACTTGGTGGCAGCCACCGGCTCGCCCTCAGTGGGTGGGTCCACGATGCTCACACGCAGCAGGCGGCCGTCCAGCTCCTGGCCGTTCATCTCGCTGGCAGCCTCCAGTGCCTCGTCGAACGTCGAGTACACGAGGGACGCCCACAGGTGCGTGTTGGAGTGGTCGGGCGTCAGCAGCTTGGCCTCCTCCAGCGTTCCGTAGCCCGAAAACACCTCGCGCAGTCGCGTCTCATCCGTCTTCCAGTGCAAACCTGCGGTGGTCAGCGTCAGCCTCGATTGCAACATGGATACACCAGATTTCTTGCAACAAATTCACTACCTACCGATCACGGAGACGTGTGTCGACAACATACGGCAGGTAGATCCACCCACCGAAGTCCTCACGCCGCTCTGACGCAGCGTCCGCAGCGCGAGCATCCCACCGCGACGCATGGACATGCTGATCAAATTTTGACTACCTGCAGGGGGTCTCCTCTGCAACCATGAAGTCAAACACGGGTACAACCGGTAGTCAGTTCTGTTACAGCGATTTCACGACAGACATTGTCTCTGTACAAGAACACATCTTGTAATAGCTCGGAACAATCGCCACGCAACAAAGGCGATAGCGGTCGAAGGAGCCAACGAGAAGCTCTCTTCTTCTTGCTCGTTTGCCTCCCACACGCCGCTCCAGCAGACCCCACTGCATTGCATCTGCTCTAAACACTATACCCCCCGTCTCCACCTATTTTCTCCGGTTGAAATCCGCGTGAAACTCGCGGAATGGCCCAAGTCGCGGGTGACAAAGTCATGACCGAAGTGTCGGCGGCGGCGACGCCTCCAGGCAGCAGCGGGGGCGACAACCGGCCGCGCCCCCGCACGTCCTTGAGCCGGCAGAGCGTGCTCCCCGTGTTGCAGTTCTGGAAGGCCTTCGATCTCGACAGCAAGCGCGTGCAGCTGGACTCGCAGGGCAGCACCATGAAGAGCGAGAAAGATGCGAGCGTCCGCTCCCGCAAGAAGCTGGCGGAGACTACCAAGCACTTCCGACGTCTGGCCACTGACGCCGACAAGGCGGCGGGGGCGGGGCCATTGCTCAAGGCCTACCAGGAGGAGATCGACCACCTCACCCGCCGAGCCAAGTTCTCGGAGAACGCCTTCTTCCAGCTCTACAAGGGCCTCTATGCTGCTCCCGACCCTGCACCAGCATTAGCATTGGTGGCTTCAAGTTCCGCTACGGATGAGCTGACGGAGGAGAACAGGAAGCTCAAGAGGGAGCTCAAGGAGTACGAGGCGGAGTTCGCGACGCTCAAGAACCAGGACATCACCATTCGGAACTTGGAAGAGCAGGTCGCTGCCGCTGCGAGGGAGCAGGACGACGTGGTGCACCTGCAAGTGGAGCAACGCACGAGGGAGCTGGAGGATCAGCTGGAGAATGCAAGACTGGAGTGGGCCCAGCAACGCCGTGACTACGAGCGACAGCTGGAGGCGTCGCGTGCGGAGCTAAGGGAGACGTTTGCCAAGATGGATGCGATGCAGTCGGATCTGTTCGCGCACAAACAGCGCTCGGGACTTGCCCGTAATGCGCTCGACGCGGAGATGGAAGCTATTTCACAGGAGTCGCTGCTCTCGCAGACGCTGCAGCTGGAGAACGCCCAACTGAAGAAACAGCTTGACGAGTTGTTGAGCGCTTCGACCTCGTCCGAGATCTTCGACGCGCGCGCGTCAACACGTCTAAGTGGTGACGGAGATGCCAGTGAAGGCTTGCAGTCGGCGAGGGAGATGCAGGCAGAACAGGATTCCGTTGTGGCGGCGCTGCGACAGGAGGTCTTCCGTCTGAAGGAGGCCCAATCGACGGCGAGTGCAGCGGCAACCGAGGAGTCGAAGCGACTGAAGAGTGCTCTAGAGAACGTGCAGCAAGTGCAAAAGGATATGGAAGCGCAGCTTGCGGCGAGACCAACGATTGAGAAGTTCCACGAGGTGACGCGCCAGCTGCGTGTGTTGCAGCAGCTAGAGTACAACATCGTCGACGACGATGACGAAAGGACCAAGACTTCTTCAGTAGATGCTGCGGAGAACAGCGAAGCTGCAGGTGGTCTGGAGGCTGCTACAGTTGAAGTGGAAAAGATTCTTGTGTCGCGTGTACGTCGTCTCGAGCATTCGCTCCAGGAGTGTGAGCGCACGCTTCAAGCTCGGACATCAGCGCTGCAAAACGTCCAAGGGGAACTCCACGACCGAGACGCCAAGATTCGTGAGCAGGCAACCCTGATCCGCAATTTAGAGGAGAGTGTGGCTGCGCTAGAGAAAGCTCGACGAAACCGCAGCACAACTGGAGTCATCGGTGGCGACATTGGGTCGGAGATCCTCATGGACGCCATGGAGGACCAATTTGCGGGAACTTCAGGATCTTCTCGCGGCAACGCGACTGCATCAGCGACAGCAGACTCAGCGTCTTCGAACTCGACCACCTCGTCCGATAGCAAGATGCTGGAGATTGTCCGTGGCCAGCGTGATCGATTCCGCGAGCGCATGAAGGAGCTCCAGAGCGAGAAGAACCGCGTGGAGGAGCTCGCGCAGTCGTACAAGAGCACGGTGGCGCGTCTCGAGACGGACAACATGCAGCTCTACCACAAGATCCGATACCTGCAGAGTTACGGCGGTGACGGCAAGTCCGCGGGTTCGCGCGTCAAGCCCAGTTTCTCCGCGCTGGAAGACGGATCTGGGGGTGCGTCCGACGTCGAGGCGCGCTACCGAGGAATGTACGAGGAGAAGATGAACCCGTTCGTGCAGTTCAACAAGATGGAGAACCAGCAGCGCTTCACGAACCTCAACCCGGTGGACAAGATCCTGCTGACGAGCGCCAAGCTGCTGCTGGCTCACCGCATCACGCGCAACATGGCGTTCGGGTACATGTTGCTGCTGCACTTCCTCGTGGTGGCCACTCTCTATTCGTTCATGCACGTCTGCGGGGTCACCAACGACTCGTAGAGCGGCAGCAACTGTGTGTACGTACTTCTTCAACATATCAAAGGCTAATAAACATGCATGTGTCAATGACTTCAACTGCTTGACCATCGAATGAACCTACGAATTACTAAAATACCGTCAAATAGTCTAATTCGTCACTGCGACTTCACTTTTACAATGGGGAGGTGGCAGACTGCGGCCAAGGCGGCGCTGTGGCTGCCCGTGGGCGTGACGGTGAACGCGCTGGGCGTGAGCCTGGCCAGCGTCAAGGGCCGCTCCATGCAGCCGGCGCTCAACGACGGCCTGAGGCAGGACGCGGTGCGCGACCGCGTGCTGCTGGACAAGTTCTCGGTGCAGATGCGCCACCGCTACCAGCGCGGCGACGTGGTGGTGCTCGAGTCGCCCGAGGCGGCGGGCCAGTACCTCATCAAGCGGCTCGTGGCCATCGAGGGGGACGTGCTGAGGGACCGCAGCGGCGAGACCCACGTGGTGCCCGTGGGCAAGTGCTGGGTGGAGGGCGACAACCCCACGTTCAGCAACGACAGCGACGTGTTCGGCCCCGTGCCGCTGGCGCTCATCGACTCGCGCGTGCTGGCCGTCGTGTGGCCGCCTAGTGAGTGGAAGATCGTGCGCTCCAAGGTGGCGGAGGATCGCCTGAACGTATAGAGGCAGGAGCTGGGAACAGTTACAGTGGAGAAACTCGCGCAATATAGGAGCGGGTCAGGTAGCTGCAGTAGATGCCAGGCAATGGAAGGAGAGGTAGAGAGTTGAGGAACGAGGTGTGTTCTGGATGTTGGCTTTATAGGTAGATGGTGTTGAGTGGCATCGGTGCTACATGAATTGGTGCTCGGCGAGCATTCTGGTGGCGTGTGCGCCTAGCACCAACAGCACCGGAAATCGGCCTGAGGCGTCGATGGCAGTGCAGAGGTTCTGCAACGTCGGACATGGCTGAAACCTTCGCTGCTTGACGCATTTTCACGTCAGTTTGGTGAGGCTCGCGCTCTTCTGAGCTTGTCAACTGCAGACTTCGGAAACGGCCAGACGAAAGACGGTCATCGACTAGCGCTATGGTGACACAGCAGCCATTCCTGAGCTCGTTGAATGCGTCGCACCGGAAAGTGCGCGGTGAGCATTTGATCGAGTCGATGAATGCATGAAGCGATCAAGCTATCTGCATCGTCGCCGAACGAAGATCAGCATGAGCTCTACTGATCGTCCGAGCAGTAGACAAGGAGCGATAAACACGTTGCTCGGTTTGAAATCCACCAGAATCGGAGCTCTGTTGTCTGCGAATGTAAGCACCGCCGCAAGAAACAACGGAATGTTCACGAGATCGATAAGGACAAGAAATGCTGTGATGAAATACCTTATCGTGCGGTGCAATTGTGCAAGGCTGTTCGAGTAGCAGCCTCAACTTGGACACCGACACCTTAACTACTCTTTGTAAATACACACTGAACACTCTATAATACAGGCCGGACGCCCATCGAGGATGGCGCCGATAGATAGAAGGGGGTTGAGAGCGAGCGAGCAAACCCTGGGAGCGAAGGCCCTTAGGCGCAGAAGCGACGGATGTGGGCCGAGTCGGACTGGCTGATGAGCGCGTTGGTCTTGCAGTCGATGGAGCAGAAGCCGTCGACAGGCGCCAGCGCCTTCTGGAACGACTGCGCGCAGTTGCGGCACTTGGTCGTCTCCGAGTGGATGGCGGTGTCGTAGTGCGACGAGCGGTTCTCGATCGACACCTCCTCGCTCAGGATGTAGAAGGCGCTGCGGCCCGATCCGTTCCAGGGCTTGAGCGTCACGTAGCCGTAGTCGATGAGGCGCAGGAAGAGCGCCGCGCAGCCCGTGCGGCTGGACATGATGCCGTCGTCCATGAGCCAGCTCACGGCCTCGGACTGCACGAAGTACTGGTACTGCATCTTGGAGCGCTTGTTGCGCGAGGTGAGCGCCAGCACGTCCAGGGCGCGGAAGACGAGCTCTTCCTCGATGTCGCCCAGCAGCTCGTTGTCCGAGGACTCGCTGGACGCGGCGGCCGACTCGAGGCGCGTGAGGCTGTGCGTGGAGGCGGAGGACTCGAGCGAGGACTCGGCCAGCGCGTGGCAGTGCGTGCACACGCGCACGCGGCCCTTGTAGCCGAGCTCGGGCAGCCGCACGTAGAAGGGCGAGCACTCGCCGCACACGAGCTCGCCGCACGCGCGGCAGTGGTGGCGGCGGCGCGTCCAGATGGAGAAGTCGTTGCCGCAGCACAGGCACGAGTCGCTGGCCGTGTCGGGGCGCCACTGCGGCGGTCTGCCGGCCTGCTCCTTGTCGGGCTGCGGGCTGCTGAGCGCCAGCGGCGAGTCGCACGCGGTCACGGACACGCCCATAGTTCAGTCTGGGGGATGTTGAAGGCGGTCGCTCTCTGCTCGACGTGCGCAACGCGCGTGAAATCCGGAAGTGAACCGGGAGGAGGTTGCTCGGGCTCGGGCCGAGACCGTCATTTATTTGTCGGCCCCGTCTGCGCGCCCCGTTGCTGCTCTGCCCATCACCGTCAGCTCGTCAGCTGGGCTGAAGAAGCACTCTCTTTTGACTCGGGTCGAAACTCGAGTCGGAAGCTGCCTGCTATGCCGGACACACCGGCACGCGAGTGCCGGCGGCTGGCCACGGCTCGCCCGGGATCTCCGTAGCGGGGCTGGCTGGTTGACTGCCGGCTGCTGGTTAAAAGCCTTGCGCGACCGCCGACACCCGGCGCTCGCTCGCTTGAGCCAGCAGCGCCAAGTCTCTGGAGGCAGGGCTGCGGTTCATTTCGCATGCGCTCGATGGGGATTTGCCGGCTCGACACCGCCCCGGAATCGAGTGACTGGGGCCGCTTGCACGTGGCGTCCGTGCAGCGTGCCACCTCGACTATAGCGATCGCGGGGTGGTGTGTTGCCTTGCCGCCGTTGCGACTGCGAAGCGGCAGTCGTCGGGCTTGCTGCTTGGCGCGCGTCTAGCGCCGCCAGCGCTGCATTGTGCCGCACAAGTTAAAGCTCGTGGGATCACGTGTGTGGGCCGTCAAAGCGGTGCCGCCCCGAGGGAAATTCCGCTCCGGGGCTGATTCCTTCTTCCCAGAGAACAAGCGGGCCTGATTTCGCTGCGTGAAGGGCCTTCACTGAAGGCCGGTCGGACTCGCCTCCCTCGACTGCGGACCCCACAACTTGCGTTCTGCCATCCTTGTGCGCTCACTCATTCGGCGACGCAACGTGGTTGAAGTGGTTGAAGCGGCCGGATGTGTCCTTGAGGAGTCCTCAATCAGAAAATGCCCGCATGTTACATGCGGCATGTACGCTCAGTGGGATTGCAGCGGGCAGGTACCGGGCGATATCTCGCTGGATTGATTGAGGCGGCGTCAAACCCCGCCAAGCAGCAGCTTCAGCTTGGCAAAGGCCCCGCGCCGCCGGGGGATTCCTCGCAGCAACTTCATGACCGCCCCCGCGTCGACTATCCACCGAGTTATTTTGCATCGCCCTTCAAGCATCGCCTGCTGAAAAAGACTGCCATCTGCGCGACCGCATCTCTCGGGTCGCTCGGCGCTGTTGACGCAGGCGCGCTGTTGACAAATATCGCCCCGCATGCAGGCGAGCCGCCACCAAAGTCTCATCAAAATGTGCTGGTGTTTCAGTTAGCCCCATACATTGCGTGCCATGTTGGCAGCGACGCCACCTTCCCCACAGTGCCAGCCAGATGTACGCAAGGAAGCCTCGTTATCGCAAATGAAAGCGAGCTGAGCTGGTCCGCGGCTTGTCTGCGTGGGGCAGCTCCTGCTCGCGCTCCTGGTTGAAGCCAACCCGACATAGAGCGAATGCATCGTCGGCTTGCTCGTCCACACGAGTGAGCGTGGCAGCCGAAAGAGTCGGCGCTTCAGCGATTTCAGAGCCTGCACACGAGCCCAGGATAAACGGAGGAACAGGCTCGAGATCGTGTTGAGCTTTGAAGACGCGCTTCAAGCGAGACTAACGCTAAGAAAAAGTTTCAACGCGCTGGATATCTGCATCCGCCGGCGGACTCCGCCGCGGAGGAAGGTCTCCGCTCCGCTCGGACCTTGGGCTGTGGCATCCGCAGGGGCAGATTGGACGCGTGAACTCTCTCGCCGCCCACGGAGACAGGGCCGCTGCTCAACAGAGACCGGTCGACTGGAGCCGAAGACCTCCCGTGTTGGTTGCGGCGTCAACGCTCACGTGGCCCGGCCCAGCGGGGCTCGCTCTTCGTTCGTTCGTTCGTTCGTTCGTTCACAGTGAGAATTTCTCGCGAGATTCACGCCCCAGAATGGGATGCAACGCAGCATTTTTCCTGGCGTTCGTTGACTGCAGGTCTCCCGTGACGACCACCATGATATCGTACGGAAAGTATTACCCGAGAAGGCTTCGCGAGGTGAGAGGTGGAGGCAAGGTTCACAACGCGCAAGGCCAACCGAGCGCTGACACTGTCCGTGACAGCGAGTGGGACGGCAGGCAGACAGACCAGCGCGGTTGTCGCAGCTCGCGGTGCTGAACCAGCACTGCTGGTGTGGTGGTCATCGCTGCCCGCGAGCCAAACGGGTGGCTTCCCGGAGCCCGCACACGAAAGAGCATGCGGTCCTCGCTCACCGCCAGTGAGCCACATCCCGGCCGATTTGAAGCCGCCGGCATTGAGACGCAAGGAGCCTTGCGGCCACCTCCACCCACCACCGCGATGGCGTGCGCTGACTCACCTGGCCACTGCAATCTCGAGTGGCATCCTGCAGAGGCCAGGCTCATGCTTGTCAACCGGAGGCTCCACTTCAACGCGCAACGCTGGCCGCGATCCAAAACGCATCCCCCGCTTTGCGCAATACATGGCTACAGCACACCTCCACCAGTCAAAGCTTCCCGATCTTGTGCACATGTCGCTTGTTGAAGCTGACCTTCACATGCACATGTAGCCATGTCTACAGACAGTACTGCCGGGTGCCGCAGAGCACGCGCTTCATGAGCGTCTTGCGCAGCGAGAGCACCGGCGCGCAGCCCCGGTCCTGGCCCGAATAGTACTCGAGCTCGAGGAAGCCCGCGCGGTTGACGCCGCCCTCCTTGTTGTCCTCCTTCTCCCAGCGCGCGGGCAGCTTCCAGCCGGGGATGCCCGGCTCGCCCTGCACCATCGTGAAGCTCTGGTTGAGCCAGTTCTCGCCCGGTTCGCCGATGGCCAGGTCCACTAGCACCTTGGTCATCTCGCGCTCGTCGTAGACGGACAAGTTCAACGCGTAGAAGCGCTCGGGCGCCATGGGGTTCATGATGTTGAGCCAGCCCAGCATGCTCGCGCACACGTGCTGCTCCTGCCTGGACATGGCGTCGTAGATGCGGTAGAAGTTGTGCAGGTCGATGAGCCGCGAGAACAGGATGCGCGCCGTCTCCGGCCGCGCGTGGAAGGCGGCAGGCATGCACGCGATGATCTTGGAGGCCTGCTCGCACGAGAGCCACCGGTCGCAAATGGCCGACTCGATCTGCACCATCTTGAGCCCCACGTTCTCCTTAGTGGCGCCCGTGAGGCGGAACGTGTACGCGTGGTTCACGACAAAGTCCCAGCCGCGCTTGAGCACCGACGCGCGCGTCTTGTTCCAGAACTCGGACTGCTCCTGGGACGCCGCGCGCTTCATGCGCGCAGCTAGAGCTCCGCGCAGTGGCGCGACCTCTTCATTGTCCTCAGTACTATCGTCAGCTTGGGCTTTGTTTTGCAAAGGCTTGGGCTGGCGCTGGCCGCGTTCGCGTTGAGAGCGCGTGGGTCCAAGCGCGCCCAGGGCGTCGGGCAGCACGACGTCCATTTGGAGCATGTCGATGAGCTGGTCGAAGCGCCGGTCGCTGATCTGCGTGGTGCCGCGCTTGGGGCGCGTGGTGCTCACGTAGTCGAAGCAGAGCTTGCCTCGACGAGGCAGCGCGTGGAAGAAGGTGTTGGTGAGCACGATGCTGTGGCCGTCCAGCTCTTCGTTGCGGAAGTTCTCCCAGTTGCCGTGCTGGGACGTGTCGGCGCGGCCCGATCGCAGCTTGGAGAAGAGCTTCTCGCTCTGCGCGACCTCGGCCAGTTTGTTCAGAGCGATGCGGTCCTTGTGCTTGGCCAGATCGAACGAGTAGTGCGCCGTCGGGTTCCCCAGCACGACGGAGTACGCGCTGCCCATCCGAGCTTTGAGTCGACACCGCTGCATGAGCGTCAGCGTCCGTCCTACGAGGATCTGCGCCTCCTTGGCCGTCAGCATTTGCGGCAGCATGAGTGCAATCGTCTCGATCTTCTTGCTCTCGGGCTTGAGGTAGTGGCACGCGTCCAGGAGCTGGTAAGCCTGGACTGCTGTGAGGCGGATCTCCGAGTCGTACATGGCCACGTGGAAGAGATCGTCTTGCTCCGCCTTGGACGTGGCGACTTGAGTGATGTTTCGGATCAGGAGCTCGAGCCCAACTCGGGAGATTTTGCCCTGGCGGAAGGCTTCGTCACTCGTAGCGAACGCCTCACGGTCGTAGAGGAAGTCGATCTCCAGCTGGCCGTCTTCAGGGATAACCCAGGGCTTCTGCGTCGCTGCGTCCAACAGCGAGACGAGCGGGACCTTTTCGAGGTTCACATCGTCGTCGCTCAAGTCATGGCCAAGCAGTTTGCTCTTGATCCGGTCCAGCAGTCGGTCTTTCATGAACTCGACGAACTCGAACTCCTCCATCTCGCCGTCTCCGCTGATGTCGTAGGTCGAAATGGCGTTGGCGATCTCCTTCTCGTCGTAGTTGTGGATGCCCAGCATCTTGAAGGCCTCCTCGACCTCGTCGGCGTCGATTTTGCCTGAAGAATCCTCGTCGATCATCTGGAAGACGGCGTGGAAGAAGAAGGCGCAGAACTCGCCCTCCTCGATGAAGCCCGACTTGTTGTAGTCGAACTTCTGCAGCATGGACGTCAAGCTTTCCATTTGAGGGTACAGTCCGAGTTGGTTTAGAACCGCCTCGAGCTCGTCTTGGTCGATGTATCCGGACTTGTCGCGGTCGACGTTGGCGAAGAGAACGTCTAACCCTCTTGTCTCTAGTGTGGTTTCCTCTTCGCTGTTCTCGGTACTGCGGTGCGTCCCTCCTGCTCCTTTATGCTGCTCCACGACGAGGTTCTCCTTCTTGATAAGGGTGATCGGTTTCTTTACCGACGTCAGAGACTTGTATTCAATACGCAAGAAACGACATCCTTTCCTCGTTGTTGCAAGACGAACGAGCTCCATGGCGATCATTTTGTCGTAAGGCTCCACCAGGTTAAGCGAGTACCTGCCTGCAGGCTCTCTCGGATTGAAGATTCGGCTCGACTTGGCGTCGAACACCGGCAAGTCTTGGACATTGAACTCGCCACCAGTATTCGACTGTGGAGCGAGACCACGTGGATCGGTTAGTGACGCGGATTTTGGTCGAGTTGTGACTGCAGAAGGAGCCGATGCTCCGATTGGGAGGATGTTCGCTCCGAGGTTGCAGGCGTGCAGCTCAATGGAGCAGCCGACCTCGGTTCGATTCCCACAGAGCGCTGCCATTAGCAGTTGTCCGCCTTCTCTTCCGATGCTGTTGCCGTTAAGCTGGAGAGTTCGCAGCGTGCGGTTCGACCGGATGGCGTTGGCGAGCACCATGGCGCCTTTCACGCCAATGCTGTTGTAGGACAAGTCCAGCATCTGCAGGCTCTTGTTGAAGCGTAAAGCCTCTCCAAACATCATGGCACCGGCGTCTGCACACGCGTTGTAGGCGAGTTTGAGCTCCACGAGTGTACCGTTGTCACGAATGGAGTTCGCAAGCGCTATGCTGCTCTCCAGACGCAGATAGTTCCACGACAGATCGAGATGCACGAGCACAGGGTTCATATGCAGCATGTTGGCGATGGCCTCGCCGCCTGTGGTGAAGTTTGGCTGAACAACATTGAGGTTCTCGGCCTTACCGATGCAGTTCCTGCTCATCCAGAGCCGCGAGATCGACTGGTTCTTCTCAAACGCCGTCATAAAGGCGGCACACTCGTGATCGTCGATGTCGGCGTTGTCCACGTGCAGCATCTCCAGAGTACAGCTCGATGATACGAGGTATTCACGCAGTGTTTGAGCACTCTTGGGGCCTATTTGGTTCTGCGAGATGTCAAGTCGACGGAGATTTAGGCTTGATCCACCGTCACTCACAGCTTGGAGGAGTTCGTTCAGTCCATCGTCACTGAGGCGGTTGTCACGGACGCTGATCTCTTCCACACAGGGCAGATCGTGTACCAGACATTTGGCAAAGGCCGAGATCGCTGCGTCTCCGAGCGACTGGAAGGAGAAGTCAAAGACGGTAGTGTTCCTGTTGCGGATGAGGAAGGGAACCACGACTTGAGACTTCGCTGAGCACGAGGCCAGGAAGTGCGCTCGAGGAGACAACTTGTCTCGTAGTGGCAGCTCCGGGCGGTCGGCGCTGAGGATCGATGACGAGACTCTGGATACGAGTCGAGACGGATTCAACTCGTCGTTCACCTTCTTCATCTCGCTTGAGGACGGGTACACGGGGATGATTGTATTAGTGCCTTCGTCGTCTGAGTCTTCGAGCTCTGGTAGCGACGACACTTCGATGACAGGAGCGGCACCTTTTGCCCTACCAGCCACTTTGCTGTCCATGAACAAGTATGGCCGCGAGTAAAGCTGCTTGTACTGCGCGTAAAATTGTTCCTTGGCGGTCTTGCCGAAGTACCCACGACTGCTTTGAACATCGAGCGTCTCTTCTCGAGAAACCCATCGCAGTCGTAGAGCTCGCGCAGTCGCGTTCTCTTCGTTTAAATCCACATTAACCTTGCGCGGTCCCCCAGCAGCATTGCGCACGGGGATCTACAAGAGTGCACAGCCAGAATTCGGTTAGAGATGCTCCAACACATCGACAATACTTTTATGAAGCACGCTTTGTACCAGACGGGTTGAAGAGCCTTTGCCGTTGTTTGATGTCTCCACCGTTGAAGTGTCTTTATTGACATGTGATGCTGGGACTTGTTGAGTCTCCACCTCGAGGGTTTCTGGAATAGGAACCTCCTTTTTTCCCATGTAGTGGCTGGACGTACGTCTCCTTGAAGGCTGGCGTTCAGGGGGTGTTAAGTCTCTCTGAGAAACAGACTTCAGGAGTTTCCGATCTCTACTGCCTGAGGGCAGTCGCTTCATCGAGTTCTGGTGACGCAGCAATCGATTGACTGGGCGTGGGCCCGATGCTTCTGCGCTTTCGAGCTCGCGGTTCGTCTCATCCTCTGGCAAAGGATCAGGGATGAGCTGTATCGTGCGGAGATAACGACGTCTGCTGCCTAGCGGTCGAAGGTCCGCTGGGATCACCATCGGCGGGTCCATTGCTAGCGGCTCAGGCGGCATCTCCGGAAGCGGAACTGTGTCTCCAAACGAGTTTCTGGTTGTACACATCATTGCGTATAAGGTCCCTGCACAACGATGAAGAAGGTAGAATCACCTACCGGTACCACGAAACCTTGCTTTTCGCCTTGTCATGGCGGCCATTTTGCCCGCACGAGGTCCCGACGTCCTCGCCAAGAGCTGTGAGAGAGCTGGGCCGGCGAAGCATCGGGGTTCCAGCGATCTCATCGCGGACGTATTGCATTGCTGGAAGTGCGCAAAGATGGCTACACTGTGCATTCGCGCCGTTTCGCGGCCCAAGTTGAAGTGGTGTGTGCTACACAAGCGCTCCTCGATCTTGAACAGTCGTGAACGTCGGTGCGCAAGGACGAGAGCGGCGATATGGAGGTGAATCAAGGAGAAGCTGAGAGGACGATGGCCACTTCGAGAGCATTGGCTCTGACAACCGACGTGGTCATGAACTGCGCGGGGGTCTACGACCTGTTGACGCTGAAAGAGGTACCTGCAGTTGTCTTGTCACTAGGTTTCAGCCTCTTTTTGACACTGTGGTTGATGGATTTGTGGTTGATGCGATGCAGCTGATCATGCGGGATGAAGAGCTGGCGCAGGTTGATGAAAGCTGTGCACAGAGCTTGGCGTCGCTGGAGATCCTTTCGTTGTCGCACAACCACTTGACATCGCTGCAGCATTTTCAACACTTCGTTAACCTGATTGAGGTCGGTAACTAGAAGCGCTGCGTGTGGGTGGCCTTGGATATTGAAGCCATTGTTGTTGTTGTTGGGAGCAGCTCAATATCAATTTCAACCAGATTAAGACGCTGGATAACCTGCAGGTTCGAGTCTATGCCAGGACGTATTTGTTGCTTCGAATTTTGACGATTTCGGTTGTTAGTGTGCTGGGTTGGAGAAATTGTTCGTTTCCAACAACCAGGTGTGAATCTTGATGCGGAGTTGCGATAACTAGAAGGTGCTCGAACTAATTCGGCTTCTGCATTGCGGTTGATTTATTCTTCAGATCGTAGATATATCTCCGTTGCAAAAGTTGCTCAAGCTGAATACACTCTCCGTGTACGGAAATCGGATTGCCGACTTTGATTCAGCGTTGCACATCTGCCGTGGCCTTCCAAAGGTATTGTGAGCTCTTAACCTTGAGATTGATACGTGGTCTAACAGAGCTGGTGTGGGTTGGCAGCTGCGGTCGTTGGATTTGGGGGGAAACCCCTGCTCTCGCGATGTCGAGGGGTATAAATTCCGGGTTGTGCGAGTGCTATCACGCCTCAAGACGCTAGACGGGGATCACATTACTCAGCTTGACAAGGACTTGACTGAGGAGTTTTTCGCATCGATACACAAGAACAGACAAAGCAACAACCGATTCATCGGGGCTCGGCCGTATACTGCGCCTGCTGCTCCTGGGGCGCGAGGAGGTCGCGTTGCTACCGGTACCTTGACGCCTAATAGTGTTGACCCCTTTGCTAGCGGCCTCATGCCCCGCGGAAATGTTCGCTTGTTTCGGGACGACTTCCTGAACAACAATCCGATTTTGCTGGAATATATGGCTGGAAACGCCAGCGGAGCTTCACTAGCTGATGAGTCTAAGTACTCGAACGAAAGCGATCCTGATGATGGAGCTCCATCATCCAGTTTTGTCGACAAAATGCGCAATGCCAATCCACTGCCGAATAGCGAGACGGAGAATACTGGGGCTGAGGGGGTGGTTGGAGACGCAAGGAAGGTGACTTTATCCCCCAGCGTATCCACGTCGAATCTGGGTTTGGACCCGTCCGATCCTAACACCACCATCCGGAAGCTGCTGAAGCATATCGAAGTGCTAATGGTACGTTCATCTCTGTCATTGAACTTCAATGGTTCGTCTAGCTAATTACGTTGGGTAATTGTAGGAATCTCTAGCGCGATACAAGAATCACCAGCTCGACGCAGTGAGCGAGTCGCTGCTGGAAGAGAACAAGCAGCTACAGACCGAGAACAACAACATCCCGATTCTTCAGGAACAGATCCAAGACCTGAAGAAGCAGCTTGTCACCCTCGAATGCGATCCAAGCAGAACTCGGATTCTTGAAACGAAGCGTGTGAAGTCACTAGAGGTGCGATCATTAGCTTTGGTAGCACCAAACGTCCCGCAAACGACTGAATCTTGCTTGTTTTGCATGTACTAACAGCAACAAAACGCGAGCTTACAGCGGGAGAACGCGCGACTGAGAGAAATGCTGCTCCGTCAGACCAAGGAGACCGAAGAATCGCTTGATGCTCTGAGGTCACCTCGAATACCGGCGGGTGAAGGTAAAGCTACTGGGCCAAAGAACCAAGGCGAAATGAAGCAAGACCCGCGGCGGTTATCTCACTCGGATGTAAGTGTCGTGCATCGCTTAATCTCCACATGATGCTCACGAATTTATGACGTGTGCTGCTGTAGCTGCTCGACGAGTCCGCTCTCATTGACGTGGAGCTGACCGAGCTCATATTGCAAAACGAAGTCTCTCTCGAGCTCATTCGAAACGTAGGTCCATCAAAGCCGTGCTGTGTGGGTAATGAAACGAAATACTAACGAAAATGCCGAGCAGGATATCAAAAACACAAAGAAAGAATGGGAAGAGCATTTCCAGCAAGCCAAAGCAGCCGAGCAAGCGCGAGTGAGGCCTCAAACTTCACTGGGGTTGAGCTCTCACAACAGCAATAGGTCAGGAGGGAGCTCAGACGCCTTGACGCCTATGGTGCAAAACGGAGGTACGTTCCACCACCGTGCACGGCGAGTTGTTGGCCTTGTCTTACGTATCTCTGCAACTGCTTGTTTGCTGTCACAATTCAAGGTCGTCGTTTGCACACATCGGCAGGATTTCGTAACGGGCCCGAAGCTCATCTGCTTGGCCAGATGGCAGTTCACCCCCTTTCTAGCATCAGGGAAGGTAGCGGTAGTGACAGCTCCTCCACCAACATTCTTACCTTATGAGTCACTACGACCCATCTGCAGCAGGAATGAGCAATACCGCAATATCCGCAGACCCGCAAAAGATACAAGCAAAATACATTTTGGTTCGCCCTCGGTCAACGTGATTGCTGTCTCCTTCGGGCCATTCATGTTTTGCTTGATGTACAAGCGTTTAGGACGTCCCGTGAGCAGCTGCATCAGGCCACGTGCCGTCCTCTAAGACCGGCCAATTGGTTGAGTTTCGCTCATGAGCCGGTACTAAAATCTCGCGCGTGCTAACATCCACTTGCGACAGTTCTGCATTCAGCACGCAGGATGATCAAGCACATAACAGGTTACTAAATCTGCCGAGTCGACTCATGAAAAACTAGTGCGAATGCGCACCTTGCAGAGTGAAGTTGAACAGCGCGGGCGCGGGGACATCATTTGGAAGTTTCAGGTCTTTCTGCCGCAGCTCATCGAAGAACGGGTGGGCGGCGGCTTCCAGCGGCTTCACACGTCTAAATTCACAAGCCAACAGCGATCAGTCAGCATGAATTGCGGTGCTACGAGCTACAGCACCCTTCGAAATCTTACCGTTTCGGATCATAGACCAACATTTTGGACAGCAAGTTAATCGCCTCGGGAGGGGTCCGTGAGCGGAAGATCTTGCTCCAAGAGTGGGCCTTAATCTGCGGGAACTGGAATTCCGTGTAGTTCGGGTTCATGGCTTCGATCTCCTCGCGCGCCGGCGTGCCCAGAACCTTAATGATCTCGACCAACTGATCCACCCCGCTCTCACCAGGGAACAGAGGCTGTCCCAACAGCAGCTCAGCGCACACGCAGCCTAGTGACCAAATATCTAAAAAAATAAAGGCACCAACGACATCAGTACCCAGCATACTTCACTCGCAACAGTCCAACTGCAAAAGCACGATACATACCGATAGCTGTGGTGTAGTCCGTGGCGCCGAAGATGAGCTCGGGGGCGCGGTAATAGCGTGAGCAGATGTACGACACGTTGGGCTCGTTCTTCTGCAGCACCTTGGCGCTTCCGAAATCGCAAAGCTTTACCACGTGGGACCTGGGGTCGAGCAGCAAGTTCTGCGGCTTGATGTCGCGATGGCAGATGCCCATCGAGTGGATGTAGGCCAGCGAGCGGCAGATCTGGTAGATGTACAGCTTGACCAGCACGATGGGCATGTACTGCTTGGCCTTCTGCAGCTGCCTGGCCACGCCGTAGACCGTGTCGGGGATGTACTCAAGCACCAGATTCAGGTACAGCTCGTCGGGCTTCTCGCCGTTGCAGTAGAAGCAGTGCTTGAGCTGCACAATGTTCACGTGGTGCAGCTGCCGCATGATCTGCAGCTCCCGGTTCTGCAAGAAGAATAAAAACAATTAGCCAAATAAGAAAAGAACATAAAAACATCCGAATAACAATGTCAATCCCACCTTGAAGCGCTTATCCTGCAGCACCTTCTTGATGGCCACGATCTCGCCCGTCTCCTCCACTGTGGCTTGGAACACGACGCCGAACGACCCGTTGCCGATGATCCTCTCGGCCGAGTAGTGAATCGTCTTACCCTAATCCACAACAACAAATAACAAATAATAATCAGCTCTCTCCTCCTCCTTCTTCTCCTCCTCCTTCTCCTCCTCCTTCTTCCTTCTCCTTCTTGCGCCACGTACGTCCGACAGCGTGTGGGTCGAGTCTCCGACCGTGATGCCCGTGCTCTCGTTGCGCATGTCCTCCTTCTTCTTGGTGGTGGACGCCGTGGTCTGGACGGTCGCGATCTCGTCGTCCACGCTGAGCTGGATCGAGGGATCTTTGGGCGCCTTCGAGGCCGCGTGGGCGGCGCCGTCGGCCGCGCGCTCGCTCATCGGGGGACGCGAGGGGGGCCAGGGGCGGGGGGACGCGCAGGGAGGAGGGATCCGGCGAGGCGTTCGGGCTCGCAGACGACGGGCGGGGTCTTTTATCTCCGGTTTTAGGTGGAAGGCGGCCCCATACTCAGACCAAGTGGCGGCGGCCGACTTGCGTTTTTATTCTGGGCGCTGCGGATTGGACGAAATTCCCGCCTATCAGGGTTAGGAGACCATATGGATACAAACTTCAACTTCCAAGCTAGATTGCTACAGTACAGTGGGGGGTTACATTATCGACCTGAGGTCGTCGTGTTCTCCGCACTTGGGGGTGTATTGCGAGGGCGTCGGCCAAGCAAGCTTCACAGCATCGGTTACAGCGGTCTCCGCCAATTGCTGCGCACATGCTGAACGGGTTCCTACGCTGGGGCAACTGAGGAGAACCTGTGCGCACGAAGCAGAATTCGATCCCTACAATTACACTGCGAACGTGTTGCTGCGGGCTTCACCACACTAGCGCAGGCGTCCGATGACAGAACGTTCCGAGCGCCAAAATTACACCAGCACAGCTGTCAATCTCGCGCTTGGGGCATATCGCTGGGGGCTTCTTCCCCCACCAAGAGTTCGCGCGTTCGTTTCGTCGCCCAAAACCTCGCGTTGTCACAGGAAACGTCAAGTCAGTCAGCCCAGGAAGGTGTCGATGCGGTCAAAGTGCATGGAGCATCAAACTATTTGCGGAGCGCTTTTCGTTTCTGGCTTGGTGGCGAAGCACGGGATCATGCGCAATACAACGAGATCATGACCATGCAGGCTAGCTGGTGCTGCTGCCTGGCACGAATGCTCTCAGTTCTCATCTCGTCCCACAATGAGCATGCTCCAGCCTTCGCCTTCCAGTACGGCGTCTTCCGCCTCCCGACGCTCCTGGCTCATCCTAGCAGGGCTCTGTTCCCAGCTTCTCTACGGAGAGGGAAACACGCTTGTCAATGCGCAGAGCGACTCATGGGACCCCAGTGGCGCGTTCCCGTCGCCGACGCTGCTGGTCAACGCTACTACAGAGCAGTCGACGTTCTGCAAGCCTCGCCACCTCGACACCATGCGGAGTCGACCAGTGCCCACGAACGCGTGGTGGGCCAACCTCGTCACGTGCGATACCAGCACCAACGCCACTTCTCCCGTCTGGCCCAACCCGTTCGCAGTGAGTGTGGAGTACTCGGGGGCATACGGCTTCGCGCTCAGCTATCCGTACCGCAACCGGTTCTTCGGCGGCGTCACCGACGGCGTCGCCAAATACTACGCACACCCGAAGCGAAATGAGATCCAACTGACTGCGTGCGAGTTCGCGACATCGATCCCGGACATGCAGGTCGTCAACTGGACGGACCTGGGCGTCACCCTGCAGCTGCAAGCTCCGTCGTCCACAGGTACCATCAAAACCAGCATGGTGAGCGGCATGGCGTACTTCACCGCTACGTACCAGGGGCTCACACCCGAAATCCTCCTCGAGGCCCCCATTGCAACCATCAATGGAGTCGCAGCGACGATCGGCACCCGCTACTCCGGCACTAAGTTCAACATCGTGGCAGTCAGCGGCCAGCAGTGGTGGCTCCACGTCATCCCGTCGTCGTCTTCGACAAGCGGCATCCAGCTCAACCTCGCTACCAGCATGATCTTGCGGGCCGTGACCTCGTTCAACGGCGTGATGCGGATTTCGTCCATCTTGGACGACACTCAGTCTGCGGCCCAAGACAAGTACAGTAGCTGCATTGTGACTGGAGGAGACGTGGAGATCACCAGCGACTCCAAGTACACTTTCAAGTGGAGGACCGACGGCGATTGCTCCAAGGGACTGCTGCACTACGGACTGGACCACCACGCCAAGTCGCTCACAGCGGCTAGCGTCGCTGAAGTGGCCAACGTCGCCATGTACTCGGCCACTCGCGGTCTCATGAAGGCTTTCGTGACGCTCACATCTCCGCCCGCGTGGTGCTTCTACGAGTCTCGCAACATTCCCGTGACCCACTACCCGCGCACTCGCCTCACGAAAGCCGTCGCTCTGCAGCAAGATCTGTTCACCAAGCTGCGCGCTGACATCCAGAGCATTTGGACGGTGGCCACTGACGGCAGCTACTACTTCACGGGTAAACTCGTGCAGCAGTACGCGTCGCTGTGTCTGATGGCCAACGACCCAGTGATCGTCGGCACCGACATCTCCCTGCTGCGTCGGTGCGTGACCAAGCTCGAGAATGCCATCGCTCCGTTCCTGGATAATAGCTGGAAGTACAAGCTCAAGTACGACGCGGTCATGGGCGGCATCGTGAGCTCCGAAGGGTTCGTGACGGGCGACATGAACGCGGACTTCGGCAACACCGTGTACAACGACCACCACTATCACTACGGCTACTGGGTGCACATGGCCTCGGTCATAAACTACCTGCACCCGACCTGGTCGCGGATCGGAGAGCTTAACAGCATGACGCGTCTTCTGCTGCGTGATGTGGCCAACCCGTCACGCGACGACCCGTACTTCCCCAAGTTCCGCGGCTTCGACTGGTTCCGGGGCCACTCGTACTCGCACGGCATGACGTCGCTGGGAGACGGCAAGGACGAAGAGTCCACGTCTGAGGACATCAACTTCTCGTACGCCATGGCGCTCTTCGGCAAGGTCACGAACAACGCGCGCATGCAGTCCATCGGTCTGCTCATGAGCAAGGTGGGCATGCGCGCCATCCAGACGTACTTCCTGTTCGACAGCTCGAACACGATCCACCCTGTGGCGTATCGTCCGCGGATGGTGCCCGGCATCCTCTTCGACAACAAGGCCGACTACGCGACGTGGTTCTCCGCGGACGAGTATATGATCCACGGCATCCAGATGCTGCCGGTCACGCCGATCACCGAGTACGTGCGCACGTCGACGTTTGTGCAGCAGGAATGGGACAACATCCTGTCCAAGCTCGACATTGTCACCACCAATGACGTGGGCAACTCGTGGCTGTCGCTGCTTTACCTCAACTACGCGCGCGTGAACAAGGCCGAAGCTCTCGTGAAGCTCAACCAGTGCACCATGATGAACGGCCTCTCGCTCTCGTGGGCGCTCTACATCGCCGCGCAGTACTAAACCAGCCATTACTCAGTAGTAGATCCCATTCTCGTAGGTCAACTCCACTTCAACATGCTCTTCATCGATGCCACGTAGCCTCTATCTATTGCCATCATCCTCTTGGTCTACTTAATGCTTCTTTTTGCCAGCGCATAGCTGTCCCGATAGCTGCTTGTGTGGGTCACGCTCCTCGTACTCGGCAAGGAAGAGCGTGCGCAGCACATCAACAAGGGACTCGCGCTCAGTTTGTTGCGTTTTCGACTCAGCATTCCCACCGCGGGCGAAGGGCGGCGTCTGGAGACTCGAGTCGATGACCTCGAGCACCGCATCGCGCATTTCCTGCAGTAGGGCTGCAGACCGGTACGAGGACTGGAAGACGACCCAATCGTTCACGCGCAGGCCAATGGCTTCGTTGCCATCCTTGTCCTTGCGTCGTAGCTGCGGCAGTGGCTCTAGCGCGTGGCTGAAGAGACACACAGCCAAGGGAAGCACGAGACTGGAGGATGGGAGGTACACCTGCGACGTGTGCAGCTTCACCGCGTACGTGAGGAAATTGCTCGCACGGAAGCTTGCCACCTTGTAGTTGATCGATCCCGGATGCACCACGACAATGCTGTGATCACGCTCGCGAAGGACTGCGCGCTTGGGGCCGTTCCCCGACGGCGGCTCAGCATGCACCAGGTTCGGGGCCAGTCCAGCGTAGAGCACTGCAGATATCGTCGCCAACTGCTGGACTGTCATTCGCTCGTCAACTTCGGACGCAGTCGGTGGCAGGAATCCAAGTTGCGTCACAAGCCCTCGGAACTGGCGCTTGAGCTTGCTCAACTCACGCAGCCCTCGGTGGCTCAAGAAGTTCTGGTGGCAGAAGTTCTTCTCGTTGATACCGTTTTCTTTGCCGTGCTGCACAACGTAGCGCCAAGCTTCGAAGGCGTTCACGTCTGTGAGCAAATCACTAGCACCGATGGCGAAGGTTTGGCGAGCCTGCTTCATCTCACTCTGGCGACCGAAAGGTGCCACGAAAGGCGACTTCGTCTCCAGCACGGCGGCACAGGTACTTGCGGCATCGAACACCCCGAACAGTGCTCCAAGAAGAAGCAGCTTGCCTACCTTCACGTCCACAGGCAGTCGAGCCAAGTGCGCACCCAGTTTGGTGAGCGACTCGTCCTCACGTTTTAGCGCCCCAATTTCGAAAAGCTCCTCCAGCGCATCGCGAATACTAACATCATCCGGAGGGTCTAAGCAAGCACGAAGAAACTCTCCACATCCGTCCTTCTCCTCATTGCCACCAACACCGAAGGTCTTGATCTGCAGACACAGCGACGTCAGAGGAGCACGCCGGATTTCAGGCACTGGCTGCTCGAGCATGACCGAACGGAAAACAGACTGCGGGAACAGGCGGAAGCATGAGCCCCCACTTGTACGACCTGCACGACCAGCACGCTGCTTGGCATTGGCACGCGCGACCCAGATTTCTTCGAGCACATTGGTGCGGCGTTGAGCATCATGACTCATTTGCTTGACACGTCCAGAATCAATCACGACCTTGACGTCGTCGATTGTCAGAGACGTCTCGGCAATGTTGGTCGCGGCGATAATCCGAATGACACCAGGACGCTGCCGGAAGATGCGTTGCTGCTCCTGCGCCGACAGCGAGGAATGCAGTGGCAGCAGCTCGAACTCACGGCCTTGAGGGTCATGGCGCAGTAAACGGCTACCTGCAAGTATGTCCAGTAGTGTAGTGATCTCTTGAAGGCCTGGAAGGAATACAAGCACCGAAGCACTCCTCCTCTGATCACTCTTCTTCGATAACGACAGCATATCCGTCTCCGTGGTAATATGCTCCAAAAGCGCTTGGATGAGCTCGTAGTTGACAACAGACGGGTCCATGCGCTCCAAGGTTTGCAGGGTCGACTCACTGTACGTCTCTTTCAGCATACGCTGTGTCTCAGTTACCGTTGCCTTGGAGGAGGACTTGCCCGAAGATGATGTCCAAGAAACTTGCTGCGAGTAGGATGTGCCTCCGCGGCCTGAGATGGTGACCTGCGTCGAGTTCCTGTCGGATCCACTTTCATCCACTGGCACGTAAGCGGGGGACTCTTCGTCCACAACAAAGTTGGTCTTCTCAAGAACATCCTCGAGGTAGAACTGCTCCACAGGGAACGTGCGACCAGGAACTTCAATCATTGGGCACACGGCAGCACCTCCAAAGTACTGCTGGAAGCTTGCGGCATTAAGCGTGGCACTCATAAGGATCACCTTGAGCGGCGGCAACGTGCCTCCAAATTTCCGGCGTCGTGCCGCGTTGCCCTCGGCCAGGAATTGGCGCAGCATGGCCAAAAGTACATCGCTCTGGAGGTCGCGTTCATGGACTTCATCCACGATCACGTGGCTCACTTCCTCACCGAGGGTGTGGGGGTCCTGCAACTTGCGCAGTAGGATACCAGTTGTGCAGAAGAGCAGACGCGTGCGGCGTGTCATCCGTGTTTCGAGGCGGATTTGAAAGCCTGTCAGCGAGTCGCCTGTGCCCATATTGGATTCGCCGAGCTCCTCGGAGACTCGTTCAGCCAGGCTGATAGCAGCTAGTCGCCGAGGCTGCGTGCAAACAATCTGCCCTCGAGCCCCTCCGGATTCCGAAAGCAATAGATCTTCCAGTAAAAACTGCGGCACTTGCGTACTCTTGCCACAGCCGGTCTCGCCAGATATCAATATGACGTCGTGGTCAGACAGCATTTCAACAACTTGCTTCTTGAACGATGCAATCGGCAGAGACTCACGCTGTGAGAGCTTCGACTTGTACGCGCTAGAGCGCATCTGCTTCTGGAGTTGTTCTCGTAGCTGGCGAGACAGCTCCAATGCGGCGGCCCTGGCACTCTCGCTCTCTTCCTCGACCTCCACTTGATCAATAGGTGCCGCGACATCATCGCTTGCAACTGCATTTGCCTCTTCAGCTTTCGCTTCGTCGTCATCGGACAAATCGGCATCCCAGTCGTCCACACTCCAGTCTTCTAAAACATTCCCAGCATCCTCGACACCCTTTTCCACGACAGGAGCTGCGGGTTTTGGCTTAGGAGTCGGTATCTCTATGACAGCTCGCTTTTCAGCAATCTCCGCGGGAAGCGTATTGAAAATCTCGTTCAGGAGTTCGTCTTGCTCATCTCGATCAGCAGCCGCGGCTGCTGCCTCAGTTTGTTGCCTCTCTGCAATCCATCGCTGCCACATATCGCGGTACACCGGCGGTAATACTCGATAGAGCGGCAGGTCTGACGCTAGCTCAAACAACGCGCTGGTAGCAACGGCGTCCTTTGCGTCTGAAATCGAGTCAAACCCCCGCGCGGCGTCACTGGCATCTCGAACGGTGACGTCTTGCTTGCCACGAGTTTTGTTGGCGAGGACAACCGAGTATAGGTGTCCTCCGCCTGCGGGGCGAGGCAACTTCTTGTACTGCGGCTTCTGCAAACCATTCTTACGGCAGTGCTGCTCCAGGTGATCGCGCGGCGACTTGCCCGTCCAGGGAGCAGCAGCAGTAGCTTGCGCCTGAGCAGCTTGAGCTGCCGCTGCCTGGACCTTGAGCATATTGCGACCTTTCTTTTTCTTCCCTCCTTTGCCCTTCTTCCCCTTTGACGCCGCGAGATCTGCTGCGGCTTGGGCGGCGATGATAGCCGCTGTGTCGACTGCAGCACTCTTCTTGATTTCGTCAGCGCTTACGACCGTCGCCTCAGCCTCCTCCAAGAGACCGAATAAGCCACCCTCGTCGTCTTCTTCGTCAGCTTCTGTCTGGGCAGTAGGATTGGACTCCTCAACTTGTTCTTCTACGTCCCCGTTCTGCTTCGAAGCCATCTCATTCTCTTCAGTCTGGCCTGCGTCTTCTTCGTCGTCCGCGATTCCTAGCGCTAGCGACAACAACTCATCATCACCATCGTCTAGCGCGTGGTTCGATGTTGGAGGCGCGACTTTCTTCTCGGCCGTCGACACAGTAACAGCCGAGACGTCCTTCTCGTCCTCCTTCTTCTCGTGCTTCTTCTTCGTTGTTTTCTTCTTCTGCTGCTGTTGTTGTTGTTGCTGCTGCTGCTGCATGGGGTCCCTCCATCCACGCGCCAGCAACTGACGCCTTGTGTCCTGCATCTGTTCGTTCAACTCACGCGTCTTCTGCTTGTCCCCGCTCTTGGCCTTCTTCTTGCTCTTCCGCTCCTTGAGGCGATTCAGTGCCGCCACCAGCTCATGGTAGCGCTTCTCTAGCTCCTCCAGCTCGCGCGCCTCGGGCGTCACCTCCGCCTCACGCCGCGCCTGCTCCTCTTCCCGCGCTGCCATGCTCAGCACGTACTGCTGCGTCCACGACAGCGCCTCCGTCTGCTTGGCGTCACCTCTGCTCGGCTCCTGCTGCTGCTCCTGTAGTTCCTGCCCCTCTTGGTCCTCCCAACTGTCGATCGCCTGTTCTACCTCCTCGGCCTTCTCCGTCTCCCGCTCTACACGTTCTACCACCTTCTTCTCCCCGACTGGGGCGTTCACCTCCGCCAGCAGCTCGCCGCTGTCTCCATCCGCGTCCTTCGCGCCAAGCAGCTCCGTGGGTTGCGCACGCAGCGTCGGCGGGAGTTCGTCACTTGTGCACTGCAGTGCCAGGAAGCGCAGTGCGTCCTCCAGCGTGTTAGCGTAACCCAGCGCCTCACGACTCAGCTCCAGCGACGCCCCGTAGTCCTCGCGTAGAGCGCTCAGCGCCCGAGCCAGCTTCTTCTTCGTGCGCTGCTGCAGCTGCACGTCTGCTGGCTCAGCGCTCGAGACCGGTACGCCCGAGCGGAAGCGGGAGCGCTGTGCAGCACGCCGTGGCGCCAGCACGCCATCGTGCACGAGCTGCTCGAGGTTGCGGCGGAACTCGAAGCCACGCTCGGCCATTCCAGCTCACTGTGTGAAGAAATGGCTACAAGTTCTGTACGCTCTAGATTAAGAGAGGCTATATCTAGACGTGAGGAAATGATTACAGATTGGGTTCTGTACTCTTGATTTAGAGGGGCTAGATCTAGTCGCCTGGAAACGATTACAGTTTGCAAAACAAAAAAACATATTTATTTAATTTTTTTAAATATTTCTTAAAAGAAAACATTTTTAAATAGTAAAAAAAGCCAAAGACTATTGCCACATTTGGGAAATTGGTGTCACATTGCTTCAATTGATGAAGGTTGGAAGCCCGCGCCTCAGCACACGGATTTTAAGTTTGTACACTGAGTTTGGTTGCGCCTTCTCCCCCAAATCAAACTAAAGTAAAACCTGTGGTTTTGTCCCGTATCCCCAGCCGCCCCTCTTGCTACGATAAATGAGACGACAAAATCGTTTTTCACTTGATTTCAGTATAGTTTACCATAAATTTGTCCTAGACGGACTGCTAGGACAAAACTGAAAGTCACTTGAGTTAAGTATATTGCGGTACAATTTACTTAACTCAAGTGACTTCCAGTTTTGTCCTACCATTTTCCCTATTTGTCCTATCAAAGTGCCCAGTGGGGTCTCAAGTGACGGGCTCCAAAACCAGCATGCCCATAGAGCGTGACTCGTCGGCGATGTGGTTTGGAGTTCTGGACGCGGACGACAGCAAGTTGACCGAGCCGCTAACGGTTAAATATTGCTGGTGTTCAACAGGTAGGCATCATTTTTAACAGTTGCATTGGTATGTCATGGCATAGTTAGCCTTAATATCTGTTCTTGGGCTAAAGGAACATACATTTATCGGTTTAACTGATTGTCGCCCTTGCTCTCCATCTCAAGCTCGAGATGGATGGAAGACACCTCGAAAGCGACGGCTTACCGCGTACCAGTCCACACATCGGCGATCAGCGGTGTCAAGTTGTCGCCGCGAGGCCGTAAGTGATGCACATTCAACTCAGGGCTTCATATCATCGGCTATTTTTACGATATGCATGATACAGATACAAAGTTTAAAATGAGCGGGGCTGGATCAACTGATCTTGATACACGTACACTGTCGTATCAATATCATATCAATATCGTACTAAGTATCAAAAACAAATACTCTATCAATGAAGGTGGTTGTGGTAAAATTAAAAACTAATGCGATTTGATTGGTCAAAATACCTATATTGGTACATAATATGTACTACTCGTGCGACACGTGAGCCCTAGCTTTGAAAACGAAAGAGAACGAAGCTCCATCGAATTGGGCGCAGTTGGGCATCTGCAGTTATTCGCGAAAGAAAGCGAGGGCAGCATGACAGCAAGGAAACTGTGCTAGTCATTGACTTTTTGTAGAGACTGGGATCGCCCCGGCAAAGCAGGCATGTTTCTGAAAACGAAGCCTGCGAGTGAGTAGGCATTTTGGTGTAGACCTCATGCTGAAGGCAACCTACGTGCAGAACTTCTATCACGGAAGTTAACAGTTCTGAGCAAGCTATCGGATATAATATTACCAGATACCAATCAGTTTGTGTGGGCGGATCAATGATCCTGATCCCAAGCTTCTAGTGGTATCACCTGATATTGATACAAGTAATACATGCATATATGTCATCGTATCAATAGGTATCACATGTTGCTATTAAGCCCTGATTCAACTACATGTATTAATATTACTTGACAGGTAAGGAAGTACAACGCGCGTTCTCAGTGCTGCCGAACACACACACACCAAGTACGTCCCGAACGATCCGTCATCTCTTTAACCCCCTCGCACTCAAGTGCATCTAGTACTACGTTGCTGAGGTGGCTACTAAAAAAAATAAATAAAGAAAAGTTTGCGTCTGCAGAAGATGATAATGGTCGACGGGCGAAAAGCTCATAAATAATAAAATCCTGATAGGCACTAAGTCGATGCTGCGGCTGCGTTGTAATAAAAAGCAAATTTACATGCCCCACATATTGTAGGTAACAGGTATTAATAAGTCGTAGATTTCAGAGCTTCTTCGTGCAACGCGCGCGACTTTGTTTCTCGTTGAATTGCTGCTATGGCGATAGAGATAGTGACGGCGCTGCCGCGATGAAGATGCTCACACTACGTTCTTTAGCTATCCCAGCCTATGCATAGCTCTCGTCCAAACGACTCTTCAGTACATTGTTTCGTACGTTAGCGGAGACTTTTTACCGAGCTGCCTGACCTCTCGTATGTCTTTTACGGCGGGCTCTACTGTCATTTGCCTCCGTTACCACATTTAACCGGAGTTCAGCCACCCCTTGAAAAGGGTTCCGCGGTTCATGTGCATAAATCGTCGGCCGTCAACTCTTACCTTAAACTTCAACGATTAAAGCAATCGTTTGTTTGCTGATACAAACGGGGCGATCTCCGGTTCGATAAAATGCCGACCTCAGTTTAATAACTTGTTATACCTTCGAACAAGGTAACATTTGAAGGGTCGCGTTTGGGCGCCGTTCAACATGAGTTCGTGTGTTCTTAAAAAGAGGTAAAATTCGATCGAAATCGCCACTGATAGTTCATTTGCCCTACCCCATTCTCAATTGTAATACAGGGGTTCATAAATTGGAGTAAAAGTACCTGTAAAAAGGGTAAAAAGTCTTTATGCACATTTCATTATAAGGGGGGCTATGCCCCAACTAGTAATGGAGCATCTCAGTCGCGTTGCTCCGTTGGGTTGCTTAAGGGTCGACACCCTGCAGTGGAGTCTCCACTTCAGGCCGACGTCCCCACCCTCTAATTGATCTTATCAATCACCGTTACTATTTTTGTAGTGTAGTGAAGCAAACATAGGGCTAAGGGCGTGTTCGTGACCGTTGCAATTTAAAGTCTCAGTTTAACCCGTGCAGGCCATCAAACCAATAAGCAATTAGCAACACTGGTGGAGCTGCATGGTGAAGTCTTCATTATCAGCAAATAACGTTACTATCTGTCGCGAGGTCAAGATAATCAACGGCAATTACACACCAGCAACAAGAGAGCACTAATGATGCTGGACTATATCTCGCGAAACCCTAGATCACGGTTACCGGTAACCGCGCGGGTGAACTGCAGCACCAGCGGTTCAAGATCAATTAGTGGTAGCCGACAGCCCGAAGCAAATACATGTAGCAAGGGATAATTGTTGTTGAAAGCTATAATATTCAGTTTCGATTTTCCAGCGTATTCAATACAACATCTCGGCTCTCGATGCGCGCCGTACTTCCTCTCTAGTGCTACCTTATCACTTATACCATATCACTTAACACAATTTAAAAATTGTTACACTATCGCAAAATTCTCTATTCTATCGGCAGCAAGTGGTTGCGAGGAGCACAGCCAAAGCAAACCCTCGCGGGGTGCCCGTGAAGCATGTCCGCGTAGGAGGGCCCAGCGACCAGCAGGGCAGCGAACGAACCCGTCGTTGTGGCTTGGAGCTAGTTGCGTAGTGCGGGGTGTGGGCCCCCAAGGTATAAGGAGACCATCTGCGCCACTGCCAGGAGCTATCTGTAGGCTACAGGCTGCATGGTGAGCGTAGCACGTATCCATGCAGGCAAGTTGAAGTGCACTCTCTTTTAGCAATTCTACCCTCCCCAGCACTAACTCACTCGTAGTAATGGATGCAAGCGCGCTCTAAATCAGAGTGAAGCCGCGGACTTGGTGGCGTTTTTTTTTGCGCTCAGTGGGATCTAAAGTGTAGCAATGTATCTAACCCCGCGATTCGATTCCCGGTGCCTGTTTGATTAGCGTTTATCGTCGAGGCTAAATCGTGTCCCCCACTTTAATGGCATCGACCCCTTCTCAGAAGGGGTCACTCCAGTTTTTACGCAGTAAAGCGCTTCTATGGATCTAAAGAGGGTTCTTCAACCAAGGGTTTTTGCGCAACGTTTGGCCCCGGGGAAGCGATTCTAGATGTAAACCCTAACCGTTCATATCTCAGATTAAGAGAGGTAAGTAAGAGAGGTAAGAAATAGAGTAAAGAGGAGTGATAGATGATTATAAGTGGGGACTTCGTCCCCAATAATATATTAGTAGTAATTCCTGGCACTGTCACATCAACCGGTTCTTGGGCTGCGATTGCGGTATAGATATTGTACGAATTTGCATATATAGGCTGCTATATTTCAGGGGAAACGTAGGTAAGATCCCCACTGTCTTATGAGGGCTGGGTGGCATTCTTTCCGCTCAGATTCGGGCAAGCCGTGAATTCACATCAGCTGCATTTTCACTCTTACCCACGTGAAGCAACTTGACAACTTTCAACTCGCTCAATGAGAGGATGGCCCCAGGTAAAGCGAAGAATGTCTACGGCGAGGTTCCGTTTTTACTCGAGGCTGCTGATCTAGCGGCAGCAAAGTCGATGGACCTGCTTTGCAACAGTTTGGTTGTCCAGCAAACCACCCAAGTCAAGACGACTACGGCGTCGCTTACGACCGTTGCGACAACGTTGCAGGCGAGTATCACGGCCCCCAGAAAGCAATCCAAGCACGATGCAAAGGATTTGCCCAGGCATGCGGTTTCCAGCTCAAGGTGGAGAGCTTCAGCAGCAAGCGGAACGGCGTCGGTAACGCGAGTACGTGTGCAAGAAGCTGAACGACCAACAGTTTTTTTCGACCAAGATGCAAGCGGTGAAGACATCGTGTGTCCTTTCTTGTTCAACGTGTGTGGGTTCAATGGGTTTTGGAAGGTGACCCGCACCAACTTCTGCCACAACCACATCAAATATGTGGGGTTTTCAAGCCGCCCAGTGGCTGTCGCCCCGTCAAGGACATGCGTAACAGAACGCAGAGACTGTTCGACCTCGCCCGACTGATCGAGTCCGATATGCTTCCGATGTACGAAGGGAGGACCGACAGGATGACGGGTCGTGCCATTGCAGACTTCTTGCTCGGTAAAGGCTACAAGCTCGGTGCATCCGCCATATCTCGCATCTAGCGCCCGATCGACGACGCCAATAGCATTGAACACCGCGTCAGCTACCAGAAGCTGGAGAGCTACTTGAAGTTGATGGCGGAGAAAAACCCAGGTTCGATCTAGCGCTTTGAGAAAGCAAGCGACGGGACTTTCGTTCGGGCGTGTTTTATCCCAAACATTGGGATACGGGTCGCTCAGATGACTAAACGATTGTTGGGTGTGGATGGCGCCCACCTCAAGGGTGAAATGAACAACTTCGGCGTATTTTTGGGTGCAACGGGCAAGGACTACAACAACCACATTCTGCCGTTCGCGTTTTCTCTCGTCCCTGTGGAGAACTACGACCACTGGGTGTGGTTTCTTGGAGTCGTCAAGGAAGCATCGGAGGAGATGATTCGCTTCACGGTTCTGTCTGACCAGTGCCGAAGGTGTCCAAGCTGGTCTCGCTGCCGCGTCGGTTCGGGTCCACGGTTACACGCCTCTTCGTCGGGAGTTACTTCGAAGGGTCGTCTCGAAGAGCCACGTCACGCTGATGATCAGCATCAGCGGCTGATCGCCATCCTGTGTCTCGACACTCACCGGGTCTCCGCTCTGTGCGCTTGTCGTCAAGCGTTGGAGTCGTTTCCTATGCTGCGTCGTTGCCACGACCACCATCCCTTCAGGTGTCCGTGGATGTCCGCAGCCGCGGCTTGGGGCGCTGCGCGTTGCATCGGCGCGTGCGCCGACAGGATGTCTTGATGTGTGCAAACTTGCTGCGCCTGCGCCGTCCTGTGTCGCTTGGTAGCGCGAGCGCCGTTACTTCGCCACCTCGATCGGCCATGGTGTTCTTCGGGTGTTCTTTCCGAAATGTGTATTTTGCGCTTATGTTGTATAAGCGCAACCTTAAGAGGGGGTAATGTAATGGCCCCAGTTACATAAGTAGGTAGATTGACAGTACATAAATGAGTTAAGTTAGCACACGGCTAGCGTGTACTGAAGGTCATCGTGATTGGCTGGATTGGGGGAGCCATACCCCATTTCAGCTAATCAGGCGTTGACTTGCATTCAAGTGGTTCACAAGAGATCAGGGTAGCCGCGCTGGTCCTAACATAAAACAGAGTGGATTTTACCCATGACTGGCTGCTTGGTCTCATTAAATCGGAGTCTAAACTAAGCTTCCTCACCGCTACGTGTAAGCCAGTGACGGGCACACACCTGACCCGTTACATACTGCCAGTCCCAATAGACGCCTGGTCGCGGACGATCTCAAGATGGCATTGCTATGCCCGACAACTTCTCGCGCGTCGGGCCCGTGCTGGTCACCATTTGCATGACCTCCACGGTCTTCACCAATTTGTACGCGGTCGTGGCCATCTACTGCGTGATGCTGCTGTCGTCCACGGGCATCAAGACCAGCAGCGACCAGGATGCGTGGTGCATGGACAAGTGGGTGATGTGCTTGTGGCCTGCGTACCGTGCGAGACCCTGCTGGATGGCCTGATCCCGGACACCTTCAACGCCACCTCCTGAATCTGCTACGTGGCGCTCAAGTGGTTGCGCGTGTGCCGGCTGCTCGGGCGTATTCATCCCCGACATCATCGGCGTGGCCGTCATTATGTACGGCATGCGCGGCCACCCAATTCCGCCGTCACCCGAGCTAAAGTTCTTGCTGACCGCGGATATGTTCGGCAAACTGAGGCGAGGCCGATGAAACCTTTGTCGCCCAGGGGGGTTCGTATAGCGCAGCCCAAGACTGTTCCCCAGGTGTAGACCCAGAGAATCGACTTGAGAGTCATCAGCAAGAAGATAGACCCAGAGATTCGCAGCCGCAAAACTTTAAACCCTGAAAATCACACTCCTTGGTTGGCGTGGGTACCTTGTGTAAAACCTGTCGGCTCGTTTGTCTTCGACGGAACGGCACTCCACCGGTTGAAAATGTAGCCTCGAAGAAGTGCGGGAGCGCACGTCTACTTCAGAACGCACCTCCACACCAAAAGGCAAAACCAGAGAATCAGATCCCCTGAAACCCAGAATATCACGAATTCAGGGTCCAGGATTTCAGTCAACTCTGGGACTTGGAACTCAGAAGACACCTTACCCAAATGCCCTCCTAGCTCGATAAAACCAACAAATACAGAGTATACAAACACTACAACTAGCCGTCACTTATTCTTTTGGACCCTTGGACGGTGGGTCACACACACACTAGGCTCACTCGAGTCTGAAATTCAGGGGCCTAGCTCCCCTGAGACTCACACAAACGCGCACCACCTCCAATAAAGGAGGAAAATACAATCACTATCAGTTACCTTCCCTTCACACAAGCAGTCAATACAAATTCCTGGAGGCGACTACCTAGCACCCCAGAATACCCTCTGGAATAATATGAAATGGGCTACCACGAGCACAGCAAGTGACCCAACTAGGATATGGAATATATGGATCACTCCAGGAAGCTCAAGGCCGTCGCTGGTCCCCACCTAACTGGACTTGAGTTTGATGGAGCCCACACAGACGGCTGTCCTTCGCCGTTGATGTGCCCTTAGCGTCCCGCGGTCGTAGTCTCGGGTCCTCCGGATTTCCGTCGGCAGGCTTGGCCGAAGTCACTTGCGCAGTACAGGGTAAAAGGAACTCTGTTTGGTTTTTATCAGCTACTTCTCTCTCTCTCTCTCTCTCTCTCTCTCTCTCTCTCTCTCTCTCTCTCTCTCTCTCTCTCTCTTCGGGCAAATATCTTCTGTTCACTATGCTCGGGATCAAATGTCTTGTCTTGAGTATACCTTGGGTTCAGCGGTCCAAACTTGCGATCGGCTTGCGAATCTATAGTCGCACGGCGTCGAAAGTGCCATTTGTGGGTCCTTAGACTTGGTTTAGTATGGTGCAGGACTCCCTCGCGACTCTTCGAAAGTATCCAGTCTGCGCATCCACAACGGTTCTTCACGGTCACGCATCACTTTGATTGCAGACTGGCTTCGAACTGACTCGAGTCCCTGAAAATCAGGTGACACTCAGGGTCATCTTCTGAAATCCTGGGAATTCTGAGGAATCTTGGGGAGCTGTGGGGATTCTTGGGTGTTGGCTTGGGAAACACTTAAGTTCAGTATAGAGAGTCTGGATTTATGGTCCAAACCCAGAGAATCATCTTTGGAACTCTGGGTCACCTGCACTCAGGGAGGTGAACTCTGGGTCATCGTGCGGCACTCTGGGTTTCCGTGCAGCACTCTGGGTAACAAGTCTGCTACATTGCAGGCCTGCGTGCATCTCCACAAAGCCACACTTTTAGCGGGTTTAGCGGCCTCCTGCGCATGATCACGGTGGTAGTGGGTTGATTCTCAGGGTAATTTGATCCTCTGGGGCACTCTGAGCCACAGCAAGATGAGGCGTACTCTGGGATACATTCTCCAGAGACACTTTGGGCCAGACTTTAGGCACTCATCGTAAGGGAAAGTCCGCGGCTGGACTGAGTGTTCACTGAAATCCTGGGCGTGCACTCCCAGGGCTCACACTTCCAGCCAGTTGGGCCCATCTGCGGTCAGACGCTGGATTCATCCCGAGAAATCATTTCTCTCCCACAGTCGTCATCCATGTCACACGGGTACAGCCGCGCCGTATCCAAGTCATCCACCAATCAGCATCCGATACAAACTCCTAGTCATCAGGTGACGGTACATCGTCGGCAATTTTCTGGGGACCGCCTCGTGTCAAAACTGTTGTTCAGGTACAATGCCGCCCCCTGGTAAGATACTACCGGTAGGCTGTGGGCTGCCTTAGAAGAGCATGGGTGGGATCGTTGTCGATTTGGTTGACACGACGAAAGCCTGCAGAGAGCTGTATAGACGAGGCTCTCGGCCTCTACGGATATTAAGTTACTACTTCTCTGGCCCACATAAGAAACAAAACTCCGGTTTTCAGGACATAACTTTTTACAAAAAAATCGTTTGGTGAAGCGCTATACCTCAACCGAAAGCTGCGCATTTGCTCCGTTTCACGCTGTGATTAAAAATCTAGCAGCAGAAAGAAAAGAGAAACACCCTCTTATCTGAAGTCCGTTTTAGGCACCATTAGTTTTTTTAGCGATGTGCCGTCAAAAATTAGCGATATTAGAAAATAAATACCACCATAATCGCGAGTGACTGCTTTATCCATATGTACGGTTGCCAATGTTGTAGCGCCTGCTGGAGACGAGTTAGAAGGGCTACAGTTTTGAGGGGTTTGTACGCACTTATCTCGACATATGCAGACCCATTTCATTTTGGCCAATCATAAGATGCAACGCGTTATTATACCCAATCATATTTGGCATGTGGTCCACATCAAATTGAGGTTTAATACCGAATGTTGTTTCTTAAGTGGGCCAGAGAAGTACATGGTATTCCGAAAAACACTGCTGCCAAAACTATCGCAATGCGCGACGATAAACATGATGTATCGCTTGTTTCGCATCTGTTAGACTCGCAAAGGTGCACTTGAACACCCAGTTTAACTTTAACCAATCAACGATCGGTAGAAAAGTAGGTTGCGCGCCCTGTTGTACCGTACTACTGTAAGTGCCCATCCAAAGTTATCAAAAATGCGAGGTGGGTACTATTTGAGGGTGGAACATGTTGCGAGGTTAACGGAGAGACTGGGAGGATAGGAGTGTGGAGGAGTCGTCAAAAAGACGAAGTCAGTTAGATTAGAGATGGTGCCTTGCCAGCAGCAGAGTTTAGATACTAGCAAAACTACACTGGTACAGACTATACAGCATAATTACTTCCTAACTAACAGCTTTGATGGGGCCTTTTCTATCAGATCATCAGCTTCCAGAGGTAGCTGGTACGATGTGCCACTATGTAAAGGTGCACACATTGACAGCCTCCTTGCATCTTTCCATCTCTTTTTCACATGCCAGAATGCATGCAATATTACAGGTCTCTGGAGAATCTCGTAGCAAGCGCCTCAGGCTTTAAAGAGTCGTCTACCAAGGAATCTCCGAGTTAGCTGCTCCGACTTAACCCACTCAGGCCTGTTGTTTTGGAAAGAAGGACTTCGCGGGTAATGCGTGGGAACACTCCCGGAGACAGCGCATGCAGCAGCAATGGTGCCAGGCGCGCCGTCCTCAGCTCTAAAAGGCCTAGAATAAAAGAAGCTCGGCACTGCAGTCATGATCCGAGAGTGCAAGCGCAAGCGGGCAGCGGATCGCAAGGAGAGCCAAGGTCCCAGTGCCAAGTCCAGCACGGAGGCAGAGAGCACGGCGACCGGAGGGCGTGAGGCCGCGGGAACCGGGTTGGAAAAGGTCACAGGGGGCCTAGCTGTAGAAGAGGAAGAAGGCCGCTGGAGATAAGGCGAGGAAGACTATTGGTGGGCTACTGGTAGAAGCCCTTCAAGCCGCCATGGCCGAGGTTGCTGCAGCGGCTATGAATACAGCACCCGCAGCGAGACTTGGTGGGCCGTGCAGCTCGCGGAGTGGCGATGGAGCGCCGGCGATTACGCCGTGGAAGCCGTTGCCGCTGTCACGGCAGATTGTTATCATGGCACTGTATCGAGGGGCCGTAGTGACGTGGGTCGAACCTCTCGCGCAACCAACCAGGCTGTAGCTCAGATATTGACGGGACTTGCAGGTCGTGCTTTCGATGGAGGCGAGCATCACATTGAGGTCGAGAAAGCTACTAATAGAACCGAGCAAGGCATACGTAGAGCCCGACTGCTGCAACCGACCAGAGTGTCACAGCCAGGGCGCATGGTCCTCGTGCCACCAAACTGGATGCTGCCATCGAATGTGAAGATACAGGCATCGAACTGGGCACATCTAACACCAATGAATCATTAGTTGGCGACGTGTATTACCCGATATACGACAGGTACTACAGTGATTGTTACAGCTAACTATGCAACGACGACAAAGATCTGGAGAGTGGCCTGTATCTACGACCGCCATAGTTCTCCTCGTGGTCCGGAGTACCGTGTCCTATGGCTCAGTTATCTGCTCGTCAACCCACGCTACTAACAACGCACTTGGGAGCCTCGCCTGCAACGGTTGGACGATGTTTTCGCCGAGTCCGGTGAGGAGAAATTCAAGGACGTCTGGCCTAATGCCGAGTTCGGCAAGCGGTCAATTGGTGCTGACGCACGAGGCTTGTGCATGTACAGTGCATTGAAGCGCGCGACCGGGCTTGATGATCGCCCAGACATCGTCACGGAGGATGATATTGACACGTTTGTTGCGGACGAACTCCGAGGCCATGGAGTGGACTTCACACGGGGCACTTTGTGGAAGGTAGTGCTGCGGTTTCGGTGCCGCCTAAGAGACGCCAGCCGAGATTTTATCTTCAAGGCCAACGCCAAAGACAACTGCACCGTTGCCGTACGGCGTGGTACACGTGAACTAGAGGAAGTGCGTCTCCACAACGGACTTTACGTTGTCGTCGCGTATAATCATAGCCTCAACGGGCATGCATTCGTGCTCAGTGTCCAAGCGAAGAAGAGCATGGTTCGGCGCATCTATGACTTGAAGGAGTCCAAGCCAGAGTCATCGGTGACGGACTGGATTACCGTCGTGGCCTATATTCGACCTTTTATTGTCTTCAAGAAAAAAGTAGTTAGTTAGGAACCGCGTTTACCTTATCGAAAATAAATTTCCCAGCAAAAACCAAATTGTGTCTGCATGGATATAGAGAATCATATGCCTTTTATAATTCGGTACAATACCAGGGAAACCTTGGTGAGGGGAAAACATTAGAGCGAACAAAAGATAAAACCCAGTTGAAAAAAACTAAAGGAACTCAATTGAGTAGGCACTCTTCATGCATTAGTTTTATTCTCGTACACTGTGTCAAAAGGCTAATTGAGCGTCAAGGGATTTCATCCTGAGCTTTGCCCTTAGTTCTCTGAACTGATGCTTGTCTAAAGCCTTAGTAATATATCAGCAACCATAATTTTGGTATTGCAGTAAGCGACGGAGAACTCGTGTCGCTCGACTTTTTCCTCCACAAAATTGTATCGAACATCAATGGGCTTCGACCTCCCGTGTAGTTCGGGGTTATAGCATATCTTAATGCAGCTTTGGTTATTCTCGTGAATAACATTGGGCTGCGTCGTGCCAAAACTTTGAGAAGAAGTTTGAGGAAAATCATCTCGTGTATGCCGTGACACAGGGCGATGTACTCTGCCTCTGTGTAAATAGAGCCAACGTGTGATGTTTGCTCGAAAGTCATGAGATAAGTCTACTCGCAAGCATAGTCACATATCCACCGACAGACTGTATCATGTCGGTGCGGTTGGATGAGATTAATGCAGTCAAAAAATATGTCCTGCAACCGAAAGAATGCCCTACCGATTTGACCATAGAAAATGCATTTTAAGTAACATAACCAAGACAGGGAGGGGTGTCACGAAAAAGGTGACAGGAATAATGTTCCCTGTCTCTAAACCAATCAACCCTTCCAGGTACGACACCCTATCTTGCACCGCAGAGCGGTGCGCTAGAACGCTGCCTTCGGCAGCGCTGGCGGGGCACCATCGTGGTTAGGCTTCCAAGGAAGGCAGACTACGGTTTGAAGTGTACCCGGGGAGCTTGTTTCATGCCGTACAGGTTCTTTAGGAGTTTACACAGTAGGTGCGCTTTACCGGGGACTTTAAAAGTTTGCGGTTGAGCCATGTAGATCTCCTCCTCTAGCAAACAGTTGGGAAATACAGTTTTTACGCCCATTTGGTGGGCTTCAAGTTCTAGCTGCGATTGTTAGAAGGCGTCTCAGTGCCTCCATTCTAATAATAGGTGCGAAAATCTCATTGTAATCAACGCCATGTTCCTGGAGGAATCCTTTGATCACTAGACGCGCGTTGAAGCGGTCAGTTCGCCTGTGCCAATATATATCACTACAAAAACCCATCGGCAGGTTATAAGTTTCATTCCTTTCGGACAGGGTACCAGTACCCTAGTTCGGTTGTCTGTATGGGACTTATATTCCGCTTTAGCTACTTTACGACACCGATTAGCGTGATCCGGCCTCATGGCTGCTCGATATGTGGTGGGCTCGATTATATACCGGATAGCTAGCAGTGTATAGAGCGGTTTTCTTCGTTGCTTTTGCTTCTGTAAATCTCGGAATTAAGGGTTACTTCCGTGCGATCGGTCGTGGCACGGGCTCGCTGATGATTTGGAGGCGATGGAGTTTCAGAGGATGTCTCTGTTCGGAACGAGAAATGTATCTGTGTCCTGTCGAGCACCACCCGAAGGAGTGGTAGCCAGCGCTTAGCTGCAGGTGATGTCGTAGCAGGTACATGCTCAATCGATTCCGTGTGGACATGCTGATCTGACTCGATCGCAGGTTTTTCTGGTGTTTCCGTTGGGTTAGTCAGGAAACGGTATTCATCTTCCTTAAATATGACATCTCGGCTGTAGATAATGGCATGGGAGTTGAGATTCATTAAGCGATATCTCTTCTTGTGGCCGAGGACGCCTAGGTACATGCACAGTCGTGCTCGAACATCGAGCTTGTCGCGGTATTGCTCTGTAGTATGAACGTACGCGCTACATCCAAACATCTTCTTGTGCTGCATGGAAGGAATGCGTTTGTACCAGAGTTCATAGGTTGCACGGACGTTAGTCTTTGAGCTAGAGGTCATGTCGATGAAGGCCGTAACATGACGGACATACTCTGCCCAGAGTGTCTTGGGAAGTTTACCATCAATTGGTAGGGCCCGTACCCGTTCCGTGATAGTTTCCATGCGACGTTCCGCAACTCCGTTCTGTTGCGGAGTGTATGCGTTGGTGAATTGTGCGTGTGTGCCATATTTCCTGAAGCTTTCGCGTTCAAGCGTTTCGTATTGCTTGGCATTATCTGCCTGGGGAACGTGGATGTCGTGTTCTTCGATAGCACACGGACGCCACTCCAGCACACCGATGTCGTGTCTGAAAATGTTCAGGGCTTTCTTTCGGAAGTCATCCTAGCATTCATTGAGCTGACTCCGGTTTTTCATCGGGAATGTGAACATGAATCGGGAATAGTCATCGATAAAGATCACGACGTAACGGCAACCAGTAAGGCTAGGCACAGGTAAAGGACCACAAAGATCTGTATGAACCTTTGCCAATGGTGCTGTAGCACGGTCAAATACTCTATTGGAATAAGAAGGGTGAGCGGTGAGACTTTGCTAGCGTGCATGCCGTACAGAAGAACAGCTGCTCCAGGTTTACAGACGCAGTACCGTCGAGTCCACGGATAGCTTGGCTCCTAGATAGATGAAGCAAGACGCGAACGTTAGGATGCCCAAGAGTTTGTGTAAAAACATAAGCGAGCGTTGTTTACCCGACATGGCAATGAGTGCCGATGCGTTCACTCCAGGTATGGCCTCGAACTGATACAGATCAATGTTGTACGTCATTGGTGCCTTGATACTAAAGCGTACATCGGTCTGCATGACGCACGTTTTGCGATCGAAGCTGAAGCGAAAGTCGTGCTTCACGGCAGCCGGGACCGAGAGTAAGCTGAAGTGTCGCTATGGGGCATAGAGTACGCCGTGAAGCATGAGCTTCTTCATGTTGCCTTTGGGGTCGATGACTTCTAGCTCAACGAGTCCAATACCTTCTATCGGGATTTGATTCTTTCCGCCGACAATGATGGAACCACCACTCGTAGAGATGTTCGGGAGCCACTGGGCTTCATGCGTCACATGGCGCCTACACCGAGAGCCAATAGCCCACGTGGTGTCCAGATCAACGTTGACTTGAGCTGTGAGACTTAGAGGCGGGGGATAATGGTGGCTACTGCAATGAGACCGGACTCGCGGCGTCCTTGTTGAAAAACCTTACGGCGGTTGCCTTCGGCTTCATCGTCGTTGCCCGAGTTGTCCTGGCGGCGTTTGCGTTTGCGGGACTTACCCTGACGGTAAATATCATCGTCAGAGCTGTCTTGGGGGTTTTGGCGTTGTCGATTCTTGCGACGATTGCCGTTGCAGTTATCACCAGCCCCATTCCCATTGCGCTTGTTCTTGTGCTTGTTCTTTAGATGTTCGCACTTTGTGTTGCCTTTGAAGACAAAGTTGACAGGCAGTTCTGAGCCACCCTTCTCATGTTCAGCCCTCGGGTCGAACAGGTATTGTCGTAGCTATTGCCTTGGCTGGGGGGAGTGTTGGGAGGCCCTGTCGCAATCAGAGCACGCTCGTCCTTGGTCGCTGACGTCTCCGGGGTACCCTTTGCCTGTGTATAGAGCTCTTGGGCTTAGAGGTCTCGCACCTTGCCCTTAATACTCTGCTTGAGGTCCGCATACGGGATGTACTTTCGTTGATCCTTCCAAATGCGGATATCGTCCGTCCACGGCTTTGTCATGGAGCGGAACAGGTAAATTGACTTCTGTCCGTTCGTCATCACCGATTAGGTGGCTGCCGACGCGTTTTTCATCGCGTTCTTAAGCTTGACGAAGAACTCGGTGAGATCCAAGCCTTCTTCGTACTTGATCTCCATCAGGTAGTGTTGGATGACGTAAAGGTTGTCATGGAAGACTGCTCCCTCAGCTGAAGCGGAAGATGTCGTAAGACGTGACGAGATTCTTGACCAGCCGAATATGACATCGTGTTCATCAGAAATGCCTTGGTCTTGACTTCCTGGTGACGGCGCTCTCGCTGGTTCAAAGGGTTGGCATTCGGGTTCTTCAACAGCTTCCGCGCTTGATGTGCATTACGGCGGTTGAACGACAATATCACGGAAAGGTCCTTGCGCTCGATCGCAGTGCCCGAGTCACCACTTAAGTCGTCGTCAGAGCCGGATTGGGGCTTGGCATTGTCGTCACTCTCGTCGTAGTCGACCGCTTCGGAGTCGCTCTCAGCCGTCTTTGCCGGCGTGCTCTTCGGCGGGTCGTCGTCGGCGGACATGTCCCTCCCGCTGTCCTTGGTGTCGTCCTCGGAGAAACCATCGTAGTCAGGCTTCGTCGCGAAGCCTCGTAGACGTTTTCCGTCGAGGGCTACGCACAAGTGAGCTTTCCAGACGTCGATGTTGTCGGCTCCGACGAGACTGGGGAAATCGTCGCTGGAGGTTTGACCTGAGCTCATAACCTGATGCCAGGTTAACGGAGACACAGGAGAAGAGGAGTATGGAAGAATCGTCAAACTATGAAGTCAGTTAGATTAGAAAGGGCGCACTACCAGCATCAGAGTTTAGATGGTTGGTTCTAGCAAAACCACAGTGATACAGACTATACAGCATAGTTACTTCCTGAATAACAGCTTCGATGGGACCTTTTGTATCAGATCACCAGCTTCCAGAGGTAGCTGGTACGATGTGACACTAACGGATGGCGCCAAATACCGTACCCTTCCCGAATTGAATACCTCCTCTCAAATCTGATAGAATTTGATTAGTATACAAAGCTATTGTACCTACGCCAATTTGTATACCTCAACAACCATACAGAGCGTTGAGTACTTTCAAATTTGCTTAAACAGCAAAGTTTATGTTAGGTTTAGCATATTAACATCTTCGGATTGGCTAAGAGATCCCTTAGAATTGAAAATCACATGATCACGGCGTCAAATACTTACAGTCTTTTATTTTAATATTTACATGTATTTTATTTTAAAAATGAAGCCGTGTGAGTATTTACTTTGTCAGGTACGGCAAACAAGATCCGGTCGTTTTTATCTTTAAAATGGCAATTATCTTCGGTGCGGTTTGTCAGTTTTGGAGCTTCACGCAAAATTACCGTAGATACCTAAAGAAAAAAATGGTTTTCGACAAAATCAACTTGCTGGAATAACACTGTCCATGAACGACGTTGTGGGCCAACTCGAACGCAACCTATGAAAGTCTCCATGGTTTGAGGACTGGCATATAAGTTGCAAGGACATCTTCAAAATAGTGTTGCAGTATATATATAGCCAGCTTGCAACAGATATCCAGAACTTGTATGCATCGGATCTACGTTGGTAGTATACCCTCTCCTATTTGTATACCTTTTTAAAATTGTCAAGTGTTCAATTGAATAGTATGCAGTATACAAATTGGCGTTTTCCGTTATGTAATGGTGCAAACATTGACAGGGCACAATTTGAGGAAGTACATGAAAGCCACCATGCATGTACTTCTGAGTGCCCATTTCATCTTGGAACAGGCGCGAGAGCTTGGACAGGCAACCACTTTCGCGCGTCTGGACTTTTAGCTGTTCGAGACTCGAGACTCGCCGGTGAGGGGGGCAACTTCCACAATTTTGCAGTTAGCAAACGCACGCGCAGTGCGCACTACTCGAGCTTCTCGAGACGATGCGTTTTTTCGGCTACGGCAAGCGGCAGACTCACGACCTCAATACCAAGCTGCCACCAGCACCAACCTTGCTGCAGACAACCGTGCCGAAGGAGACCGCCATTGTGTACACGGGGGGGGGGGGGCGCACTTTGTGTGACTTTACAGCGAGCTAAGACGCGGTTTCTAGAGGACAAGGGGCCTACGCGACTGGTTTGGTCCAAGGAGCAACGACTGGGGCTGAACTTCATTGAGATGCCTCAGGGCAGCGTGGTTGTGAAGGACGTGCCAGGAATGCGGACGGACGTGTCCCCGGGTCAAGAACTTATTGGAATTGGGAAGGTGTCGGTCGCTGGAAAGAGCTGGCAAGACGTGATCGATCTCCTTCACAATGCTCGGTCTTCCTGCGTGCTTAACTTCTCCCCACCATCATCGCTGATCGTCGTCTCAGAAGTGCTCGGGCCTGCTCGGCTGCTAGGTGTACGTCCAGGTATGGTGTTGCAATCCGTGAACGGTTCAAGCGTGATCGGGGCCATGTTGTGCGACATCATCTCTGCTCTACGTGGTGCAAGCGACGTGTCACCTGTGCGGCTCACATTTACGCCCTACCACACAGTTGTGCACTCGCGCATCCGATCTGCAAGCCTTACTGAGTCTCCGGCAGACTCCCGCGCAACGCTTCGGGACAATCTGTGTATTGGGGCAGTGATGGCAATCTTGTCTCTGTAAGTGCAAACCTGGATGAAATAAATGGCTCGCTCGACATGGTGAATGTGTAGCCGATGACATGGGTATCGCCGCACAGTACGGGTTACATAGTAGTCGACCACCACTTTCAAAAGGTACCAAATAATCAATTTCACGCAAGTTGCCATGGAGCCACTGTGGGTGCTGCAGCTGGCGGAGGACTCGCTGCTGGGGATGAGCGTCGAGGCCGAGAAGAAGCTGTTCCTGGCGGGAGCTGTGCTGTGCTTCGTAGCCATCGTAAGCGTCATTCTGTTCGGAGGAAAGGGCGACGCCAAAGCGCGTTTCCGGTGCGTGACTTTAGGAGGATTAGAGAGCGTCGAAATCGAGCTAATAACTTGGTGTGTTGGTGTGTGTATGGGTGCAGTAAGAGGTTGCTGGCTGTTCCGCGCCACGAAAAAGTAGAAGTGAGTAGATTGAGTGCTAGCTCTTGCCCTGAGGGCCACTACGATCTAAAACGGATGCCTCATCCTAATCATCGTAGGTTTCGCAACCGCTACTACCTCCACGGTGCCTCCCAAAGGTACCTTGGACGGTTGCAGCTACACGTCGCGTGTAACACTCCCCCCCCCGGTGATCCATGTCAAGTACTCAATTGCGAGTCCATGGGCTTCGGCGAGCTGACGAACAATATCTTCGTCTGCATGAGCGGTGATGAACGCTTTGACGGCTGCTGGTACGTCCTCCAGCATTACCTGCACTGGTTCCCACGAACCCTCCTGCTCGCTCAGACCTCACCATCGCACCAGCAACTTATAGCACTTTGCTGCTGCTTCGTATGAAGCACAGACGAACTTCAGGACGACGTGTCCTTCACTGTTGTGCGCCACGTGCTGCAACAGGGCCTCCGACAGCTCCAAAGAGCTATCACTGTAGAATTTCAGCCGACTGGCATGGGCTTCGCGCTCGTCGCCGGTCACAATATTCATGATCTTGAAAATCCAATTTGACGTCGCGGCTGTGACTTGCACAGATCCACACCATCGCACTCGAAGCTTTGAGCGCGAATGCGCCCACACGCCTGCGTACAGCACGTAGTCACCTACTTTGAATTGAGCCATCCGGGTGCCTTGCTTCTGCCCCCATGTTTGGCGACCACGAGCGCGAACGTTTTGGTTGGCTTCAACCATCCGCTTATGCATCTGCTCCAGTGCAGCTTGCAGCTTCTCGATTTGAAGACGGCGATTCTGCTGGATCTCCTCTAGTGGCGCAGGCGAAGCCGACTGAGGAACAGCAATCGGATCGAAAGGCGACATCGCTTTGATACCAGTCATCGCAGTGATTGGTGCCACTCCTCGCAGCCAGTAAGACGGCGAATTATTCAGCACCATTTGAACCAACTTGATATTTTTCGGCCATTCCGTTGTGGCAATGCGCCATTCCGAGAGAAGTGACCTCGCGCACCTGAGCACCTCCCGCATCACAACCTGGACGGTACCGTTAGCCCAGGGACAGCGGGCTGTCGTAAAGGGATGGTGTGCTCCTAGCAAATGCTCCCGTGCTTTGATCACGCGGTTTTTAAAGTGCGTGCCCTGGGCACCCACCCAAGTGTGACAGACGCCGAAACTAGCAAATCAGTCAATCAGCGAGACCTAGGTCGTGTTGGCTGTAGCAACTTCGCACGGGATCAGCCAGACGAAATGAGACGCTTCATCCTTGAGCACTAAAACATATTCCTCGCCAGTGAAAGACTGACCCAAGTGCAAGTAGACTCAATGAAGGACTTCGTTAAGTTTTTCGCCGTGTATCCCTTCACCCAGCGGTCTGGGGTTTGGCGGGCCGCCCGAAACACTTGCACAGTACAAGCAACGAGTCATGAACAGGCTAACATCCTTCTCCAGGCAAAGTGCTCACGAATTGAAGCCAGATTCACGTCCACAGACCGATGGCCAGCCGCGCCAAGATGTCCAATGATACACACGCGCAGTTGAAGATCCGACGCTGAGTCTGGTAGCCACAACCTGCCGCTGCTATCACGGCACACTTGCATATCATCGTTTCGGAACCCTGGAGGTGCTCGCTTCCCACGTTGGCTCGCGAGGATGACCTCAATCGTCGGCCATTCAAAAGTAGAGTCGAGCTGAGATGAGACTGGGAAAACCGTGTGGCGTATCGCGCACACTGTAGTGAACGATGAACCCCATCTGCCGAGAAGATCAGCCCACACATTGGAGTCCCCTGCAATATCATGAATCTCATACCGGAATCCCATCAGGATTTGAGACCACCGATGCAATTTGTCGGTGGTGTACTTGGGAACCAAGGCCATCACCGCTGTAGGAGCAAATATGAACCTCAAATTGCGGTGATCAGTGAAAAGTAGGAATCCGTCCGCGCGCTGAACCAGATAGTCAGCTCGTTTACACGTCTCCCCTATCGCGTAAGCCTCTTTCTCCACAATGGCCCATCGTTTGGCCGCACCAGAAAATGTTCCACTTATCATCATCAGTGGTTCATGGTGCTGCTCGCTGAATTCGCGACTTAGGTGCTCGTGAGTAACGTGGTTAATCGCTGCGCCCCAGTGCAGATCGCTCACATCTGAAAACACATAAAGCCGCTTCTCGGGATCAGGGTGAGTAACTTGCAGCGCGTTCTGCAAAGCTCCACGTCATGCTTCCAGGCACGCTTCTTCATCTGTTCCCCAGACAATTGTAGCCAACTGTACCCCTCGCACATTGGCCTTCTTGCGACCACCCCTGGCCGTGTAGACTTTCTCTAGGAAAGTGATGAGGGGCTCGACCAGTTTGTTATAAGCGGGGATCGACATCCTCATCCAGTTAAGCGCACAAACGAATTGCTGGAGCTGCTGACCAGTGACTGGTGATGTAAAAGCTTGCAAAGCAGCAATTCTCTCAGGGCCATGCTTTACACCATCGCCCGACGCCTCGCGCAGAAAAAACTTGCACTTGCGAGGGTTCAGCTTTAGCCCACGCTTCACGCAGATCGCCAGCACGTTCCGTAGCAAAGCGGAGTAGCCTAACAAATCGTCAATCCAGATGAGCAACCATTTGTTGTGAACATCGGCAAACATGACCTGCACAGTCGCCTGCACGTGCGTCACGCTGTTCGTTCCCCCTATTAGCACTCTGGTGGGTGAAATTACACCTTCTTTAGTGAGGATCGAGCAAATTTCCTGGCACGATGGAGCTGTTCCGAACTGCCAGAAACCCTGCATAAAATCATGGCTCAAGTAGTACTTGGCGCCTCGCAGCCTGTCAAACTCTACTTCGAGGATAGGCATTGGCCACGTAGTTGGCTCCACTTGCTCGTTAGGTCCTCCGACATCGACAGTCATACGAAAGTTGCCAATCCCTGGTTTGTTGATTACCAAAGGCGGAGAGCACCATCGACTCGACGGGTTTCGGTAGCACAGGCCCCGTCTCCAGAAGTTCCTTGACATGCTGCGCTAGAAATTCTCGGTGCTCTCGCGAGTAGCGCCGAAGCCGACAGCGAAACGGCTTCGCGCCCGGCTTGAGCTTTATCTCCATTGGGGGCATATCTACTACTTACCCAGCTCAAAGCAATGGCTTTTACCATATCTTCAAGTAAAATCTCTAGTTCATCAATGCAGGCCGAAGGGGCGTCCATAATTCTTACTTCTTGGACTTGCTCTCGTAACGCAGCGGCCACTTCAGCGTCTGACAGACTTCATGCTGCCACCGAGCTTGAAAAGTAAGCCTTGCTCTCCATGGCCTTGAGCGCCTCCTCTTCGGGTGAAGGTTGCAATCCAATCGCTGCTGCCTTTGCCGGTGCAGTGCTAGGCTCGCGGGCAACCGGTCCCGCGAAATCATACTCAGATTGTAGACGCTGGGCGTGCGCAAGCAATTGAACAGGATCATAGCCCAATCGAGCCATCACTTCATCAGCCACAAGCACATCACCGACTCCCTCAGGAAGCGTGCCGACCCAGCACTTTACGCGCCGCAACACCAATGGTCCTCCTGGGGTATCAAACTTAAAATCAATATCAAATTCCTCACGAACTAGGGAGAAGGACCCCCCAACCCCTTCAAAAAGGCCAGGATTCTCCGAATCGCGGTTGGCCAACTCGCTGTCTGTTTTTCGAAGTTTCTCCAGTATTTCTGGTCGAATGAGCGTGACCCCAGCTCCACTATCCAACGTCACGGTGGTGTTAACTAGTCCATTTACTTGAGCTGGAATAGGCGAGCGCTTTACCAGCGGCTCTGAGACAGCCGCATCGGAGTGAGTTACCGCGCCAATTGGAACCTCGCGAACCTCTTTGCGCCCCGTGCGCTGCTCGTAGATAGTTTTTGCCTCCTGCGCATTCGCTACGTCCGGAGACTGGAATATACCATACGTCAGGCCTCCGCACTTGAAACACGCGTGCGACTTCGCCTTCATGCCCGGCCTCGTTGGTTGGGACTTCTTCTCATACGAGGTGCGCGCATCCGGCTCACTCCTCGCTGGTTGACTCGCTGCTGTAGCCGCCTTGATTGTATTAGCAGCTAGCTTGGCAAACACTCGGGACGGACCGCTATTCTGCTACGCGTGAGACCTCGACGCACTAGCTGCTGGCGCAGCCAACAGGATATGAACCTCATATTACATGAACTCTTCGAGCTGCGGCGTAAGCCACTTCACAAACACCTGCACATCGCGCTTGACCGGCTTGTACGGCGGGCGCGAGAGATAATCCTTGATCGTAGCCTTAAGGTGGTCGCAGGGCGTTGGTCAGGTAGTCCACTACGGTCTTGGGTCCTCGTGGATAATATCCTCCATATTCAGATCATCCAGAATAGCATAGAAGTCGGCTAGCAGCTTCGATAGTCGAGAGCTAGTGTCATTCAACCCCACGTCCATAGCCAACGACCGCACCGGCTGTTGCAACTTCTTGTACGCCGTGAAGTCAAGTTTTAGAGCCTACAAAATACTAGTTCCAGCTATCCACAGTAACATCACTTGGGTTCTTGAACAACTCAAACCGACACACCCGAACAAAAGTCCCCTGCTCGATGCAGGCACCCAGTGGCATTATAAACACTCGCGTCTGGGTCCCTTGATTCAGTGCCTCTACCCGACGTTTGTAGACCATGTAGCTATCCATGAACTCGCATTTCTCCTTCTTGGTGCTACCACGGTACATCGGAGGCACGGGCATATTGGCGTCAGTGGCCAACATAACGGTGGGCTCGGGGGCCGAGCGTGCTGCCTCTGCCTCTGCGCTCGCCGACGAACAGGCCCCACCTTGCTTCGATGTGGGGGCGGACGACTTCAGCCAAATCTTCACTCTACCTCTCTTGGCGACCCATGGCCTCCTCCTCAGCTTTCAGCAGTCGAAATGGTTCTTGAAAGTGCTGGCGTTGCTCGTCCATCTGCTTGCGAATATCTTCTTGCTGTTGCTTCAAGTCCAACTGCTGGTCATACTGCTGCTGCAAGTACTCGGAAGTTTTGGCAGCGATTTCACCTTGCTGCCGACGGACCTGGTTGATCTGTTCAGCCGCAGTGTGGTGAGCAGCGGCTGAAGTGCGCGCGAGCTCGTTCAGTTGCTGCTTGGTCTCGTCTCCTGCCTGCCCGCGGTGGACAGCCATTCTGCGAGTGGTCTCCTGCGTGACCACGTCTCCTTCTCCTCCTTGACTCGGCACCATCGCGACAGCCGCGGTGGCAGCTAGGTGGGGATCAGTTCCCCCTTCTTCATCGAAGTCGGGCTCCATGCCCAAAGGAGCTAAAGAATTCATTGTTCCGCGCCACGAAAAGGTAGAAGTGAGTAGATTGAGTGCTAGCTCTTGCCCTGGGGGCCACTACGATCTAAAACGGATGCCTCTTCCTAATCGTCGTAGGTTTTCGCAACCGCTGCTACCTCCACGTTGCCTCCCAAGGGTACCTTGGACGGTTGCAGCTACACGTCGCGTGTAACAGTGGCGATCTACACCAAGCACAACCCGGGCAAGCTGACGTGCTGCTTAAGATGTACGAGTTCAATTAGGAGCTACTGTTCCAGAGGCTGCACCGAAAGTCCAACGCTCTGGCAACTGGGCCGGAGCGTAGATGATTAACCCCTTTCGTGGACAACCGGGACATCTTGTCTCCAATCACGCCCTTCTCAAAACACGGTGCGTTTTGGCCCGATCGTTCGGGGCAGAATCCCCCATTGGGTTTTGTGAGGCGAGGCCGATGAAACCTTTGTCGCCCAGGGGGGTTCGTATAGCGCAGCCCAAGACTGTTCCCCAGGGGTAGACCCAGAGAATCGACTTGAGAGTCAACAGCAAGAAGATAGACCCAGAGATTCGCAGCCGCAAAACTTTAAACCCTGAAAATCACACTCCTTGGTTGGCGTGGGTACCTTGTGTAAACCTGTCGGCTCGTTTGTCTTCGACGGAACGGCACTCCACCGGTTGAAAATGTAGCCTCGAAGAAGTGCGGGAGCGCACGTCTACTTCAGAACGCACCTCCACACCAAAAGGCAAAACCAGAGAATCAGATCCCCTGAAACCCAGAATATCACGAATTCAGGGTCCAGGATTTCAGTCAACTCTGGGACTTGGAACTCAGAAGGCACCTTACCCAAATGCCCTCCTAGCTCGATAAAACCAACAAATACAGAGTATACAAACACTACAACTAGCCGTCACTTATTCTTTTGGACCCTTGGACGGTGGGTCACACACACTAGGCTCACTCGAGTCTGAAATTCAGGGGCCTAGCTCCCCTGAGACTCACACAAACGCGCACCACCTCCAATAAAGGAGGAAAATACAATCACTATCAGTTACCTTCCCTTCACACAAGCAGTCAATACAAATTCCTGGAGGCGACTACCTAGCACCCCAGAATACCCTCTGGAATAATATGAAATGGGCTACCACGAGCACAGCAAGTGACCCAACTAGGATATGGAATATATGGATCACTCCAGGAAGCTCAAGGCCGTCGCTGGTCCCCACCTAACTGGACTTGAGTTTGATGGAGCCCACACAGACGGCTGTCCTTCGCCGTTGATGTGCCCTTAGCGTCCCGCGGTCGTAGTCTCGGGTCCTCCGGATTTCCGTCGGCAGGCTTGGCCGAAGTCACTTGCGCAGTACAGGGTAAAAGGAACTCTGTTTGGTTTTTATCAGCTACTTCTCTCTCTCTCTCTCTCTCTCTCTCTCTCTCTCTCTCTCTCTCTCTCTCTCTCTCTCTCTCTCTCTCTCTCTCTCTCTCTTCGGGCAAATATCTTCTGTTCACTATGCTCGGGATCAAATGTCTTGTCTTGAGTATACCTTGGGTTCAGCGGTCCAAACTTGCGATCGGCTTGCGAATCTATAGTCGCACGGCGTCGAAAGTGCCATTTGTGGGTCCTTAGACTTGGTTTAGTATGGTGCAGGACTCCCTCGCGACTCTTCGAAAGTATCCAGTCTGCGCATCCACAACGGTTCTTCACGGTCACGCATCACTTTGATTGCAGACTGGCTTCGAACTGACTCGAGTCCCTGAAAATCAGGTGACACTCAGGGTCATCTTCTGAAATCCTGGGAATTCTGAGGAATCTTGGGGAGCTGTGGGGATTCTTGGGTGTTGGCTTGGGAAACACTTAAGTTCAGTATAGAGAGTCTGGATTTATGGTCCAAACCCAGAGAATCATCTTTGGAACTCTGGGTCACCTGCACTCAGGGAGGTGAACTCTGGGTCATCGTGCGGCACTCTGGGTTTCCGTGCAGCACTCTGGGTAACAAGTCTGCTACATTGCAGGCCTGCGTGCATCTCCACAAAGCCACACTTTTAGCGGGTTTAGCGGCCTCCTGCGCATGATCACGGTGGTAGTGGGTTGATTCTCAGGGTAATTTGATCCTCTGGGGCACTCTGAGCCACAGCAAGATGAGGCGTACTCTGGGATACATTCTCCAGAGACACTTTGGGCCAGACTTTAGGCACTCATCGTAAGGGAAAGTCCGCGGCTGGACTGAGTGTTCACTGAAATCCTGGGCGTGCACTCCCAGGGCTCACACTTCCAGCCAGTTGGGCCCATCTGCGGTCAGACGCTGGATTCATCCCGAGAAATCATTTCTCTCCCACAGTCGTCATCCATGTCACACGGGTACAGCCGCGCCGTATCCAAGTCATCCACCAATCAGCATCCGATACAAACTCCTAGTCATCAGGTGACGGTACATCGTCGGCAATTTTCTGGGGACCGCCTCGTGTCAACCGCCCCTCCTGGTCCGGGTCCATCGAAGAGGAAATCGCTCCGAACTGGTGAACCATGGCCAGGCCACAAAACCACACAGGTCCATCCACCGTCGACTTCGATACGGCCGTTGCACTCTGTCGACTCCCAGGGTTTCACTCACTTTGGGCGGCACCCTGTCTCCCCAACGGTTGGTCAGGACCTATCTTCAAGGGTCTCCTCTCAAACGCAAAAACTCCAACGGGCAATGCGCGGTCACATCGCCATTTCACAGATCGTCAACATGGCGGAGAGCGCGCCTTCGGACGGCAAGAAAGCGACGGTGCCAGCTCAAGGCACGGCGCCCCCCGGCAGCGCGCCACCTCCGACGCAGCAGCGCACCGGCGACGCCCCTGCGAGCACCGCACCAGCAGGCGACGGCAGCGGCCAGACGGGTAACTCAGCGTCCGGCGACACTTCAACGGGCAGCACCAAGCCGGGCGCGACCAAGCGCGTCTCCTTCTCCAGCGCCACCGGCAAGATATCTTACAGAATCAGGTGACGCATCGTTGAAGTCTTGCTAAAGGTCGCAAGCGTATCAGTAGCCATCCAGCGCATCCGTAGCAATCCAGCGCACTTCTACAGCATCTTTGTATCCGTCACTCGCTCTCCCCCAGCTCCTCAGATTGGAATCTGCTGCTTGCTGGAGAGATGGCAGATCCAAGACCCGACTCGGAGCGTCAAGACGTACAACCACCGTGTTTTTTGTGTGCACAAGCGAACTCTAACTCAAATCTATTTCGTACGTATTTCTGTGTGAGTAGGTGCCGCCACCTGTGAAAACCCACACGTCCAATGGCAAGCGCATTTACAACCAAAATGACGTCAGCCTCGATCAGGTGAAGCTCGATTGTCACGATTACATTGTTATCGCTGCTTTGAACTAATAGCTACGAAAGTAGGCTCTCTCCTTCTATAGTCACAACAAGGAGATCAAGTTTGACTCGCTCTATCCAGTATATCAAGATCCAAAAGGACGCGTAGATTTGTTTGTAGAATAGTATGCGTAAAGTTTTCTCTGCTAATTTTGCGTATTTCCTTTTTCTAGACGTTCGATCCTGTACTTGGGTCAACGGATGACGTGGATGACTTTATTGCTGCCCGCCCAGTCAAGGAGATGTATGATGTCTACAAGAAGGTTTTCGACGACACGGCGACCAAAGAAGATATCCACGAATATGTCTGGATGCTGCGATGGCTCCAAACCTCCATGGAACTGTCCAAGGTAAGACGACATTTTCATTTTTATCGACTACTCTTTCTGACAGGTTTCCTATAATCTTACCTAGATCACTCGCCGTCGGATCCAAAGGCGCCTCAAATTTCTGAGCATCTATCGACGATCATATCGAGCGATTTATTCAAATGGAAGCCGATAACCAGGACGACGCAGACTCGATCGAGATCATCGATTGAAAGGGTACATGCAGGAAAAGGGCTACAATCTGATGCTCTTTTTGAGCATGGCGATGGACGTTATTGACGTGTTAGCCTCTCAGCTCACACCCCAGCTGCAAGAACACAGATGCGAGTGTAGCCAATGCGAGTACTACCGCTCTCCAGAATGGCAGATGGTGGCACCGGAAGGTTTGACACGTGAGGCCTTATCACCGCGTCGATTTCATCAACGCGGGTGCGAAACCTTTTGCCTGATCGAGCACTACTACCCGTATCCATAGCTCCAGTTTCGTACGACACTGCAGAAATATATGCCTGTATGCTAGCGTTTTTTGTGATAAATGTTTCCAAGCTGCACGTCTACTAGTAATAGTACATTGTACTACCTAAGCCTTTGTTCTCATATTACGTACTACTAGTATCTCTTACCGTCAAAGGTAATTAGCAGTGCAAAGTGATCATCAACTCGAATAGATCGGCTCGAACTTCACAAGACCCCCTCGCTTTTACGAAGTGAAAAACGTTGTGATATTTTGTCAATGGTTTGTAGTTTGCCTATGCTGAAAGTCTTTAGGCTTGGGTAGTCTGTACTTCCGTGGTCTCGCTTCACGCATTGAAAGCACCAACCGGTTGATAGGTACTGTATGCCGCTCATCTCAGGCGACGAAGGACATGTGCAGTGCCTGCACCATCTCCCGTAGGAACTACGAGATGGATTGTTCTGGCCACCATGACGCATGGTGAGCTTCTGCTGCAGACGGCGGGCTTGATAACGGTGGGGTCGCCTGGCGTATCTTATACCATGCTGCAGCGGGCAGACCTTCAAGCTTCACATACGCGGTGCAGCAAGCGCGAGACATTCAGGATAGACCGTACCAGGCGGACACTTCACCTGCAGCATGAGAGCAGATCGCACACCGAGCAGCGTGACCTCCGTAATCACGGCGAGGAGCGTAGTGTCGTGCGCACAACGGCCAACACCATTATAACAACTTCAGGCAATGTGGACGTCGGGTCCAGTTGGCAGCTGCAGTGGGCCGTGCGTGAGATTTTCGAGCAGCCTGTAGTCCTCGAGTTCGACAACGGCGAGATTTTATCCCATCGGGGAGCAGACAGCAGAAGTTCTCGGCCGGCGGCTGCGTAGTGACCTTGACCTAGTCCGGTGGGCGGCGTCGACGTTCATTAGCACATCGAGAGGCCTTGCCTCCACGTGTAGGTCGGGTAGCGTGGCGACAACGGGCACGTCGGCTGCGTGGCGACCGCAAGCACGTCGGGCAGCGTGGCGGCCTGGAGCATGACGGACAGTGCGACGTCCTATGCTCAGGGATAAAGTGATGCCATTCACAGCTATGCTGAGTGTAGCTGGTCCGTTCTCTGCTAATTTAATTCCATATGCTACCAGGCGATACCTTTTCCCTACATGTGTAGTTTGCCACACAGCCACAGAATGTCAGAACCAGTAGCTAAGAAACACGGGTTTTGTATTTACACTGTACGCAGCGTGCTCGAGGTGCGCTCTATCTACGGACGAGCTCCGCTCTATTATCCCTGGTGATTTTATATGCTAATCGATATACCATGCCGCCGTGCATGCGTTGTCGCGTTAGTGGCGTTGGCGGACTAGCATTTTATGAAAGCGTAGGTATGTTGCGATCATCGTGAGTTCGCAAGTAGGTATCAGTGCTGCGATTCGGTGGTGTTAGTGTGGCGGTGACGGTGGCTATAGTGAGATTCTACGATGGGGATCAGCGAAGGTCCGCGGTCCCAGCTTGGCGTTGACGGATCGTGATGGCCTCGGTATGGTTTAGCGGCCGTTAGTGCATAAGTAAGTAGACTACCGTAGACGCGTGGTTAGTGTGCGCGGAGACCAATTCATAGGACAAGCTTAGTCGTGCCGACCAATCATAAGTGCGGTTGTGATGTCGTTCAGCAGTGGGTCCAGCGTCAACGCCAAGTGTTCCGACGTCCGCATCTCCTTTGCTCGTGGCAGTGGAGAAACCGGCCCGGCCCTGGAACTTTGTGGCACACCGCTCGTAAACGTCATTCTCTCAAACCTCGCTGGCATGAGCGTGCATTCGTACGCTGACAAGGTATCGCCTGGTGGCATATAGAATTAAATTAGCAGAGAACGGACCAGCTACACTCAGCATAGCTGTGAATGGCATCACTTTATCCCTCAGCATAGGACGTCGCACTGTCTGTCATCCTCCAGGCCGCCACACTACCCGACGTGCTTGCGGTCGCCACGCGGCCGACGTGCCCGTTGTCGCTACGCTACCCGACGTGCCCACTGTCGCCACGCTGACCTTCATGTCCACGGTCGCCACACTGCCCGACGTGCCCGTTGTCGCCACGCTGCTCGACGTATCACGGTCGCCACGCTGCCCGACCTACACGTGGACGCCAGGCCTCCCGATGTGCTAATGAACGTCGACGCCGCCCACCGGACTAGGTCAAGGTCACCACGCAGCCGCCGGCCGAGAACTTCTGCTGTCTGCTCCCCGATGGGATAAAATCTCGCAGTTGTCGAACTTGAGGACTTCAGGCTGTCCAACAACCTCACTGACGTCAACGCTGCCGACGGGAACGTTCTAGCCAGGCTGGCCAAACACGGCGTGATGGATCGCCGAATGGACCTAGAGGCAGACAAGCAGGAAGGCGATATGCTCGAGCTCGGTCTCCTGATGAGGATGGGCACATCTTTGGTCCAGTTTGGTTTTATTTCATTTGAAAGGATAGTGTTGAGAAGATAAAAGTATCAAATAAAAGTTGATCAACAGGACAACCAAGCTATGTTTTCTTGCTATGCAAATCGGTCTGCTTCGTATATATCGACTATACCTCCACTTATTCACCAAGGCAATCAACTTCGAGTAGCGGTGGGTGTGGTGTGTCTACGGACCGAGTCTCACTCTGCGTTGTTGCACTTGTCGGAGTTTGAGCTTTCTTCAACTTGTAGAGCTCTGCCAGCTTTCGAATGTTCCTCTTAGCCGAAAAGAGTTTGTTCGGGACGTAGAACCTATGGAACTTTTCCCAGCATGTGAGATCGGTGTCTGGACACATGAAATCTTTTGCCTCGCCAAGATACACACCTCGACAGAGGCAGACATTGTGATATCCACAATAATCAGTTTTCTCTGTGGCATAGCGATTTTCCCAGCGACAAACGACATAACCACGTCGTTTGCGATTACACCCCTCCAAGGCCTGCATTGATGCAACTGCTACACATTCTTTCGGGGTGTTTTGGGGCTGATTTGGCGCCGGGTTCTTGACGGTCTACACTGATGCCCGGACATTTGATGGAATAGCTCTCCCATCAAAAGCCATTTTGCAATCGCTTTGAGCATCGGCCCAACGGCCTGAAATCAGCTCCGAAGCGGGCTCGATCATGAAGGTTTAATGTGGGTCTCGGTCTTTCGACGCGTTCTGTATGCGTTCACTCTGGCGAAATCGATCAATCCCAGCGCGAGCTTCTTGTGCCATGCCTTGTACGAATGACCGTCAGCAATCGAGAACCGCTCACGAAATTGATCGAAGCGATCTACCCCCTGCATGTGGCGGTTATACTCTTTCACACATGTCGGAGCAGGATAGGTTTGTACTGCTTGCCAACTTGCCGATTCACAGTAGTTCTATCCGACGCGTCAGCATTAGAGACTATTTGCACTAAGCTTCCATCCCACCAGGACGCTGCGACAATGCTATTCTCGCGCGAGACACCTTGACGGTGATTGGTGCGCTTCGCTGTCTTCGGGTCTAAGACCGTGTGCTTCGGAAAGTGACGGCTCGAACTCCTTACAGTGCCTCGTGCGTACAAACCTTGAAGTCGTAAGGCTTGCCGCAGTTGCACAGAAGTGTAATAGTTGTCCATGTTTATTATCCGGTTCGATCCATACAGAGGACGAACGACTTCAAGAACAAGCTGGCGAATCGATGAAACTTTTGCTGCAGCAAATTTTTGCTGTAGCCGCACCGTTTCATGTACATCAGCGACACCATCCAATCTGTCAACCATGTTGCTGCTGCAATGGAACCGAAAGTTCACCGCTATCCACGTCGTCCCGCAGCAGACAGTATATAGGTGGGAATGATATTTTTCCGTGGGCTTCATCGAGTTGAACATGATCACGTGGCGCCCAAACTTGGATCTGGCTGCAATACTACATTCATCCAGCGCGACATCTCTCCCCATTTCGATATGACTTCCGCCGGTTCGCTTTAGTAGATTCAGTAAGGGACATATACGCGCAGCGGGCTTCCTGTTCAATGATGATGGTGCAGCCCGAAAACCAAATATCGTCCGAATGAGCTTGAAATGTCGTAAAGACATTATCCGCTCCAGTCCAGAGGAATACAGGTTGCCACTTCTGGTTGCACACCCCAGTAATTTGAATATTCGCCTTTGTCAATGATCGCCATGTAGAACAGTATTCCCAGAAATGCCATGAGCTCTTTTAGCGTCACCGGTTGAGTGAGATGGATTCCCTTCACAGCTGCATGCGCGTTTGTTTCATTCAATATTCGATTCCAGAAGTACACAGGCGCGTAAGCAAAAAAACTGGACGACGCAGAATGCGTGAACAGATAAACAGAATCGGGCTTCACCCGGGTCGCGGTTGAGCCATCGATATGCTTGTACAGATCTGTGGGTGTGTTCATTTCAACTCTTGGGTCAAAACGCATGTTTTTCACTGCCTCCACCTCCGATAGGCACGTAGGCAGAGGTTGGTATGGGTCAAAATGAAGAGATCCCGGTGCAGCCTCCTGGAGATCTTCAAGAACCGCATCGATGGGGATATCGTCACCTGCTGGATCAGTCGTAAGCTCAGTCCAACTTGGCTTTGAGGCAGTTCGTACGAGTAGTCTGTAGTTTTCAATACCCCCCTGTCGCGATCTCGACACTGGCGGAGAACATGCTATCCAGCCACCTCACTTCGTAAACCAGAGCTTGCTTCCCTTTCCTGATTTGTCGACAGACACGCCCAATCACATAAGCAGTTCCAACTTGTCGAAACATCGGAGCTAGTTTTTTTCCATCAACCACATCTCCTGTGAGGGTGTGAATGCTACCAAGCTATTCACGTACAACTCGGAGCTATCTACTGCCGAGGACAGGTCGATGGGCCCATCTTCAACAGAATTCGTGCCGTCATCTTCATCAGTATCTATCACGCTGCCACTTGCACGGTCGACGCTAGACTTTGGCCACGCCCGCTGTCAGCCCCACGACCACGGCCAGCTCCACTTCCACGCTCAGTACCCTGTCCAAGGCCAGCTCCACGTCCACGATAAGCTCCACTCTCACGGTCATCTCCACTATCACGCCCACCCCCACGCCTAAGCTCACGCCCAGCTCCACGCCCACGTCCAGATCCGCGTCCACGTCCAGATTCGCGTCCAGGGGAAGTTCCTCGTCCGCGCCCATACCCGTGGACAGGAGGGGCTTCACGTCCGTGTCCAACATCACAACAACGTTCAGCTTGGCGCTCGCAATAACCACTGGACCCAGCGCTACCAACCGATCCACCTTCCGAAGTAGTAGCTGCTGTCGACTGAGTAGTAGGATTCCTTCTCTACAAACATCAGCGGAGACTGCCGTAGAGGGGTCGACCGCAACGTCATATGCATAGGGCGTTGCATATACAGCGGCATCGACGCGGGGCACATCATTTCCTGTATTATCACTAAGTCGACCTTGCACGCTTGGCACCAACTCTGCCGCCGAACCAACGTCCAAATCGAATGCAAGCTTCAACTCAACTGCACATACCCCTCGTTCATTGTCACTAATACCAGCTGGAACAGATTCACTTGGACACCTTGACTGATATCGTTGAACAGTGCTCTTATCGCCGCGTAGTATGGTCTGGTCGGCTCCCCATATTTGCCCAGCATCGTCAATTGCACGTCCACGCAAGCCAGAGACGATATCGTTGTCCCCTGTAGTCCTCGCAACGCTGCCGCCTAACGCTTCCACCGCACCCGCTGTTGGAGCCACAGATTGCACGGTATCACCGTCGCTGATCACAAGTTGGGTACCGCTCATTTGCTTGTTATATCGCACGAGGGCTTCTTCGCCCACAAAAAAGTCTTCGCCTTCTTGATCTTTCATACTACATCCAGGTCGAATGTAGCGATATTCCGTCGCTCAGCCTCCTCGCAGTGGGTGCCTGCCAAAAGGGTCATAAGGGCCTTACATAGTTACCGCAGATATGCGGGTGGATATGTCGGCATATACCCTAGTTGCACCCGCCACAACATGCTTATCGACAACAACTCCGCCCGATTACACATGCCCAAGTACCACCTCTATTCGCCCTACAGCGTCACTTTGCTCCGGATATTCCTATGGCTAGATCTTTCTGCAGTTCATCTCAGCATGCTCATTTACGATTCAGCGCTCTTCTGCCCACGCTGCCGTGGTGATGGAGCTCCAGAATGACACGTGCGACGCTCTGTGTGTGCTGTGCGAGGTCTACGTGAGCTACAACAAGGACCTGGGCGAGGTTCGACGCGCGATTCACAAGCGGCTGGTGGAAGAAGATATGTGACAGCCTGCCATTGACAGGCGATCTTCACGAGAATGATGGTCGACATATTCAAGCATTTCTGCTGCATTTACTCCGGGTCGTTATGACCCTTTTGGCAGGCACCCAGTGGCGGAGGCTTCGATGTCCATCCACTCCGGCGAAGGATACGCCACAGCTCCTTGAAATACACGCTATCATCTGTGTTCCACTATGTCAGAACCTGGATAACATATATAAGAACATGAACACCTTTACTAACCATTGCGGGCGCTCGCTGTAGTGGTAGCCGACGATCGTAGATCCCGCCGCGAGCGCTTTGCAGCGGGCTGGCGTCCTTCCGCATCCGAATCTCGCTTTTCTCGGCGGCGCTGCATGTTCCCGCGGGGGAAGTCCCGCCCCCTGATTCGAATGAACTCTGCTCAGATTGATACAACTGAGCACGGCACGTGGTTTTGGGCTCACGGTGCCACGCCACCCCCCGTAAGATATCGGGAAGATACGCTCATCACCACAGCCGCTGGTTCCACCGCTGCGCCCTTTCGTTTCCTGTAGCAGCCAATTTCTGGATAATTTCGACCAATAGGGCGCACGGCTAGTAGTACCATGATCAAGTGGTTCGGGGCAAAAGGCCCTATTCCACTCGACACACTGTCCAACGGTCGGAATGGCTACACAGTCGTTCGGGGCAGCAAGCCCCAATTCAGATTTTAATACCTTGCTTTGTATAGTATACAAACTGATGTGTCCACGAAAGGGTTACCCCCCCCCCCCGCACTCGCGAGGTTTTTCGGTCCCTGGCTTTGATCAATATACACCATGTTAAAGCTGTATACTACATGTTAAAAGTATGCGTATTTGATCTAACTATTACCTTCCGTAAGTACGACACATTTCTATAACCTGCGGGAAACTGGTTGACACAGACAGACGCACATGTTGTCTATGACGCCCTCGGATGGGTAGCTAAATTTCAACAGGGTGGATATACTACAACTTGCAGTGTCCTTTTTATTGATGGTGAACAAAAATCTAACACAAGGGCGGGTTTATGCTCGAAGTATCCTATGATTGCATCCCAACGTACCAGGCTATGCATGCCTTAAAAACGAAAAACCTGCTGTACTTGGCTAGCAATCAAGTGACACGTCTTCCCAACCGCGGGCTAATGGCGTCTTAGCATTATTGTAGCGCATGTCCTGCTCGGTTTTATTGGATTGGGCCACCTCACCAGGCTGCATTCTTTCTGAGGGGTGCATATTAGTACTTACATGCGCAATATAACCCTTACATAGCAAAATATAGTGTCTACGGTGTTCATTCTTTGCAGCTTACCTCTTCTTTTACATACCCTGGTATATCGGACGAGATTCATCTTGCATTTCGAGCCACTATGCACAATCATGTATCATATCCTGTCTAATCTGATTGGAGTACCCAGGGCATAGTAGGGGTAGCACTGTCTCATACGCATGATGGGGAGAGCGGTTCCTGTTAGTAATCTGTAAGCAATCAAATATTCAGTCTAATCCACCATTCTCTGCCATTACTACTCGTTCTTTGTGCATATTTTCACCTACACCTGTGCATTTCACGTAGAAAAAGACATGCTGTTCTTTTTCATAACATGTAGTCATATACAACGTATGAGTGCGGGGGGGGGGGGGGGGGGGTTAATGGGGTCGTATACTGATCGGGTCGGTACGTTAGGTCGGGTGCTAATCCCGGCCAAACCTACCGACCCGATCAAAAGTAGTGTTCGAGAAATATCAACGAGTTTAATATGCAAGTATCTGGTTGAAATGCAGTTTGTGCGTTCTGTTACCAGGCAAGTGGTTCTCCACATCCTACAATAACGGCGTTGTCAGCTGGGCTGACTCAGTGGCGTTTCTGGCCGCGGATTCGTGGTAGTCTTCCAGGTACTCGAACGAGAAGTCGGGCATGAAGTCATTGTCTTCAGTCCCTTCTTCTTCCTCGTCATCGCTACCGTCGCTGTCTACCTCTCTCTCCATTTCTTCAAGCGAAGGAGCTTCATCTTCACTCTCCAAATCTGAGAGTCCTTCGACACTTCTCAGATCAAGTGACAGTGGCAGGTCAAACGCGTCCGTCGCGATTCGCTCTTCATCTGGATCATTGATCTGCTTACGCTTCTTCTTACCTTTACCGCGCTTCTTGCCTGTGCGCGCGTTTGCAGTTTTCTTCGTGCCTGCTTTCCTCCGCCCAGTTGTAATGTCAGCTAACTTTGCGACTTAGTCCTGCGAAATCCGCCGAATGGTAGACACGAACGTGACGATGTTGGGGTGGTCTGTGAACGCCTTGTTGAGTTCCCTGTGGAAACGTTCCAGAGGGTTGTTAGTCCGCGCCACCAACTCGTGTTGCACACCATGTACATTCCACTCCTCGATGTTGTAGCGCTCAAGCCACGTCGCCCTGAAGTGCCCCCAAAATGCTTTCCATTTGGGGTGCGAGTACCAAATGCCCTTCGCGTCACAAGGCATCCGAATTTCCCGCATGACCCATTTGATGCCCTTGTCAGGTACTAGCTCAGGCTCGATGACCGTGAGCATGTCGAGGACGCCTTTGGCCATTGCGACCTTGATTTCGTCCTCCGGAATATGAAGTTTCTTTTGCATTCTACGACGCACCGCTTGTTTCCACTGAAACAGGCAGCCAACGATCAATGCGTTGTTAAACTGCTTTAGGGATGCCTCGATCAATGGCTGCTCAAAGTCGCACACAATTTTACTCGGTGCAAGTTTTTTAGAGGTGTTTCGGAAAACCAGCTCGAGAATGTCGAAATACATATCCCTCTGTTTGCCGGTGAATAGACGGGTACGTACAGCTCGCTGGCGCGGTCGTGCACCATCACGATAATGCCATGCTTGAAGCCCCTTGGAACCGAGCGAAAGGTACCATCGATGAACATGGACACATTGTGATACATCAGAAGCTGACGAAGCTCTGGGCGAACCCAACCTATGATTCGTTGAGGCTTCGCGATCGGGTCCTTGCTGGGGTGAGGCTGGTGACACTGGAAGAAGCTTAGCGGCTTGCCCTCCGCCATAGAGAAAGGTGGAACTTCGACCAGGCCTAGCAGGTGCGACCCGTAGTGCTTGCGTCGAACGCGATAGAGTCGACTGGATACTTGCTCGTCCGTCAACCCATTCCGGATAAAGCCATCCTCAGGGCCGTTCTTAACCACGCCATGCCATGCAATGGCACACATGTGAGCGATTTAATTGGTCCCTCGTTCTTAGGGGTAGGGTAGAAGTGTCATGGGTGGCAAAAGCAAAGTGCCATTCGACCTGCATCTGCAACGGTGCCAAACTCCAAAAGTCACGTTGCCCAACACCAAAAGCTGCCAGCATCATGGAATCCCGCTTCATTGCTCTCGTTGTACTGCTTCGTCTGGTCACCATCGTGGTGGCGCTCCCCGTTGGAATGCGCCGGAGGTGCCGTCTACGCACGCGTCTCGACTGGTAATCTCATTCGCAGCTCTTGTCGGACGAAGACCAGTTCAAGAAGTACTACAAAATGTCGTATGCATCCTTCATGGCGCTCGCTACAAAGCTAGAGCCCTACCTCCCTGTCGATGAGAAGCAATCGCGAAACCGGACTGGAATCGAGCCGATCACGCACATAAATAAGCTTCAAATGTGCCTGCGTTGGCTTAGTGGTGGATCCTATCATGATATTTGCTCAAACAGTGGTGTGAGTGTTGGAGCATTTTATGCTGCTATACACGATGTCGTGGACGCGATCATTGCTCATCCGGATCTGCAGCTACGGTTCCCTACTACTATAGCAGCCCAACGCCATGCTGCCAAGTCTTTGAGCAACTTAGCAGCTCTCGCGTGATGAAAGGGTGTATTGGTGCGGTGGATGGTTAGCTTTGTCGAATTCGAGTTCCGTGGAGGAAGGAAGTTGCGCGGGTTCGGTCATTTTCTCCGGTCACTACCAACGGTATGGAGTTAACGTACAGACGTGCTGTTATCACCTTAGTCGATTTACTGCTGCAACGTGCTCAAGTGCTGGGGGCACCGGGGATGCTGTTGCTTTTTTGAAGTGGAGACTTTCGTCTGTGGTGAGCAACCTTCCTAATGGTTTGTACGTCGTTGGTGATAACACACACACCAACTCGAACCACCTTTTGACTCCTTTTCCCCGCCTAAAAATCTCAACGTCTGCCCGCGATAGCTACAACATCCATCTGAGTCAAGTCCGTATTCGAATTGAAATGGAATTCGGGCTCCTGGTCTGCAAGTGGCGAGTGTTTAAGGCGCCGCTCGAGATCGCGTTCAAACGTGTGCCTCGTACAATCTTGGCTGCGTGTATACTGCACAACCGGTGCATCAATCGTCGCATAATTGAGGCTGGCGGCTATTGTGTGGAAGAAGATGAAGATCTACTGGATGTAATTGAAGATAGCCGCTTTGAGCGAGATCCTCCTGCAGATTTTACCGTGGAGCCCCAGGACTCGTCGCGATATCGACATCTGTATGACTCGTCGGATTTAGCTACTGATACGGACAGCTACAACAATTCGGAATGGGTCCGCGATGCTCTCGTCGGATTGATTGAGAAAAACTCGATCATGCGCCCATCGCGTAATCAAGCTCGACGAGCAAGGGAGCAGGAGGAAAACCAGTAACAATCAATGCCATTTCCATTCATTCTCATTCACTTTCCCTAACTATGAAGCGTACGAAGTTCACCAAAAAGGAAATAAAAGCAGGAGGTACCACAGCAACGGTGGTGCAAAAATAATAGTCGAAGTGCGTCGTAGGGTCTCACATCAGCAACGTAACCATGTGGTCCCAATAGAGCATCCAGTTGATCTTCATAGTACTGCAAGCGCTGCTGGTACTTGCGAAGACTCACAGGTAGCGTCGGATCCGTAGTTCCAGATAGTGCATCCTTGCGTTGACGCTCCTTCACCTGCTTATTGACCTGCTCAATAAGCTGATGCATCTTGCCGATGCGATCAATCAGCTGGTTCTCGTCTCGGTTCTCTGCTTCCATTGACCTTGTTGGACCGGAAGCGACAGCGACCGGGGTCCCACCAAACATGTCTGCTATACGATTCACCGTCCTTACCACCTGGTCTTGCTTCTTCGCCGACTTGTTCGCTGGAACATCGGAATGAGAGCCAGGAAGATTCATCAAGTCAATTGCATCTTCTGGACGCATACCACCTTTGACAAAAGCCGCCAGTTCTGGTTTGACTTGAGTGCATATACAAATACGCAGCGTCCAAGTTTCCGTCACAAAACTCGTAGAATCCCTCCGAATTTTGGCCGGATACGTAGAACTTAGCATTCGCCTTCACAAAGCTGCTGTTTCCTTTTTTTCACATGTCGTACAGTCTGGCGTCGTCATGCTGTACAATATAGGAGGGGTTGATACCGCTGAAGCGGGGGTTAGAAGCAGCGGCCTCGAAGAGATTGTTGTAGACCCTCTTGTTCGTACGGTGCTCGACGCCAACTTCCTTCCAGAACACAGTCTTGGAATTCACAGCACCGGCCTCAATCTGGTCACGGGTTAATGCGTCGTCTGAATGCGCCAACCGTTCAGCGAGCCGATCCGAGAAGAGAACATTCGATAGTCGGATGAAGCAGTGCTTAGTTTTGCGCATGCTGGGGTCCAATAGGTTTTCGCTGTCAATGCTAGCCTGAACAGCGCGTTTGTCGCATCATAGGAGCGTAGAGGACGAATTTGATCCTGCTTGGTCGTCGCACGGGCCAGGCGAAGCTTGCGCTCGGTGCATTCCTTCCGCAACTGCGCAACGGTCCACGAATCATGGTCATTACAAGTCGGCGGGGCAACTTTACCGGGATTCTTGACTGTCCAATTGAATACGCGCTCGACCAAAGCTACGTTCTCGGTCGTACCATTAGTAGTCGATGGTTCAACCGTTATGGGAGGCACTGATTCGTTGTCCGATGCTGAGCTGAGCACGTCATCTATTCGGTCGAGTAGCTCAGCATTAGAACGAGCAACACGTGACTCAGTCCTAGCTGAAAGCGGCTGATTATCGGTCGTACAGGTCCATCCTGGAGTCTGCACGGGCATCGTTGGTAGGGGTGCTCTCAACTCCGTCACGAACGAATCAGGAAGCTGCATGACGTCCTCACCAACTGTTGGCGGCTGTAGAGGTCTTGTAGGAGCTATCTCGCGCGGGTTACGCCGGCCTGGGGGCGCCTGCGAGGCGCTTAGCCCAGCGTGGTCAAACGCTGGGTGCTCTGCTGTGGGAAGTTTCCGGCAGAGCGCAGCGATGACGGAAGCGCGCTTTTCGGGTTCGATCGGAGTGAAGCGCATGTGCATGTTCGAGTCCAAGGGCAACTTCAACGTAGACGTCAGGGGGTTTCCCGACAAGAGTCTCAAGATGCTGAACGACAAGAAACCCCCGAGGCGGTTGAGTCCGCGACGTCGCAAGCGGCCTCGTCGACGCAGTCAGTTTTGTCCTCTTCATCCCACAGCCGGTCGCTGGTAACCAACCGTGGGTGCAAAGTTCTGAAGCGGTAGTTGTCGGCGAAGTCTTGTAGGTAGAGCTGCTCATTTAGACTTTTACTCCGTCAGCGCGAAGGGCTACGGGCGACAAGTTCAAGTGCGCGCAGGCCTCGAACACCTCAGGCAGCGCGTAGCTAATTTTCACCCACCACACCCTGGGGCAGCCTTCTCGAGCTTTGATACGCAAGCCACTCGAAGGCAAGCCTCATTTAACGAAGAATGAGCAGCTCTGGTTTTTCCCCCCATGCCTTCTTGAAGAGAGAGAGAGAGGAAATAGCAATGTCAAGCGTGCCAGTTGAAGTCGTCACTGCACTTGATGCGCTGTGCACCGTCGTGTCGGCTATCAGAAGCCCTTCGGCACCCTGGCTTGATGGCGCAGGTGCCTCAATGATCTTGTTTTGTCTTCGTGTGCTCGTTGTCGCGCTTGGAGCCGCGCTTGGTGGCCTGTGGGGGCGCTCAGCGGTGCTAGGAGTCTCGCCAGCGACTTCGGTAGATGCAGAGAGAGCTGATGTCCTTGCTAGTCCGGCGTTAGCGCGCTTGCGCGCACTCGTTGTCGCGCCCGAGGAGGTGCCCCGCGCGCGCTTGCCGTTCTGCTTCGCCATCTCTGCAAGCTTTCCCTTTTGAGCAAAATTGTATTTTGTTGTTTTTAACCGAAATATTAGGATATGACCCAAAATGGCACATTTCGTTTCTAACCACTTTGTGCCATCGTGCCATCCAGCCAAGACGAAGTGCCATTGCATGGCACGCCATGGCAGTGGTTAAGAACGACCCTCAGGGTGGCTTGCCAAATTTCATACACAGGCATAGGATGCACAGTGTGTCGACCATTTCCTGCACCTCCTTCGTCACGTCAATAGTGTCCGTTGCCGATACAGGATCTTGCGGATGAACGCATGTGAGTTCCCCCGTCACTTTACACCCACCGGCGGCGTACACGTGAAGAAGCGCTTTGTACGGCGGCTCGATGCTTCTATACACGCTGCACCGGAACTTCATCTTCACCATCGAGGTCCAGCCCTTGGTGTACTGGAAGCCGTTGTGGTAGACACACGTGTCACCCTTGCGACCTTGAGCCTTGCGCGACGACCGTGTGTTCGATGCTGCCGGCCGAGGCATGTTACCGTCTAGCCCGCCGCTTGACTGTCGCGTCATGACGAACTTTTTGATGCTTCAGAGGTTAAGGAGAAGGAGGATGACCGCGAGTAGCTCTTAGTTGGCAGTTGAGTTGTGAGGAACCTGTAGCTGCTTCGCCATGCAACCTGACCAAGAACACCCCACGACCTACCTAACAACAACAACACGTCCTTGACGGACAGCAAGTCCTTCCACTACGACGTGTCCACCAAGTGGCGATAGGGCCGACAATGTTCTTGATGGTTGTAATCCATAAATGCAGAGGAGTAAATTTGTGTGGGGCCCTATGACAATAGATGCAAAGCACCACAAAAGGCTCTGACATCGCTAGGAACATGTAGGCATGGTACAGCATTCAGTCGGGCTGCATTAAGCTACTGCCCGAAGGCCCGTCCATTACATTGTTCGACTTGACAACCGATCTAATCCCCGACTCGATCGGTATATGAGCCCATAAAACTTCTATCGGCCGGAGAATCACTCTGTGATGAAGAAGATTGATGAGGGCGAGTTCCTGACTGAGGAAGAGGATGTGGAGAGGTTGGGGTCGTCGGAAGAGAAGGAGGCAGCGCAGGTGAAGCAGGTTACTCCGCAGCAAAGTTCAGGCAGCACTGGCAGTGATGAAAGCGACGAGGTGGTGGAGCAGAAGACGGTGGCTGTCGCTGCAACGCGCCCTCTGGAGATTGAAGACTACGACCTCCTTGAAGGCACGCCTCCCGTGTCGCCTTGCTCAGCTGAGAAGCTCGCATATACGCATCGCCAGTCGTCCATGCTTATCACGGATGCGATCGCTCTTGTGCGTCGAGCGCAGCGGGAGCGCGTTGAGCGGCGTATTACCAACATCGCGTCGAAGTGTAGGGACGGCTAGGCCGGCCACTAATTGGCCGATCATACGGGTCAACGTGAAGGCGGCAACCGTGCATTTTGGTAAAGTGGCGACGCTCGACGAAGGCAGCCAGGAGAATAAGTACCACAATGCTCATGTCAAATGGGGCTATATGTCATAGGCAGGTATCGAGGAAAGGGCACCGTACCCGCAGATAGCCATTTTAGGCAATTTTAGGCACTTACTACAGATATCCTAGTTTAAGACTATTTTAGGACATTTGTGATCTCTAAGGGTTGCAAGGCCATTGAGACGCTATACACCAACCATTCTCACACTCCACGTTGGCAAGATAGTTGCCCACCACTAGCCTTAGCGTAATAACTCGACCAACCATTTCTACCCTTTGATTTGGCATTGAGGCTGCGCATCAATTGCCACAACTAATTTTGCTCTTTCCGATGCGAAGGGGATGACACCGAATTCATGGTGATGGCCACAGACGCCGGTAATACCAACGGCAGGTTACACGCTGTCGAGTTCAAGATTCAAATCATCCAGCACTTCGAGGCTTCAGGCAGCATGAGAGCAACTCTGGACCGGTTCTTCGACGGCATGAGCGAGGCAAAGCGGGCCAACAAAGCAAAACTAGTCTACAAGTGGCTTGGCATACGGTGTGCCCTTGAAGAGCGTGCGCAAAATGGCCGGGTGGCGTCCCAATTACGTGGTCGTGCATCCGGGGTGGGCTTGACCCTTCCTAGCGAGGTTGAGCAGCGTATCGTCAAATGGGTCAATGACTTCCGGCGTGAAGGGCTCCCGATTTCAGCTCTCATGCTAAAGCTGCAGGCGTTGGAGATAGCACAAGCTGCTGCTATTCCGCCGGACCATTTTGCGGCGTCGTGGCAATGGCGCCGAGGGTTCACGCATCGCCATAGGCTCTCGTTCCGCGCTCGAACCCATTTTGGCCAGGAGACGCCTCCTATGGCAGCGTTACGTGCCGCTGCATTTACTAGAGAGGTTCGCCACAAGGCGTACGTGGAGGGCATCACCAAGATCTACAATGCGGACCAGACAGGCATTTTCTTTGAGATGCTGCCACGAACGACGCTCGCGCCGACGGGCTCTAGAACGGTCTGGGTGAAGAGCAGCTAGAAAGACAAAGAGCGCATTACCGCCATGGATTTGGGCGACTCAGAAGGCAACAGGTACACCCCGTTCCTCATGTTGAATTCGAAGCCGTCGAAGGTGCCGGAGGTGCGCGCTGAAAACGCGCGTATCCGTCACGGATTTTGTCGCCACGTGTGGAAAGAAATATAAGCTCTTCAACAAAAACACGACCTCCAGATTTACGGAAACGAGGCTGCCTGGTTGACGGGGGACATGACTTTCGAGTTCCTCAATTTCATTTTGTCCACCGCGACCCATTGAGCCCTCCTGTGATGCTACTCCTCGATGATTTCAGCGGGCATTGGGTTGATAGTGTGGTTGAGTATGCTCGCTCGCTAAACGTAGTGCTGCAGAAGGTGCCTCCCGGACTTACGTGGCTAAGCCAGCCCGCGGACGCTGTTTGGATCAAGCCTCTCGAGGACCGCTTGGGTGCCGCCTGGGTAGCATTTCTGCGAGACCAACTAACGCTCTACACCGCGAGTAACAGCACCGAGAAGTTCACAATGTCAGCGCCTCAGCGGTCGACTATCGTGAAATGAGTAGTGTCCGCATGGGAAGCGCTTTCCGCAACTATCATCTTGGCGGGCTTTAGAAAGTGCGGTCTAACGGGAGCTGGGGACGATCCTTGCTAGCTACAAGCTAGAAGACGACGAGGAAGCACTGGCTTCTCACCAGTCAACTTGAGCAGCTACAAGCATTTGAACTTGTCATTGAGCCTGCATTATTGAGAGTGTTGTTGTCTAGAATTATGTTTTTTTACATCAGGCTGCATAATATCATGTTCGTAGTTCGAAGAACTATCGTACGGGGGGTCTACCAAAGGCGGTGCGTTTTGATCGTGCGACCTTCGGGCGACGGTCTGGCGACGTTCGGTAGCCCATTCAGGCGACGTTCGGGTGACATCGGCGCAAGTGACGGGGACGGCGACACGCGAGCGATCTAGCGCGAACGGCGCCGCGCACCCCAGCTGCGCAGCGTCGGACCGAGCGGACCGTGGCCAACGCTGCGCAGTGCTAGCTGGGCACGTACAACGGGCGTCGCTACGTCGAGCCACTTCGTTTTGCGCGCGTGTGCAGTCGGCCGATTTTGGCTCGCCAAAGGTGCGCATGCAATGTGCATGCATTTGCAAGGTGGTCGCTAACGTGTTTATTATCGATGTTAGGGACTATCAAAGCATTATGGTTCATTGTGTTTCGCTCGGAGTTGGGTGGCTGCTTAGATCGGGGCCTTGATCTGCCATGTTGTCGGCCACTGGCAGGTGGAAACCCGCCAACGTAGCATCGCTGAGGCCATTGAGCCGCTCTTCTTCTTGTATCGCGTTCGCCGTCATCGGTTGTAGAGCTAGTAGTCCATTGCATGTGGTAACCCTCGAGACAAGTAGATAAGTCTGCTACGGCTTGTTAATCACGACCGTCGACGACGACCATTGACCGTAGCGTTTCGCCTTGGACTATGTACACGGTCGACCCGACCGCGCACGCGAAGGGGAATTGCTGCGGTCGCACGGTGACGGCGCGCGGTTGGCCGTCGGGCGCCGGCGCGAGCCTGATTGTGGTCTTCGCTTTGGCCTTCGTGTTGAACAAGACGGGGAACCGATCTGGGTCGCCGCCCGGCCGCACCGCGACAGCCTGCGGGCGCGGTACGCGGATCACGGCGTATTCTGGTGCGCGGCTCGGCAGGCGCACGATCATCGACGTTGCAGCGTCGCGGACGAGCCGGAACTCGGTGTCGGCCGGGAAGTGGACGTACTCGAGTCGGCCGAGCGTGCCGTTCGTGATGCCCTTCGCCGTCGCGACGTACTAGGTCACCTGGATTGACAAGCCGTCCAAAAGATCAAGGTACGGGGCCATCCGTCCAAAGCGATTGTCGGAAGACTCAAGACGTACCGCAGGTCGCTCACGCTAAGCGCATTCAGCGCACGTTTGAAGTTAGCAACCACGCGTGTCGGATAGAATCCGCGTGGCAGTATCGACGCGGTCGCCTTCGTAAAGGCGTTGTTGATTGCGGATCGAGTGGCGTTTTCGGGGGGCACGAGCGCAGACAACACGCCAGTGCTGTCGGCGATGAAGTTGCCTTCATGCAGCTCGTGGTTGCACACGCGGGCGTTGATCATTGCCACGAATTCGGGCGTCCAGTGCCCTACGCGTTTCGGCAGCCTTCTCCCCATTCGGGATCCTCCTCGCGAAAGCGGACCGATTCGTCCAGCATGACGATGGTTGTAACCTGTCGCCACAACTCGAAGCCCTGGACGCCGACGGTGCTCGGCCGCGCCTTGTACATGGGGTCCAAGTAGATTGAACCCGCCCTTACCGGCGGCAGCTGCAGGAAGTCGCCGACGAGCACGATGTGCACGCCGCCGAACGGCACGCAGGCGACGTGCATGTAGCGCCGCAACAGGCGGTCGAGCTCTAGCTACTGAGTTTTGTTCATCATGGAGATCTCGTCTACGACGAACAGATCAAATGGTGCAAACGACTTTTTCTTGGTGGCGTGCTCGCTGCGGATGGGGAAGTTCGCGAGCGTTCGACCGCTGATGAGCGTTGGCGCTTTACCGGCAGCGCTTTTCACTGGAAACGACAACTTCAACGAGTCAATCATATGACGCCTACTAGTGGCATTTTTTACCAATCACGACCCTAAGTGCATCTCCAGCGGTTGGTCTCAAACACGGTTTTATCCTAAAAGTAGCGTTGTTAAGACTTGGCCGAGACTTAAGGCTTCCACCAGAAGGTCCTATTGCAGGTTTTAACTTCACCGGGACCTATAGATTGGCTTTCGTGTCTTAAAATAAGACCACAATCTTATTGTGAGAGCCGGCTAAAACGTCCATCTGTAGCAACCCCTTATTAGACCTCAATCACTTATTTAATCAGTACAAGTCAGGGCTGAAATCGACCGAGATCTAGATGAATCGCTTGCCTGCGCGCTTGCCTAGTAAAAGGTGGGCATTCTGCTCGAAGCGCGGCTATATCGACGTGGCTTCCATAAAACGATCGCCTAATCTGCACGTCCACTCACATATGCATCGCAGGGCGCGATCGATTTACAAATCAATCGAGCTAAATTAGGGTGCTAATCGATCGATTTACGAGCAAAATAAGCAAAAGAAGCGGTTTTCACAATAATGCCACCCATACAAAACGCCGTACCTAGTATTTAAAAGATTGCATTAAGACTGAATGCAATTTTCAAATGCGGGAATAACCTTATAAGACTCGCTTTAGAACTCACCGCTGGAAGTAAGTCGGTCTGCGCGGGTCTCAACTGTAAAATTGTGGTCTCAAAGACCCTGTTACGTCTTAGGATAAGACGCACCGCTGGAGATGCTCTAACGGCTTCAATGCGCATCGGCTTTGTTGTTTTTGACCCCCCTCTATGACATGAGCATTGGCGGGGTGCGTCACGTTCGGACTTTAGTCCTAAGGCAAATTGCCAGTTTAGTAGAATTTTCGATAGCAACTTTTAGCCAACCGCCCCTGCTTGTAATATTGACCGCATGGTGCTGAGTGAGGTATGAAAATGTGGCTCAAGATTTCAGCAATCAGAGACGATACCAGCTAACTAAATTCATGCAATATTCATCACATTTAGCGCAAGCAACTACGCCATCTCGAATTCGAGGTTGTGCCAGTTTAGTTGAGATTTTATCAGGGAGTTTGTATTGAAATACCAGCTGTTTGATCCCTTGCGCCTTGAACTAGGTCGTCTTCGACTTGGCTGGGAACACCTGTGGTATAAAACGATAGTGCTGGTACCGGTGCTGATTGCCGTGATAAGGAAGAACTGTGGCACCCACAGGGACCACACCCATGAATATCGCGCGTGCCGCAGTTCACTTTCTGAAGCTGGTACATGGGGCTGTTGATGTCGCTGTCCATTTCCTGCCTTGCTGAAAGTTGCCGTTGAACCTGCTCGGTCGACATCCTTCTGGTTTGTGTAGCACGAAGGTTGCGCGAAGTTACGCTTGCGCGTCCAATTAATCCGTTGGGAGCTGTCCACCCCCTCATTCTTCGGGTGTTCCCAGTATAATTATATTATCAACCAATCATGGAAGCTATACGCGAAATACTGTGTGTTCATTGGTCAATGTGACCCTCTACTAAATTGCTCACTCTCTACTAAAGTGGCAACTTGCCTTAAGTCCTAATATAAGTCAAATTGGGACCTAAAAAGTTAAGATTAGGACTTTCGCTTGTTTGACTTGATTAAAGTATAGTTGTATGGTGGCGGTTTGTGTTTTCAGGGGCGAGAGGGTAACCCTCTCCGAGCCACAAATCGCTTTGGTTATAAACATGCGTGGGTTCATGCATTTATTTGCGTCACTGGCGCTTTGCATCATTGTTGTCGGCTGATGCAATTATTTACGTCGCGATATGCAAATTCGTGCGGTGTCGACGGGCAGCAGATTCGCCTAAACTCCCCTCCTAATCCAAACATGAGCACGAGAGGCCACCCGTGTGAGCTTCCTTCTCAGCTACCGCGACTGAACCCAAGTATCGCGCTTGATCCTGCTCTAGAAGGTATCTATCTCCGCTCCCGTGGCGCTATCTTGGAGGACTCGCGGCGTCAGCAACGGCAAGGTAAACAGACCGACCGGGTGCGAACACTTCCACGTCAGCGAGGCAGACGTCAAATTGAGGAGCTTGCTTTGGCGTACCAGTGTGCGAAGGTATCGGCCGCGAAAGAACAAGAACACTACGAGCGGCTAGCAGCAGCAAAAGCAAGTGAAGTTCGGCGACTAGACCAGTTGAGAGTGCGTGAAGAAGCTAGAGAGGAGATTGCGATCTCCGATGCAGATGCCCGAAAGCTACGTCGAGTGGCTGGCTACGGGAAGAAGAAGCCGCGCCTGTCTGAGGCGGACTACCGCCTCATTCTCGAGCTGGCAGGGTCCGAGCCCCAGCGCAAAGCTGCGTTGCGGCTTGGTACAACCCAAAGTACCGTTAGCCTCCACCTCCGAAAGCAAGGAACGCATTCAGAGCGTCGAGGCCGCAATCCCATGCTGACTGAGGAGATGATTTTCGCTGCAGCCCGTTTCCAGTTCGTCAGCAAGACGGCATCGTTCGCGCATACGGTTGCCTTCATCCAAATGGTCTACGGCATCAAACCCGCTAAAGCTACCGTCAGTAAGCATCTCATGAAAGTGGCAGGATTCCGGCTAGGCGACTTTCGTAGGTTACCCCGTGATCGAAACTCTCAACGGGCGATTGATGAGCGCCACAGGTATGCCACTACACTACCAAACCAATATGGCTAGAACACACTGTATGAGGCGGTATATTACGATGAGATGAAGCTATCCAGGATTTCCAAGCGTCGAGCGTGGTCTATCGCAAGTTGGATTCCAACTGTCGCGGATGAATTCTACTCGGAGCATCCAGACCACATCTCGCTCCTGCTCGCGGCCTCACCGGCATTCCGCGTCCTGCATTTTGAAATTGTGGAGGGAAGCGTGTTGGCGGACGTCGTATGTGGCTTCATGAAAGAGATGGTCGCCGCCTATCTGCGGAAATTCCCTGCTGCTCGACGTGCTGGTACCCGAGCCTTCATAATGGACAACGCGAGTATGCACCACCGTTCGTCTGTTACCGACTACTTGAATGGAGACGCAGTGGCGAACCTGCTCAAGATCGAGTTCGTGCTCATATACTCTCCATTTCTAAACCCTTTAGATGAAGTGTTTGGAACCGTGAAGTCAAGGCTCTGGCGGAACCGTTCGGAGGCAGGGGTAACGGACGAGAGTAAAGCTATGCTGAAGCGCTGTCTCGCGGAGGTGCTGATGCAAGTTACTGAGCATGACGTTCGCCAGTTTTACTTCCACGTGGATGTGGTATCGGAAAATGGAGATTACCGGAGTGATTGCCCGTCACCCAAGAATCAAGGTACAATCAAGGACCAGTCAAGTGCGAGATGGAAGTGGCTGCTTTGGTTAAGCTGACGACATTATCCTCGTTAGAGTGACGGTTAGTGGCTGGAGCCTCGTCGGGTCCTAATACAACGCCGAACGAGGCTTCACGGTGCCTACTTTTTGGTACAGATGCATTTAGTTACGTACTTCGGCCGCACTTATTAGTGTAGCCGCGGTCGTCATTTGATGTGTCCAGGATCGCCTCATTGCGATCGTTCACACTAGATGTTTGTATAGGGACATAGGACTCATCATAGGATGACCAGAACGAGGCCCCCAAGGCCTCGGAAAACTCAGTAATAAAAAGACAGTCTTCCCCCAAAGCCAACAAGGGTCGAGTCCGACTTCGGTAAGTGTAGCTAGCTTATTGTAGTGCCTGGACACGCTCGGCTGCGTGTGGACGCCTGTCGGGGAGCTTATCGTGCATTGACCGAGAGTTTCCTTGGCAGCGCCAAGAGTTGGCGTGACCGGAGAGGCAGGAACGGTATTAGAGTATCGTTCAGTATATATATGTGGGATTAGAGTGCCCCTGAGTGTATTAGTCTACCTACCGAGGTTTTACCTTGGTCCCCCTGTATAAGGCCTAACACGCCGGTACCCTTCCTTTCTGAGGGACTGCAGTGGGGTTGCGCGAAAGCGCTACATAGTATCCTAGCCTTAGCTCGTGGCTAGTGGTACAGGTTTTGGGGTTGACCGAAGATAACCTAAGGTGCACAGAGGCGCTTGCAACCGACCCGGTGTAAGGGATCGTTCCTGGTCTTCAGGTTTTGATCCAGTTAGCGCTTACCTTTGCGGGTTAGCGTGTTGTTGGTGTCTCTAATACATTTTGGTGGAAGAGAATTTTAGTGGTATTACCACACTACAACTGGTGATGCGACCCGGGATTGGTGCGACCTTCTGTGTGTCTGGCTTGTTGTAGGTCTTACCCCAACGAGCAACGAGGGGAAGAGAAGAGAAGAAGAAGACGTGTGAAGATGGCGAAAGGAGTCAAGTCAGCGGTACCGGCGACGCCGGTGAAATTGAGTGGAACGCGCAACGAGGCTTCGATACTCTCCGGGAGTTCGTTCTCGGCCCCAGCAACGGATCTGATGGAGTCGATTGACGAGCGCTCAGTGAGCTACGACACGGCGATTGATTCCTCGGACGCCAAGGAAGATGATGAAGCGATGAATGGGATGTCAGGATTGTGACGTCCGAGACTTCGGAAGATGCGGTTGTGTCGGCCGGCCGCAGTGGAGGATCGAGGTCCATCACCCGCGACCTCTCCGAAACATTCAACGACATGCCGGGCCCCGAGCCCGCCTGCGACGGGGATGACGGTGCGACCGAGGGTTTCAAAGCCTCGGTCACGGTTGGAGGGGCAACCTCCAAGCCGGTTGGCACTCGTCCTTCCCTCAACGGCGATACTCCGGCGGCCAACAAGGTTCTAGGCCGATGCCTGGAGCTGATGAAGACCAAAAGTGAGTGGATGCAGTTGTTCTCCCCGAAGCAGGTCTACCAGGCCATCTGGATGGACCACGGAGGGGCTTTGGCAACGCCGATCAACTCAACAAGCACTCGGCAGGTCGCTCAGAACACTGTTGACCTCCTGCGTGGAATGGGGTGCGAGCCCCAGATTCTCCCGGCGGATGCTGCACTCACGAGCTGGACGCCAACCACCGGTGCCATGGCGCTTACCAAGTGGAGGAAGAAGTTACGTGAGGCATTTGGGGTGGTAGACGGAGGCTCAACGAAGCTTCGTTCGGCCTCGGAAGCGGTTGACCCGTCCAAGGTCCCGCTACCAGCAACCCCTCGGAAGGCGGCCACGGATGACGGAGTTTTCGCAGCCAAGGGTGAGGCGTCACCTTACATGCAAGACTCGCACATGGTAGCCCCGCGATCTACGGACCGTAGTGAACGTTTGGCTAGGGAGACCGAGTCTTCGTATGGTACGCCTGGCACGCGCGGGGCAACCGGTCGCTGGTCCAGCCGCCGTTACGACCTCCGAGATGACTCGTCGGACAGTGACGATGATCTCGGGTCCGACTGTTACGAGGGTGACCTGCCAAGCGAATGGGCTCGTCAGGCGCGCGAACTGAGCGCGCCTGACGATCAGAGCTCAACCCCGAAGCTCGAGATTACAAGACCGAACACTCCATGCGGTGGCTTCGTACGTTCGTCTACGAGATGAGGGGGACACATGCACTGCCCAACGAGTGGTACATGCCGTTCGAACTCAAGCTCAGAGATGGGGCTTTGTATTGGTGCCGCCAGCTTCCACGCAAGACGAGCCGCACGTGGAAACTGCTGTGCGAGGCATTCATTAAGTACTGCTGCTCGAAGTTCTCCCAGTCTGCAAAGGCTTGGTACTACTCGGCCAAACGAGAGAGCAAAGATCATGTATGTGACTACCTCAACCGGCTCAACGGCTACACTCGCAACGCCGGGGTGCAGTTTGAGCACGGTGATTGTGACGCGAAGGACCACGTCAAACACTTCTTGGTTACATGTAACGACCGAGACCTAGAAGAGCGTCTGTGTCCGTTCGGGTCAAGAGCATCCATGACCTCGAAGATATGATCAACGACATTCTGCGTCACCGTGATAACAAATCAACTTGCTAATCGTCGTTCCGCCGCTCCTGGAGTCAAGATGACGGTCGCCATCGCGACGCGCGGTCGAACGAGGATTCTCGAAGTGGTTACCGCCGCGAACGACATTACCGCGACGAAGACCGCCACGAACGACGTTACCGTGACGACGACCGCCGCCGTGACCGACGTGACGGGTCACCGCACCGGTCGAGAGTGACTTTGATCGACGCCCTTGCCGATGTAATGGCGGAATTGAACGTCGGAGCCTCGGTCGGTGCACGCAACGAGGCTCCATACGCCCCCCCCGACGTGATGCTGAAGCGAACGAGGATTACTTCGAGGATGAGCGCCAATACTCGGACGACTAAGACGCTGATTACGACTCGGATGGGTATACCGGACATGTCGCTGCCGCTAACGATGCCGAGCGCAGGGCCGCAGCCGAAGGAACGTTCGCTCGGTCTGATAACCGACGCTTCAGGAACGGAGGAGGCCCGTCCAACCGTGAACGAGATGGTTGACGCCAGTATGGGCCGTGTGCCACGTGCGGAAGCCTGTCCCACTCAGTGCACTTCTGCTACCGGCGGTGCAAACTGTGCAAACAGGTGCACGACGCTGGGAAGTGTGAAGCACTCCACGAGCTCACCAAGTTCCTGAAGTCCAAGGCCGACAAGAAGGATCTGTCGCCAGAGCTGCAAAGCCTGGAGTATGGAAGCCATTTAAACTAGGCAGCCCGCCAACTGAAACTGGGTTGGTCCCAATCGGGCTGCCACAGTTAGCTGAGCCTGCTGTTGATGCGGACTATCTGTTCGCGTTCACGGGCGAAAGCAAACGGTCTGACGACCTGAAGAACAATGAACGTGTGAAACCGACGGAAAATGGGGAGAACCGAGACGCAAGTCTCGTTGAGATTGATATTGATGAAGATGATGATGATGAACGTGATGGACACCCGACCGAGCCTTTGATCACAAGTCTAGCCCAGATCAGGGGACCACCTCGGAGCCTCGTTCGGGCGGTGAAATTACTGCCCGGTGAGAGACTGTGGTGGTGGTCGTCCCAACGATACGACAAGAGGAAGCGAATGAGAGCTTTAGCCAATGGCGCTGTGGACGACGCGCGAACGAGGATACTCCTTGACACTGGAGCGAATGTTAGCGTGGTTTCTGCCAGCTTCGCCAAGCGGCTACGTGTGCGAGAAGTCCGGAACCACGGACGAAGTCTCGAAGTCCGGAACCACGGACGAAGTCTCGAAGTCCGCGGCATCAACCCAGGGGTGATGGAGACCCGGCGACGGACGCTCGTCAAGATCACCCTAGGGTGGGAGCAGGTCTACGAATTTGAAATGTGGATAATGGATCACAGTGCCGGGGTGGATGTGGTCCTTGGGATGGACTTCATCATCCCAGCTGGAATCCGACTGGATCTATTTCATGGCACCGCACGCCTTCCGGACGACGTCATGGTATCACTGCTACAGTCGCAGAGTGTTGAAGATGACGAACCTTACGGCACGCAGCTTTCGTGTGGGTCGACCGAGGATTTATACGTACCCGGTCGCGAGTGGCGAGAGTTTCGACTGCCGCGCCAGCGGCTACCTCGTTCGAAGTACGATGTGTAGGTACGACGCACGGACAAGCTCGTGCCGACCGTAACGAGGCTTTGACGGGGGTAGCCGACGTGGATACGGCTCACCAATATTACGACCACAGGGGCACAGTGTGCCCAGAGGTTAGGATAATTCAAAGTATTGTATTACTGAGTAATACAATTTCGGTATTAATACAGATTGTATTAATACTTATACTCGTTTTTTGGGCGAATGTATAAGGATAATTGAAGTAATACTACTCCTCAGAATTGGTAATACCAGTAATATTTTACGGTTATACTTCCAGAAGCCGGGCCAACTTGACTCCAAACTAGCTACTATTCGTGGATGGTATAAGTGTAAATTAGTAATCTTTATATATATTGTGGCCGCCAAGCGTTTTGTCCGCTCGGGTTTTCACGCTCTCAAGGGATTTGGCTTCTCCAAATCCTGGTTGATATATATGTAAATTCTTCAGAACGCCTACGGACAACTGGGCATTCTGGTCGATTCATATATATATATATATATATATCGACCAGGGTTAGCCTAAGTGACCCCGTATCAATCCGCATGCATGGCTGATGATACGCACGTGGTGCATTTAGAACATGCGCGCGCCCACTAATATGCTTCCACGACCGCCAAGGCCTTCTGTGAGCGTGCACTTGCCCCGGTATGATTTGACTTCTAGATTGTTTTTTCTTTACTTGAAATTAGATGAACGGTATGAGTGCACACTGGGCGTGCGTGGCAACATGAAAAAAAGCCTTTCGATACCGTTTAAACGGTGCTTATAACTATTGACCCTAACTACATTAGCAGCGTTCGAATAAGAAGTGGTCCAGGCATTTCACAGTGCCCTTTTACCTCAAAGGGAGAGTGCAGGGGTCTGGGTGTGCAGCCCCAGCACACGCACCGCAAGATAAATGGTGGTCTGTGAAAATGTTGATAAATTTTTATTAGGATCAGTCGCAAGTCTTATTTGTTTTCTTAGTAAAGCTTACCTTATTATGGTACTGTATTTGTTCGCTTGCGGTTGAGGCTGCAGTCGAGGCTACCGGGCTCGGAATTTGCGCATTTACAGAAGCTGATGCTAATATTGCTACCCTTACACACAATACTATCGATACGCTACATTAACACCCTTAAATACCTCGAAGTATCTCCTGAGGTGCGGTCTTATTCTTAGACGTAGCAGGATCTTTGAGACCCCAAATGTATAGTTGAGGTTCGTGGAGATGCTCTTACTCCTGAATGAAGATGAACAGATATGAAGGATTAATTAGACGAGGAATTCCAATCGCTCCTTAACTCTGAAATAAATGTCAGAGTACAATTGGTATCACCGCTGTAGTTGGCGGCCATAAAGATCTATATAGATAAGTATTGTTGTGCTTTGCACGCAGAATACCGTTCGTTTTAGTCAGCTTATCCAGACTTCATCATAGCTCTAAATCAGACTTTGGTTACTCAGACTTCGCACCAAAACAGACTTTATGTTCGCAACCGAATACTAAACTGTCATAATGAAAACTACCCCTATGCATTTAGATAGAAGTTTCTTTGGCCTTTGGTTTCTGGCCTCTGCGGCGCCTACACTTTCCTCATTCAACCCGATCGCATACACGACGGGTCGCGCACAAGGCCCGAGGCCACGTCGAACTTAGGTAGTACCCGGTGCTGCCGTCACCACCCTCGCCGCAGTAGATATCAACGTTGCATCGGGTGTCTCCCATATTCGGCTAGTATAGGCAGTATCACCATCCGAGAATAAAACCAATATGCCTATCACTATACTATAGCAGAGCAATGCACAGCTTAGCGCGCCGCTTCTACGAGTGGATGAGGCACAGCGCGGCCTTAAACTTCCAATTTGAGGGCTCTCTGTATAATGCCGAGATTATGATCATGCCGAACCGCAGGGCAGCATGCCTTGCCAGTGAAGTCACCTTTGGTTCCTGGCTGCCTCTTCAACAGAAGGACCGTCGTATGAATACTATGAAGGTCTTCAACGCCATTCGGATCGTCAAGTGATAGGAACGCTTCAGACGTTAAACTATTCCTTGGGCTCAGTCCTTCCGAGCGATTCGCACGGAGATAATTCACAACATAGACTCGCCACTGGCGAAGCCGAGCTAATGTGGGCAACATAAATTTGTACTAGTATAAAGTATTACCTAAAGTATTAATATAATCTGTATTAATACTGATACTTGATTTCTATACGAAAGTATTGTATAACAGATATTTATACCGGACCCCCAGTAGGGCCAGTAATACTTATACCGTGATTTGGTCGATTATCCTAACCTCTGAGTGTGCCAAGCATGACTCCGTGGTGCTGTGGGTACCACATGGTGAACTAACGCGAGAGACCGGCTACGTGAGATTGGATTCTAACAAGTACAAAGAGTGGCAGGTGTTGGCCTATTCAACGAGTCGTGATGAGACTCTGCAAGGACGAGAACGACGTCTCTACGAGCAATGGTTGGCTGAACAGCCGCCTGCGGTCTAGCGCCGAACTTACCCGACGCCGCGAAAGATCCTGCCGAGGCCACCGGATGCCCCGCCATGGCCAGAAGGCTGTCGACAAGCACCGTTGGATGATGAGTACTCGTCACCCGATGTACATGGCTACGACGACGGCCCCAGGGCCAGTGAAGGCTCGGTCGAGGTCGCTCGAGCTGATACAACCGATGTGGACCGTGCTGGTGGGTCGAACGATGGTTCGGACGACGAGGCCAGCGCGTCGGATGACTCGGACATACCCGGAGATTCGCCGCCTAGCCGAGCGGGTTGCCTGCCCGTGAATTCGAACAGTGGTGCTGAATCTACCGGCCATGGAGCGACATACGCCTCGATTGAGGCATCGGAAGCCAGTGATAAGCTGCGTGATGGTGACAGCGTGACGAAGGACGGTTCGGAGGATGACCGCGACGTGGTAGCAGTGGCCGAGACAACTACATGGGATGTCCTGCCAACAGGGATCGCTGCGTCCAGCCTGGAGCCAGGAGAAACGTCGTTGCGGTGTGTAGTAGCGAGGTCGACTGGGGCGAACACGACCCAGGGCCTAACGACGTTCCTACTGAAGCCGGAACCTCCACCGCTGACGCCGACACTGAATTCCATGATTCAGATGTAAGTGCGATCGATGACCCCGAGCAGCTACTGGAGGCGACCTATATCTCGGTCATGTATGCCATGGTTGCAGAAGGGTCTGACGAAGGTGATGACACCCTGAACGATGTTTCAGAGCATGTCGCAAACAGGATTAATCTCACCGAGAACACGCTGGAGTATCTACCGACACCTCGACTGAAGCCTACCACTCGGATTTGGCCCTACATGGAACGAGGTAAACCAAGACACGAGTGCTGATTCTCGGTGGCGGGCTGGCCGAGGTTTCGAAGTGGAACGAACTTGAGATTATGATCCTGTGCGCAGCCGAACATCGTTCGTTATGGTGGTGACATGTACGAGTTGCGAGGGCAGCATGATTTGTTTGCACGTGGCCCAAGTCGCGGACGAGAGCTAGTTGCATACGTTAACGAAGATTGACCTGCTCGCGAGGGTAGCCCAGCTCGCGACGACAGACGAAAGAAGCTACTGGAGATGATGATTGAACTGCCTGTGAGGGCTATCCAGCTCGCAGTGACAGACGAAGGAAATTACTGGAATTTGCATATTACATGTGATGTGAACGAGTCACGATGGAGTGTCATGTCAGAATGCCTCGGTCAGCGCCTCAGCAGATGAAACAAAGAAGGATGAAGCTCAAGGGAGGGTGATCGAGGCTTCGGACGCCGATATTAACGTGGAAGAAGTTCGCGCCCGTGCGCCGGACCTCGGCTTGCGACGATGTATGGATTTGATTATGAAGAGGAGATACGAGTGGATCTGGGACAGCTACGACCGACATGTAAGTCTCGTTCAAGGCAGCGGTACCTGCTGTAGCCTGCGCGAAAACTGTGGGAACTCTCAACGAGAATTGGTGCGACACGATTGCAACACGGCGAGTCGTCGGGTGGAGACTGGGGTACCCAGACGTTACGTTACGACCACCGAGTATTTGCTGTATGTGCATCACGAACCACAGTCAACACTGGTATGGTTGCTCACGCCAAAGAGGAAGAAGCTGAAGACTCGACCAACGTTTCTGGTGCGGTGGTTCCCGAGCCACAGACTGAGGCAACTAAACCCGATTTGGTTACGACCACCGGAAAATCCGGATGGAACTGTGGAACGAAGGCAACGAAACCACGGTTGACACAGCTACACTATCTCCGAGTGATAACGAAGCAACTGATGGTGTGACCGACGTTGGCGGTGCAGCGATTCGCGAGCTTCAGGCTGGGGCAACCATACCTGCCTCCTTTACGACCACCGAAGTTCCGACGTAGTAATGGAGTGAGGCTGGACGAGTCGTCGCACGTTCCTTGACTACTGCCCATGAAGTGGAGCCCTCGGACGACACAGAACCGGCTACGGCAGAGTCCAGTGACGCTGAGAAGCATGCGGCCGAGGTGCGGCGAGCGGCGGTCCGCAGCCTGTTGATGGAAGGTCGGACCATACGACCACCGGAATTCCGGTGGTGTAGCAATGGATGGACTACTGATTGGAAAGTGACCGGCTGCCGGACGACGTTCTGTTCGAGTTCAACACGTTGCAAAAGATGGCAGTGAAGATGGAGTAAACGGAACCAACATGCAAAGACCAGCAGCCTGCATCATATCGATGGAACGACCAAGGTCGGACCATACGACTACCGGAATGCTCCTGGTGTGTGCGTCGCCATGCGCCCCGTAGCGGCTCTAAGCGTCCTCTAAGTCTCGGTGGCTCCAGCAGAAGATGCAATATCACCGGAGGAACCTTGTGGTGTGTCGACCCATGCTTCAGCAGCGACGGAAGGTACTGGAGACGCGGTCACAGGTGCCGGTACCGTATTATCAGCGCCAACAGGAGCGCCGGTGGGTAATGACAGATCTTGCGGCCCTAGCCAGCGTTGCAAAGTATCGGTGACTACAGTGACAGCACCCTGGGATGCTGGAGAACAAGCTGGCGTCATTAACGAGGATCCAACTGATGGCGAAGAGCAGCAAGAACGTCGAGCGTACCGGCCCAGAACACTGAAGGTCCAGGGGAGCGGCGGTCGCAGCGGTCAGGCGCAAGCGCGATGAATGAACCATGAAGTTTATGGACTGGAGGCGCCTAGACGCTCACCTGTTGCGGAGGCTCGTGTCCAGGCGGGGGCAGTTGTGGTATCGGAAAATGGAGATTACCGGAGCGTTTGCCCGTCGCCCAAGAATCAAGGTACAATCAAGGAGCAGTCAAGTGCGAGATGGAAGTTGTAATGGGCCTACTTTGGCCCACTACTTTAGCTTACACGTGTACGCGTGCATGTGAGGAAGCGCAGCCTAGTTTAAATTAGAGTTAATTATACTCGGGCCTCCGAGTATAGATTAATCTAAATAAACGATCTAAATAATGTTTTTGGGTTAAAATGAGAACTGCTATTTTTGTTTTATGTTTCTGACTTCCTCTAAATGTAATATTCTAAGATAGGAATCTGCCAACGGCTCGTTGGCAGAATTCCAATGCTATGCATGTCGCTCATTGGCTAAGAGATGCTGCTCTCAGCCAATAGGAATCCTAAGTCTCTATGGACCACCCGTCGTGGTGGTCGTAAATGTATGTAGCCTTTGGTGTGTCTACACCAAGGTCGAGAAAGTCGTTCGAACCTCTAACAGACGTCGTATCTGTTAGAGTTACAAGTGACTGTAGCCACTTGTGCGTGTAACCCCGTTACAGTAGTGGCTGCTTTGGTTAAGCTGACGACATTATCCTCGTTAGAGTGACGGTTAGTGGCTGGAGCCTCGTTGGGTCCTAATACAACGCCGAACGAGGCTTCACGGTGCCTACTTTTTGGTACAGATGCATTTAGTTACGTACTTCGGCCGCACTTATTAGTGTAGCCGCGGTCGTCATTTGATGTGTCCAGGATCGCCTCATTGCGATCGTTCACACTAGATGTTTGTATAGGGACATAGGACTCATCATAGGATGACCAGAACGAGGCCCCCAAGGCCTCAGAAAACTCAGTAATAAAAAGACAGTCTTCCCCCAAAGCCAACAAGGGTCGAGTCCGACTTCGGTAAGTGTAGCTAGCTTATTGTAGTGCCTGGACACGCTCGGCTGCGTGTGGACGCCTGTCGGGGAGCTTATCGTGCATTGACCGAGAGTTTCCTTGGCAGCGCCAAGAGTTGGCGTGACCGGAGAGGCAGGAACGGTATTAGAGTATCGTTCAGTATATATATGTGGGATTAGAGTGCCCCTGAGTGTATTAGTCTACCTACCGAGGTTTTACCTTGGTCCCCCTGTATAAGGCCTAACACGCCGGTACCCTTCCTTTCTGAGGGACTGCAGTGGGGTTGCGCGAAAGCGCTACATAGTATCCTAGCCTTAGCTCGTGGCTAGTGGTACAGGTTTCTGGGTTGACCGAAGATAACCTAAGGTGCACAGAGGCGCTTGCAACCGACCCGGTGTAAGGAGTCCTTCCTGGTCTTCAGGTTTTGATCCAATAAGCGCTTACCTTTGCGGGTTAGCGTGTTGTTGGTGTCTCCAATACCTTTTGGTGGAAGAGAATTTAGTGGTATTACCACACCACATGGACCACTTTATGCGGTATGCAGTTGATCGAACGCCAGTGTTCACGCAGCAACACTACGAGAACAGTCATGGTGGTGACGAGCTTGGATTGTGTCCAATTCTGCCGGACACAGTAGAGGCGTTGCTGGTGAGCTATCTACCGGACGAGTTTGGTCAATTTACACCAGAGCAGCACCGTCAACTTGAGGAGGCCTTCGGAGTTCAGCGATTGACCATGCAAGCTATAGAGGCTCTCGTGAACGGTGGACAACCATCGGACGTAGAGCAGTCTGTAGCTCTTTAACGTCAATGAAGTCGTTTCCTTACTGTGCAAACTGTGCTTTTTGACCTTCGCTAACAACACCACGAGTTCCCTGGTTGTCTGTTTGTGTCAGTTTGTCTCAGCCACGCCCGAATTAATGCATTGACACGTCCAAATAACTTGCATCATTGTTGTCGGCTGATGCATTTATTTACGTCGTGATATGCAAATTCATGCGGTGTCGACGGTACCACAAATTGTGCGATACGACGAAAAAGTGGTACACTTTAGTGAACTCAAGTTAACAGATATTGTTGTCCTGCGGAATGCCGTGTCCGATTGAGGTCAAGCATTCGTGCGGTGCAGCTAACACTTAACCCCATGGTTCCCAAGATTGAGGCTCCAAAACACATAATCTACGGTACTTTATGTCGTAACTTACGACGTAAAAAATAACTACGATTTTGTAAAGGCAAGTCCTGTCCGTAACAAGAGAAGTCCCGCCAGAAGTATAAGATTGTAGAGATCTCTGGGGGGGAACTTACGACATAAGAGTCGAAAACGACGCGAGGTACGACATTGAACGTAGAACGAGTGCATACTAATCCCAGATGGTGGATCAATAGGATTGGTAAAATACACAAAACGTCCAGCTTTCGCGATGTTGAGAGATGACTGCAAGGCTCTAATCGTCATATCATCAATATTTAGCCAATCAAAACGTTTACCTCTCACTTATGCACAACACATCTCTGATGACAGCTCCATATCCGGGTTTTTGTGCAATTCTGATTTTTACCTCTCTTGTTTATACTTTTGCTGACGAAAATACACTTGATTAGGGGTAGTCAATGCCTGCAGCAGCAACTAATTTTTTTTCTCACTCAGACACGACAAATGTTTTTTTACCAATCACAAGCTGAGTGCGTTGACCACCCCATTCACTGTCCGCAGCAACAGATCAAGATTTTCCGTCCCCCCTCGGCTTCAAACGCCCCAGCCTACGCGCTTGTCCTCTGGGATGCTGGAAGCGTACGCTGGAATGCCCGGAGCGCCAGCAAGAGGAAGGTGGTGTCCTCTGCCTCCTTCAGGTTGAGTGTGAGAAGGCAACAGCGTGTTCATCCTACTGCAATCGGCGTGGTAGGTGTTGATATTAGCATGAAACTCCAGTCGGCGTCTATCCGAGTTGTAGAGTTGCTGAGGTCGCGCGTGGGCACGAAGGAGGCCCACCTGTTGTTGATGGTCAAGGTGAGGAGACTGAGCGTGTTGAGTTTTGTTGGGGGAGGCGCTTGTTGCTCGGCCTGCCGATGCGAAAGTAGGGCTAAGTTAGCTGTAACTAGCGGAGAGAACTGCCGTCCGCTCACTACTCTCAGCGCCTTCCAACACGCAGCGATTAGTGGATGCAGCTTTAGACACAGTCCTAGGCAGCTTGCTAAGGAAGACTCGAGTGTAGTATAGATACAGAGCTCGTGGAAGGGTTCGTGTTCTCTCCGTCCCTCGACATAAATTGTGCATTGTTACATGATCGCGCTGGAGCAACGCTTGCTGGACACCAAGGCATCCGACTGACACAAGTAGGCTTACCAGATTGGCCTTCCGAGTACTCTGCTCGCAGCGCAATCTTCTCTCGCGCGACGACCATGCTACCGTACCGTTGGTGCTCAGATCTTGGCGCCAGAAAAAAAACGAGCTGCTGCCGCGGCTCGACCGGAACGACTTTTTGTTCCGGTCGCCGATTTTTTTCCTGGCCAATCACAGCCCCGGAAAAAAAATCGACTTGCTGCGGCGGAAAAAAGTGAGCTGCTGTTGCGGACATTGACTACCCCTATTAAAGTATAGCAATCTCGTTTCGAGCCAAACGCTATTAGAGCGCTTAAGCAGTTCAGAACGAAACGAAAATCTGATAAAAATCTGAGAAAATCTGATATTTTTTCGTCCTCTCGATTGCGTCTCGTTGTCTGAGAGAGAACGACAACTTTCGTAAGAGCTTGTTGTGGCAAAACGGAATCAGAGGCGGAGCCAGTGTGAAATCTATAGTCTAGTCATAACGATGGACTCCAACAGCGACAGCGACAGCGACGATGATGTACTCGCTTACCGCCAGGCGGCGAAGGAGATGCTGGACACATCACGCGTGAAGAGACTACATGGAGACTGGAAGGCGGCATCCAGGCTGCGCCACAGCGCGTTGCTATTGCTATCGAAGGCTTCGCCACGATACTCTATACCCCGTGTCCGATTCGACATCAACAACGTCACGGACGACACCTGCCTGCTGTTCTACCGCTTCACCCAACGCCATCTACGCCGTTTACAAGCTTCATTTCAGCTACCGAACGTCATTCGCACGGGCGCGAGCTCTCGTACGTGTTGTAGCGGTGTAACGGGGTTACACGGACAAGTGGCTACAGTCACTTGTAACTCTAACAGATACGACGTCTGTTAGAGGTTCGAAAGACTTTCTCGTCCTTGGTGTAGACACACCAAAGGCTACATACATTTACGACCACCACGACGGGTGGTCCATAGAGACTTAGGATTCCTATTGGCTGAGAGCAGCACCTCTTAGCCAATGAGCGACATGCATAGCATTGGAATTCTGCCAACGAGCCGTTGGCAGATTCCTATCTTAGAATATTACATTTAGAGGAAGTCAGAAACATAAAACAAAAATAGCAGTTCTCATTTTAACCCAAAAACATTATTTAGATCGTTTATTTAGATTAATCTATACTCGGAGGCCCGAGTATAATTAACTCTAATTTAAACTAGGCTGCGCTTCCTCACATACACGCGCACACGTGTAAGCTAAAGTAGTGGGCCAAGGTAGGCCCACTACACCTGGTAGCACTTTGTAGCCCGTCCAACGACCGACTACCTGAACGTTCGAACGGAGCTGTACGAACGAGGAGCCGAGAACCTTTTCATGAGCGCGGAGGTGCCCATGGAAAGCTCCACTACGCCTGCAACTCACGTTGCACGCGCTGACTGTCCCCACCTGTCGGATCCAGAGTGGGAGGCCCTCCAACGACTGTCAACAGTCATTGGTGAGGCGGCTGTAGCTACGATGCTGCGTACGCTAACGCCGACAGAGCAACATGGTGTTGCTCTGGGTTTCATCCTGAAGGAACAACGCGATGTTGCTGCTACTACCGCGGTGTCATCCGGGACGACACCACGCGCGCAATCGCTAAAGCTCAGTGTGAGTAACTATGTCGGAAGA